ATCCGACACTCGCATCAACGCCCAAAAAAACGTCAAAACAGCCGTATGTACGTGACGTGTGCGTGTTTTTTCCAGCAAAAAAACCACTTCACGGAATAATCTGTGGGTATTTTGTGTTGATTTGTTGGATTCCATGAATTCATACCATGAGCGTGGTGTTTCGATGGGCATGTACCACAAACCTTTTTGGACAAGCCATTCGGTAGTTGGTGTTGGCATTTTTTTGTCTGTCATAGGCAAGATTGGGGTACAATAGACATTTTAATCAACCATTTTATCATCATCATCGTCACCGATGTCATCCATTGTACGACTCATTTCCAGTAATTTCAAAACACCAAATCTCTTCCGATAAAAACTCATGCTGTCTGCTGTGTTTTGATGATCCTCAAGCACGCGGAACATCTTTATCATATCTGTCACAGTAAAAGCCATCAGGTATTCTTTCTTGCCTTTGTTGTTATATAAATGTTCTACGTGAAAATAGCCTTGACGGAGCGTGTCAAGCTTGTCCCTTTCCAGGCGCAGATTTTTCTTGTATTCTACGGGTCTGCAGACTAGGCCCACACGCCCGGTAGTCGTGACGAATACATGTCCGACTCCAACATTCTCAAAAATGAGTTACCGACTTTCAGACGATCCACTGCTTTTTCAAATTCTTCACTTACAACGGTCTGTGTGACAATGTGTTCGTCACGGCCACCGACAGTGACAGGTTGATGGTGGTCTTCCATAACACAATCGCCATGCTGAGAGCAAAATCTTTCATTCTGTTGCTGTTACTTGCACTATCGACCAAAAAACGTCTCGGATCAAGTGAAGCTTGCTTGTTTTGGGTAGCAGAACCAGGATCAAATGTGTATGGTTTACTCTTAGATATCGCAGCTAATTCTTCGCAATGTTCTTCGTCCTTGGCCGACAACAAAAACGGGGCCAATATATTACATGATAGAGGAGAGTATGATATAGAGTTAGTTATACACTGCAGCAACTTATTAATGATTTGTTGCTCGTTGGATGGTTCACTTCCACTCTGGAGCTTCACTTCAGTGGATCTGGAGAGATGACAAAGGAACTCAGGTTGAAAGCATCTTCTTGTGTACTAACACCCGGAATTGGTGAATTAGGTACAGTAAAAGAATCAACCAAATAATCTTCCTTCATACAACAAAACCAACCAAAAACCTGATGTTATGTAAATGACCAATCAATTCAGTTAAAGGATCAGAACAATCAGCAAAACAAATCACGTATTGATCATTGTTACCGTTTGAACTGAGTGTTGTCTACACGAGAGCCTGTTTGCTTGATGAAAAATACGTAATAAATGTAGTGGTCAACTCCATACTTGGCAAATTCCCTGTATGTTTTGTCGTGGTACTCTTTGTATATACTCAAATTTCGCAAGTCTGTAACCGAAGACAAAGAAAGTGGCGCGTAAAAACTCGACGCACGTGCTATCCTCTGTGTTGGTTCATCCAAAAGAGAGAACCACAATGTACCTGGCGTAGCTGGTTGCGTAGAAGCGGCAACGCACCAACACAAACAACAACAAACACAGTAAAAATGCGCAAATCGAATCTCTTCGTGGCCTGCTTGTACAACAACAGCACATTCAAGAACAGAAACCCCTTTGTTGTTTATCCCTTCATCGCCACCACCATCAGAAGTTTTTCAACAACAATCCATGATTTGAATCAACCGAATACCGTTCCCTATTTTCCATACGGAGAGTCAAATTTTGAGTCCATCAGAAGAAACAAACAATTCTATGTTGACAAGACTCATCTCATTCCTTTATTGGACAAAAGTAGCAAGCAATTGTTTTTTGTCCGTCCTCCGAGATGGGGAAAGTCATTGTTGTTGTCCATGTTGCAGTCATACTATGACATCAACAAGAAAGAACAATTTAATGAGTTGTTTGATGGTTTGTGGATTGGCGACCCTAAGAATCAAACTTCATTGAAGAATGAATATTATATACTAAACCTTGATTTTTCTGTCGAAGTTGATGGATCTCCAGAGAACATCAAACAAGCGTTACACGAATCTATCAACGCAGACATTGCAAGGTTTTTAACGATCTATAACCTAGAAGACGACATACCAAAAATCATTTCACCTGACGCTCTCATTTCGTTCGAAAATTTGGTGACTACCATGATAAAACACAAGAGCAAGTTGATGGTTCTCATTGATGAATATGACAGATTTGCAAACAAATTGATGTTTGAAAGCCCCGAAAAATACAAACATATTGTAGAAGGAAAACGTGGGGAAGCAACTTCTTCGCTCATTCGCTCGTTCTTTGAACGTCTCAAAAAGACTTCGCGTGCTGGCTTGACAGACTTTCGAAGTTTGATTGTTGGTATCACTCCAATTGCTATTGCTGATGCTTCTGGTTACAATGTTGCTAGCAACATTTCCCAGTCCGAAGAGTTTGGTGATTTGGTTGGATTTACTGAAAATGATTTGAGAACGGCCTTGAACAACATTGGTATTGTTGAAAATCACCAAAATAATGCAATTTCAATCATGAAAAAGTTTTACAATGGTTATCATTTTCCAGGATCAACTCAATCTCTTTTCAATCCCACTCTTTCAATGCATTTTCTACAAAAGTTAATGAGTAAGAGTAGATTCAAATCTGCTGTTATAGGAGGCAAAGACATTGGTCTCGAAGATATGATAGATCCCAACACGGACATCAGCGAAAATGTGTTTGCGACTCTCGCTACAACTCCTGCTTCTGCTTCCATTGTTCATCAATTAACAGCAACAAACACCGTTCAACTCAATGCTGCCATCGTCAGTTCATTCAAACTTCGCGATATCATTGACCCTCCAACAAACGAAGAGAATTCAAAACAAATATGGGATCATACATTGTCATTCATGTATTATCATGGCATGTTAACTTTTCCAAAAGGGCTGGACAGTAGCACATTAATCATTCCAAATGAGATCGCAAAACTCCAATATTTGGAACAGCTAAAGCGAATAATTTCTTTGAACGAAAGCATCATTGAAAAATTTATCAATCATCCAACTGAAGACAATTTGAAGAGCTTACTATGGACAATTCTGAAGCAACAAGAAACAATTTATGACAACAGCATGTCAGAAGGTGGTTTACAAGGAAGTATTGAGGCAGCGTTGAGAGCTCAAAAATTGAAGTTATTTGATTTAACTGCAGAAAAGGAATACAAAGTGTTCAAAAACGGAAAAGAATATAGTTATAGATCAGATCTTGTAATCAAAACAGCCAACGACGTGTTTATTATTGAATTTAAACGTGTTAGACCAAATGCGTTAGAAGAATATTCTCGATTGAATTTCTTTCCTAGCACGTACAAGACTGTATTTAAGAAATTATTACAAGTCGACGAAATATCTTTGCTCTCCATGAAGGTTAAATGGAATACCGAGCCGACAACTGTAGAAAACATTCTAAATAAGGCTGCTATTCAAGTTAAAGAGTATGCACAGCACGAATCAAATATCAGCAAAGGGAAAACTATTCACGCGTTTGTTGTGGTACAAGTAGCTTGGCCTCTTATCATACGAAAAGTTAATTAAATATCAAATGTCCTGCTTACTCTTTTGAGACCGGCAGGAGCTATGGTGGCACTCGAAACATTCTCCTTTCCATGGCTTCCACACTCACAAACGTTTAACGGAACACGCAAAATCCGTGATTTTTCACATTACTTCGTTTGGCACGAAATACCGGCCTAAACAAAAGATCTACCATTTGTAGTCGGTAAGTGACGCAATCACTTGCTTCATATCGAAATACAGCAACGACAACACGGAAAATTCCCAACATGATTGATAAGTCATGGGTACCACCCCCATAGAAAAGCCATTTCCCTTGATAATGTTGTTTTGTTTCACCAAATGATGTATCCAAGAACGCATTAGCAGTAAATCCAACAAAGAAAAAGCGGCCATTGGAAACGCAACTCCATCACCCAGGCAAAAATAAGCACAAGGCGGCGACACACTAAAACAATGGTTCGACAACCCGTGCTCTTTTCCTTCGAATCTGTATGTGAATACACGACCAGTCCCTGTCCCAACTCCATGTGGGATATCGACGATTACTGTCCTGCATACACTACCAACATACTGTTTTGAACCCACACTAAGAAGCTTTTTGATGGGCCTAAAACACATACACCCATACAACACAGGCTTAGACAACACGAGAGACTCTAAATCAAACGCGCGGGTCGGTATCAATCCTTTGGTTCGCGCCCATAGATCAATGTCCAGTAGTCGCTTCATTACGTCGCTCATTTCTTTGGCTACCTTGTTGTGTTTCTTTGATGACGAGAAGTCACAAAAAAACACCCATGTGCTATTCATGTAGTACGTTTCACCACCAACCAACAACTCAAAATTTGGAGATTCTTTGTATTTTAAGGTGTAAGAGGCAGAATTTTTGCTTATACGATGCTCATCCCGTAGTTCGCCACCGTTACACATAGACACCAGAGAATCCATTAGAGCAATCAGTTCGGGGACAACGGAAGACCACATGCGCTCGACCTCTGCCTCAGCCGACTTCTGGAGTTCTTTGCTCGCGTCGGAAGAGGAACTCTGTTCAATGCGGTTGCTGTCGTGCATTTTGGTGTTTTTTTTTGTCATAGGAACTCCACAATGCTCGTTTTACATTTGGCGTGGACCGAGAGAGCTTTGAACAAATCCAAGTAGAACTTTTGTAACCTAGCGGCAAGTCCTAAAGAGAGTGTTTCTCCCAAACGCATCACCACAAAATACCATCTGAAGGTGACCAAAGCAATCGAGTAAAGTTCAAGTTCACCAAAACAGTCCGCCTCTTCGTTAGCATATGATCTACACTTATCCATGATAAAACCACAAGCTTTGTTACAGTCAAAAACGGGCACTGAAGAAAACAAAGAGTCATGTCTGTTTGACGGTATCTTCGAAGTCAAACGATCGGGAACAATATCGGAATATATTACATCCATGTTCGCCGTTATGATGTGTACCTTGTATGTCGTCCTTAGGTCCTTAGCTGTCCGCCAACATATATATCTATGTTTTTTACCTGTATGGGAGAATCTGAATCTGTTCCAACCGAGAAGGTAACAACTCCTACGCTCCCTTCACATTCAGTGTACTTGTTATTCACTCGTACTTTGATATCAGACAGCGCATCGCACCTGATGGTAAGATTGACTGTCTCACCAACTCCGATGAAACAATATTTTCTGTTGATAGAAATAGACGATCCGTTTGTGTCTGTATAGATTATTTCATAAACGTTTTTTATACTGTCTCTCAATTCCGATGATATGGACGTCAACAATAAATTAGCTACAATACAAAACAACAATTTTTTGGTTTTGTTGTCCAAAGTTTCAGAGGAAAGTTTGGTGTTAATATTTTTGACTGTCAATGTTTGGTCGTTACTGTTGAGTATGGCCTTTGTGATTTTGTATTCAAGGGTTCGTTTACCTCCAACATTCGATGTATCCAATACAAACTTATCGTTTGACATGACCACTTTAATTGCTTTATGATATTTTCTATTTCCACAATGAATGAAACCATCCGTCACTTTCTTCGATATGCGCTTATTTTTCGTGATGTGTACCCACTGCTTGGTGATGTGTTCGCGACGTTCCATTTTTTTTCGTTATTTATTGATTTTCTTCGAAAAGAGCCTGACCGCCAGAGCCAACACCAACAGTGAGCAATAACGAGCATGATGTCAGCCTTAATACCGTTGACATTCATACCAAGTTCTTTCAGCCAGTAGATACCATCTATATCTTTAAAATCGATCATAGTGCCTATTTTGATGTTGACCAGAGCACCTTTGAACTCATTGATCATCATCATTTCGTACAACTGATTCCAAAAACTCAAGACCGAAACGAAACGGACCACATCAGGTACAGAAGCCTTGTTCGCGACCAAACCAGAAAACAAAAAGTTGAATATGAGTGCAATATTAAAAAATCTGGTATAACCATAGACGTTGCTGGTCAACAAACCAATGATATAAGAGAGCATGGTCGTGTAAATAGACACCAAAATCAAAGCGCATAAAAATACAATATAGTGGTCGAAACCTGCCCTGAGACCTATAACATAATAGTTGGAGGACATTATGATGGACGGTATCACACCCCTAAATACGGTATCCATGATCAGGTATGCTATGTTATAAGCTTTTGTGATGTAGCTGCTTGTACTACAATCTCTTTTAACGTCCGGAGAGAGCATTAGTGTGTATTTTGTAGTTCTAGAGGATCCCAAATGTATGAATGCAATGCAAAATAACAAATAGCCTATTCTGCTGTGCGATCCTGGAATATCAACTCCCAACTGATAGAACATTAGACCTGTAACTATTGTCACAAGCAAGTAATACACAATTTCCTTAGATAACTCCAACCAAAACACACGATTAAGCACCTCGTATTTGATTACCACCAATACCATCTTAGCAGTGGATATGACCGAGGAAGGTGCGTTGCTCATAATTGTAAATTCAAAGGGATCTTCATGATTTTCTTCGACATCAATAAGGAGACCCTCTTCGTGGTCGTGAGTAGTCTCTTCCATCGCGCTTCTATGTGAATGTGTTGTGTCTTCGAACGACGAAGTAGTCGCTTCTATGTTCGTGCTACCACCTGAGGGTTTGGTTCGAATTTTCATCCCCACTACCATATTCATCAACTGTGGAATGTGATACCTCACTCATTAGAGAAAAGTCGATGTGTTTGTATTCTGTACCTGTTGACGTAGAAATTTTCTTCAACGTAGCGAGTGTTCGCTGAGTGTCATTATCCATGTTTTTGCATCGGTCCAGGAATTGGGAAATTTCTTCAGCTACAGAGGAATTTTTGTCGCTATTGAAAATGTCAACATTTTCCAATTCATCTCTGCTTCCTTTGTAAACGCATTTACCCTGACCTAAAATCACCAAATTATCAATATACTTGAATAGTTTGTTACTAAATTGGTGAACAATGATGATTATTGTTTTCTTTCCTTGCTTTTTTATAGCATCTAGCACGGACAAGACTTGCAATGCACACTTATTGTCTAAGCTACTCGTAGGCTCGTCGAGCAGTAAAATCTTCTTGTCTAATATAAGTTCTCCACATAAAGATACCAATCTCCTCTGTCCTCCCGATAAATTTCCACTCTCTGGCGTACCTATCAATTTATCCGCAATGTCAGTTCAAAAATCTACCACCAAAGACAACACCTTCGTTATGAAAATACAACAACAATGCAACTCTCCAACATGGATATGAAATTACTGTGCTCGTACGACAAGTTGAACCCTGTGTGTTCAGGCAACATCAAGAGAAGAAGCATAGGAAGAAAGTTGCTGGAATCACCTCTGCAAGGGGCTAGTTACTGTCAGAATAGCAACAATCAACCATGGGGAGGCTTTTCTAAATACGCCAATCCTTGTTTTGATGCGTTGATGCTTATAGAACTCTTCATTAATTGGGTATTCGCACTCAACCCAGCAGGATCTGAATTCAATTGCAAGCCAAATATACCATACCTACCCAGTTCTACGCATGGTTGTGTGTACCCCATACCATATATACGGTTCACGTTGCCTGGGGTTATTAGTGCAGATGGAAATACCGTCATCAATTCAGCCACATGCAAGTCATCTCATCGCCCGACACAGGCAAAAAAATCAAATTGCTTGTCCAGTATATCTTTGGGTCTTTTTTGAAGGAACTGGTTACACACTATCCTGGCCTTACGGTGGTTGTGTACCCGGTTTTGTACGACACAACATTTCCGGATTTCCCTCCGTATTCCATAGTTTGTTTATTTTTCGATAGTATAATGTATATATTGTACTTGCTGTTCGGTTTGTTTGTCGTTCTGACCACCATCACAGCCATATCTGATGGATGGAACAGTATCGTGAGAGACATGAGACAAGAAAAGATGGAGAAAAAAATAGAGTCCCTGAAAGAAAAAAATGATTGATTGTTTCGCCAGGTACACCCCAAAAAAGAAAAAGACAGTGTTGGTAACCGGAGACAGGCTGAGCCCGAACGCCGCAGTGTTTTTAAATTTCGCTACTGCTTACTTTTCATCTGTGGATCCACATAAAACGATCGAACAAGTACTAACTGAAATTGTTTATAAAAGGACCAATTGTGTCGACACTAACAAGCTCGATTTGAGAATAGAGGATCCAGATAATGTGTATATTGTAAAAACTATCGATCTTCATACTAGGGAAGATATTGTAGGAGTATCAACTTTGATACTTTTTATGCAAAAATGTGATGTGGAAAAACAAAGAGATAACATTCGTAGGATACTGAGAGTTGCTTCGAATAAGACCAAGAAGACTAAACTGAAGAAATTGAGATTGCTACTGTGTATCGATAATCAAGAAAACGAAGAGTTTGATCCAAAGATGCTATTCAACAATGAAATATTATTCACACATGGTGATTACGAATATGTGGAGGTTTTTTCTGTATCTGAAAATGCAAAATCATTGGAAAATGCCATCTCTTCTCTCATTTTGTGTATTTCAGGCGTGAGGTATCAGTGAAAAAAGTCTATGCGACTCTCCATCAAATTTGAGCTAGATTTCAGACCGACCACCGAACCTCCTCCTCTCCATTCATCGGACCTGAAAATAAAACCAACCACCAAAAACAATGGTATTGTGAGACCCCATCCGTTAATGCCGTTCTTGAAAATCAAACCTGACAATTCGTTCGTCCCTATATTTTATGAAATAGTGGCACAACCGAACCACATCAAGCGACTATCCGGAGGGTACTCTAAATTCAGTATCACTGAGCGAGAAATAGACATTCCCCTAAAATATTATGATATAGAGCGTAATGTCTACCTGAGGAATCACTTGAAAACAAATAACGCAGACAAAGAGGTGTTCTCGTCCGTACCCCCTAAAAAATTTCTAAGTGACAACTGCATTATATTTGATTACTACTCGTATCACGACAATGTGATCGGTGTTTTTGTGCCTACGAAAGCCGGTTCTTGTCACGTCTACCTTAAACAATTATTTGAATCAGAAGGGAGTGTAGAAATAGACATGAAAACTGAAATGCACAAATCAATAGGAAAACTACATGCGAAACTATTGAACAAAGATATCTTTAAATTATCTAAATCATTCACACACGTAGATAACAGCGAAGATATATCAAACTCTTACGACGAAATAGAGGCATCATTTTCCAGCAAAATGTCCAACGTATACACCTTGAGCGAATCTATGGACATGAATTTATTGTATACGATCGATTCTACAAGGCACCCCATAGAATATTTCATCTATAACGAGCATATTTCTACACCAAAATATTTCGAACATACACTTTTCATGTCAATCTATGAATATTCCATCAATACAAACCAAAAAATAGGAGATTATGTAGAGTTTTTCCTCAAGTGTGACGATCATTTGAAGGCGTTTTTTTTAGCTGATTCCGTCAATTTACTCACGCATTTTATGACCTACCGTACCGACTACGATTACTACGATCTCAAACAACCCCTAGAAACGGAGTTGAACGAAAACTGCATTGATACTTTCAGTGGGGACTGTGAAGATTTTAGTTTGTGTAATATGTCTGTCTTCACTGCGTTGCAATCATTGAGGGGAGTGAACGAAAACGAATTTCCACATGTTGTAGAAATGCAAAATGTATCCAAACAATATATTATGGTTTGTGCTCTGGCAAGAGCTACCACTGGGAGTGCACTACAAAGTCACAATTTCACACGTTTATCAAGTATGTACGCACAAGAAAAAGAGCCAACAAACCACAGAAATGCCTTGACAGTGCTCATAGAAGGAGTGTATGATTTAGAAAATCCAGTATTCCACATGACATCCATGTTAATACATGTGAGGTATTTTCATGATCTCGTACAGAAAACGCTGGGTGAACCCCAACAAGGGAAAAATTCATTTACCGAGACTGCAGTTGACCTTTTAAACAAGATCTTATCAGATAACCAACATAATTACCATGTACCCAATGTCATATTGATGGAAGGAACAGGTAGATTTAACTATATCAACAACGAAGAAGACCACTATTCTAGGCAGCCTCTCACACAACCTGGCAGCAGAGAATTCAAAGGGTCGAAATACACAAAGAGTGATTTCTTTTTACACCTCAAAGAATTGAGATACCCATGCAAGTCCAATCCTTTCATACTCAACATTTTGGACATTTTCACCAATTATTTCATGAAACACTTCGAGTATCCCTTGTTTAAATTTAGCATTTCCTACAAGTTGGGTAGCAAAGATAATGAGCTTGAACCATCATCAATGGTGAGCAAACCGTACATCAGAGGTTGTAACTTTAAAGACATATGCATGGGTAGTACTTACACTAGATTGTTGTGCCATCCGCCACTAACAAGCGCTGTCTATCACCAGGCTATAGACGAATCCAAACGGTACGCTGTATCCGTCATACTGGACAACAAGCCAGATGAAGATTACGGAGTTCGGTTATTAGTCGAAGAGCTCACACAAACATTCAACAAATACGCGAAGTTCAAAAAGAAAAAACCCAACGACGCTTGGAAATATTTTTATCACCTTAATGTTTGTGATCTATTGAAGCTCAAAAACTGGGAAGAAAAATACAGATCCTTCATGTCGTCCATGGTCAATTATTTGAAAAGTGATAATTATTCGTGTGCAAGCTTGGAAATACTCTATTTGAACCCCAACAAACCAAAGATGCTGATCATGTTCGATTGAATCACCAAGGTTTGTTCGCATGTCTGTTAGATCTGAAGGTGAAATAAGTGGCTTCCATACATTTAAATGTTTAACGAAGCTCGCGAGATCAATACTTTGTTCGATTTGTTTATTTTGTTCGAAGTCTTGATTTAAATAAAGGAGCAAGCGCTGTCGATCAAAGTTTTCATTAGCCTCAATGTTTTTTTGTCATCCGTCCATTGACAGACTGGCGCGCGTATTAATGTACCACGTATTGGTCGTAATCATCATCTTCATCATAGTCTCCTTCACTGGCATCTTCGTTTTTTTCTTCTTCTTCTTCTTCTTCGTTGTCGTAGAATAATTCGCCGTGGATGTTTTCTTCGTTCGTTGGATTGTGTGAGTCAACCGCTATCGTCTCCTCTGTCATTGTTGTCGACAACGTCGTCACTGTCCGTTTGTTGTGAAGACTCTTCGTTTTCATCATCTTCTTCGTCGTCTCTCGTCAAAATAATGTCTCGGCGGAATGTTATGTCATGAGCGCCATCCATCCGATCGCCAGTGATACGGACCTGTGTAACGTTGTTCCCCCCAATATCCTTCACCAACGAAGGTTGTGTATCTGCTGGTGGATTTCCTTCGCCACTTGGTCTGAACCCCAAACGAATGGTTTTCTGTACGGGGTACCAGCATGTCGACGCTCGAGGGGAGCACGCGACCATCGAGGTTTTTATAACTTCTCTTAGGTAACGGGATGTCGTCTCTGAGACTATACCACACGTCTCCATTTTTGTCATACCGTCTCTCAGTGCTATTCTTGTAAACAAAGGAAAATGTTTTTGTGTCCTGTTTCGACTACTTGGTGACCAATTTGGCGTTGACGCAGCCAACAGTCGAAACAGTAGGTGCCAGGTTATGCGATTCGTTTGGTTCGTTGAACAACACATATTCTGAACAACACAAAACAGAATGACAAACGAGTGCATCAACATCCACATATCCACCAAGAGGAACTTTAGGGTAGAACCACGTATAGATACAATAAATCTCGTCAAGTATCGTTCCGTTTGTGCTGTTTGTGCCAAATGGCCTGGGCATGGCATAGACGCACTTGCTTTTGACGTCGGATATGTAGACGCAAATGTTCCTTATATCCTCGTTTTGCGTGTGTACGTAAGGGAAATAACCCCCATCTACGAGAGCGCCTCTACTAAAAAACCCTCCCTTTTGTGTAATCTACCTGCTACTGAGTCATAGAACGATTGTATCAAGAAAAATTCTACTGAATCATACGGTACACTTTGATGAGTCCCAGGTGGTAAATATCCAACAGCCCCAGCTATTTTATCGACCAGCCTATCTGGTCGGTATCCTTCATGAGAGCGTGACGGTGAAATACCCAAAAAACTCATGGTCCTCCATTCGATCGTTGAATCACCGTTACACCGTCGTCGTTTGCATGTACCCGGTGACCCTCTTGTTCTCGGTTTTTATCTCTGCTGTCCTCCACGATTATTTTTTTGGTTGTTGTTTCCCATTCGGGAGTCACCGTCCTCATCAAGGTCAGCTCCATAGATTTACCTTTGTAGGATATAGTCATTCTATCTCGTATCGAGAGACCATCTGTGTCATATTTGGCGACTTTTGTTACCACACGCGAAGTTATAACTGCGGTCGGTCACAGGTCTGAAATACCGTATTATTGCACGTAATTGGCGATTTGTGTTGGTGGTGTCGTGGGTTTTCTGGTCCGTTTCATGTTTATCGTTCGCTTTGCTGGTCTCGGTGTCAGGTAAATTAGTTCCCTGCATTGGTGCTGGTTCCTGCGTTTCATTGGATGATGGGTGTTCATTTGACATGGTGTCAATCTTGTGGGTGCTTAATTCAGCAGGTGAGTTTGGGTATTGCGGGACAATAATCGTCACCTCGTCCTTTGTGTGAGTTATACTCGAGGTGTCTGTGTGCCAAGTTTTGTCTTTTACAGTATCGGTCACTACGCGTGTCGTCGATGATTCATCGGCCCCATCTTGTTCGCTACTGTTTTGTGTGGTATGTGGAGGTTGGTTTGGCAGAACGTCTTTTGTTTTTTGTGTATGATTTATGGCAGGTTGCGCTCGCGGAATTGTGAACAAAGACAAAGTGGTGAGCGTCTTTGTTGGTGTGTTTTTGCCTCGACTGATGTCATTATCGAGAAACAGTGAAAGTGCCGTCCTCAATCTGATCGTGAATAAGTCTGTCGCTCCAATACATTTCCGACGTTCTGTTGGCTCGATGGCCTGTGTGATGTTGCGGCCACTAGACCCAAGCTCAGATGACATTTTTTGGGATGAAAAAATGTACGTCTCTCGGGTTGCGGTTGTTTTGTGTCATACTTTGCTGCTCTTGGTTTGTTCGTGTAGTTGTCAAAGCTACGAATCGCTGGCCTTTGCTATATCCAATTATTGCGTACAAAAAAGTGAGAGCGTACTTTTGTTGTCGGGTGATTGTACCCATGTTGGTGTGATTCCTGAGGTTGTGTTTAGTGATGATTTGAGGATGTTACTCTCTATGAAAGACATACTTATAATCGACCGATCGAATCTTAAGAAAACGGAGTGCATCGATTATCCTTGTATATTTTCGTCGACTCCGGTTTATTCTATAATTGGTAGAGTTTTTCACTCGATGGTATCCCTCGATTCATGCACTACAAACACCAGGTGTGTTGAGGAATATTCATCTCAATTATCCGTATCATTTGAATATGTATTGAATTCAACGTTGACTATCGAATTTGTTTTTGAATTCCAAGCGAACACCAACCGTAACAAAAATACAGAATTTTCCCGAGAAGCCAATCACTTGGTACTTTTTGGATCACGGATTCTCCTTGTTCAACATACGAGATTCTAGCTACATGTTTATTTGTTTAGATCACATGACCACGGCATCAGTGTCTTCGTCTGTGATAGAGTCGTCACGGATTGTCATCGAAGGATGTGGTCTACATCGCAGCTATTTAGCAACATTTTCCAATAGTACTATTGTATTGTCGAATATTGCCGATGAAAACTCTAACGTTGAAAGTGTCTTCAAAGGATCAAAACAAATTTTCATGGATATCCACAATTCCGAATTAATCAGTAACGTAGAAATAATTATGGAGGACGGTCAACTGAGGTTTTCGAACAATACTGTTTTTGGGTCGAAAGTAACAGTATTAGCTTCACCACTCAGTAGTACCACAGAAAATGCAATTTTGGTGGAAAACAATTTTCTCACTGGAAACATGATGGATCTCTTGAAGATTAGTGCGTATTGTGTGAATGGTGGTGAGACACATATCACTGTACGCAACAATTCGCTCGTTAGTTTGTTTTCAAATTCTAACTTGTTCGATCTCGATTATTGGATCAAAGAATATTTTGGTTCAGGCCCGTTTTATCGGCAACCTGATGACAGTTCTATTGTTGGTTGCTTAAATGTTTACTGTGAGATGGTGCAATGCGATGTGTCAATTACTAGCAACAAAATAAGAATAAGTGGATTACGAGCAGCCTGGGATACATATCCTAACAGAATACCAATATCTTCAGCCATAATGTTGGTAGCCACTAACGGATCTGATCACCATATATCTGACAATGAGTCAAACAAGGATTACTACTATATCGGTGTGTTTGTTTCCTCACCCTCCATTGATGTAGCGTGCAGATACACAAGAAGAGAAGATATGCACGCAGTGGCTAGGTGTATGAGGGATAATAATTCGTTTATGGGACCATTCGCTATACTGGTCCAGTTATGTGACCATTGTAAGGGTTTTCTGAAGTATGATACCCTTATTTACAAATGGGAATATGATTACATAGATCCGTCTAGATCTCAGTATAATACATTGAATTTCGATATGACAAGAAGGATGTGGTGTAATAATTCGCTACCTTCATTTGACGAGCATAGCCTGGGTTGTACGCTAAGCATAGAAAAATATTCAATGATGCAAATATGCAACGAAATTACTATATTTGACAAATTAGACAAAGCAATGGACTATTGCGCGACAAGATCTGGACAAAAGGGCCTTGTTGTAGGAGAATTTGTTGTTACCAGACCCATCGGCGCGGTGTACAGCAACTTGTATTTAGTCAATATCATGTCAGAAAAGTTCACTATTTACGGAAATGGAAGCACTCTCACCGTGGACGGAAATACCTACATTTATGTGTTTGGAAATATCGAAATGGTCAATTTGAAAATTAAGAAGAAACTTTCGTACGGTGGTACTTTTTCTTTTTTCTCCAAGCACCAGACGTTGGTGGGTTCACAGAACACACTTTCATTTAAAAATTGTGAATTTGATTGTGTATACGACAATTCAGGAAGTTTCGCTAGTTATATTTGCGATATGTTCTCTGAAGACACTGATTACTACTACACTACATTGAGGTATTACAACTCAACTTTTGTCGCGTTTTCTAGATTGACTTTTACTACTCTACATGAACTAACGATGATCAATAATACAGCAATAGACGTTACTGGTAGCTTTATCAACTCGTACATATTTCGTGGGTTCACAATTTCCAATAATTATGTGGAACTGAGAGAACCAGACACCCTAGAAACGAGCATACTCAAAGAGATGTTTACCGATTCTACCATACGTCCTTTTATCAATATTATGTATTGTATGTGCGTTAGTGATTGCATATTAAGCAGTAATTTTATAATAGATAAGAGCGTCGATTTAGAGTCATTGAAGGCAAGGTGGTATTCAGAAACACAAAAAACCAAAAAAACAGGCACAGACTCAGCAGGAGTGAATTTTTTGAATGTATTACTAAAGAGGAACACCGTTGAGAGCTACCCATTTGTGTCTTTGGGAAACATTTTTGTGGGAGCTTCCACAGCTTTTAATCTGTATTATGGTGACACCTCGGATTGGAGACTTGGATTGTACTATGTAGATGAACGATATTCGATCGATACTGATTGGATCACGCAACGAACCATTTTGGAGAACTATACTTCGAGCGTTTGTGGGTACAAAGACATCAGAGGCGTGTATTACAATAACCATGATATATTCGCGTATACATTTAATGTGACTTGCATTGTACCTTCAAGGGGAATATACCGACCTTGTTTTAATGATTTATTCTGTAGAGAAACACTACCGCCTGTGGAGCACTGTTACGTAGGTAGCGATGCTGACAACACAACAGATGAATACGGACAAATTAATTTCAGAACCGTTCAAGATGCTCTTCGTTTGTGCTCTTCCATACTCTACGAAAAATACTACACTCCACCTTATTCTCCACCTGTATTGAGCTTGCGTCTGGGGTGTGGAGAACACTTATTCTACAAACCAGTGTTTCCCAAAAACAAGCGAACGAAAAAAGGCTACAGCACTGCAGGTTCCCAAGTTGTCTCCAACCTCAGTACTGATGCAGCTCGACGATGCTTAACTTCTCAAATCGGACGGGATGAGGTGCATTCATCGTGATATGGCCGTAGCCAATCATCAAGATGCTTCTTTTGACCACTCTGAGGCATCATGTCAATAAATTATAACGTTGTACTTCAGAATAGCAACAAAATCTTTTTCATCACCCACCACGTCGGTCGTACGACCCAACAGGATCGATCACTGCAACAACAACAACAACCACCACAAAAAATGTCTTCATCATCAACAACAACAACCACTGATGGATTCCCCGAACTCTTGGCTGTTCGAAATGCCTTGTATCTGGGAAATTATAGTGTATGTATGAGTAAGATCGCTCAAACAAAGATCAATGAAAGTAATGCGGAAATGAAAATGGAACGAGATGTCTTGTCCTTCAGAGCACACATCGGATTGGGACAATATGATCTTGTATTACAACAAATTAAAGAGAGCGATAATTTGGCAATTCCTCTCCGGGGTGTACGTTTATTGTCTGAATATTTCCAGGCCCAGAATAGAGGAACATCAAGAGAGGCAATTATTGAAAAAGTAGACACTCTTCAACAAGATCCTTCGTTCACTACAGATCCAACTTTTGCTATTTGTTCAGCAACTATTTATGCTTTTGAAGGAAATGATATTGCTTGTTTGAAATCTCTTCATGATGTCTCCACTTTGGAAGCTTTTTCTTTACGTGTGAGAACTCTCATCCGTATGAATCGTATTGATTTGGCCGAACACACTTTCAATAAGATGATGGAACTCAACGAAGATGCTACAATTACCAATTTTACTAGAGCTTATGTGGCACTAGCAAAAGGAACCAAGGACAAGATTAGCGAAGCTGAATCAATTTTCAAAGAGCTCTCTGAAAAGTTTGGCCAATCAGTTCCACTTCTCAACGGTATTGCTCTTTGCCTCATGCACGATTTTGAATTTGCTGATGCTGAAAATACTTTACTCAGCTCACTCGCTCTTTCAACCAATAGTGTAGAGACATTGGTTAATCTAATTGCTTGCTCTATGCATTTGAACAAGGACGCATCCAGATTCCTCTCACAATTACAATCCACCTCTCCCAATCATCCTTGGGTTGTGAAATATAATTCCCTTTCTGACACATTTGATAGTCTCACCACCAAATAAATTTTTTGTCAAGAACACAACACTCACACACTAGTGTCATTCAAATTATGCACATTTCATGTATGTGGCTTTAGATCAATGTTCATTCTCTTTAATTTTGATTTGATTCATCAAGAGATTTCATTGGTGTTCTGGTCCATCGAAACTCCACAAAAAATGCTGATACTGCGATTTAAAAAAGTAGGTGTTTGTTGTGATGAAAGATCGAATGATGGATCGGGATGGACTTGAATATATGATTATTATTGCCATCATATATCACATGTATTCTTTGCTGATGATGAACATCATGTGCGGATGTCACTTGAATCGATGTGGACGATACAAATAATTTGAAACTTGTATTCGGAATGAATTCAACCAACCGAAAACGAAATCAAATTCATCAGTTAATAATTGGTGGAGCGGTTTCTCTCGGAGTTGGCTATCAACAAAAGAAAGACTATGATTCAAGAAAAACCTTAGCAGTCGAATTTCTAATGGATCGTCCTTCTCTAGAAGAAGATGATGATGATGATCATCCTCACCTCAACATTGGAAGTGAAGAAGCAAATAGAATAGCAAGAGAAGCACAACAACGAAAATTACTAGAAGGCGGTACTCCCACAAAAGATGAATTACACAAAATATTACAAGAACAGTTAAAGATGGATCTAGACACAAGTTTCATGTCATCGTCACCACCAGAAAACAAATAAGTCATTGTCAACACTATGATTGGAATGTGGCATCATGTATTTATTTGGCACGTTCATTCTTCCTCGAAATGGATTGGCATTTCAATCTTCCAATTACTTCCAAAATACCTCTCTAATGTACATACAAAACGTTTCTTCTTCATCAAGTCTTCATAAAATTCATCATGAATGAATATATAAAACAATTTGAAATATAAATGTCGTGGTGTGTAAGGACTGACATGCAAGCTTGATGGATGCAGTGCCAGCAGAAACCTGTTCACTAATGCTTTCATTTGCCTTGATGATTGGCTGAGTGTAGAGAATAAAGCAACATCATCCAATTAACTGAATAGCAAATTTTGATGCATGAGAATGATTCCATATTAAAACTCTTGGTGGAGAGTGGACTCAAAAAATTGAACGTCTGATTGTGGTGTGAAAAAAAGAATTTCAATTAATGGAGTTGCGAATCCAAGTTATGAATCATCTCGAGAAGGATTCAATGGACACACACCTGTTAACAAACAGAATATATCCATCACAATGACCATGTGTGAAAAGAGAGAATGTGAAAAGACGCGAGAATGAATAAATATAATAATTAACGACTCGTATGGTTCGGAAAATTTGTAGTTGATTGATACTCACAAAAAATTGTTTCTGCAGATTCTCTCACGATCGCGGAACCAGAAGAGAAAATTCCGAAGTTGTCTGTGTGTTGCTGCTGTTGTGGTTGTTGTGGTTGTTGATTATTGCTCTTTGAAATTGCTTCATCATCACAATTTTCTGATTGTATCCGAGAAGATGTTCGATCCATTAAAGAATTACAATTATGATCGTATGAATCATTTGGTCCGTAAAATTGGACAAGATCAAGAAGATTCCAACCCTCCAACCAATTCCGATCGTGAATCCAAGGTCTTCTCACATCAAAAACAACCATTTAATGATCAAAACACAACAAGTGTCAATTTAAAATTTGATGAATTTATAGAACAAATTGAACACTTGAAACCTTTTCTTAAGAATATTGAAAAATTTGTCATTTCACACAATGCATTAGATGAACAAGTAGTGTCCGAAAGAGTGAGTTCACAAGAGTTAAAGGTTCTCTCACAACGATGTACAGAACTGGATATTAGTTGTAACAATTTTTCAAACATTTCACATGAAAATTGGAGTTTTTTAAATGAGGAGGAATGTGTGTTGAGAAAGTTGGATGCTCACAGTAATAGATTTTCAGAATGGATCGTTGCCATAAATTCTCAGAATGGAAATTGGTTGTCAAAACTTGAAGTTTTAAATTTAAATGGCAATTGTTTGACACAATTTTTGAATCCTTCTCTCATTCATGAACCTCACACTATTTTGAGTGCTCTTCAAATTCTTGATCTATCCAATAATAATGTGACAGATTTGGAGAGTTTGAATATGATTGTGTTGAGTGGGCATTTAAGGTCACTGAAAGTTTTACACATGAAAAAGAATAAGTTGTCAGGAGTTCTAAAGAACACTGCTATCAACCATTCGTTCAAGAACACATGCCTTGAAGAGATTTATTTAGATGATAATCAATTGGAACAAGTCGAAAATTCATGGATTTGTGCATTGCCCAATTTGAAAGTACTTTCATTAGCATTCAACAAGTTAAAAGATGTAGAGGTATTAGAACCATCTCGCCTTGAAAAGATTTATCTACACTCGAACGAAATCACTAGCTTGGACAATATGAAAGGAATCTTTACTGATTCTTTGAAAGTTCTCTCGATCCATCAAAACCAAATCACAAACCTGCCAAATGAAATTGGGCATTGCAGTGCCAGTATATGTGAGATCACTCTCTTCAACAATAATCTGCAAAGATTGCCATCCAATTTGTTCCAACTTACTCAAATTGAAACTCTCTATTTGCAAAACAATGAACTGTGTGAAATATCTGAAGAAATTGGTAATTTGCAAAATTTAACTGAATTAGATTTATTTAATAACAAACTCACATCCATTCCTTCATCCATTGGCAAGCTTGTTAAAATGAAGAGATTGTGTCTCGATAACAATGATCTAAGAACACTTCCAACTGATATCATTAATTTAACAAATCTCATTTCATTCAGTTTTCATGGAAATTCCAACTTGAAAGTTTCTCCATATATATCAATGATGGCAACAGGATTGTAATAATTTAGTGTTGTTTTTCATAAACAATTCTTCTGATATTATTATTATGTGCATTTTGTGGATGAGTTGGTGATTTGATATTCACAACCAACGGAACTGAATAATCCAAAGTAAGAAACATTTTTGTGTTTAATCCCAAACTTCTTGGAAATTGCTCAATGCTCGGAGTGGTAGTAATCTCAATGTTCAGTGATGGTGCCATAGATGTAATCATGGCCTTCAAAACTACCCACAAAAACTGTGCTGATTTCTCTGTGCCTTTCTGTATGATCGAGAACAAATATTTGAGCAATGCGATCCATGATGATGATCTTGTTGATGATGTTATTTTTCGGTCCGAAGGTGTTTCGGGTTTACCAATGACGGTTGTTGTAAAGGCCATCCCGAGTGTGAGGTTGTTTTTGTGCAAAGCAAAGTTGGTATTTTTTGCTGGTGGTTCAGCAGTGTGAATTTATTCTTGAGTTATTATAATACAAATTGCTCTTGGAACCATTCAAGATATTCATCATCAGATATATTTGTTTGTCCATACGAAATATATTTTTTAACTTGCTCCATTCTTCTTCAGTGAAATTTTCTTTTGAAATATCTTGCGAAGTAATATTATTTGGTTTGTTGTAAAGATCACAGAGATCAAGGGAGTTGAGGAACATCTAATCGTAAACTTTGGACCAAATCTACGAATTTCCTATATCAGCAAATGTTGTCTCAATTCTGGAACATTGTGCCCCAAATTGATCATTAAAATCAACCTCCAAAGCTCCTTTAGGTGTTTTTAATGGAATGCAAAAATTATCATTCATTCAATTCAACTCCAAGTCTTTTTATGATCCACTTGTTGGAATATCCTCCTTCAAGTTGAAATATTCCATTTTATGATATATTCTGAACGTAGTGAAAGGCATGACAGTTTCGATTGTAAACAATTAAAGAGTTTGGTTTGATACCTTTCTGCATTTTAATGATTAGTCTCTCTTTGCGTTGCTTAGTGACCACCCACTTGCTTTCTTAAGCTTATTCAGGTACCTTTTTCGCTGATCGGAATGTTCTTATGGTAAGGAAGAACATTGTGACAGTGCAGGCCCACCTTGATTCGAATCTTTTCGGCAAGGATTTTACTGAGCTCAGTAACCATATATTTTTATTATTTTAATTTTCATGTATTTAATTCATCACGTTATCATGATTTCCATGGATTTATCAAGCAATTGCTTAAATGTGACTTCTTGCGCTTCACATCATAGAATCTTCGTCTCTGTCTTCATCCTTCCTACTTCCTTGCGTTTCTTTGGTTTTCTCCTTTTTCCGCTGAGCGGTTTTTGGAGTTTTTTACCTTCTCAAGAGATAAGGGACTCTCCTGAATAAAGTTAATTGACAAAATATGCAGAAAATCCCACAAACCTACTAGTCCTTCCTTAAATAACAAACGAATTTTATTGTTTACTCTTTCGAAACAATCAATTTCCAGTACTGCTTTCCCTCATCACATCCTCATACTCTTTCTTCATCCTACTGATTTTCTCATCCATCTCCTTTTTTATCTCTTCCAGTGATGAATGAAAATAATTATCAGCCCTGTCAGAAATGAATGGTGGGGATAGAGAATCTATTGAGATGTAGGAACAATTGTTTCACACTTGACCTTGTTAATGTCATCCTAGACTTACAAATCAATCTGATCTTAAAAGAAGGAACAGAGAATGTGAATTGGTTATATCCCTTCAATCCTTGAATTCTCTCTAAGGGATGACAATTCACCAACATAAGAAACTTAGATCTAATTCTTAACAAAGAACATAGTCACTTACTCTCAGGCCAAACCATTCTTCTATTTATGGAAAATGAATAAATGAAAAAACACGCTTCATGCTGCCTTGTGAGCAAACGCTCTCTCAAAGTGCAAGCCAAACCCTCCAGAATGCTCTTGGGTTGGCTTGGAATTACAAACCACACACCAGCACATCTGGAGAGAATATTTCAACTTGTTTTTTTTTATTGATGGTTTGGCGTTCAAAGCATGCACACAAGTCACCATTTAAGGCTATAACTAACATGGATTGTAATATGTTAGCGGTAAAAATGTGGTAAGGCTGGATTGAGACGAGTAAGGCTTGACATCCTTGGCCATGTTGTATCATTTACTAAATATGGAGATTTTTAAAGTGTCACCTTGTCGATAGGAGTGTGATTCGAGGGGATAATAATCTGTTTGATTTAACAGTCCTACCTCTTGTTCAAATTGGCATTTCAGTTTCGAAAAAAAAATTATGTGAATAAACCGCATGTAGAAAGTGGAAGGTCGATTAAAGGTTCTTCACTCTTCTTGCAAGGTGCCTTAAACGCTCTTGTAGTTTCAAATTGAGATGGCATCCTAGTGAACATGGAATTCCAACTTTCATTGCCTTTTGCATATGTGGAAGCAACAAGTACGAGTAATTGTGCATTACTCAATACCAATACCTCAAGTCAACCAGGAACTTTAAAGTTTTCAGTTGACTAAAAATTTTACATTACTTTCACATGAAACTGATAAGGTTTTGAAATATAACATCTTGCTAACGAAAAATTGGCTCATGCATGATTGTGCAAAATTGCTCGCTGAAAATTGTCTACGCCGCATAGTAACAATGGCCTTGTATCTGGGACCTTGTAGAGTAAAGGGACTATCATTCGCTAACTCTTCAGGCCAAAGCTTCATTCACTTTCGTATTGGATGTCCTGGAGAAAAATGAATACCAAGACCAACATGTAACCTAAATTTAATCCACAATCAAAAGTTGGAGCAACTATCTCTTCACATACATGTGTATATTTAATTCTCTTTTAACATATCAAGGTTTGTTATGGGTGTTCAGGTCTAAATATTGAGGAGCTTTGGTCTTGGACTCATAATTGGGAGGGAGAGCTTCTGTTGTGTGGCCGTCAAACACGATGGAAGTGAAGAGTCTTATAAACTCATTAAAATTCCATAAAATTCTGTAATGAAGTGGAGTATTCGTGTGATCCTTTGTCTCCTCGTTGACACTTCGCGATAATACTTCATTCAACTTGGAGAGCATTAATTGTAACATTTCTTCCATATTTTTCTCTAGTCGAGAATTTGAAAACATGGACCATGTCATTGCGAATAAAGTCAACGCACTCAACACCATAATGGTGCAGTAAAGGTATGTAAATTTCCATGATTGATCAAAAGACTGTTGACCACAAATGAGCACACTCTCTTTAGGGTTGAAGGGATTGATTCGAACTATAATTCTTGCCCCTTGCTTAAATTTTTCTTTCAACTCTTCCAATTCTTTTTCTTGAGATTTTGTTTCCTCTCCTCTTGAAAATAAGGTTGATAATGTCCAATATGGAACACTCCAAAATATGCGATCTCCTTTGAATACTCGATTTGATTTTCCTCTTACAATCATTGGAGATTCCTCGGGATCAATGGGAGGATCCATTAGAGGAATAAACAATATATCACTCTTTTTAGGATCATCAGTTAATGGCACCGTTCTACTTCTATTGGGATCAATCTTTCTATAACTATTGCTTTCGGAATGTTTTATGAAATAATCACTAGTTCCTAGCCGATATTCGTATTGAATATTAATTCTAGACGATTTTATCATTCCAAACAATGCATCTCCTTTTTCAATATTTACTGATTGTACAATGCCTCTTGCAAAAGGCCATCTTTTACATTCATCGGCTTTTCGTAACACACATTTCGTATGTTGAATTTGAGAATAAATTTTCCAAATCGGAATTAAAGAAACAGCGCAAGCCGTGGCTATTGATACAAAACATCTGTGCTGACGGGATGATGATTGAACCAAATATTTGGCATTGTGTTGTTTTGATGATAACGATAATTTTGAATGGCCAACCAATGTACAAGGAGGAGAATCATTGAGGCGAAGTATCGATTGAATCATTTTTTCAAGTGTCCAAAAAGGTAAAATCTTCTTATGCCAATACATCCTTGCATAATTAAACTTTGTTCATTCATTCATTTCCATGAACAATTCATTTTCGATGTGTTTCAAGAGAAAATGTTCAAATTTCGTGCCATCATCCAAAACTATTTTTTTGTAATCACAGATAATTTTTGAGTGTTTTGCGTTTTAAAAAAATATCTCAACCATCATCACAAAATTATCATCATGGCTGAACTCTCCCCACAACAAGTGCAATCACTCTTTGAGAATATTGTCAAGGGTCTTGAAGCTGAACAATCATCATGGAAATCATTAGAAGAAGTCGAACAAGAAAAGAAGGCTGATGAAGTGGTGAACAATGCTGTTAGTCAGTCTGGACTCAAGATGGATGAAGCTGAAGTCGTGAACCAGGGTTTGCGTGTCGGTGAATTCAATGAAGTTGTTGCTGGACTTGTTAAGAAGTACAGTGAAGTTAAACCACAAACTAAATCAGCAAAGAAGAAGCTCGATAAGAGAATTTCGTCAATGGAAAAGAAATTGCAAAAGAAGAAGACCCAAAAGGAATCCGACTCGTCTTCTTCAATTGACGAAGAAACACTCGATCCAAGCAAGTATTATGAAATCAGAAAGAAGGCTATTGCTGAATTGGAGAAGGAAGGATTTGATGCTTTCCCACACAAATTCCAAGTTGACACCACTGTTCCTGAATTCATCAAAAATTACAGCAGTTTGGCTGCCGAAGAACGTAAACCAGAAGCCAAAGTGGCTTTGGCTGGTAGAATTCTCACAAGTAGACCAACTGGTAAATTAGTCTTTTACACCATTAGAGGAGAGGGAGAGGATCTTCAAGTCATGAGTGGTATCAGCGACTATGCTGAAGGTGACGAAGCATTCAAAAAGATTCACTCAATTCTCCGTCGTGGTGATGTCATCGGTATCAATGGATTCCCAGGAAAGAGTAAGAAGGGTGAATTGAGTATTATCCCAACCAAGATTACTTTGCTGACACCTTGCTTCCACATGTTACCAAAGGAACACTATGGTTTGACAAACATGGATACAAGATATAGACAACGTTATTTGGACTTGATCATGAACAAGAAGTCAAGAGATATTTTTGTTACTCGTAGCAAAATTATTGCTCACTTGAGAACTTTCTTGAATGAAAGAGGTTTCCTTGAAGTTGAAACACCAATGATGAACATGATTCCTGGTGGTGCCAATGCTAGACCATTCACAACTTATCACAACGATTTGAATATGCTTCTTTATATGCGTATATCACCAGAATTATATTTGAAGCAATTGGTAGTCGGTGGTTTAGAGAGAGTTTATGAAATTGGTAAAAACTTCAGAAATGAAGGTATCGATTTGACTCACAACCCAGAATTTACTGCATGTGAATTCTATATGGCTTATGCTGACTACAATGATTTGATGCATATTACTGAGGAATTGTTGAGTGAAATGGCTCTTGTCGCCAACGGAAAGGATCCAAAGAATTTGCCAGAAGTCGTTCCAGATGAATGGTATATGAGACCTTTCACTTTCAGAGATGGAAAGGATGTTATGGTCAACTTCAAGCCTCCTTATAGAAGACTTCCAATGATTTCAAGTATTGAAGAACATCTCAATGTTAAGATCCCAACTGACTTGGAATCAGAGGAAACTCGTCTCTTCCTTGTTGACCTTCTCAAGAAGCATAATGTGGAATGCCCTCCACCAATGACTACTGCAAGAATGTTGGATAAATTGGTTGGTGAATTCCTTGAACCACAATGCATTAATCCAACTTTCATCACTGAACATCCACAAATCATGTCACCACTTGCCAAGTGGCACAGAAATAACAAGGTTTTGACTGAACGATTTGAACTGATGATCATTGGAAAGGAAGTTTGTAATGCATATACTGAATTGAATCAACCTTTCATTCAACGTGAACGATTTGAAGATCAAGTTAAGCAAAAGGATGCTGGTGACAGCGAAGCTCAATTTATGGATGAATCTTTCTGTACTGCTTTGGAATATGGTCTTCCACCAACTGGAGGTTGGGGTATTGGTTTGGATCGTTTGACCATGATTCTTTCTAACAACTATAACATTAAGGAAGTCATTCTTTTCCCAGCTCAAAAGCCTGAGACGAATGAAGCTCAAGAAACAGCCCAAGAAAATCAACAATAAGTTGTTCATAAACCTTTATTCTATAAAAACAAATTACGTATCTAGCCATGAAATGTGACCTACAATCAAGTATTTTCCTGGCAAACTCTTTCCAGGTGAGGGTGACAACACAGTCATTGTTCTGTTTTCTGGGTCAATTTTAGTCACATGAACCACACCATAAATGTTTTTGGTTAAAACTTCATCCATGGAGCTGGCATGGGATACTGCAATAATACTGAACTTGGTAACCTCGCTAAAGTCTACTTGCTTGATCTCAACAGGATTAAAACTTGACTTTGCTCCTATTGGAAGAACACTTTCTGGTGCTTGCCATTCACTTCCAATTCTGCACAAAATGATATCGTCAAATTTAACAACGATAGAATGAGGGCTCAAGCTTCGGGTAGCTCCATAGAAGTATTGTTTTGTTCTTAATTGATTGGTCTTGCTTCTGTGTTCTTTTGTTCTGTTGACGACACCTGGATTCTTTTTAAGTCTAGTTACAGCAATTTTGGAGTCCTTCAAATCTTTTTTGAGATTGTTGGTCATTCTGTCATCACCCATAACAATTACTTGATTAATATTCATTTCTTTGATAATGTATAGTAGTATTTGATGTCCGACACCTTCAACCCAGCTACCAGTATTTACAATAAATCCTCCCTCGCTTAATAATTGATCGTTCGAAATTCGTTTATCAATCATTTTCTTCATTTGGCTCACCAAAGTTTTGAAGTAATCAATATTCTTTTCAGGAGAGGTTTCACCGTAGAAATAAGTCAATGGTGAGCAGAGAGAAAATTCATCTTCAATGTCAATAGTTTCCCATGCATTTCTAACAATCATGCTCAAAGTTCCAGGAAAAGTGATATCATTTTGACCACAATCTAAATCAGCAAATATCAGGCGCTGCCCAAGTCTTACTGCATAATTTACTAAAATTTTGGCGACCGAGTTTTTCCCAGTATCAGCAGGTCCACAGATTAATACTCTCGGAGGAGGATTCATAGGAGCTCTTTGTGCATTGATTTTCTCATGCATTTCTAAATATTCCTTCATGGGTGTTTCAGAGCCGACGTAGCTATTAATTTCATCTTTTCCTTTAGAACTTTGCAGTTCAATGGTTGCTCCGTGATACGTAAATACTGCTCCGTTCCTTCCTCCATTGAAAGTATATGATTTATTTAAAGCTAATTCCGCTCCAAAAAATTCAGCTTTTCCTTCTATTAATTTCAATTTTAGAGTTTCTCCAAAATCAACTTCAAATCTAAGCTCCTCTTCCGGTTTTAATTCAACTTTTAATTTTTTACTGGATGATGATGAAGAGTCGTCTTCAGACATTTTTTAATGAATCAAAATTTCCAATTACTTCACGTTCAACAAACGGAATGTCCAACAAGCTAAGCTATTCCATCACCCCGATTGTATTGAACCAATCCTTTCATTCATTCTTCTTCATTCTTTTAACGTTCAATCCAATTCAAAAAACTCAATCAATTTACAAATTAACTTCTGAAAAAATGAAAGCTTTTGCTCTTGCTGCTCGCGAACCATGTTGGAAGGGCAAAAAAGCCTCTCTACTCGGATCATCCATAACAAACGGTTTTTCAAATGTAGGAAAGGGCAAAAGCAGTCTTAAATATGGCTGCTCCGATTCAGTAATTTCAAAGAAACTCTTTCATAGGACTGCAGAAAGTTTAGTGAAAATCGGAATGTTTGGTGATATTCATTTCCAAGATGTGGGATTGGATCGTGTTGTGGAGACTGGAGAGTGGATTGTTGAAGAGTTCGAAAAACAGAAAGTCGACTATGTGGTGTGTATGGGTGATGTACTGAACACAAGAGAAACTGTGAGTGTGAAGGCCCAAAGTAGTGCTTTCGAGTTTTTTGACAAGCTTGCCAGTAAGATTCCAAAGAATGTCCACATAATCTGCGGTAATCATGATTTGAATTTGAAATATGACACAAAAATCAGCTCTCTCGACGCTCTAGGATTAAAATTGTCTGCTCCAAGCAATTTATTTCTCCACAAGTATATCGAAGAAGTAGATCTTGATGGAAAACGTTGTGTGATGATACCTTATTATGAAGATCCATCTATAATTCGTGACTGGGTGTCCAACAAAGCCTCAAAAAACTCTGAAAGCCTGAGCCAATCTTTGGCATTTTGTCACATGGCTATCAATGGAGCCATTCAACGGTATCAAGTTGACAACAAGAACAACCTCTATTGTAGAACCTTTGATGAACAAATAGGAAAAAATATTCTGAAAGAGAAAAGAAAAGGAAGCGAAAAGCTGAAAAAAGATTCTATTAATGATATGGATTTACCTGCAGAAGGTTCCAAAGTACCTAAATATCTGACTAAATTTCAACGTGTTTTTTCAGGGCATTTTCATCACCATCATTTTTGTGACAAGAAGGTTCTCTATGTTGGAAGTCCAATGCAGCATCATTTTGGAGATTCTGGTGATTCAGGTCGTGGCATTGTAATTTATGACACTGAGACAGATGAAATCAGGTTTATTCAAAATCCCAATTGGGATAAGTTCAGAATTTTGAGGCTAAAATCAGAGGACGATCTTGGAGATTTGAGCCAATACAAAGGAAAATATATTTCAATCATTTACGAAAGTATGGACTTGAATCCTCAAAAGATTCAAGATAAGCTGTTGGAAGCAGGTGCAAAATCAGTACGGAAACAGTCTGTAGCTGTTAGAAAAGTGCAATCGTCTCTGCAGGAAAAGGAATCCTCGAGAGATGCTGACGACAAACTTGGACACATCAATTTTGAAGACTTTGTTGTAAAATATGTCAAACAATATGCTAACCTTTCTTCAATGGGAATAGAATCTAAATTTGTGGACGATATTATTGAAAGAGGAAAAGAAATAATTTCTACTGTCACAAAACAAGGAAAACATCACTTAAATGTTGGTGACACATTTAGGGCAAATTTAAAATCGATAACCATACAAAATTTTTTAGGAGTTCAAGGATGTATTACGTTTGATATTAAGAACATGGAGAATGGTGTTTGGTTTTTGGAAGGACCAAATGGTTCTGGAAAGAGTACAGTTCTAGAAGCTATTACATGGTGCATGTTTGACAATTTTCTAAGATCCGATATGAGTAAGGTAGATTATGCAGTGAATGACGTAACGAAAAAAGATTGTTTGGTACGATTAGACTTTAATTCGGGATATTCGATTGAAAGATTTCGAAAATACACCAAGGCAGGAGCCAATGAACTTCCTGAGGACATTGCGACATCATCTCCAGAGCGAAAGGGTACTGGACTTCGAGTGTTCTATGAAGGCAAGTACTTGAGCGAGTATGAAAAGGGCTCTCTCAAGGATTCGCAGGTAGCTCTGGAATCGTTGCTAGGTATCAATTATGACATGTTTACAAAATCTATTGTTGTTGGTGACAATTCTGTAAACTTTTTAACATCAGACTCTAAGAAAAGAAGAGAGTTAATTGAGGACTTATTAGGATTGTATTTATTCGATGATTATTTAGCTAATACAAGGGAACGAAAGAAAGCTCTAGTAGAGACCGTCTTTAAGGGTAAAACGTTAGAGGAACAAATTTTACATTCGATCAAACTGCTGGAAGAGAATATTGAAAGGAATGAAAAAGAAAAACTTTCCATCACAGAGATCATACAGAGACTCTCTCAAGAGCACTCTCAAATTATTTCAAAATTGGAGGAGTCATCGAAACTAAAACGTACTCTTGAGGATCAATGGAGAAAAGCACAACAGTTGAACATTGCCCTCCAAAACAAGACCTCGTTGATGACCAAAAGAGATGCTTTAAAACAACGAATTGCCAACAATGTGGCCACCCTTAGTAGATTGAACAGTGAGGCAGTAGCTCTCTACATTGATGGTAAATCTCAGGTTCATGAGATCGAAGCGCATTTCAATCAAAAGGTTGATGACACTCGACATAGAATGAAACAAATTTCAGAAGAAATCATGTCGAACAGCATTGAACTTCGACATGCAAAAGAAAAGTTAGAAAAACTAGAGGACCTTGTTAATTTAAATGAGTGTCCATACTGTGAACAGAAAATAGAACATCAAACTCATTCTAAATTTGAGCAAGAAAAACAAAATCTTTCGGATGTAATAGCACGTTCTACTCGCCATCAAATGACTCTTTCTTCATCCCTTCAAAATCTTGAGACAGAATTTAATGAGTTGGAAAATCAGAAGCGAATTACCATCACAAAGCTTACTCAATTGCAAAACTCAAGATTACTCACAGAAAACGAAACTAAAACACTTCAATCAGAGTTAGAGTCGGTTGAAAATCAACTGAATGAGATTGAGATCCAGTCTGGTTCCCTTGAATCATCGAACATTCAAGAAATTCAAGAGAAGCTTAACAAGGCAGCAGAGGAAGAGAAAAACATGCTTGAGAGAAAATATCAACATGAAGCTCAACTAAAAGTTCAAAAACAAAAACTCAAGGATTTATCTGAACAAACCACCAAACAAAGAGCTGAATTGGATGCACTTCGAGAAAGGCATGTAGAAAGTGCAAAAGAAACAGAACAAAATGAAAAAGAATATGCTGTTCTCAATTTTTGGGAAAAGGCATTCGACAGAAGAGCTAGAAAGTCAAGTAAGGATGACTTTGAGACAATGAGATCATTCTTACTGGATAAATCTATTGAAGATTTGAATAATATTCTTGAAGAGTATTCCAAACTTATTGGAAGTGACACACTTCCAATCACTTTCAATTCAGATTTGATGATTAACGAAGATTATGGAAAGAGATCATCCGGACAACGAAAGAGAAATCATTTAATGATTCATTTTGCCTTATTCGAACTTGTTCGACAACGATCAAGATTTTCAAGCAACTTTTTAATGTTAGATGAAGTTTTTGATGCCTTAGATGTCACAGGTCAAGAACAAGCACAACAAGTCATTGAAATGCTTTCCACAAAAATTGACAAGGTGTTTGTTATTTCACACTCCACTCAAAACATGGAATTTAGAAAGAAAGCCATCAAAGCAACAATGACTCCACAAGGTTCCAAGTATGAGATCATCTACAGATAATGCTTTCTATTACAAATTGACAAGATGTTATTTCTCGTGCTATTGTGTGACGTCACATTAAATTCAAAAAGGTTCGTCCCCATTGACCAAACAGGTCAATTGTTGTAAATATGGAGCATCTCAAAGACCTCATTCTGCATTAGTCATCATGCTGCTGACGTGTCGTCAAGCCTTCTTGAAAAAAAATGCAAACTTCATCATCGTCTGGAGGACCTTTTTCGCATTTGATGAATTCATCATCCACCATGCGAAATCGACCAACCTCATCATCATCAACGCCTCACCACTCTCAAGATGAAAATCCCATTCAACAAAATATTTATTCGACGACCTCTTCTTCAAAGTATCGAACACAACATCAAACAAAACCAAGTCGATGGATTTTAGGAATCATCATCGGAATACCCATCTTTTTACTCATTTTGTTTTATTGGGAATTTAGTAAAACAGAAAATGTCGAATGGGAAGATGTGAAAGAGGACATTCATGTTCCACAACAAGTATTACGAAATTTGGAATTGAATCAAGATGAATCAACATCGATCATTCGAAAAAGAAGCAAATTAGGAATTGTCACCTATGCACAGAGTGATGCTCACATGGATTGGTTGAAAAAGGAATATTTCTCTCATTTGAATGATATGAGACAGTATCGAACAATGGTTTATATCTCAATTTGTGAAAATATTAGAAATAATTTGGATTTGTCAGAATTCACAAATAATGAAAATAGAGATGTGATCAAGATTTCATTTTCAAAATCATGTCACATACCGTCTCTCATCAGTAATGGAATCAAGTTCTCAAAAAGGCATGTTGAATATTTCATGGTACTAGATCCTGGCTTTTCTATTTATGGGCATGAAGAGAAGAAGACTACTTTAAATGTAGTTAACAAAAGAATTGATGATTTATTGGGAGAAAGTGAAAGTAAGCAATTATTTAGAGAGTATGGGGACTATGGACTGCTTGCTGTGAATGTTTATGACTCGACGGAAATGCCTGCCACTAGTACTTTCAATATTCAAATTCCAAAAGAAACCATGAAACAACAACTTTGGATTTCCAAGTTATTACCTCTCTATTCTCAAGAGCAACGAAAAGCAATTTCACAATTTTATGAAAAGTGGAAACAATCCAACACGTTGTTTGTTCCATTTTCTGAATACTATGATAGAGATGCAATTTTGAGCACACCAGCCTCTCATTTCTTTATTTTTGCAACCTCAAGTCCAGAAGGAAATAATTACAATCTCAAAAATGATGAAATTATTGACAATGTGGTGGAAGGTCTTGAAAGATACATTTCAGATAATAGTTATCAAAATTCTTTTAATATGATTGAAAGTAGACAGATCTTGTCAAGTTTAATACTTTCACAGATATTAGATCGATATGAGCAATTTAAAGAAAAGACCAATTCTCCTCCTATATTCTTTTTACCACACACTTTTTCTATTGAATGGAAACCATCTCACAATACTCTTCAAGAATCTACAGAATTGCTTCACAACGGACTTTCATTCGCAACTTATTGTCACATTGATGAAATTGATATTTTGAATGGATTAATTAAGAGATTGTATGATGGAGATCGTTTGATTGTTATTTTTACAGCAAGTTCACCCAAGCAATGCATGTCAGAGGAATTACAACAATTTATGAATTCTCCAAAAAAAGCAAGAATTGATTACAAATGTATGGTTATGAAAAAGAAAGATTCAATTCCAATTAATCGTTTCAAAAATCAAGCACTGCTCCTTTCAAAAACTAAATGGATATTCATGTTAGATGTTCAATTGAGAATTTCAAAGAATTTGAATCGAGATTTCACCAAATTATTTATTACAGATTCTTCATCAAGACCATTAGAAAAATTGGAACCCTTGTCTCAACACTCTGAATCTCTTTTTTGGAAATCTCCTATTGAACACATTAAGAAATATTCAAATCTTGCTCAATTTTTAGAATTGGAAAAGATTGTTTTTGTTCCTCCATCGTTTGAACAAAATGAAATGGAAGAGGAATTACCAAATGATTTCACAAGTTTGAAAAGAAGTTACCAAAAACGAATGCTTTCTGTAGAGAATGCTCAACAAGTCGATGTTTCAAATTATTTTGCAGTTTCTTCTCAAGGACAAAAAGCATACCAAGTGAAACCATATTATCCATTTAATTCATTATTTATTGCAGCTGTGACACATTTACCTTTTTATGATGAACATAGTTATCAATCATTGGCTGTCTATCATCTGCACTTGAATATGAAATATTTCCAATATTATATTTTACCAAGACATTTTGTTGTTCGCTCTATTCTCTCCTCACAACAAAATCACAAGAAACGAATCAAACCAAAACAACCACAATTAGATTTGGCTCTAAAAAAGATGAGTGATTTTTATTCGAATGAGAGAATTAATTTATTGAAGAAAGATCATCTCCGAAATGAGATTTAAATTGTTCAACACACAAAGTGTATGCATCAAATGATCTTGTTTTTTAATTAAACACTTTTAGTCATTGAATGGATGTTTAAAAGGACAAGTTAATGTTGTTTCCATAGTGTAGGTAGGATCAAAAGTTTTTACCATTGGAAATGTGAGATATTTGGACCAAAACAATCGATCATAAGTTTTCAATAGTTCATAATCAAGAGGTCTGAACAATGTAAGAGCAGTATTGCTACTTTTTGAGAGACGATTCACATATTCATCCAATTCTGCATGAGATTTAAAAACAATTGTTTCTTTTTGTTCTGTCACCCATACAAATGGAGAAGAACCAAGTTTCTTGATGTGTGAAAGAAAGTGTTGAAACGATGGATTGTCAGCTAAGTTCACTCTCACTCCCAATTTTGAAAGAAATTCCATAAAGAAATCGTAATTGTTGGCAGGTTTGAATTTTCGATTGGGCGCTGCCTCCTGTAAATAGGAAGGAGGAGGATCTGCATGAGTTTTAGAATAATATCGACAAGTATTCCATTCTACAATAATATTTGAAAGTTCTGTACATAATTGTTGAACATTGGTTGCAACATCAAGTGTTCCCAAATCATACAAAACAGAATCCAATGGTGGTATCACCTTACTTGGAACAATTAAACCAATGTCTTCATGGAATGTGAGAAGCCATGGACCTACTTGAAGGCCAATGTTGTATTTTCTGTGCTCTTTGGTCACTTCCAAACGTTCCTTGACAGGTGACAGAATTTTCAAAAGAGATTGTTTGCATGAACAATCCAAAATAATCATTTTGATGTTCAATAAATCAATATTTCTCTGGTGACCCACAAAATCAATCTTATCTCTAATGTATGATGGTAATTCGTTGGGTAATTTAGTGTCAGAATAAGTTTCAGGATTTAAATAAATTCTTTTAAATAAAATGTCATCGAGTAGTTTGGCATGTTCTAAATTCTCATTTTCCATAAATTCTTGTTCATTAAAAAGATAGGTATTCACATTGGTCAATAATTCTCTTTTTTGCTTTCTTTCTTCAAAATATTGAGTTTTTAACTGTTTCAGTTCAGCATCCTCATCTTCATCAAATACTAATAGATCATCTTCGTCATTGGGAGACATTGGTTGTTGAAATTCCAAGTTTGCATTTTGCATTTTCTGAACATCTGACACCTCAATGAGAGAACTAAGTGCTGTAGAGGATTTTGTAATTTTCTTTAACGAGCTAAGTCTTTTCAAAAGTTTGTTTTTAGGTTTTTCTTCGTTTGATGTTGAGTAGAGAGAATCATCATCTCTTGGATTAAGGGTTGGTGTTTGATCGGATTTTAGTAAATTTCTCAATGAATTCTTTGATTCAAGAGTGGTAGAACTCTTTGAGGTGTTAAGTTTGTTGTTTTGAACCGAAGGAGTGCTAGGAGTGTTGTTGTTGTTGTTGTCACGTGAATTGAATTTCAATTTTGGTTTCAATCCTGTCAACGTTCTCTTTAGTTTACTCACTGCAGAGTCCTTCTGCTTACTTTCTTCAAGGGCAGAGTTGGATAGAGAGGCGTCATTTGTTTCAATATATTCAAGATCTGACTCTTGTGATGGCGAATTTGGAGTTTGTGGTGATGCGACAGTCACAAATGGATCACTGATATTCAAAATTGAAGGAGACATGACCTCATGAAAGCTGTAAAATGATTGATGATGAACATTTGGAGATTGAACGATATCTTCTCCACCAGAGGGTGACGTCTCAGAGCTACCACCAGTCGGAGAGTGAGGTATCTTTGATTCAAAACTATTATTCGGAGTGGTCCAAGTGTTCTCCAAAGTATTCTTAACCAATGTCATTATCTTTTTATCTTCCTCACTGTCCACATGACTTTTGGCAGATAAAGATTTCATGCATAAAAATTCATAAATTTCCAACATTCGAGAAGTTGTCTTCCAACTAGGATCCAAATAGGAAGCACTTAATTCACTTTCTATGGATAATGGCTCTACAATAAAATTAATCAAATTCATTGGTAATTTTCTATGATATTTTTCCAAATAATGTACAAGTTTAGCAGTGACAATCGACTTATTTTCCTGTTCTTTGACATCTGTCATTCCCGATGATGAAATGTTGTTAGTTGAATTTTGACTAGTATTCGTTTGGTTGGAAGGATTTAATAGAGAAGGATCCGGTACATGACCAAGACTCGATAATGAAAGAGTATGTTCTAGAGAAGATGAATTTCCCATTTTGTAATGTTGTTTATGGAAATATACAAGTTGATGAAGGAGTTTCGATTCCGAATTGGAAGAGAAAGTTTGTTGAGAAGGTGTTATGTTCAAAGAAAAGACTTGTGGTTGTTCGGTTCATTCATACCCAAGAGGGCATTCATGTGTGTTTGTTTCAGGTCTTGTTTTGGTCTTTTATGGTGTATTTTTTGTTTGATTTTTGACAGGTGTCGATGTCCAATGAGAACCCAAAGTAAGTATTAGGTCACACAAGTTTGTGGAGACTCGTCGACTCCACATTCTTTCATCTTTTGACACTTGAGAACCAACAAACTTTTCGATTAAGACCTTTTTATCGTCCATCTTAAAAGTCCGTTCTAAAAAAAACTTTAAAAATGCTCAACGACTTTGATTATTCCAATAAGAGTAAGTAAGGCTTTCCAAATGAATTGATAATTCTCAGAACATCGGAATGTGATGGAATTTATGGATTTGTGGTGGTGGTATTGATGGTGATGATGATGGTATTCATTAATTTGTGGTTTTAATAATCGGAATGAAAGTAATTATTATTGGTGATAGCGCAACGGGTAAGTGCAGCCTCATGAGGACTAACCTTAATCATTGATGCAAAAGGTATGATGATTAGGGAAATCATCTTTGATGAATGTATGTAGTTTTTCCAATCAATGGATTCATTGTTTCTTAATATATATTAACTTTGTTCATGAAAGAGGTTTTGTTATGAAAAATTCTCTCCTAATTTTGTATATACCATCGGTATGGAAATGGTAAGCAGCATTAAGAGGATGATGATGATATTAAAGCCTTTCAATCAATACAAAAAGGGACATAAAAATGTAGTAGTGAATGATAAGAAAGTGAAAGTAACTGTCTTTGATACGTATGTAGAGTATTATATCTCTGCCAACAAAATAATCTTGAACATTTCCAAAGTGCTGGACAGGAACGGTTTCGATCGTAAGTTGAATGTGTTCTTCAAGCAAAATACATATTAAGGCGAAATTCAACTACGATCGGAATAGAATTGTAAGTGCAATCTTTTCTATTCACAATGAATTGGATGATGCAAATATATTCTTAAGAATAGACTCAAAGTTATTACAGAGGTGCGGATGCAGCAATAATTGTCTATGATGTCACATGTTTGGAATCTTTTAATCATGTAAGAAGTTGGCTCAAAGATTTATATAATTATTCAGACGCCGATATTAAAAAGGTGCTTGTGGGGAACAAGGTAGATCAAAAAGATGCAAGAAGAGTGTCCTATGATGAAGGAAAGAAATTGGCAGATGATTATGGAATTTTGTTTTTTGAAACTGTAAGTTGAGAGACATCTGATAATTTTCTGACAACAATCATGATGCATTTAATAGAGCGCGTTCGATGGACAAAATGTTGAAGAGGCATTCATTGCAGCAGTCAGTAAGTACTAGTAAGTTTGTCAAATGCATCCAAGTTGATCCTTCATGTAATTTTAGAGGAAAAGAAGGAACCTCGAAAACCATCATTTACACCCTCACAAGTGGAAGAAATTCTTCTCACCGAGCACGGTCTTGGTGATGATAGCAGCGACGAAGGTGGAAAGAAGGCAAAATCTTCATCTTCATGCAAATGCTGATTTTTTCACTCTGGTTATGTTTTTGATTACAATCCTGTTTCACCTCCAATAAACCTTCTCTCCGCTCCATTCGAATGACACCTCTCAAAAAAATGTTCTCAAGTGTAACACAATCCCGAATTCTGAACACACTCAAAGGAGTCACAAATGAATTTGCATACTCTCCAGTGAATCATCTCGGACAACCAGTCACTTCTCCAACATCATCATTCATTTCCGATTTATTTGGAATTACTGTGCCAGGTCTCACTCGTGGCAATCAAATCGTCACAGCTGTGATTGGAGTGTTTTTAGGAGTTTGGGTGACATTTTTGACAGGAACTATTTTGATTCAATTATTATTTTATAAATTGTTTGCTGTGGTAGGTTCACATCAAGATTTTATTGAACGATCATGAAAATATTATTAAATAATAATGATTGTTCCATTCATTGGTGATGAAATGAAATGGTTATTGCATGAACTACTATCAGCTCTTTGGATTGATGATGATAATTCTCTCTTCAATATTCATCGTGAACATTGCTCATGTACCAGTAAGTAGTATTTCCATAATATTTAATATTATGGTTGAATCATTCATTGAATACAATTTTCACAATTTTTTCGATACTTTTTTTCGCAGTACGATGAAGCCACAGCTGTTAAAAAACTTGTTGCATTCATAATTTTTGGTTTATGTATATTTTGTGGATTGTTGTGTATTTTCTCTTATGGAACAGATTGGACTGAAAATGCAAAATCAATTGTGATTATTCGACAGGAAAATTTCTCAACAAAAACAAAGGTAACTATCTCTCTAACAATGACAAGTGACGTTTAACAAATTTTTAATAGTCTACCTTAGCCGTAGGAACTCAATGGAAAGTTTTGTGGACCTTCTTGATTGGTATTTCAATTTATTTCTTAATTATTTACACTTGTGCAGAGATTGTGACCAATGGAGTTTTTCAATGCAAATGTTTTAGCTATTTATGGTATAGAAGACCAGCCTGTAATTATGTCTATTTTATGGCGACTACCTTACTTTGCAGTGTCATCATTTCCAGTGCTCTCAGTTTGTTCATCAGTATGCAAAAAGACTCCAATGTCTCCATTGACAGTTTGATTTCTGACACAAATCCATCATACATTAGTTTAAGCAACATGTTGTATGGAATGTTCATGTTAAAACAATTGGCAATCGTCATACCATTTGGAATGATTTTCGGAATTGTCATTTCTCTCGTCTTTCAATATAATTATTTAAAAGATTGGGTGGACTATCAAAACTACAGAAGTGAAGCCACTAAAAACGGAGGAGGAACTTTGATCAAGACATCAAGTTTAGATTTGAGTGATGATGAACAAGATGCTGCTGCAGATGTGGAACAACCACCCACAAGACATCACGGAATTACAAGAGACATGACAAATGAACAACCAGAGTCAAATGTTCGATCAGAATACGATCCAAAAGATTTACTTGATTAATATGTGTCTCTCATAGAATAATACATTTTTAAACCATCTCTTATGTACAATTAATATTTACAAATTTTCCTTTTTTGATAATACCTATTTAAAGAGTACAATTCTTTATGGATTAAACATCATTATTATAAAAAAATACATATTTTTTTGAGGAAGATTAATTGTAATCTTATTGCAAAGTAATCATGATCACTAGTGTGGAAGAGTACTCTTAAAAACAGTTTCCTCATTTCGATAATCAAACTTTGGAACCTTATCAAAGGTAGTGTCGCTGAAATCCATCAAATCTGCAAGAACATTGGCTCCAGGACGAACCACATGACGTTCGTATTCAACAATTTGTGGCAAGGGTTCGTCTCCAAATTTGTTGTATTTTGGTCGCTTGGAGAGCATTCCTTCTACCAAAATTGCAAAGAATGCTGCCGCTCCAAATATACCTGCTTGTTTCAATCGATTTTGATGTGCGAATTTGTAATTGTAATTCATTCTGAGAAGAGTTGTAATGATGATTGTTCTTCAATTTTTTTTAAGGATTTCAATGATGAATCCAATAACAAATCTTGTTAAGGAAAGGGCATACTATGTATGTTAATTGTTCATAAATAGAAACATAACAAAACGAACAAATTCTCTAGGATGCTAGGTCAGAGTCTGAAACTGTTTTTCTTTCAAATTCATTTTCATTCTCGGGAAGAGAAGTTCGTTCCATCATGATGAGTGTCACCTGGCACAAAATAGCTTCCCATTTTTTTTTTTTTTATCACTGTCCATGCGTTTATAAAATAGCTTCCCATTCACACCATTTTCCTTTCTAAAAAAAATGAATGACAACAACACCAACACTCCAAGCGAAAGTCACCACCATCACAACAACCTTCACCAACAAGAGTCACCTTTCACTCTCGGAAATCTATTTCACATAGTATCGGACCATCTCGATCAGAGTCGGAATGAAAATATTGAACTCTTTCAACCCCTTTTTAAAACAAATGCCACTCTCATTGAAAGAATCATTTCAACAGGACAATTCACTCCCTCCGATGAATGGTATGATCAAGAAAGAGATGAGTTTGTGGTACTCTTACAAGGAGAGTCCACTCTTTTGATGGAATGTAAACGAGAGGATCATATCGAACTGAAAGAAGTGAAATTGAAAAAAGGTGATTATATCAATATTCCAAAACATGTAAGACATCGAGTGAAATCAACTTCTGTGGATCCACCTTGCATTTGGCTTGCAGTTCACTATTCTTAAACATGGTTCTTCTATTCCTTTTTCTGTTTTTTCCAACACCATACAAACAAGAATCTTATAATTCTGAATATAAAAACAGTCATTGAAATTGGAAATACAATTCCTGAGAGGAAAAATAGTGTTAAAATTAAGTAAATAGATCCACGGTCAAACATGTAGTCTTGAACATAAATTTCTCTTCTGCTGGCATATTTTGATTGTACTCCTCTCATGAATGCAACATTTCCATCTGGCTTCATTTCAATAATTCCATAATTTCTTCTAATAGAATGTTGAAGGGTAGAAATATCCTCTAAATTGGTTTTTCGTAATAATTGCCAATCTCCCAAAGATGGAGCTGAAAAAAAGAATCTGTCTATCAGATTGGCAAATATTATTTTGAGCTCTGCACCCACAGTGGACTGTATAGTCATTCCGCTTGTAATCATTTGCTCAAAGCAATGTTCTTGGGATTTACAGATGCGTGTCATTAAAAATTGATGGATATCTCCTGCCACAAACACAATTCGATAAGTTCCATAGGTGTTGTCTAAATAATCGAGAAATTTAGTCACATCCTGCTTGAAATCTTGATGAGTCGAATATCTTTCTCGCTCTGCAGTGTAGATAACTTTAGAAAACCCCTCTCCAAAGAAAAGAAGTGGAATGGACGTGAAAATAAGGGCTCTCTTGATTTTGATTGACCTATTCTCATTGTTCATGCACCGACTGAGAAATTGTTTCAGGTCATTGAGTTGTTTGGTTCCAAATAGTGGACTTTCTGGATCATTGTTAAAGGTCCTTTCAAATCGAAGATCCAACAAAGCAAGACATGCAAATCCAAGATCTCTAAAGTAGTAAACAGAACTATTGCTCACAAGTTCTTGTTTTTTAGAGCCAATTAATACATCTTTTAAAAGCTGATATTGATATTCGTAGAATGCTTCCTTTCCAGCTAAAACCATTCTTTTCATAGCTTCATCAGATTCCTTAGTGAGCATCCAAGAATCCAAATTGTTAATGATATCATGATCGTCCGGAATCATTAAATGAGAACCTAATCATGTAAAAAATGTCATGATGAATATTGAACTTGGAAATATTTCACACATACCATGTCTTAACATTCGTTGAACAGCATGAATTTTCCATGTATTTCGGTACACGTATCTAAATGCATTCAGCAAATCGTCAAAAGAAGCTTGTGGATTAATCTTTTTGAAATACTCATGATAGACCCAATCTGCATACACTTGATCTCCCATGTGAATTACAAAATCCCACAAACTATCCTGATGCTCAATGAAGAATTCATCGTAGGTGGTTGTATCGTGGTCTTCAAATAATCGATTACAACTCATTGCACTAATCCTAATATTTGAAGTAAGAGAAAATGGATCTGTGGACACTGTGCAAAATGTCGCATATTCTTCATTATCTTCAATGTTTCCATCTAGTCGCACAAATTCTACAGTGTAGCAAGTATTGGGCGTGAGAGAATCAAATTGCAAAACTTTAGGTCCTTCTCTGTCTCTAATTTCTACGACTTGTCCAATAATATCCTTTCCATTTACCACAGTTCTTGTTTCTGTCTTTCTCAAAACAATTTTCCATTGGCTTGTATGCTTTCTAGTCCATTCCAATCTCTCTTGCTCTGTCATCATTAAATAAATAAACTCAAAATCGTTCTTTGTGTTTTTGTACATTTTAACATTTTTTGAACCTAGGATGCTGTCAATTCTTTTCTTTACATCTAAATAAAGATTCAAGTCATCTAAATCAGGTGAAACATCTTTGACGGAATATAGCGGAGCCCATTCATATAGAATTCTTACTGTTGTATCAGTCACTTCTCCAACAATGATCATTAATTGTTCTTTTTCTATTGAAGATTTTGGATGTACGACTTTTGAAAACATGATACTATTTGCATAGAGTTGACCATTCACCACTCCAGCAAGTAAACTAAACATCATGATCAATAATGATAGGACGAGAAGAATTTGTTGTTTGATAGAAACCACCATATTCTTTTCTACTTTTATGAAATCCCGAAAGAAGCCTTCTTCTTCTTGATAGAACACTTTTTTTATCCATACACTTGAAAGGACATTTCTCAATAGGAGGTGAAGCCTTGTTTGACTCGTGTCATGAACATTATGAATCCTGAGTGTCGTCGGAGTAGTAGTTGTAGTCGACTGGGTATCGGATGAAGAAGGCTTTGAAGAGACATGGAATTGCGTCCTCCTCTCAACAACCAATGTCCTACTGATGTTGTTGTTGTTGTCATTGTGGTACATTTTTTATGGAAGGCACTCGGAACAGAGTTCATCCTTTCTGAGTGATTGTGAGCATGCTGGGTGTGCAGGTTGTTGAAGACATCTCGAGTTGTCATTCCTTTCTCATCGTACGATGATTACAAAAAAATGTGTCCCATGCATCAGTATGAGGATGATGAGGCTTCGGATATCACATCCTCGACCACAACCACAACCTATTCTCGAATGACCAAGTCTACGAGTTTGTTTGAGATATCGGGATCATCATTAACGACTCCTTCAAGCATTTATCATAATCATAAATATCCTTCGTATATGCAGAATTTGCCAGTTTGTAAATCATTGCAAAAGGCAGAGGAAGTAAAGAAATTAAAACATTTAGTATATCAGAGAGATAAAGCAACTGATCGAATTAAAGCAGATAGGAATGAATTATTGGATATAAAAACTTGTTTGAATGCCTTTATTTCACTAAATCAAAAGGTCGCAAATTTAACTGCATTTATTGAAAAGAATGAAATGAAAGCGTTATATCAAATAATTAAAACTGACAGAGATGATTTGAGAAAACAAGTAAAAGAGCTTGAATCTAAAAAGTCAGGCCTTGAGGACGAAATTGAAAAATTAAATGAACAATTAACACAACTAGATTTGGAAGTTCAAAAGTTTCATACATCAATTGAAGAGAATTTTAAAGCTAATTACTCTATCGACAATATTCATGATAGATTTTTACAAATTGATAAAGACGAAACAAATGAAGCATATAATATTCCATGTACACATCCTACCTTGTTGCGAGGAATGCTTCATATTTTCACACGTTTTTTAGCATTTGAATCTGTGGTAATCATGGACCAAAATTCTAGGACAGATGTCATTTCTATTGACAGGATTCAGCAAATGAGCAAATCTCATAGTTTACTCCACGATTGTGGAATTATTCTTCACATAAAAGCAAAAACCAAGCAAACCGCTTCCATTGAAAAGATTGAATTCTCAGAATTCAAAAGTCCAGAAGAAAGAGATAAGGCGTTTGATATGATTTTTGGGCTGGCATTCAATGCGAAAGAGTAAAAATTTGTAAATAATTTATTCTTGATTTGATGAGCTTGACTTAAATTCCATCTTTTGTTGGTGCAATTCTTTTCTTGCTTTTTCCAATTCTTCTCTCTCGATTTGCATTGCTTTTTCTAACTTTTCAAAGTACTTGATTTTCTTTTCTAGCTTTTTCAATTGTTGTTCAATCACAAATGCCACTAGTCTTTGGAGTTCTCTTTCTTCTCTAGTTGCAATCTCCTTAGCTCGTGCTGCGGCGGCACCAAGAGCAACACTTGAAGCAGATTGAACATCTAGTTTTGTCACGTCAAATGTCGCTGGTTTCTCAGGTTCAGAGCTGCTTGCTTGCTCCTTAATTTTTTGCATTGCTGCTTCAGCGGCAGCGGCTGCAACTGAAGGGCTTACTGTTGAAGAAAGGAAAGCCACTGTATGCATAATTGGATTGCTAGCATCTGCAAATGGAAGTGGTAAATCTTGATACATTGAATTGTCGAGGCCCTCTTGTTCTAACAAAAATTCATCTTCTATTGGTAATTGTAAAAATTGTAAAACACATTCTTCTTTTGTTCTAGTTTGAACATGTTTTGCAATACTGTCCCAATCATCTTTAAATTTTTCAATTCCCTCTAAAAGTCTTAGGATTTCATGATCAGTCCAGTTAGAGACTGGAGGTGTTACCTTAGGTTCCTTCTTCTTTTGCTCTTTCAAATTCTGGAAGGTGTAGAATTTTTCAGTCAAGGTTTGTCCGTCAGAAGTATAGTTATGTACTTGAGTGTCAGAATCGGAATTACTCAGTGGTTGATTGATTTTAACTGGCTTATTTCTTGGATCAACAGCATAATTGATTAATCCCCAATGCTCAAGGAATGAATAAAGCCTAATAAGAGTTGATGTGTCAGCATTGGTAATTCTTTTACAATCGGCCATTGACAAATATACATCCGGGTTTTTTCTGAAATGCGAAACCAAAGTATTTCTTAATGTTTTATAGTGGTTTGGATCTTTACCCTCTCCAAAGAACTCTGGAAGAGACTTTTTCTCAATGTCGTGTATATCGTCGGTATTAAACCACGAGCTGTGTACCGGGATGGATATGGTGTGTTTCGTTTTCTTGGTAGATTGATTAGTAGAGTCCTCTTCAATTCCAGCCTCTCCTAACCCTCTCTTTAAAGCGTTTGATGATGATGCAGTATTGGAAGCCCCATCCGATGATGAAGCAATATTCGCTGCGGTCGATGATGATTCACCAAAATCATCAGCCGAGAGGAAAGAATCGGAGTGGGACATTTTTTCTATTTGAATTTTTATTTGATGAACAAAGACAACTCTGATGACAAAAAGCTGGATTTTATACAGTTCTTGTTGGCATCATATGAGGACAGTTTTTTGCTTGAGACCAGACAGACAGGACAAGTGTATGCTCAATGCACCCAAATTCATTAAGAATTATCCTGTTAGGCTCAAAGAATAAAAGATCATTATCTTGTCCGTCGACACAACAATTTACCAACCGAAAATGGGTTTGTGTGTTCTTTTATTTTTTAAGGAAGATTGAAAGAATGAAGTGGGAAAGACTTTTCAAGTTGTTACGTACACAGTGTAGAAACATGTTCAAAGAACCTGATTCACTGTGTGTTTGCCCTCCTAACCTCTTGACAAACGTCCAACTGTTAGAAAGAAAGGCCAAAAAAATAATTTTCATAAAACAAAAAAAATGAAGTCCGTTCTCTCGGTTTCCCGCAAGCTTTCGAGCCGAATTTCATTCAACCATTCCTTCGTTGGTTCAAGCACTTTGGTTGCAACACGATGCTATTCGGATCAGCAATATGAAAAGCTTCCAACTCCACCAGGTATTCCGATCTCTGACGCACAAAAAATCAGAAATCGTTTCATTGAACACAGAGCAAAACATTTGGAAAATTATTTGGGTGTGGTTAATTTGGTTCCTGGTGTTGCTCACGTTCATGGACGTCATCTTCATAATTGTACTATTGGTCCAAATGTTCCAAAACAACTTTCATTAGCAGGAAAGGATTTATATGCCAGAGTAACTCCTATCGTTGATTTTATTAGAACAGCCGGATGGGATTCACTGAGTTCTCATGATATTGATTTTGTAAGTATTGATGGATAAGCGTATATCCATGAATTTGAGAGATATTCATCATCCACCCACAACATCGAATTATTAATTTTCCGTAATTCATGCTTTGTCATCATCATCTTCATCATCACATCAACACTAACAGATTGAAGAATGGGAAGCATGCGTTAAGCAATACAAGAGTGATGCCACACAATACACCGATACAGATAAGGCTATTCTTGGCCCAATCATGGAGAGAGCTACCTTGTTGTGGAACGTTGCTCTACATGCTGAAAACCTTTGTTCTATTCTTTCAAACTTGAACAACAAGTACAGAAATACCTACACTTATCCTGATGCTGATAAGGATTTGCTTCTCGATATTACTGCTGAATATGTGGAATTGCGAGACAAGTATTGGGAAGACCGTGAAGTCCGAGACAAGTTAGCCAATTCCATCTTCCAACGTTTGACATTGGTCAAACAAAAGATTGTTTTGCCAGAACTTACTCTCAAATTCCCAAAGCTCTTTGTCTAAGTGTTGATTGTTAATAATGAATGATGATGTATTTATTCTATACGATGGGAACAGAACGTAAACATGGAAATATTAAACACAAGCAATAACAATAATTTTAATGTTTGAAATCAACACCCTTTGTTTGAAATCAATTCCACAAATTAAAAAATGTTTTCACAACCCAAACCCAGCAACACTGTGTCCGAAGTTGTCGAAATTAATTCTGCATCCGACAGCAGTGAGGATTGTCCACAAATTATTAGCGTTCATGAATCTGCATCACACCAACAGCAACAAACAGAGAGAAGAAAAAAAATTAAGAAAGAACCAGTTGCATCTATCAATGTTCATTCTAACAACATGATAACTAGTTATGAAAATTCTAATAATCAACCAGCAAAGGAGATCAATGATGGAAAGAAAAAAAGAAAATCTTCAGCAATACCTGAAGCAGGATTTAATCTATATTTGACAAACACGATTGGATTTCTAACCATACCTCTAAAAGATAGAAGAAAAGAATTAAAACGAATATGGAGGAAAGAATTGGATGAAACTTCAAAAAATTATTGGTGCGACCAAGCAGCAAAGACTAAAAAGAAAAAAGTTTCCACACCACAAGCTTCAAATGTGAGCGTCTCCACGAATTCTATTCATCCACTCCCTCAAAATTCAACTCTTAATACGACGTTGGATAGTAACAGAGTGCACATGATTAAATTGCTACCCATTCCAATCACGACTCCAAATCGCCCTATCCTTTTAATTGATACCAAGAATCCTCCTCCATTCACTATTCAAAGCTCTCAAAACATGCAGAGTTCAATATTTCCATCTTCACATGTACAAACATCCTCCTCCTCATCTGCAACCACAAGAACTAACTCTCCACAAAATAATAATAATGGTGGTGATGCCACTTTTCCCAAGAACACTCCCCAAACATGTGTAGTGACAAGTACTTCTGTACTCTCGGAAAAAGCTGTAAATCCGACTCTTAAACCTGTCATAGATCTGCCAACATTGGCTCAATTAAGGTCGAGAGAAATATTTCAGCCTGTGACATGTCCGTTAACAAAGAGAATCATGACCTGTCCTGTCATGGCAGCCGATGGATGTATTTATCAAAAGGTAAGCCATAGCCACGTGACTGTCAATTTTAGAATATATTTGAAAACTGCAGGATGCTATTGTAAATTATGTAGTTAAGCATGGATGTAGTCCACGCCAACCAACAACTAAATTGTTGGTTACTTCCTTAATACCTGTGGAATTAGCTCGACAAAATGCTATTTTACTTGTGAAAGAGAGAATTCATAAAATGGAACAAGTGTTAAAAGAAATAGATATTGAACCATTAGAAAAACCAGTACTATTGGAATGCCTTTATGTCATTAATTTTGGTTTACAAATTTTAGATGAAGTTGGACTTTCTGGCAATGAATACTCACGATTCTTAACTGTTCGCAAGATTTTAGTGCTCGACAAAATACAAAAAAACTTTTGGAAACGTAAGTAATCGATAAGTCAACATTTGGATAGACGATCTCAAATTCTAGATAAAGATCAAACCACCTCTTACTCACACCCCTCTGAAATGACCCTCTCTACATTTAATTCAGATATGGAATACATTTATCTTTGTTTGACCGAGCACATCGATGATCCCTCTCTTCTCTCTCTCATTTTGACGCTCTGGAGAAGTAATTGTAGTAGTAGTAGCAGTAATGGTAATGGCTCCAAATTGCCCATTGATGAGCCAACCATTACTAATTTGTCCATGTATTTATTCAAATTATGCAAATCTTCTTTAACAGAACTCATGCATCTCTTTGAGGTTGAAAAAGACCTTTTGGTCATGAATCAAGTCTTGTCCTGTTTGAGAAAGACCAACACGTGTTCATTCAAACCCATCTCTCAAGAAATTATCAAAACCATGAATCAACTGGACATCAGGTCTTTTTGAACAACAAGTTCAACTCATGAGTAATGAATTGGTGAACCTATTAGATGATGAACATTGACAAATAGATTCCATTCACTTGTATGATCTCACAAGATCTTGATGACCATTCATATATCAAGGAAGAGTGTGTGCTCTTCATTGATATAATATCACTTGTTTGGATTCTCGTCAATTAACTTTCGTCCGTCATCCTTCTTCACACCACTCGTCATTTCGCATCACAAAACACAACTCAAAAAAATTTTCCTTCTCTTCCTCTTCCCGACTCCCGCAACAGCTGTAAATTTTGTTTCTTTTGAAAGCAGCACAAGCTCACCACCATCCTATTATTATCGGCATCATCATTGTACTTACAGCTCAAAACACTCTCATCAATTCATATTTATATATTTTGGAAATACATCTATCATCGGATCAACATGTCGAACAAGAACAAGCAATTTGTAGTAAAAGTTGGTATGCTGGGTGATGTTCAAGTGGGTAAAACATCCTTGATGGTAAAATACGTGAATGGAAAATTCGATGAAGATTATATCATGACGTTGGGTGTAAACTTTTTAGAGAAGAAGGTCCAAATTAAAAACACAGAAGTCAATTTGATGATCTGGGACTTGGGTGGTCAAAAGGAATTTATGAGTATGCTTGATCTTGTTTGTAACGATTCATTGGCTTTGTTCTTTATGTTTGATCTCACAAGGAAAACAACTCTTCGTTCCGTAAAGGATTGGTTCCTTCATTCACGAAAATATAACAAACGAGCATTACCTTTCCTGATTGGTACAAAATATGACAAATTTATTGAACTGCCAAAGGAAGAGCAAGAAGAGATAACAAAGCAAGCCAGAAAGTATGCAGAGAAGATGAAATGTCCTCTCATTTACAGTAGTGCTGCCGCTGGTATCAATATCAAGAAACTCTTCAAACTTGTGCTTGCCAAGGTCTTTGATTTCCCACCAAATATTGACAAGATTACTACTGTCGGAGAGCCTCTCCTTGAATACGAGTAATGTCATATTCGCAATATCATATGAGTAATCTTTGATGATAGAAGCCCATCATCTTTATAGCCAAGTCGTCATCCTTTCCTTCCTGTTCCATTTGTTCAACAACAGCTCAACGGAATGACAAGTTCCTATATAGAGCAGTACAAACACTATTTTCTTCTGCTCTGTAAATTTTCCTTCTCTCCGTGCTGTGTATTTAAAAATTTCAAGAGAGGGTGCTCAATTTACTTTGACACCATGCCTCCATTGTAACACTTCAAAAATAAACTATTTATTTGAAAAGGAATTAAAGCAAGAGTGCAAAAACACCAAAGATGGCAGAAAAGATCAGCAACAAACACAAGTTCATTGAGGCTGCGTTTGAGCTTCGTGAGGAAACAGCACTCTTTCTGACCGCAATCGATACATCAGAAGAGGAGCCAATCAAACCTAAATAAGTGAGCTTTGGAGCGTCTGTTTTTGCTTGGAACAAGCCATTGATTAAAGGACTAAAAGTAGCAACAATAGTATCCTCTTGTGAAGCAAATAATACTTACGCTACGTAGGCGTGACAAGCAACAGCATCTCTAGTAAGTGTATAAGGTAGCTGTCCATCGACAAAAGTGGTAATGTTGGTTCTTTTAAGGAGTTGTTTTGCTACTGTTTCCATAGAGGTCTAATAATGTGAGTATCATCAATTATTTCTGAAAACTTACACCTTTTTGAACGCACAAAGTAATTTCTGGCTGATCCAAGTCACTGATAGAGTTAAATGTAACATTTGTTGCAAGATTTCCTCTCACAACACCATTTCCATCATTTTGGTAAGGACATGTAAAATCAACAATTGAGGATCGAGGAACTAATCCAGCTGTTGTGTTCCAAGTGGAATTTGTTCCCATGCCACTCAAAATAAAAGTCAAACTTGGAATTTTGCAAATCATAAATAATGTTATCGGTAAAAGTGTTGAACCATTTGGTGTTGTTAACAAAATAAGCATTGAAAGGACTATTAGTATACTGCATACCAATTCTATAAGCAATAGATGATGCAATATCTAAAAAATTCAAATGAATGGTGAAGTTGACAAATGAGTCATCACACATTTACAAATATGGGAAAATTCACAACGCGTTTGAAATCATCATTCCACGTACCAGCCTCAAATCCAGTACAAGATCCATAATTTGGACCCACTCCGACATAATTGTATCTCTTTGGACTGTTGTTTACGCTATTCGTTCCAAAAACAATATATTTTCTAGTCAAAATTTGAGCAAAAGTCGGATCGCTTCCAACTTCTGATGCTGATGGCCAAGAAGTAAATGTTGTACATTTATCAACAGGTGCGTGCATCACGGAATCTCCAAAATACGCCTGATGGATGGAAGTAAATCCACGAGAGGTTGTCTTGTCATTGAGCATGTCATAGATAGCCTTGTTTAATACACGGACACTGACCGATTGTGCCTGAACAAGAAGAGCGGTGGCGCAAACACACAACAAGGCTAACGCCAGCAAAAATTGACTCTTTTGATTCATGTTGAGTTCAATATTTTTTTTCGAAAACAAAATTTCCATTCGTAGGAGGAAATGGAAAAACAACATCTGCTTCCCGCTAATTAATTTCATTTAAACAAAGTCATTACAACAAGATTTTGAGACAATGGCAGCATGAAATACATCTTGAAAGGATCAAATAGAAATGTTATTGACATTATTGTTTTCACAAAAATAAAAAAAAGGCTACAGCACTGCAGGTTCCCAAGTTGTCTCCAACCTCAGTACTGATGCAGCTCGACGATGCTTAACTTCTCAAATCGGACGGGATGAGGTGCATTCTTCGTGATATGGCCGTAGCCATTTACATCCCTTAATTGCTTCTTTTGATTACTCTCTTACCATTGATTCGCTGTTCCATTCAAAAGGTGTGAATGCGAAATGAAATGCTAATATTTTGTCCCATGTTGAAAGTTCATTTTCCATCTTGTGACTAAAATTCATGAACCACAAAACTCATGCATACAGCCAAAGGTTGTAGCGGGAGAATCATCATATTCCTGGAAAAGGTTTCCCATATCAAAAAATAGAAACACTATCGTTTAATTTTCATGCTAAAACTTTACCATTCTTTTGAAAAGCACTCCTGCCTCTTGCAAGATTTTCATGTGTTTGATATTTGTCTGTTCGAGCGCAGGAAATAATTTGCTTCTAACAGGTGGAGAAGTGTCCAGTTTAAATTGTTGACAAAAGTTAAGAATTTTGAAAGATGCACTTTCAATATCCTTATCACTGGATATCATCAACTCAATTTCTCCAACATCACACACATCCGGAATTTGTTTTGGATGTAGGCATGAACATTAATCCAAGTCAATTTTAAATTCATCACCATACAAGTACGAAGTTCTTGTGGTTTGTAAGGAAATGAATGGAGTCAATTTCTCAATAATATCATTCAAGTCAAAAGAGGGCTCTTGATTATTAAATAAAACATAATTTAGAAATTTTCTAATATCTTCACATGTTGTAAGTTCTTGATATTGATCCCCCATTTGCTGACCACTCCCTGCTTCTTTGTTGTTTAATAATTTTTTCTGTTCGTTTTTAATGAACTCCCATGAATGCTGTTGGCACTTTACATTCATACGATGTTTCCCTTTTTCTCATCCAAATGTCAAGACAAGTCAGTGTATACTCTTCCTTATCATAATAAACATCAATAAATGTTTGTTTTTTAAGGAATTGGTTCTTCTCAAGTAACTCCAAGAGAGGATGCGAAACATTCGTATTTCCCTCTTCAGGCCAACACCTCGAGAAGTGAAACTTCTTTTCAATTTCAATCATTTTTTAAGCCCTCTCTTACATTCAAGAAAATTGCCAATTCAAGATCCTTCACGAACATACGTGAGGTATGTCCTATGTACAATAAGGTTTACACTGTACAATACTGTACATTACTGCACGGTATCCCTCCAAAATGATTTAATCTATTGTTGTCCAAAAGCATAATATTTAATTTTCCTTTTCGGAATCATGAGAAAGTCCTCCTCTCATTCCTGCTTTTTCTCCTTCATGAAATTACCTCTTTGTCAACAACATTGTTCAAATACAAAGATGAGGTGGTGAGTGTTCAAATGAGACATGCATCCACATCAGCAATCCTTTATATCCCTTCATCGATATCTTAAATACAACAAAAAACGGCAAGACGATAACGTTCTTTTGGCGATTCTAGCATCCTCTTGCTATTAATACACCCTGTCGATCATTGCATTTCTTGAAAATTAAAAAGACTTTAAACGGTGTGCTTGAGAACAACACCACATCTCTCCTCCCCAACATCAATATCAACTCTTGTCATCATCAAAGGATTAGTATTCCGGAAATAAAGGAGCGCATATAACATCATCATGATGAACAAGAGCACTCCCGAAAATGCAGAAAACAGTTACAACCACTCACTTTCAAATAGTGATACAAAAATAGATAATTCTGTTCATGATCATGTTGGTGGTGAACGATATCCAACCACCCCTTCCTCATCCTACGATGGGTATCATGCTTCTTCCAGAAACCATCTTGATTTATACAATGGTAGTATTCATCCACAAGATGATGTCATCATGCAACCAACAGTTCCCCCTTCCGTCGCTTTACAAACTCAATCATCCCATTCAACCATCATTTCAACAACACCAGAAACACCTCTTTCAACACCTTCTCCAAATTCCACAGCTCTCCCTAAGAGTGAAAGCAAACTCCAATCAGGCTCACCCCAGAGACTCTGTGATGTTGATATTGCAGCCACAACCACCACAGGCTCGTCTGCTAAGAGGAAGTTGAAAGACCAAAGCAAAACAACAACAACAACAACAACAACCGCAAGAGCATCATCACTTTCTCATCGAGATGCAAATATTTGTGATCTCTCTTCGGCCATTCCTGGACTGAAACACAATCTTCATCATCCTTCCCATCCTAATGATGATCCAATCTCTCTTCCTTACCTCAATTCATGTCATTCCATTAATTCCTCTAGCACTTGCTTTGCTGAACTCAGACACCTTCCTTCAAATTTTGCTCATTCTCAACTTGGTGTCAAACCATTCTCATCATCCTCAGAGTTGATTGAAATTCATCATCATCCTCATAATGACCATGGAAGAGGAGATGAAGCCACAGCCCCTTTTCAACCCATTGTTGTTACAACGCCAGTTCTTGTTCCTTCGAAAATTCATGAAGCGTTGCAATCCCAAAAAAATAACTTGCTCCTCGGTCATGCGATGAGAATTGCAATTTCATTGGCATTTGCGTGGATGGATTTGAACTTTGTTCTTGGAGCGGCATTGTTCGTGGCAGGATGTGGTTTGCTCATTGCGAGTAATGAAGTTTATTTCTTCTCGGGAGTGTTGTTATTTATTATAGGAAGTGCGTTTTTTCTGGTTGGACCTGTCGGAAAGCTTCTCATTGATTTGTATCAATTAGTGAGACATGTACGATGGGAAACGAAATTGAAACATTTACCAACGCTCTATAATGTGACTGAAGTTGTAGATGTTAATCATCTACATCATTACGATTCGGATCATAATAATTCCTCAAAATCATCAAGCGAATTTGGCCAAGGCAGAGTGGTTGACCAATTGGTTGATTTACAACATGAATTTCGAAAGTATAGACCTGATGATTTACCATCTTTGAAATTGATTTTATTGGAATTATTTAATGATGCATTATTATTGCTTGGTGGATTGACTTTCACAATTGGCTCATCACTCTATATGCTAAACCCTCCTATGTTAATAGTTTATATTGCTGAGGCATGTTGGGCTATCGGAGCAATTTCATATTTAATTGTGACAATTAATCAATATGCTCTAAAGCAAATGGAGATCATCAAAAATCACTCAAAATCCTATGAGGTCACTACTTGTAAATGCTTTACATTGATGACTCTAGATATTGCAAGTTATTTATTTAATATTTTGAGCAGCGTGCTGTTTGTAATTGGGGCTGGATGCTTTTTAGTGAATCAACGATCCTTGGAAATTACAGGAGAAGTCATTTGGAGTGGTGGTTGCATAAGCATGATCATTGCCATCACTTTTGCCAGAATTATTTGGCTAAAGAACACATTTTGCTCATCCAAAACAGTTTAGAGTGTATTAAATTTTGTTGTAAATACGAATTGCATATGGTGCTTTTAAAATAATTACTGACATATACTAAATTCATTGAGTATTAAATTTTGAATTAAATTTTTTCAACGGTATTCCTTATTCCAACGACAGGTCTACATAAATTGCAGCATGATCACTCGCCTTTGGCTCGTTCATGCCGACTCCTTGCAAACGTTCTCCCTTATATTTGCTTGCTCTCAAAGGCAAACCTTTGCGGTAAATGACTGGTTTTGCTCTTGGATTTCTCAATAAAAGATCATTGGAAACAAACATGTAGTCTAATTGGTTATAGGATTGTCCTCTTCCAAAATAGTGAGTCCATTGATCCTCCTTTTTCAATCTTTGGGAAATAATGTCTGTCACGTGATCATGTTTCAATAATTTTGCAAGACTTGATTTTTCATCATTGTAGTCATTCATGTCACCACAAACAATAAAATTGCCCTTATAATTTTTATGCTTCCATACTTGCTCTATTCTCTCACAAATATACTCCACTAAATCATGATGTTGTTAAAATAATGTTGTCTTTGACCAATTCTTACCTTGTTTTACCCTTCTATCATGCGTATCTTCTCTACCTTTGTTCATTGATGTCAAATGTGTGATATAAAGTGTCAATTCGTGATTTCCTGGAAATGAAACATCAACCTCCAACAAATCTCTTGAGAAAATATATCTATTTCTCTCACCGGGATATGTGGCATGTCTATTACTTCTGACATTAACAATTGGATATCTATATGGATCAATCAATCTTGTGATTGTGAAATTAAATCTTCACTCACCTACTCAATACTCCACAATCAATATGGCGTGGATCACGTCCATCAATCAGCATTGTATAATTATAATTCAAATTCTTCAAGAATGTGGAATTAAACTCATCTAACACTTGTAATGATTCTACTTCCATCAAGCACATAACATCTGCATTGATATCAATAATAGCATCAGCTGTAATTTGTTTGCTTTTTTCATCAGAAAATGTAAATTTTGGTTTTAAATCATTAATTCCAAATTCAATTACTCCTTTACATGCAAGGCTTTGTTTTGAAATTTTCATTTGTTGAGCCTTGTTGAATTCATATCGAGCTAACAAATTTTCAACGTTGAAACTGGCAATTCTGTAAACGTTCCGATTATCAATTTCATGAGTGCTACTACTCATGCGACGATGCTTTAGTTGTGGTTCTGGTTTGAGTGATGAACTCGATGGCTGTTGAGACATTTTTTTTGTAAACTTTAAGATGATGAGAGTATTTGTCTGTCATCCAACAACAAGTGGCGCCCAACATGATACACAACCTCAATTGAGGAATAAATTTATTAATGAAGAGTTAATGAATGTTCACCTTTTCAGTCATCAAGACCTGATTTCCATTGTCATCACTGTTTGGATAAATCACAATGACATCAAATGATTTACCCATAGAAGTCTTCTTTCTCAATACAATCTTCTTAATAATTGGCAACAACTCTTCTGGGACTTCTTCCTTTGGAGCTTCTGTCTTCTTTGTTGAAGATTGCTCATACAAAGAAGATAATTGTTCTTGCAATCCAGAATACTCCTCTTCCAATTCATCAAATTCTTCAGCCAATTTCTTGTGTTCGAGTAATAACTTTTCATAGAGCATTTTGTAATCTTCAATGTCTGCGTTCATCTCCTTAGGAAGATTTGGCTGTTGAATGAGAACACTTTCAGTTCTCTTTCTAGGTTGAGATGGAGTGGAGGAGGTTGAAGAAGGTGTGTTGCTTGTTGTACTACTAGTAGAAGAAGAAACAGGTGGCTTCTTTTCAGTACTAGTAGTAGCAGCAACAGCACTACTCGTAGCGGAAGTAGCAGTAGTGGAAGTGGTACTTGCTGATGACTTGGGGAATGATCCACCATTCTCTTGCAATCCTTGTAGGATAATCTTTCTTCTGGAATGAGCATATTCATTATCTTTGAAGAGACCAGCGTTGTACATTCTTTCAATGGCCTTTAAACGTCCTCTTGTCTTTTCATCTAAATCTTCCTCTTTCACGTTATCAATATCAATATCGAGTTCAGAAGAAGTAGCAGCAGATGATGGTTGTGGTTGTGTGGTGGGTGAGGTTGCAGGAGCATTCTGTTTTTCTTGTTCTTGTTGGTACAATCTCTGAACGGATTTCTCAAATTCTTCTTCAGTCATAATTCCCTTATTGAGGAGAGTCTTCAAATTGTTTAATTTCTTGGTGTCTTGAATCTTATCCAATGGAACAGATGATTTGAAGGTTGAGGAAGATGAATTGCTTGAAGAAGAAGTAGGAGTAGAAACAGGTGGAGTTCTTGGAGAGTTTGTAGCAGGAGAAGATGATGAACCCTTATTCACCTTATCCAACAAGTTATTCAAAGCCTTTTGATAGTCGGCATCACTCAACAATCCACCTGAATACATCTTGCTCAACTTTTCGTATTGTTTCAATTGATCAGGAGAGAATTTGGAGGTATCAATTGAGGAAGAGTCTCCATTGCTCGTAGCAGTAGTAGTAGTGGTAGCCGTCGTAGCACCATTGGCAGTCGAAGAAGGAGTATTATTTCCTTGCTTTGCCTTTAACTTCTCCAAAGCCTTTTTATATTCTTCTTCGGAGAGTGTTCCCTTCTCGTAGAGTTTTTGTAAATTTGCAATGGCTTTGGCAGTCTTATCAACATGTGGATCATTGCTTTGAGAAGATGAAGTCGATGACTCGGAATTGGAGGAATGATCACTACGAGCACTCAATTGAGCTTGTTGTTCCTTCATCTTTTCCATAATCTTTTGTTTACCCTTTTCAAAGGCTGCTTGATCGAGGAGTCCCTTTTGGAACATCTTTTCAAGATTTTCCAATTGCTTTTCGAGAGGAACTTCTTTTTTAGCAGGACTTGAGGTGGCAGAAGAAGAAGTAGAAGAATTGGTTGTTGAGTCTTGGCTGTTGAGTTTTGGAACCGTGTTTGGCTTCTTTTCTGAACTAGTAGAATTGACTGAGGGAGATGATTTTGGTGATTTAGATTCCTTCTTTGAGGAAGAAATCAAATCATCAATGGCTGCAGCAAAGGATCCTGTTGGTTTTTCCACTTGTGCTTCATCCACAGCAGAATCCTCTTGAAAGAATTTAATCATTCCGGAGAGGTAGGTGATCACAACTTTAGAATCAGGACGTTCGGCATCAATATCTTCTGGATCGAGTAAACGAGGAATGCCAATTTCATCTGCTTTACCGAATGCCCATTCCAAACGCTCGAGACGAGTAAAGTCACGTAACAAGTCATTCCATTCGAGTCCAGAGTCTTTGAGGAGATCTGGTCTTTGCTGTTATGACACACATTGGAGTCATTGTGAATTTTGGATTCAAGTGGTTATGGTGGTAGTGATGGTGATGGTGGTGGAGTGATGAAGATGGGTCATTGTGAATATATCGAGTGGTGGTTGTAGTTGTTTGATGAAAATGTTGTTATAGAGTTCATGGACGTCGACAATACCAGAGGAGAAGTATGAGACCACCAGTGAGTAGAGGAGGTGATGATGAATGAGACAAAACACACATGAATGGCAAGTAATGGATAGTCATGGGAAGTGGTGTTAATAGGGAATGAGAGAAAAATCGTCATTGAGAGATGTGAATGTTGATTTGGTACACGATCGTGTGGATTGATTCATTTCACACAATATCACGTCCGAGTTGTCATCATGTGCGACACAAACGACAAGTGTTGTTGTTGTGAGGATGAGGAGTGAGTAATTGATGAGGCAAACATCATCATTCAAATAGGTTACGTGTTATTATTACACTCAGAATATGTCCTCAAAATAGAGATTCACACACTTACACTATCTAACAAGGCACAAAATGCTAATCCATCGGCAAATGATGTGTCAAAGTTGTCAATCTCTACTCCTTCATAGCCATAGGAGTTTCGTTGACACCATCTAAGAATCGCCTCTCTTCCCTTGTTCATTTTAATTGTGAAATGAGTGTGTGATTTTTTTTAATAATTTCCTTCAAGTGACAGATGGCAGCCTCCCGTCAATCATGTTCCGAAGTTATTGATGTTGAACCCGATTCGAAAAATTGGTAGTGAGTTCCTTAGTAATCAATACACTGCTCTTCACAAATCAATTCTATTCTCATCCTACAACTTATATCCAAAGCTCCAGAATCAATATGTATTTGAATTCAATACATTCCCCACAAAACACCGTGTTGGAAATGACTAGCAAGCTCATTGTGGATAAATATTTATTTCTTTTGGAGTTGTTGAATTTGGGCAACTCTTTGTTGAACCCAATTTGAGATATCAACCATGCTCTTCTCTAGTGTTTGTTTCTTTTGCAATAATTCCTCTATCTTTTTATCAGTATTTTCCACTTCCTTTTTGATAAATTCTAATCGTTTGTCGACATTAGATTTAGCTTCAGAAAAATCTTGCTTAACGAGAACAGGTCCAATTAACTTGTAAACTTCAACACCACTCGATTCATCAACAATGTCAAATTCTAATTTTACATTTTCGTTTTCGTTCTTTTGTGCTTGGAGAGATTGTTGTTTGGCTAATTGTGTTTGAATTTCTATTGAATTTCAATGGATCAATATGGGCGCACATATTGTTTGTATTTAATGAATCATCGTCAGTAATAATATCATCATCATACATTCCATAGAAAGAGTTGTTGTATCCAAGAGTAATAATATCATCATCATACAAAAATATTAAAGGCACATTTAATCAAAGAAGTCTATCACTCTCCGAGAACATTAAAAACGAAATACAACACGTACCAGCACTGATTTTGTTTACCTCTTCTTGTTGGGCATTGATTTGTTGAATTGCGTTTAAAAGCTTTGGATCCATTTTTTAGAGTTTTGATGTTTGTTCATGAATTGCAGTTCATGCACATTCAAATTTTATGAATTATAATACCTCAATTGAATCGTGATGATAATAAATACCATTGAATCAAAGTAGTCGTATACTTGCCAAGATGATCTTCAACAGATCCTAACATTCTTAATTATGACCAAATATAGACTTGATCCTAATTTAAATTCTCTCAAAAAAATGATTAAAAAGCAAGCTCAGCATTGGATCAATTCCAACCATCAATACTTTACACCTTCAACTCTCCATGTGTTGCACAGTATTTGTCACAATATCATCACTCATCCACATGAACCCAAATTTAGATGTATCAAAATGGAAAATCCAAAATTCAAAGAAAACATTTTAAACGTGGAAGGTGCAATGGATTTGTTGTATCTCGTCGGATTTGAACAAGATCCCATTGAACATACTATTTTATATCGATGCAATGGTAAAGAGGATGAAGATTTAATGGTGCATGATCTATCGGAGTTGTGTCAAGCCATCGAAGAGTCGAATCATGACTATTCCACCTCTGTTGCGCAACATCATGCACTGTCTCCTCGTCTTCGAGAAGCAACATCTTCATCATCAACAACAACAACAACCACTCAGAGCACTTCCTCTACCACATCATTCATGACCTCTCCTCATTCCACAACAACAACCTTCTCCTCCATCAGTCAACATGCTGAGCCTACCAAACATGTCTCTCAAATGATGTCTCAAATGATGTCTCAAATATCCTCTATCGCTCATGATGAAGAGTATGAGAAGAAACAACGTGAGTTAGAGGAAAGAAGAAAACAACTTGCAGAAGAAAGAAGATTAAAGAGAGAAGAAGCTCAAAGAATAAAGAATCAAGCCAAATTGGACAGAAAAGAAAAGCATGATGAAGATGAATATGAACATGAATTAGGAGTAACAGCTCATTCACACTTGCACAATCCTCAAAAAGGAACTCCACCTGGTCATAATCCTTTCTATTCTGGAATGATTACATTCAAGGATATTGGAAATGAATAATTATGAGATGGAATGGACACAATATTATTATTGCTGCTACTGTTGCAATGATCATTTAAAATGTATTCATATGTTTCAAATAAAAAGTGTTAATAATATATATATACATGAAGAATGATTTTTATCTTGAGACACATGCAACATTAGCACATTTACAATTGATCAATATCGATCTCATGCACTCAATGAACTGTTTTCATCTCGTCACATATTGACTTGAATCAAGAGCAACTGGATGGAAACGGTTATGCTATTGCTCAAGGTTTAACGCTTTCACAATAACACCCTACTGATCCAGTAGGCAGGTGACTGGATTCAACTTTACTTTGTTGCATGTTGTTAATGGGCATCCTGGATAGGGAACGTAATTAAATTTTAGTAATAAATAAATTTGGGGTCATGATAGGCAGTAAAGCAATCTAAATGGAGATAGCATCCACATCCCATGCATTTGTATCCACATCTCGAAGAAGAGTCCTTGCAATGAGAGCATAATTGATACCGTTCCAACTTTTTGAGTTTCATGGGGAAGTGAGTTGTTCTGGTGAAATAAGGGTTACAAAAGGTCACAGTTTGAGCAAGGCTGTGCTTGAGGTAGTCGCAAAGAGTTAAACCTGGGTTATTAATGTGATGCTTAAATATGATATACTGGTTGACAAACGAAGTCTTCATCATCTGCAATAAATGGACAGTTCTCCAGTTTTTGTTTCTAAAAGGAGGATGAGTGCAATGCAAGAAAATTCCAGATTTGTCAACACATCCCATTGATTTGTTATACATTTATTGAACGTATGGTTTGTTTTTGATTAATTGACTGCTTCCTAAATTTGTCAAAAAATTAACTCGTTTGTTGTCATTAATTGACAATGCCACTAAAGTGTTCTCCTTATTTACAGCATGGATCCATTTTCTAGTTTTGCTTTCAGGGAGTTTTTTCTGCAATCCTTCTGAGAATAGATAAGAAGGACGATTGTTACGGACAGTCATAACAAATTTCCATCCATGATTCACCAATTCTCTCGCAAGATCTAATGATCCATAATAATTGTCGATTCCTAAAACATGATTTTCTGGTGAAACATGTTTAACTAAATCTAAAACAATAGATGTTGCATTATGAGAATACCTTGATTCTTTTCCTTGATATAACCAAAATGCATAAATATAACCTGTAGAGTCTGATAAAGCATAATATTTCAGGCCGTACTTGTGAGGTTTCAATGGGATATATTGTTTAAATCATACTTTCCCTTTAAAAGCAGCAATTATTTCATCAACTGAAACTTCTTTAACACATAACCAATAATGTCTACTGTTCGAATTAACATTGTCCTCTAAAAAATTAGGTTCGCTACTGAGATGCATATGTATGTCAATAAATCGTTTCCGGCTCATTATTCGTTGAATGAGTTTGCAAGCATAGAATGCATGATTCTCTCCCTCTATTGACCAATAATCATAGTAATTTGGAATTGGAGATAATCCCATAATTTGGCAACTTTGTAAAAATCCCTTAATGTCGTTTTTGGAATAATGATTGGGAATAGTACAGCCTTTCTTTTTTTCTAAATATTTGGCAAAAGGTTCGACCTTGGGCTCCGATTCAAGTATATCATTGATCAATGGAGGGGGATTTCCTGAACCATGTTTTCGTTATCATGCTCATATTTTCGTTTGAAACGTTTTTGCTTGATCAATTGTAAATGTGCTCCCTTAGTGTGATTATAGTGTTGTGCGGTGGTTTCAACCACTAACGACCATTGGAGAATGCTGCCCTTTATTGCATGTTGGAGATGGAATTCCTGGATTCCACTTGTTGTTCTTGTCAGAACTTGTGCTGAATTTGGAGAATCGATATTTTACCCAGAACTCTTCTCGTTCATGCACCGCCCCAGATATCGCATCTTTCTTTCACAGTATACATACAGATAATAAATGATTGAAATACTGGGGGAACTTTTTCAATTTTTATTTTTCGATAGGTGGAAGGGTTAACCAACGTATATGGCTTTGTCGAATAAAATTTCAATGGCAGCACCAAAAGAAATGGCATTTAAAAGATTTGTGATTGCCACACAAAGGACATCCGTCCAAAAAAAGCCAATAAAAAAAATGAGTTTGTCAGAGGTGATCAACAATCCGATGGTTCAATCGAGCTATCGGGTGCTTTCTCAAGTCTACGATCAATTCCAATCTCTCGATTCGACTCTTCTCTTCAATATATTATTTTTGAATCATGCCTTCATTATTGCTTTGATGGTAAAAAGAGCTTTTAATGGATTAATTGCAACTCAAAAAGTAAAGGAAATTCCTTTCGTGGCTGGCATGCTTCTTTGTTTTGCGATTGGCACTGGAGGTGCTATTTTGACATCTTTGTTGTTAGGAAAAACTCAAATTTTCTTTACTAATGATACAATTAATTTGTATTTAATTTGGTATGTAGAATGGCGAGGAAAAAGAGATCATTGATGACCTCCGACACATTTTTAATGTTCTCTCTTCATATATGTACTTTTTTGGATTCTCTTTGCTTTCAAATAGCGCCTGGATTATTACAATTTATGCTCCTTTCAATCTTGTTGACTGGCTCATTGGTAATGCTCTTGTTCAACTCTTTACTTTTGCCATCGAAGGTTACTTTGTTGCTGGCTTTTGTATTGGTGGAGTTAATACTGGAGTGGCTGAATATCCACAATCCACTTTTGCTCCTATTATTCTGGGAACTGTATCATGTGTTGGAGGTGCGATTTTAAGACCATTCTTTTTGAACTTGTACATTGGAGAGAGTGTTGAGAGCAGTATTTTGAGCTCTCCAAACTTTGTTCTTAAGGCTCCAATACTCACAAGCATTTTCTTCTATGTTACCAAACATATTTACAAGATGAGCACCATCAACATTCCACTTGGTGCTCTTCCTTTCAAAGAACTCGAAAATGTCACTCTCTCTTTCACACCAGAACAAGTACTTAAGGCCTATTTTACTTTACATTTCGTGATGATTTACTCCATGTCTCATCCTGCATTCATGAAGGCACCAAAGAAGATTTCAACCAACAAGGTCTCATCCACCAGTAGTACTCCTCCTCCAACGAAACAAGAAGCTCAACAAAAGGCAGTCACTGAAAAGAAGAAGGAAACTAAAAAAAATAAGTAAAGTTCAGTTCATGAACAACACTGACCAATCACCTTTTGATAGTTGAGACTCTGATATTTATGGAAAATTGATAATATTATCAATCATCATCATTAAACAATTGCTACTATGAAAACATTACCAAATAGAACCAAGTTACAAAACAATAACTCCGACAACAAGAAAAATACAACCATGCAATTCAGTAATCAGTTTTTGTTTTTAGTGGTAATGATGATCATGATTGCGTTCGGATCAACATTACTTCTCCGAAAAAACACATCTCTCGATAACTCAACTGATTCAAATTTCAACATTTCAAATCCTCTCATGAATTTAAAAAGTATAACAAAAACAATCACAGACTTTGGGAATCGAATTCCGAGTGTGTCTCCTGGTTATGTACAGACACAAGAGTACATTAATAATTTTGTGAGAGAACATACGAATTATTTCCAAATTGAGTATGACAATTTCACAACATCAACTCCAATATTTGGAAATTTAAAGATGTCAAATATTATCATTAATTTTGCTCCACCTGATACTCCAACGAATACAAAGCGTATTATTATGGCTTGTCACTACGAAAGCAAATACTTTAAAGATGCGACATTTGTTGGTGCTACTGATTCTGTCGTACCTTTGGCAATGATTTTACATTATATGGTTGAATTGGAATATAACTACAACAAGACTGTAAGCTCAAAAGGTTCAGCTCTAAATTTATTGAATTTTAATTTCCAAGGTGAGTTTTCAAATGTCACAAGATATTTTCAAACAAACATCATGATACTCTTGTGAATTTTCCGAATAGTTGTTTTATTCGATGGAGAAGAAGCTTTTGAAAATTGGAGTCCTAACGATTCTCTTTACGGTGCAAGACATTTAGCTCAACAATGGGAGAGATCTAATCAATTACAAAATATCAAGTATCTCATGTTGTTAGACCTTATTGGAACCAGTGATGTAAGGTTTAAGAATTACCATATCCACACAGAAACAGGAACAAATACTCTCTATGATCGACTTTCTGCCATCGAATACTCGAAATTCAAAGAAAACAAATACTTTGACGGATCATCCTATTCATACATGGATGATGATCATCGACCATTCCTTGAGAGAGGAGTACCAATTCTTCATCTCATTAGTGAACCATTTCCATCGGTTTGGCATACATTAAGAGATGATTATGATCATCTTGATTGGAATGCTAATGATAAAATTTACCGAGTGATTAGCTCATTCATGAATGAACAATTATTGAACTCATCGACCATGAGAAAGAAATGAAAGAGAATAATTTGATTGTTCTTGAAAGAATAGGGAGAGTCCACCTATTCCATATAACAATATCAAGATAGCGGTGTTTTCATTAAATTTGGAATTAAATAGAGCTAGTGTGTACTCTAACATTATTTAATTTATTAAATGTTGCAATTAATTTGTAATTGCATTTTCGTCTTTTAAATTGACATACCATGTAAAATGTCCCAGCAAACACGAAAGGTATTCCGAAAGTGTAAACGACTGACGCCATGAAGGGAAAATTGAATAAATTGGACAAGTAGTAGGGAAATAGGGAGATGAGATGATTCTCAGCCAGTACTTGCAACCATAAAAAGAAACATGTTGGAAACATGGCAATCATATACACATGGGAAAATCTAAATTGCAAATTTATAAACAAAAACTCGGGCAATGCAATAATTCCAACAATTCCATGAACAAAAACTCGAACAATATTTGAAAAAGTTGATCTTGTTTGAGAGAGAGTGACAAGTCGTTTCATAACGGATTCATTTTCCGTTCTGAATACAGTGCCCTTGACAAACACTGGTCCATAGAGATGAGAAAATGCAGAACCATAAAAACTGGTGCATGATGTATCGCATCTCATAGAGTTTGGTAAGAACTGGAAATTTGTCAAGGCCAACAGTTCCTCTAAAACAATAGCACACCTTGTTTCATTCATTGGGTCAGGAATGAACTTGAAGGGTGGTTCAAAAGAGATACCTTTCGATTGTTGATTGTGTCCATTATAGAAATGTCTTCTTGATTCATCATGTTCACTGCGACTTCTTGAATCATCGCTTCGATGTTCATCAAGAATTTTCATCCATAATTGTTCTTGATTTTTCTTAATAGAGAGAGAAAATAGATAAGATTTCAGATCAAATTTCGTTTCAGCCCAGTAAAATATTCCAACGAACGAGGTGATGTTGAATGATCTGACGAAAATATATGGATTCGAAGTCTTGAATACATAAACAATATTTGAAGAATCTGCATCATCTTCCCCAATTTGATCTCCAATGGCAAATATTCCAGAAAGAATTTTCTTTGAAACTCGTTTTCCTTCTTCAAGAGTTTCAAATGCATTTGTGTAAATATTAGACGGCATTTTTGTACCAAATCTCACATCCATTTCCTTTACAATTCTTTCTAATGATTGAGTTTTTGCTCTCGTTGGTGTGCTTGAGGAAGAAAGGCGTGCACTTTCTTCAAACCCTTCCTCATTAAATCCTAAATTGCAAACATTTTCGCACATACTTTCAATAAATGTTGTTAGTGCAATAATTCCCTCTGTGGAAGATAAATTAAAAATATCAGACTCTCTTATAGCGTAACCAAAAGATATTGCGTCTGAGCTATTGTGATCATCGTGTATATTAATAGATCCTTCAAGAAACATGCACTGAAACTTTGATACTAGTAAACCGTAAACTTTGATCTTTTGTGCATTTTCATAAGAATGCGCTTTTTTTTTTGAAAAGGATGGAGTTTAAGCATGCCTTTCATTTCAATATATATTTTAAAATGGTCTTTGTGTGACCATGTTTCAGCTCTCTGTCCTTCACATTTAAAGAACACGAAAGGTTGGTCTTCAAAAATATGAATCTGAGCAAATGCGTCTGGAATTAGTCTTGCCTTGTTCTTGAGTGATGTACTTTTAACAGCATATGAGTCAACATATTGGACTGCTTCTTGACTTGTTTTGATAGATGAATGTTAAAAGAGCAAAAGTCAAGAAGCAGCCCTAACATACGTTCCGAAAATAATGTTCTCCCTCAATTTAAATTGGTGGTTAAGAATATTAACAACCATTCCCATCAAAGTGGATTCCCAAACATTATCAGGAAGAGATTTTTGAGATAGTAGAATTTCATTATACACAGTCATTATTCTTTGAGATGGAAGATCAAATATTTCTTCATTAATCATTGATCTTGAATCTTCTTGACTTGTGAGAATCTTATATAGTTTGCTGATAAAGGAATAATAGCCCAACCAGAGGTGGAGCTCTGTTCAGAGGCCACATTTAATTGCTCATGAAAAATGTTTGAAATTTCCTCATACAATGGATTTGTTGTAATGTCAATATTTTCGTTCTACGTGTTTTGATGACGGACACATGATGCAGTTATTCATTGAAAAGCTTACCTCAATAGAAATCACGGAGTGGAACAGCCTCTCTTCTTCATTTGTTGCAAATTTGAAAGGACTTGCATCGTCATGCTGAGAAATCTTGTCCAACAAATTCTTTACCTCTTCGGATTCCTCCAAACTGCTCTTCTTAATCTTCTTCATTTCTCGGCTTCTAGATGTCAGAGATGATGATGATCCGTATTTTGTTGGTGTCAGAGATGTACTTATTTTCTTGCTGAGCTTTTTGTTAACCTTGGTTTTGTGGGTTTGTTCTGACCTTACCTACAACACGTTTATCCAAAGTCTTCGAGTGTTTGATGTGTAGAGATGAATTTAGATAAACGTTTTTGGGAAGATTTGAGGGACCTAGAAAATTCTTGAATCTGATCTCTCAAGATGATATTGGATCCGAGTGCTCTTGTTTCATAAAATACTGATATACCAGTTCCTGACTTTCGTATTGATTTTTTGATGAGCAGTATGTAAATTCTGTCTTCACCACTTATTCATCACCAACTTCGAGATCTCTTTCTCACCTAATTTTGTGGCAATTATCAGAATGATTGTTCATGTGAAGGGTAGAGAATATATATATTTTTATTTAAAGAAATAGTAGTTTTTTCATCTTTTCTGACAGCTGAAGAAACTAAGATTCATTCAAGCATTGCTTTGCACATGATCAGAAGTACTCTTTTTAAGAATTCATTTGTTGTCTAACCAATTTCAGCTTGTTCAATTTGCACAACATGCAAAAAGACCAAAGGCATTCTAAAGGAGTAAACAATGGAGGATGTGTAAGGCTGTGTGAAATAATTGGATAAACAATAAGGAAATAATTCAATGAGACGACTCTCAGCCAATAATTGAACCCATAAAAAGAAACCTATTGGATACATGGCAATGATGAAAACATGCCAAAATCGAAAATACAACTTTGAGAGCAGAAACTCCGTGACAGCAAAAATTCCAACAATTCCATGAACAGCATAATTACTGTTTCAAAAAATGGATTTCGAAAAACGAAATAAAATTATAAAACACTTACAAATAACCATCCATTCTCAGTGGTTTATATGGTTCAAAAGGAGCCATTACCCAAAAACCAACACAAACAATAATGCACGATGTCACCATCAATTCACCCAAGATCCAAATGACATTCAAATCTTGTTTGGTCCATATTGCAGATTCAAGAATCGATGGATCCTCGCTTTGTTGTTTTCCTTCACTCGTTTTAAACCAACCGTAGTGAACAATTATTCCAATAACTGTGTGACAAGAGAAATACAAAGTGAACAGCATAAAAGTTGCGTTCGTAAAGAAGGAGAAGAACGTCAAATGACTTCTGTCGAATAAAGACCAATTGATAGAGAAAAAGAGTGGCAAGCGACCAAACACAAACACATGATCTAAATATCAAATAATGCTGTGGAGTACTGAACAGAGTGAGAGGAGGAATTTGTACTTTTTGGAGAAAGAAGACTGGATTCAAATAGAAAGTGTGAATGTGATTGAATGTTGGAAGGCCTAGTTGTGTTAGGTTTGGAATTTCCATTATTTTGTTGGTGAGCAGATGCATCGGAATCCATAATTGCTGGGTCATGATTTTCTTTTTCTTCTTCATCACTGGACATAGCATTAGGCGACACGAAGGAAGAATTCTTTTTGACCTTACGCAAATCCATTCAGTGAGTGCAATTTGTTCATTCATAGGGTCACTGTGTGGCAGTGACAATGACTGGATCATTGGGATCGAGAAAACCTCTCTTCATTCCGAGAACAAAAAAATGCTTCCACCCTCTGATGAAATTGCCACACACACCATCGTGAGCGGCGAGAATCAGCACAAGACATCCCAAACAACAACTACCGAGAAGGAAATAATTTTGAGGGATGATTATGAAATCACTAGTGATGATCAAGACGAAGATGAAGACTTGGATTTGTTTGCAGAGGAATGGGAAGAAGATGATGAAGAATGTGCTGAAAATGGAGACATTATCATCGGGAATTACTCTGATGATGAGATGCTTTATTCTCGCACCGATCGCCCATCCAGAGCACCCTATCAACCATCTTCTGTTGTGATAGACTTGTCTTGCGCTGATTTTCTTTATGACTCTTCAGACGATGCTTCCACGGAAGAGGACACCTATGGTGATGAATCAACGTGCCTGATTGAGCCACCTAACGAAATTAATCAGTCCATTCAAACTCATATCGCCAATTTTCAACAAAATTTTAGATTTAATAATCAAGCAATATTAAGAAAGTTTAATGATCGAGATGTTACCTCGATTCAAGAAGCCTTGAAAATTCACAAAGAAAGGCTAGAGGATATCAAAGAGAAACTACTTGAATCAGGATATAATTCTCTCACTGCACTCGATCCAACTTTAACAGAAATTTGTGAACATGAGTTAGCTTTACGGCTTCTTGAAAACCCAATGATATTTTCAACTCGAAACGATATTTCCTTGAACACAAATAAGAGAAAATCCAAAACTGCTTCATCGTCTATTGTTATAGATGATGGTGACTTTATTGATGACAGTGAGGTACCTGAAGAATTACCAACACCAAAAAAACTGAAAAAGACTGTCAAAAATATTTTGATTCTAAGCCAAGAAGAAAAAGAAATAGCGAAGGAGATTGTAAAATATATTAGCAAAGACAATTATGAAATGGTCAAAAAATATCACAAGCAATTTTTAATTGGCAAACTGTCGTATGGTGTAGTGCTGGAAAGCAAATTATCGTACTACATTAGAAATAGAGAGTTGCAAATTGTTTTAGACAAAGAAAGAAAGAAATTAAAACATCAAGAAATGCAATCAGAAGAAAGGCAAGAAACTTTGATACAACAAGAAACGTCGTTCTCCTCACAAAGTATTGGATCGCATACCTACAAATTTCCTGAATATGCGATGCTTCATCAAAAGGAGTGTGTATCATTTGCAGTAGAAAGGATGCTACAAGGCAAATCTCTAATTATTGCTCACCAAATGGGTTTAGGAAAAACGCTCACTGTACTACTTTATATAACTATAATCGTCTTCAACCTCAAAAAAAAACCCTTCACTATTTAGTATTAGTTCCAAAATCCAACATTGAGCATTTTTCTAACGAATACAGAAGTCACTTTTTACCTGAACCATTCACGAAAATAAGCATTATCAAGAGCAAGGACACATCGGATATAGATTCATATCACAATGGAGGAATGCTGGTAATGACATATGATAGATGCTTGAATATGTTGAAGGACTATGAAACAGAAAAAATTTTAGTTAACAACACAGATATATTGGCCATTGATGAAGCCCATGTGATCAAAAATAAGGAAACAGTAAGATTTATGCAATTTTCAAAGTTTAAGAAAGCTCTAAAAATATTAGTGACCGGAACGCCACTTCAAAACAATATTGGAGAGATGTTCAACTTAATCCAATTTATAGAGCCTAATAATCCTTTTGTCAAAGTTCTGGAGCCTTACTTTCAGTCTCACTTCGTAAAATACTTGGCCGAACACAAGCCATTCTCTAAAGATGGGCTATTGAGAACTCAGTTGTTTAGACATTACTTCAAAGATCTTATCCATAGAGAGGTGTCCATTAGAGAATTGGAGTTGATACAAGAAAAAAAGAATGATTTTATTATTGAATATACTCTTAACGAGACAGAAAAAAGTATTTACAAAGAGATTCTTGATTTAAAGAGCCAGATGGGAAGATCTTCCTTTTTTTCATCTTACTTTTACGAAAGAGTGTGTTTAGATTGTTGTAGCTATTTTTTTCAAAGCGATAATTCAAAGCTTGTAGAAGAAATACGTGCAACAAGTTATGAAGACGAACGGACAAATAATACAAGTTCTGTATTCTTTGAGAAGATTAAGGAAAAGCTACAAAAATATTCATATCGTAAAATTGAGTGTTCTCGCATACGCATTTTAAGATCAATTGTCTCTAACATCATTTTAAGAGGAGAAAAAGCTGTAATTTTCACTGGCTTAATTTGTTATGCTCCAACAGTTAAAGAACAGTTAGAACAAGACAAAAAGGTTCGTTGCGAAATATATTCAGGAGAATTGACAGACAAGCAACGATCCGATGTATTGCAAAAGTTCAGAAATGGAGAGAAGAACGCTCTGATTATTAGCAAAAATGCTGGTGGAGTTGGAATTGATCTTACTACAGCACAACATGTAATTTTATTCAATCTTGATTTCAACTATTCAAAGGATGATCAAGCAATTTTTAGATTGTTGAGAAAAAATCAACAAAAAGCGGTGACCATTTACAGGTTGGCATGCCAATCCTCGATTGATGACAAATTATTGGAAATTCAACAAAACAAAAAAATTGTATCTCAAATGGCTCTGGATGAAATTGCCAGCAAACCCTCGGATTGTGAGAGTTGTGTTGACGAGAAAGTTTGCAAGATGGTTTTTCAAACTTCTACATTAACCAGCTCCATGAAAAAGATCATAAAAAGCATCCGTATATTCAATCCAACCGATACACAAGAAGGAGTCACTAAGGAAGAAATTCAAACTCACAAAGAATTGTTCGAAAAAGACACAACTCAAGTAAAACTTATTTAATGTTAGAGAGCAACCTTTTCACAATAACATTATCAGAAGCAAGTATGACATCAAAGGGTGAATGGAGAACGATATCTCCAGCTACATTCTTTCGAGTGATATGTCCTTCTTGTGTCAGTAAAACCAAACCATCTTTGATGTCTCCAAAGTTTTTTCTGAAATCTTCTTGTAGAACTTGTTCATATTTTCGTTGAAAACTTTCAGCATCAATCTCACCATAAAACTTTTCCTGCTCAGCTGCCACACAGCTCAACACCACAAGAATCTCAATGGCGGTTTGAGTGAGACCTTTAAGTGGGTCATGCTTCTTCCTGAATCCAATAGTACAAAGTTGAAGCATTCTTTTCACAGTTAATGTTTTAGCCTCTGGCATTAAATGTCCATCTACGAATGATTTGATTTGTCGAAGATCTTGCTTGTTCTTGAGATAATTCATCATCTTGTCAAAGATCTCTACACTGATTTTTCCTTCATATTCGCTAATAAGTATCTTCTTAATATCTTCACTCTCGTATTGGTTAAAAGTCAATGAATATGGAAGTGCACTTTTCGTAGGTGGGTCATTAGTCACGGCAATGACAATAATTTTTGATTTTCTGATTTGGTCCAAATACTTGCTATGTCGTGTAAATGAAAATTCATCCAAATATATCAAAACTGGTTTCTTTCTATTGTTGAAATGGCTCAATAGTCGAGGAGCCAACTCTGATTTCCTTGATATCTCACCTTTTACAATATTCTGGAAAAGTAGTAGCAATAAATCTGATCCTTTTGCATATCCAGCAAGATTAAACTTGTACTTGTCTACTTTTATCACTGAATCGAAAATAGAAGAGACAACCAATGATTTTCCTTGACCATTCGTTCCATAGACATATAATACATTTTTCCTCAAATCATGATTAAAGAATTGAGTCTCAATGAAATTTGTGATAGAGTCACATTCCATCTTTCTTGGGAAAATATTAACACGGTGTGTGAATATTTGAGGTCGTTCCACTTGTTGAGAAGAATTGGCATCTTCTGCATCGTCATTCATCATGTCATTATTCTCTTGTTTGCTCTTCTCAGAAGATGTATTCATAATAGAAGGTGGCTGGTGATGACCATCCACAGATGAATCATTCATTTGTAAAGATTCGCATGAAAAATTATTTGTTGGATTTGCTTTTGGCTTTTTTGATTCTTTTTCAAAGGTCTCTGAGGGAGGTAAGACTGGATCAGAAGAATCTATATTGGTTTGTGAATCTGAGGCTTTTGAACTTTGAAGAGTTTTGGCTTTACGTTGCTTTCTTCTCATTCGACTCGTTTTCACTTCAAGGATTGGTTCATACGATTCATCCATCTTAACAATACCACCACCACAGGTTGTGGGAACTGCTTCACTCTTTGGAATGCTACTCTCTATTTCTTTTGTGTGTGACTTCTCAGTATGTGGTAATGTTTCAAAGGTAGGTGTTGTTGTTTTTCTGTGCTTTCTTTTCAGTGTTTTAATTGGAATGTTATCAATAAAAGAGAAGTCCATAGGTTCGTCATTCTTGTTTGCTGTTACATCTTCTTCCTGTGGAGTTGGTTCCAAAAAGATTTTAACTCGTGTCGTTGCTCTTCTTCTTCGACGAGCTTTCGTGGGCGTTGTTGAAAATCGTTCTTCATTTTCACAAGTAAATGAAATGGAGTTTTGAGACTTCTCATTGATGGAAATGGGACATATATCTACTGTTTTGAAAGTACTAGTAGTAGTGGTGGTAGTGTTTGGTTGTTGCTGTTGTTGTGTTGAACATGGAATTGTTGTTGTTGTAGTCGTGGAGGCCTGCATCACCACATCTGAGGTTTCAATGCTTTCATGAATGTGTTGTGGTGGTGGTGATGGTGATGAGGACGAATGACCTGGACTTCCACAAGTTTCTACGGCGACTTCATGATTGGAAGATTTAAAAGTGTTCTTGGAAGGAGAAGTCAGAAGAGTAATCCTCTTGCTTTGACCCTCTTTCAGAAAGTGGTGATTGTTGGTGTTTTCAATCAATTGCAAAATCCGACCCGAACGATTTCGTGCCTTATAGACGCTTTCCCAAAGCTTGGACAAATGTTGATTTGAAAATGCTGAGGTGTATCCTGCCCATGTAATATCGTAATATCGAATACAATAGGAAGAAACATCTTCTGGAATTGGGCATCGGAAATGCTCATGTAGAAAGTATTTGATTAAAGTATCAAAGTCCATATTCTTAACGATGGAATTGACCGAAAAAAGTACAGCATCATCTCGATAAATGATCCGAGCATCAAATGGCTCGGAAGATGTTTGAGAGTCGGTCCAAGTGGATAGTGCAACACCATCCGTCGGAGAGGACAATCCATGAAGCAATTCTTGATGTTGTTGTGTTTGAAACATAGGGTGAATATAGCTGATGTCGTTTTTTTTAAAATGTGAATGTTAACGGTTGGTCGAACTTTTTTTGGCGGGAATTCATCTTGAGCACTTTGAAAAAATTAGCCGAACTTTCCAGCCATGTCTTCCGAACATCAGAAGGATGATCAGCTAGAGGCCTCACACCCAAATTTATTATTGCAGGATGGATATTTTCATAAATGCGGAAAGGGAGCAACTGGATCATTGTTTAAAAGGAGGTTCTTCCGATTGTATGAGAACCGGATTGAATACTGTACTTCTCCGAAAGATAAGAAGATTAAGGGAGAGTGTAAAATATCGGATGTTTTGAGAATTGAAGATGCTTTCCACGGGCCTCAAAATTACAGATCGTATGGTCTGTCAATCATTACCCCTAAAAGAACTTACAAAGTTTGTTTTGAAGATGATGCTACAAGACAAATGTTCAAAGACATCATGACAAGGCTCATCGATAAGCAATCAGAAATGGAAGATCGTCTTCACGAAGAAGAAGAAGAAGAAGGGTCTGAAGAGAATACTTTAACAACCGATTCAAGTGAAATAGGGGATGAAAACAATGGGGAGAATGATGACATAGATCTTGATGATAACTTTGATGAAGAGTTTGAAGAGAATCCTCTGTATGGAAAGTACATGGAGTCATCTTCCGAGTGGGAGGCGAATTTAAGCTTTAATCGAATTAAGAATTTTCCAGATTCCTCGCTTAAAGAACATATAGGGTCCTTTCAAAGCGATGATAATGTCTTTTCTAGTGATGAGCTTATATCTCCAAGACATGATCTTTTCTCAGGTACTCCTCCATCTTCCCAAACGTTAGAAGAATTTAAGAAAGAAGACTGGAGTGACAACAGTGAAAATCATGAGGATGTTACTCATGTCCGCCCTTCTAAAAAGCAACTAGAAGAAACTAATAGCATTTTTGAGGAAGAAGAAGTCCTTATATCAAAGGGTAGTCATTTCGAAATTCAGACAAAAATCCTCTTTCCTGAGAAAGATGAGATGGAACTGATTGAGGAAGAAGAAAAAGTCAGAAAACTTTCAAGCAAAGATGAGCATAAAACCTTATTGGCAGAAGATCATTTGAACATAGGATCAACCAAAAATTTCAGTGAAAAGATGACAGAGAATCATGAATCGGAAATTTATTGGAGTGGAGTTGTTAAAAAGATTGTGAAGGTGTTAAAGAATGTAAAAATTGATGACAGAAGTCTTGTGATTACAAACGGTGGTATTTATTTGCTTGGAACGAAATCACGAGGTTTTGAATTCAAAACAAGGGTGGGATTTGACGATATATCTTGCATCTTAATCAACGCTTATGAGAGTGAAGATAATGATACTATTTCAATTCAGCTGAGTAATCCAACAATCAACAATGGTCACGATATGCTGCTTTCATTTCAAGAAAAAACCAAAGAGAAATTTTTAAACCACCTCAAATATGCTTACGAACGAATGATTCACAAACAACTTGTGATTCATGCTGTAGATGATGTGACTTTATACTCAAGATGCAAAAAAGGAGATAAAAAGCCTGCACCTGTTCCTATTTCAAAAGAGGATATAATTACATCATCAGACAATGATTTTGCGAAACTTGTTTCTTATTCTGAATGGAGAACTATATTTAGGAGGTATGGAGACAAGCGCGTTTGTTTCAGTGAGGAAGCTGCATCCACAGCGAAGAAAACATTTTATGTCGTAACTAATATGGCTGTAATCAAAACATTGGACACTAAGGTCGAACGAAGAGTAGATCTACAAGACATTACTGAAATATGGATTGACAGTGCAGTCAAGGACAGTTTTTTGTTGAAAGTTCCGTCAGAATACGACTTTTTGATTAATAATATCCAAAAACGAGTAGAGGCCATACAATGCATTCAAGAAGAACTGAATAAGCTAAATGTGGAGTTTAAAGTAATCCAAACAGCAAACGTTCAAGAGAAGGGCCAACTTAAAAAGACGCAAGCGTACCGAATGAAGATGAAAAGGCAAAAAGATCCAAAGAAAGTTAGAGAACGACTGCTTCAAGCTGTGAAATCTAAGGACTTGAATCAACTGGAGAAAGCAATTATTTCTGCAAGAGTTGCTAATCTTACAAATGACAAACTATATTCTCTTTGCGAGCAACAAGTCAAGAATATCAAAGATGCAACGGTTGTCAAAGAAGAGATGGAAGAGGCCTTTAACTCCCAAAATTTGAAGAAAATGAGAGATCTTCTTAAACAAGCAGAACTTCTTCGGCCTCATCTTACTCAGTTAATTCATATCATGACGCCAAAGTACACAGAGATTGTCAATACCAAACTTTTTAAGAAGAAAATGGAGCAAGCAATTAACAACAAAGACTACAAATCGATGAAAGAAATATTTGCAAAAGCATTACAGGTTGGCCTTGATAAGGAGGTTGAAAAATATAAACGAGAGTACGATGCGAATATTCAAAAAGATAACCTCAGAGAACTGCTCGCACAAAGTACAGCCAATCGAGATGGAGACGCAATCAGGTTGATATTACTCCATGCAAAGAGCTTAGGTATTGAGCATGAAAAACCTTTCCAGGAAGCAAAAAACACAATAACCCAATGCAAAGAGGAAACAAGAATGAAAAGAAGGTTACTAATGGCCGTTGATGAGGCAAACGAAACAGGAAATGTTGAAAGTGTGAAAGCTCTTATTATTGAAGCGAAAAATCTTTTGACCTCTACCTCTTCAGCACTTCATAACGTGATTGAAAACTCAGTCAAAGAGATGGAAAAGATTAAACAACGAGTTAAGGTTAGACAGGCTATGGAGGAGGCAATACTAAGAAAGGACAAAGTCGCTCTGGAAGAAATAATTGAACTCAACAAGAATGATGATAAACTGGACCTAAGTAGAGCATATAATTGTTTAGAATTAATTCAGGTTGACAGAGAGCAAGAACAGCTTGCCGTTATTTACAAACTAGAGGAAACTTTAGACTCTTATATTGTGATGTTTGAAAATGAACCAACAGAGGAGAACCAACAAAAGTTGCTTCAGGCAACCTATGAAGCTGAACGGTTTGGTGAATTGTCCGACTTGGTTGTTTCAGCTAGAAATTTAATACACAAGAAAAACATGCAGGCTAAAAGACGAGAAAGAAAAATTCTTTCTATCAAACACCGGTTAACTCAAGGTATAAAGGAAAGAGATATTGAGGCATTGGAAATTGTGTTGGAGGAAGGGCCTTCATTTCCTGAATTGGAGGATGAAGTTCAAATTGCAAAGCAAATGTTGACTGAATTGTATCTTCACTTGCATGCAAAAGAAAACCTGATGGCCTCACCAATATCTAAAAATGCAAGTGAGACACAATCGACCAAAGAACTCGAAGCATTCCTTAAAAACGCCCAACAATCTCTTGGTACTGTCGAAAAAACGGTTGAACTCAAACTTGACTTTGAAGATCTTTTAGAAAGAGGTGATGTGGTTGCCTTGGCTAAATTTCTTTACAAGAATCAAAACGTTCTTTCTAAAGAGGAAATTGAGAAAGCTTCTTCTGTGATGGAGGAACTTTCAAAACCAGCTGAACAAAAAGAGGAATCGGTGAAGACAAGGCCCATTTCCTCGAATTACCTCATTTCTGCTCTTCATAGCAATATTATGAATTTACTACGCTCGTGTGACTCTGACATTCTAGATCCAGCCACTGGACGATATATTGTTCACCTATTTCCTTTTGGTGAAGTCATTGTGAAGAATATTACATCAATTCTCTATCAGGACACACGAGTAAGTACAACAATTCAAAACCTTTTCTAACTTGCATTTCACATGAAATAAGCGACTTTATTGGATAAAAGAAAGAACACCCTATGACGTGTTCAAAAACCTCCAGTCAAGCGCGGTTCAGGAAATGCTAAGAGAATTCGAAGCACTTGATGCTGTTCAGCAACTTCCACAAGACAACTTTGGAAGAAGTGCGTCACTATTACTCATTCAGTTCTTTTTAGATTCTGATTTCTTTGTGTACGCAGCAAATCAACTTCTTCATGATGAAACCTATCTTTTAGAGTGTTATGAGAAATCCTCTCCGCTTGTTCAAGGACAATATAGGGACGAAGTGGTGGGAGTGTTCTCATTGCTGAACCAATTCGACTTTAGATTTGGATTAAGGAGTGAACGCATGTCAACAACACCAGTTTCAGAATTTTCTGCTGCCTTATCTCCATCAACATCTTCGCCACTGGACACCATGTCTTTGCATCCCATTCTTCAGCTTAAGGAAGCTGTCAAGTCCATTGTTCAGTTTTTCTTCATAAAGAAGAGCGTAGAAAAATTGGATTTGATAGACATTGGAAATGGAGCGAAATATGTTGAATTAGATGGATTGGTAAGAAAAAAGCTGTTTTATGCTTTAATGGATGTGTTTTTGAAAGGATTCAAGAGTTTTTCAATTTTTAAAACGTATCATCTGTGGAACGTAATTGAAGAGGCGGCCCGTCTAAAACAATGTAAGTATTATCCCAATGACATTGTGTGAGTCTAATCCCAAGAAGTTTCTGCGGTTGATATTGGAGGAATTGGAATTCCTTTAGCTGTGGAGAAGGTAAACAAAATTGTGGAGGAGAGGTTGATGCATAAACAGCTGTCCAATATCGAAGATTTGAAATTTCGAGCGTTTTTGTGCTATTCTCTCAAGTAAGTTGTTGGAATGAATTGTTTTGTGTTTATGATTTGAAATGAAAACAGCGATCATCAACTCTCATATTTCGTTCAGTCCATATTCAGGGAACAAGATTTGCTTGCAAATTATTATGAGCCTGATGCATTAGTAAGAAATCAAGGAATCAAAGAAAAGGTAGTGGCTTTGCTGTCCAAGCTTGACTCTTTGCCTTTTCATCTCTCCTTGACATCTGAATTGTTATAGACTTGCTTCAAAAACTTTTCAATAAAAAATGTCAGGATACAACGTTGAAAAAGAGATTGAGCATTTAGTGCACGAGATGAAGAGAAGTACGTATGATGACAATAAATGTTTGAAAATAATAATTTTGTTAAAAATCATCATCACAGTTGGAGGAAGTAGTGGAACCTGCACATTTGGTCAGCTTTTCCATGATGACAAAATTCAAAATTTATTGGAGTCTCTTGTCGGAACAATGAAAGGTATGTCATCATTTAATTCAAAAACTAATATCTTGTAACTTGTCACTTCAATAACAGCTGCTAAAAAGAGAAAGGTCATTGATTTTCAAGGAGAACTTTTGTTACAAGGCGTTCATGACAAAGTAGAGGTCAAGTTGTTGCAACCTGATTTCAAGGCATCTCAATAAAACTCCAAGAGCTCTACATCAAACACTATTGTCTTGTGTGGTGGGATGAGTCCAGGAAAACCATTCTCTCCATATGCTACATCGGGAGGCATTCTCACTTTTGCTCGTTCTCCCAAACTCATTTGTCCAACTCCTTCATCCCATCCCTTGATCACCTCCCCAACACCCAATCGGAATTTAAATGGTTTTCCTCGTTTTCTGCTACTATCGAATTCCTCTCCGTCATCGGACGAGTTATCGGAAGCAATCTATGTTTTGTTCAATTTAAGAAAATAGCAGTTAATGATGATCAAAACATGGTGACACCATGATGTGGTACATACATATCCTGTGTAATGAACACAAACGGTTTGCCCCGGTTTTGGAACGTTCTTTCCGTCGCCTTTAACAATGATTTCCAAAGATACACCCATGTTACTAGCTTACAATTTTTTTAAAAATCAATAATTTGTAAATTTTGTTTGGAGGGAAATGTTTACTTCTTCTTGCTGGCTTGACTTGCAACACTGTTAATCTTTTGTTGAATTAATTCTTGATCACCCAAGTAATAATGCTTAATTGGCTTCAAGTTTTCATCCAATTCATAGACCAATGGGACACCAGTTGGAATATTCAATTCAACAATTTCTTCTTCAGAAATGTTATCCAAATACTTCACCAATGCACGTAATGAATTACCGTGAGCAGCAATCAATACTCTCTTGCCTTCCTTGACGCTTGGTGCAATAACATCATTCCAATATGGGAGCACTCTGTCAACAGTCAATTTAAGTGACTCAGTTTTTGGTAATTCCTCTTGAGTTAATCCTTGATATTTTCTTTCATGGCCAGGATATCTCTCATCAGTAACTTCAAGAGCAGGTGGAGGAATGTCATAGGATCTTCTCCAAATCTTGACTTGCTCTTCACCGTGTTTCTCAGCAGTTTGAGTCTTGTTCAAGCCTTGAAGAGCACCATAGTGTCTTTCATTCAATCTCCAATGTTTGACAACAGGAAGATACATGGCATCCATAGTTTCTAATGCAATCCATAGTGTTTTGATGGCTCTTTTCAAAAAGCTTGTATAACACAAATCGAATTCATAGCCTTCTTTGAGAAGAATTTCACCAGCTTCTTTGGCTTCCTTGAGTCCGGTTTCGCTCAATCCACAATCGTACCATCCAGTAAATTTGTTTTCCTTGTTCCACTCGGATTCTCCGTGTCTGATTAATACCAATTTGTAGACCATGGTGGTGATGTTTTGTGTGATCGCGATGGTGTCGATGATTTTAGAGAGAAGAAAGACAACTCACAAAGATGTTAGCTTGAGTTATTTTTTTTGTTGGGGTGACGTCTAAAAAAGTAATTCGTATGAGGAAACACCTACAAATTTACATGTTTTTACTTGTAAAGCTTTTTATAATTGTTTGGGAATTGGTTTCTGTTGTTGAGTGAACTAAAGTTATTAAACTGTCGAGTTGAATAATGAGCATTCATGATGCAAGGCAAATTTCAAGTGTGTGTCGCAATGAGGATGATGGATTTGTGTTCAAGCTTGAACCTCTTCCATCCACTCGTTACGCTACACCACAAAAAATGAAAAACCAAGATGCATCTTCAACGACTTGCTCAGAGCGATCAGCAACAACATCATTGCTCTTTGATGGTGCGAGGCTCCGATCATTTCTTGTTCATGCTTCTTTGATGGCCATTCTCTTTGAATTGATTTTTAATTTTCTGATAATTAAATACGTGAAATATACAGAAATTGATTGGATTGCTTATATGCAAGAAGTAAAAGGATTTTTGAACGGAGATTGGGATTACTCTCATTTGCATGGACAAACCGGTCCTCTAGTGTATCCTGCTCTCTTTGTTTACATTTATTCTATATTGAATATTATTACCTTGAATGGATCAAGAGAAATTGGCCAAATTATTTTTGCGATTATTTATGTTGCTCTGTTTGCTGTAGTACTATTGATTTATGTTAGATATACATCATTTGATAAGAATAGCTTGACATATTATTGGATTATTATCATGCTAATGATCAGCAAAAGAATTCATTCAATATTTGTGTTGCGAATGTTTAATGACTGTATTGCAATGCTTTTCTTATATTTAGCAGTGTTTGCTTTCTGCAAAGATAATTTCAACTTTGGTCTTTTATTTTACAGCTGTGCATTGGGCGTGAAAATGAACATCTTGCTCTTTTTCCCAGCTGTTGGAATATTAACAGTCCAGAGATTTGGCTTTACATTCAAATCAATTTCAAAATTAGTCATCCTTGTTATTGGGCTTCAAATTGTATTTGCGTTGCCCTTCTTATACGAAAATGCCTATGAATATTTCCATTATGCTTTCGATTTTGGAAGAGAATTTACTTACACATGGACTGTTAACTTTAAATTTCTTTCAGAAGATGTTTTTAGATCAAAACTTCTCTCGAGGTCTCTATTGACTGGCCATGCTTTGATTTTGTTGATATTTATCTTATCAAAGTGGTGTGTTGGCGAGCGATTTAAGAATGTGTTTTTCTTATTATTTAAATACAAGAATGTAGAAAATAAGCCGCTCGATACCAATCACATCATTTATATGATGTTCACATCCAATTTTATTGGAATAATTTTTGCTCGCTCCTTGCACTACCAATTCTACGTTTGGTATTTCCACTCTACCCCTTATTTACTAATGTACATCCCATATTTCAAGTATAATTTAGCACGATTAGTTCTACTCTTATGTATTGAGATTGTTTGGAATGTTTATCCAAGCACTCCTCTCACCAGCATAGGCTTGCATGTTTGTCACGCCATTATTTTGCTTGGGTTGCTTTTCACTCCCTCACCTGCGTCACTCCCAAAAAGTCAAACAAATTAATGAACCTGCAGCAAACTGTTTATTCAGTGTTCAATAATAAATAGTGAGAAGATGAAACTAGCCTCCCTTCAAAGCACACACAAGTTGAAAAGTACAGTTATTTTCAATTCCAGGAATTTCTGACAAACGAGTTGTGTTGTTAGTGAATGGAATTATTCTGCCTTTCAGAACCAATCTCTGTTTCTGAATGGGAATTCCTATTTGTTGATAGACTATTTGTTGTAATTCTAGCAGCGTGCTACGTTCAATGTCGACTTGGTTGAAACAAATAGTTTGTCCACTTACTCCTTTAACCTGAAAATTGATGACATTTTTGTTGATCTCTTGGTTTATGACTGTGGCTCGAAGGTATTCAATGTGCTGCAAATGCTTCCGGTGTCTGTATAAATTTGTATCGTTGCAACTAGTTGTAAACGTGAATGTAACTTCATCGTCTTCCATTGAGTGTTGCTCTTGATGATGTTTTGCATCATCATCCTCTATGATATTTACATTTTCAATTTGTTGATGGTTTGTTTTTGGTGGAAAAATGTTGCAATTGTTTGATGAGTTGTTCAAAGTCTGAAGAAAGAGAGTATTGGTTGTAGAACTGAACGCTGAGTTGCATGGAGGGGAAGGAATCACGGAATCGGATATGGTTGAAAATTTCTTTTTTTTAAAATTTGATTCGTAGTCATTTGTTAAAGTGCAATAACTTTGATCGGACGTTGAAAGAAGGATGGGAAACTGGGGAACAAAATCTGGTTCGGTCTTGCACATTGAAGAAATAACAAAGTGATGAAAGGCTTGGTCACCCGACGAATAATTCCCAAAGGAGCGTTTGCTCATTTTTTTTTGAATTTTTTTATTCCTGATTTCTTTGGAAGCTCATTGGCGCTCATTTCACTTGGTTGTGGAAGAAATTTTGACAGTCTTGTTGTTTTCCTTGGTGCTGGTTGGTTTGGAAGAAGACTCTTTTCGTTCTCTTTCCTCGATTCTGTTGTTAATTGCATTTGTCTCTGCATCAAGCCAAAGTAAATGAGTGTTCATGACAAACAATTCATCTTCAACAGCAGAATTGATCATGTTGGAATTTGTTTCATAGTTTGAGGTCGCAATGGAAGAGCATAACATGCTACTATTTCCTCCCAAAAGGTCATTAATGACAAACTGCACACATGTGGCATTGAAAAGTGAGAATACCACATTTGAATGTAGTGATAAAAATTTCAATAATGAATGGATGTATTTCACATGATTCACATTAATGAATGGATATATTTCACATGATCAATCGTTAATGAATGAATATATTTCACATGCATTATTCAACCACATACCTTAATTATTTTCCACTTGTATTTGTAATAGGTGAAATGATGTCCTAATAAATAATAAATAAGTTTTGATTTCTCATTGTTGGTTAGAATTTTGGCTACTTTGGTTTTTGAATTTTGTAAATTAATTGAAGACTGTTGTTCATGAACAGGATTGGCAATTTTGGTTACATTGGATACTAATTCCTTAATAATATCCTGATTTTGTGATTCCTTCAAAATAGATTCTAACAATACATCTTCATTATTGTAATCTTGTTGTGAATCTTCAACTTTTGAATCACGTTCATCTGTAAGGTTGAAAAATTGTTTTCTATCTTTGGGAACAGAAATGGCATATCGATAAGAACATTCATATCCAATTTCTAATAAATCTCTTCGTGCTAGACTGCATTTGGATAGAATTCCAAGTAAATACAACATGGTACCTCTTAATGAGATGTCCTTACTTTGTTGTGCAATGAACACAAAATATTGAGCAACAGTATATTGTTCACTTCCGATAGTGTTGTTGTTGTTGTTACTATTTGTGGGAGATTGATTCCATCCATCAGTTGCATCTGTTGAATCGACATGTTGATCACTACTACTCTCTTGTTGAAGATGACTCTTTTCATATCCAATAATGACTTGTTGAATATATCGATTGCAATATTCATAACCAGTATTGGTACTGCAACAGAAAGCAAGAGACCACAAATGCACCAATTGTTGATTGTTAATTTGTCCACAATAATCAGAAGAGGAATCATTAAAATCTTGAGAAAGATTCGTATACGAGTTCGATTGAGAGCTATTGCCACCACTTGTTGCAACTAATACTTTCTGATAAACATTCAACAAATTCTGACACAATGAGTGAAGAGTTCTATTCTTATCATTGGTTAAAATTGTACACCCTTCCAATGTATGACACAATTCACCATACAAGTTACTTTGTAAAATAACTCCATGTTTGGCATAATCATAGGATCCACTCATATTTTGAGCTCCTTTTCCTGTTGGAGTGGATGTTGAAAGAGCAATGTGATGATGACTCGAAGGAGAAAGAGAACCAATCATCAATGAAGATGCAATGGTTGGAGGAAATGCAGAATGAATGGAAAGAGCATTCATTTGATAGAATCGATTGAGTCCATACTCGACTTGAAGTAAATATTGATGAGATTCTCTTTCAAACCATTCTTCTACAAGTTCCTGTAATAATTTGATATGATCACTACTTAGATAATCAATACCTTCTCTACAACTTGTCATTTTCAGTAAGAGATTCATTCCATCTCGACCATCTCGCATCACTTCAGCAATCACCTCTCTCGAAATATTCTGTGAAACAAAAGATCTAAGATTTTCATTGGATGTTGTATTGGAAGAGGACATTTGAATGAAAGAATTAGCAGATCGAGGAGATACCATCAATGCATCTTCGGTGGCACTCTCAAAATCAGACAAATCCGAAGAGGAGGAACCTCCAAAATTGGTGCAACACACTTCCGAAAGAATACTAATGGCGGAGAATCGCACCTTTTCCCAATCATCGTACAATTTGCTCGTCAATAAAGGAACACCCCAAGCATGAAAATTATTGGGATACGATTGTTGTTGTCGTATTAAATTTCTAATATATAATGTACTAATATATCGAATCGTATTGGAACCATTCATCATGGCTTCTTTCAAAATTTCTCTTGCTCGATCACTGAATGGGCGAGTATAGTCTAAACTTTTGATGATTAATTGACTGATGTCATCTCTCTTTGTGGTTAAATCTTTGAGTACATCAAAGATTCTCTCTTCTTCGAGAAGTTCTTTTCCTTTTATGGTACTACTCATTAATCCAATAATTGCAAAGTAGTCTCGTACCATGTACTTTTGAACTCGATCTTCACTTAATATTCTCTTATCAGAATCAATCAATTTTTGATCAGTTTTAGAAGTTGTCGCTTTTTGTGGAAACATTTTAGCCACTCGAACTTCAATTTCCAACACTTCATAAAATTGTTTGATAATATTACAACTTCTGATCAGTTGAATACCACTGTCATCCATATGCAATAAATTGTACAATAATTCATTGCACAATTTGGTATATCCGAGATTTGCTTCTTGATATTTCAATTCACTAAATGCTTTCTTATAGGGTTTGAAATAGCTGAGAATTCTTTTTAAAAGTTTTTCTTGTTTGGTGATCACTTCTTTCAATCGATGAGCCACTCTTAAAGGACCAAATATTAAACAATAAATTTTTTCCCAATTCCATCGTTTTGAATCCTTTGTTACAAGTACATTGCTCTCACGAATGAGTTTCTCAAAGGTTTGATCGTCCATGTCACTGTCAATCTGTGTCCTAATATAGAAAGAAGGAATATTATTGGTACTGAATTTGGAAAATCGATCATCACTACTGCTGTTCGAATCACTTGAAACTACACTCAAGTGACTGGGAGCTTGAATCATGGTATGGTCCATCATTGATGAAGAATTACCTCCCACATTATAACTATTGAAGGATTGTTGATAGAAAGCAGAGAGCATTGAAAGAGTTTTGTAACTGTAGAGATTATTCTTACTAATGCCAAGTAAAAAGTTTGCAATTTCAGTGTCAAATCGATCTTGCATGACTAGACATGTTTTCTTATTCAACAACATGTCACTAAATAACAAGACACTTTGTAAGAGTTGACTCGCTCTAAAGCTAATAAAGGCACGTTCTCCCTTATCCTCTTCATCATCATTTCCAATATTCAATTTATCTTTTAGAGCAGATGGATCCTCTTGTGTTTTAGTTTTTCCATTAATCATTGATTGCTTGGATAGATATAAAAGAGATTCAATCAATCCACTATCGATCAAGGTCAAAATGGTCATGGACAAGAATACAAAACAGATATTTACAACTCGATCTTCATCAGCACTGTGATCGGCATAGAAAGTAACATCATTGGTGAAACTCGTGTAAAAACCAGCCGATGATGATGGTGGTTGATTACCTCCGACTAGAACTGTCGTGGAAGATGCACTCAAATTTGTACCACCACCAACACCACCACCATTGATAGTACCACCAGCACCACCACCACCACCACTTGTACCAACACCAACGCCATATTGACCACCAGTACCAGCACCACCACCACCACCAGGTACTACAACATGAGTTCCATTGTTGATCACTCCAGAACTTGTCGTGAGTTGGTTGGTCGTCGTCGGATTATTGTTATTGTTGTTTGGAGGTAAATTCAAGGTGGAATTGTTGGTTGGATTCTTCTTTTTGAGAGATTGAGATCGATCCCTATAGAGAGATGAGCACTCATTGAAGATGGGTGGTATGAGATGATGATATTTGCTTGGAACACTTTGTTTGAGTATTTCAATGTATAAATCCAAGATCAAATGTTTCAATTGAGTTCTATTTGGAACTTTGAGTAAATTGGCAATCGTTCCAAGAATATTCACTTTGGTTTGATTCACAATAAATAATCCAGTCCATGATCTCATAAAGTACAAAATAATAGATTTGCTTCTTTCAAGTTCCACAACCAGTTGATTCAAGTCATCTTGTGCTTGTTGTGCAGCACTTGGATTTAACATGGCTGCATTATTAGCTGCAATAGTATATTGTTGATGAAGTTGACTATAATTGGTGAAAGGAGAAATTAAATATAAAAGATCAAGTAATCCCTTCTTCATAAACTTTCTTGTTCTAAACTTGTCACAAATATAGAGAATGCTAGAAAGAATACTTGAATGATACTGAGAGAATTTGTTGTTCAATAATAGCTCTACAAGATATTTAAATCCTCCACACTTGATGACAGTATCACAAAGTGATTCATCATAAACCAAACTATCTCTCAGTATTTCTATACAAACAGATTTGTAGGATTCTAAAAAGTATTGTTTCTTTTGATCATTGGCACTGCTACTCAAATTGTTTGTTGTGGCAGTGTTGGTATTACTGCCAGTTGCAGCAGAAGTTGTCGCATTTGGTGGAGGAGGATTTCCTCTTTGTGATGCAGTGTTAGAGGATTGTTGATCCATTTGTGTTTGCATTTGTAATAATGTTCCATCAATATAACTTAAAAAGTGAACAATTCCTTTCATGAAGAGAAATGGAATTTCAATTTTCCTTGTTGGAGGAGCAAAATATAGACCATATTGTTGTTGTTGTTTGGATTGTATTAATACAATAGATGATGAACCATTCACAGCAGCTGCATTCTTTCTCTTTACAATATTACTGCATAGAGTTCTCACCAATTCCAACACTTGAATTTTTTCTCGATCCGTGTCATTCAACATCATTTTAAAGATCAGCAAGTGACAATTGTATTTGTACCACAATACTTCAAATGGAAAATTCACAGGATCATTCTGAATGATATATCTCATACATCGGACAGTCAACGATCGAATGTATGAACTTCTGTGCAAAAGTAAATATCTCAAACATTTAATAAATAAATCCAAAACTGGAGAATATTCCCATAGTGACTTGTCAGCATTATAGATGCCAAAGAGTGTCATTGTAAAGTCTGATTTTAGTGTACATGATAAATAAATGACTTGTTCGAGTGCTTTGGCCTTTTCTTTGCCATCGGTATGAGTTTGTTTCAATTTGTGGATGACATCAGAGAGTTGTTTTTGATAGACAGCTATTTGTTCTTGAGAGAGTGGAACATTGATTGTTTCCTCTTGAACATAATGAGTGAACAAGTTCTGATGAGTGTTCAAATTGTTGTTGTTGTTGTTGTTGTTATGGTTGAGAATGTTTTGATGATGACTATGAGAATGTTGAGAATGTTGATGATGATGAGGAGAAGGATACGACAAGGTGCTACCGTTGTTAGAGACAATAGCAGCAGAGGAAGGCTTCAAGGTTGTTGTTGTTGTTGTTCCTGCTGTGCTCGAGTTCATCGTTGTTGTTGTTGTTGGGGTGGTGGTGTAAATCTTTGGACTCAAAGGAGAAGTTGGTAGTTGTGGTGGTGGTAGTACTACTTGCTCTCCGTGGTTGTTGTTGTTCTGATAATGATTCGAATGATTCTGTTGAGAATGATTAGTAATCGTGGGAGAGTGTGGTGAGACATTTCCTCCTGCAACTGTCCTATTACTAAAATTCGTGATCGTGGTCGATGTTGATCGTACATTGGCAGAGATTGGAGCAAGAGAAAGAGGTTGAACAATGATGACCTTGGGAGGTTGTTGCTGAGATGAGTTGTTGATGGTCATGTTGTTGGAGGAGGAGGAAGAAGAAGAGGCTGAGGCTGCTGTCAAAGTACTTGGCTGCGGACGAGGCGGAATTGGAGGAACACCAAGGTTGTTGTTGTTGTTGTTGTTGTGGTTGTTGTGGTTGTTCATCATCGACGAAGTGACAGAAGGAGTCGTAGTGGGAAGGTATGGACGCATTTTTGAAGGAGTGCCTTTTCATGGCTCACACACACACTTGTCACGACGGAATGTTCACTCGTCTCTTTAAAATAATATTTAATGATTCAATATTGCCTGTGTTTGGACAGAGGAGACTCAATATGAGAGAGAGATAATACAAGAATTTGAATAATGCAATTGTCAATATTGGCGTGAATGAAGAAGGTCTTGACCCTAATCGATCATGATCATTCTCTCGTCACACTACTCTTGTCATCAGAGAGAGTGGAATCCATTCAGTTTCAGTAGTAAAAATAACAATCGAGATTCTAAAAATTCAGAAGAGTGATGATGATGGTGGATGAGCCTTTGTAACCTCTCTTCTCGTTTGCAACAACAAAACCTTGTTTTTCCATAACAACAACTACTACTTCGCACATTGATAATAACGATCTTTTCGTCCTTCGGATGCCAATTTCTGAAATCGAATTGAACCAAGATCATCATGAATCATTCTTTCGTCATCTTGAACAATATTTACAAGATTTAAAAGAAGAAGAAGTCAATGTGAGTCTCACAAATTTCTCTTCTTCTCGACTCGGACCCGTTCTAGCATCTTCGTCGTTTGAATCTTCATCCGAAAATATCAATGGTTCAACCTTTGGAATGATTCAAGAAGTGAATAATAATGACCATCATCTCATCTCTCAAAAGACATTCCCTCTCTCCAGAAACGAGTGTTTGCCATCTTTGAATGACTCTTCTCAATCTGACTCAACCCAAATGGGATTTAATGGTTCCTCACAAAAAACCAGTTCATCCTCATCGAACGCTTTAATTTTTAATGGCTTAAAGTTTTTGTTAATTTGTGGCAAGAATTTGAGTAAGCACCAAGCGAATATTCATGTAAATAATATTTCAAAAAGAGGAGGTTTTGTGGAAATATTTAATAATCAAACATTGAGTGGTGAAGTGGATTATGTTATTTGTGGAAGTGAAAAATTTGAAAAAGTCAAACAATTAATGCCTCGATATAAGAATGTGGTTTCTCCAACGTTTATTATTGACTGTTTGCATGCTCAAAAGTTAATTAGTAATATTAAGAAATACAGCATTCAAATCCCAGAACAGACATCAAAAGAATCCTTCTCGCAATTATATTCCATTAACACTCCAAGCACCTCTCAAGAAACTACTTGTCTCTATCCTTCACATGAAAATAAGGAAAAAGACAATCCTTCACAGTTTGAAAATAAGGAAAAAGACAAGCAAGAAAGAAAAAATAGATTTTTAAATTCCTTTGTTTGTGTAAATTCCAATATCAGCAGCAGCAGCAGCAATAGTTGTGTCAATCAGGAGCTAGCAGATATGTTTGACAAACTATACAAGCATTACAATAGCATGAATGAACCTTTTAGAGCCATGGCATACAGAAAAGCTACAACTATACTTCGAGGAATTTCATTTAAAATAACAAGTATTGATCAAATAGCAGACATTCCTGGAATTGGAGATAAGGTTCGAGAAAAAATTAAAGAATATTTACAATTTGGAAAAATATCAAGATTAGAGAGTGTTCAAACAAATAATGTCAATACTGTGATTCAATCATTTACAAAAATATGGGGTGTTGGAACTAAAACTGCAGAAATTTTGTACTCTCAAGGATGTAGAAAAATAGAAGATATTGACACTTCTATTCTCAACCATCAACAATTAATTGGTTTAAAATATTATTATGAATTTCAAAAAAGAATTCCAAGGGAAGAGGTTAAACGAATTTCCAAAATTGTACAAAATATTGCACGCAAAATTTCTTCCAACATCATTTGCGAAGCTGTTGGCTCGTTTAGAAGAGGAAAACCAGATTGTGGCGATGTAGATATTTTAATTAGTGTGAGAAATGGAGCCGATGATGTTTACAGCAGTAGTGCTGACAGTAGTGACAGCGTGTCAAACATTGAAAATTTCTCATTGGATGGATTACTACAAAAAATTGTGTCGAAATTGCAAGATATGAAAATAATTACTGACACTCTTTCCATGTCATGTAAACTCCATCTAGAGGAGGATGAAAATGATACATTTATGGGAGTTTATTGTTTTGAGGATGTTGGAATTCATCGTCGCATCGATATTAAGGTGTACCGAAGAGAACATTACGCTTTTGCTTTGTTGTATTTTACTGGAAGTGATCATTTCAATCGATCGATTCGATTGCTTTGTAGAAAAAAAGGTAAGTTGTTGATTGTTCTCTCTTCTTGACAACAACAACACGTCCATATCATATGATGATATTATTAATTTCAGGATATTCTCTTTCTGACAAATCTCTATGTGCAAATACGATCAGAGACAAAAAGAGCAATCGAATACACGATGGAGTTAAAATACCATGTGCGACTGAAAGAGAAATATTCGAAAAGATTGGGATTCCTTACAAAGAACCACATGAACGAGATGTTTGAATAAGCTGCTGATTATTTAAAGAAATAATGTAGACACAATATTTATTGAATCCATCTTTTAATCATGATTGTTAAACCTCTCATCATCCATTATACTTCTCAATCAGCCTTACACATTCTGCCAAACATTGTGCAAATTCAATCATTGAAAAAGGTTTGCTCATGAACACATCAAAACCATTGGAAAGACAATGATTTCTTGTTTCTTCAAAACCATTGGCTGTCAGAGCCACTAAAATAGTATGATGTCGGTGTGGTTGTTGTTCTGGTTGTACCTGTGGTGATTGAACTAGAGCAGTCGTGTTAGAGGCGGCTTCTTTTGATTCAGATTCTAAAATATGCTGAACCACACCATAGCCATTCATTCTTGGCATGTAAATGTCAATAAAAGCAATATCATAATATTTCGATGAACCATTGGTATCTTTTTGTGATGTTGACGAGGTGTACAATTCACAACCTTCAACTCCATCTTTGGCAGTATCAATATTGTGGCATCCTAACTTTTTCAACATGTTGATCAGGACAATTCTGTTAATTGAGTTGTCTTCCACGATTAAGATTTTGAGCTTGGAAAGAATATCTTTTGAGAGTTGAGGAAAATTCAAAAGCTCGTTGGTCGATAATGGTGATGATGGATCTTCAACGAATTGCTGAGATGAGTGTTGCATCAAAAGATCTCCCTTGTTACTGTCATCAATTCCTAACTTGACACTAAAATAAAAGCATGAACCTTTCCCCTCTTCACTTTTCACATTCAATTCACCACCCATCAACTCTACTAATTGTTTGCAAATATAGAGTCCTAATCCTGTTCCCTCATTGACTTTTTTCATCTTGAGAGATTTGTGAGATGAAGTGCTGTTTGAATGAATTTGTGAAAATGGTCGAAACAATTTACACATATCATTGGGTGAGATACCAATTCCCGTGTCAGTCACTTTGAACTTGATGATATAGAATTGTGGACTAGTTGTGAAATTTTGTGGTATTGAGGTGAGCATGCCATCCTGTTGTGAATGTTTGTCATGAAGTATTACAGATGATGATTCTTGAACAACATGTTCTTGATTTGGAGAGGAATCATTGATCCTATCCTTGGTCGAGCAGTGGTGTTCATTGTTCGTAGTAGTAGTAGTAGTAGTAGTAGTAGCATCAGTTGTTGAACTCGTTCTTTCGAGAAGAGAAGAGGGCATTGTGGCATTCGCATCATGATTCTCAGGAGCAGAGTTTGAATGGTTCGTATTGTGAGTGGATGAATTAGTAGAAGCAGTAGTAGTAGTAGTAGTAGTAGTATCACTATTCAACATCACTTCTTCTTCTCTCTCAACACTCAAAGACACACTTCCCTGATCTGTGAATTTAATCGCATTATACACCAAATTGATTAAAATTTGAACCAATCGATTCTCATCACCCACCACATAGGTTGGAACATTTGGATTCAAATCAATGGTGAAATTCAAATTCTTTTGTTGTGCTTGATGTTGAAAGATTCCACAATGAATTTGATTCAATGCCCTTCTCAAATTAAATGGTTTGCATTCCAATTGTATTTTTGAGGATTCAATTTTACAAATATCCAAAAGATCATTAATTAAACCTAGTAGAATATTACCACTATATTTGATGGTTTGAATGGTATTAATCAATTGAATATACTGTTGTTGAGGAGCTTGTTGATGATAATAACATTCCAGAGAATTCGATTTTGTTTTCACCAGAGCTGAAGAGGAGTGGTTGAAAGCAGAAGTAGCAGCATTGGTGTTTGTTGGAGAGTTTGTTTGAATGCCTTGTGGTTGAGTACAACAACAACAACAACAAGAATTGAGAGTTGTGGTTGAATCAGACTGCACACATGAAGGTTGAATGATAATGGATCCATTACCTGTTGTTGTTGTTGTTGTTGTTGGATATGAGGATGACAGGATGGATGGTTGTGATGATGATTCTGTTGTTGTTGTTGTCATTGTTGAACTCAAAGACAAGACTTGATTCAAAGATGATGATGACGTTGATGCTGAGGTGGTTGTTGTTGGAACATGATGATGACCTGAAGAGTGTTGTGTGAAAGATTGTAACAAGACATCAGTCAATCCAATAATTCCATGTAAGGGTGTTCTCAATTCATGAGACATTTGTGCCAAGAATTGACTTTTAGCATTATTGGCTTGAACTGCCTTTTCCTTTTCGATATTCAATTCATCCAATAATTTGTATTTTTGTGTCAAGTCATGAAGAATCATATTGTAATAGACTGGATAGACTTCAGTGTTGTTGGTAGGAGAATTAGTAGTATGATTTAATTTAGTACTAGGAGTATGACAAGTACTTGTATTCGATTTGTGATGAGAAGAACACACAGTATCATAGAGAACAATTCGAGAGACACTCATGGAACATGTCATGATACTTCCATTCTTTCCTAAAATGAAGAGAGGAATGATTCGATCATGAGAGTACAAGGATTGAGAGGAGGTGTTGTTGTTGTTGGTACTACAAGTAGTGGAATTCGTAGTGGAATTCGAAGTGGAATTCGAAGTAGTAGAGTTGGTCGATACTAAGGAGGAAGAGGAGGATGACATTGTTGATGAAATGGAGGAGGACATTGAATCACTACCCTTTTGAGGGTTGTTGTTGTTGTTGTTGAATAGATTCATAGAAGTAGTTGTAGTAATAACACTGCCACTCAACAAGGGAGATTCTTGTTGTTGCTGTGAACTCGTAGTACTTGAGGGGCATTCCATGACTAGATGATGATTCTGCTGCTGTAATGATGATGAAATGGAGGAGTGTGGACATTCCATGATATCAAATAATATACTTCTTAATTTGATCATGGATTTGAGTTGTAATTCATGAATGGTTGCATCATTACCTCCCAACACTGCTGATTTCAATTCTTCACTGGAGTGTTCATTGGGATTCAAGATTAAATCTGAAAGAGTCAGAGAACATTCATGAGTACTATTACTACGAGTACTATTGCAACTATTAGTACTATTATTATTGACTTGTTCCGAGTGATAGCCTAACATGTCACATGCAGCATGGTTGTATTGAATGATTTTGAAATGTTTCAAACATTGATAAGGATCATCAGAAGCATTGAGAGAAGTATTTCTCTGTTTCTTCTTTTTTGAGTGTTGCTGACAGTATGGACTATGATTGCTACTACTACTTGTACTGTTGTTGTTGCTAACAGTTGTTGACATGGATGATTCGAGTCCATGACCATGACTTTCAACACTTTCATCACCAACATCATCATGACATTCATCATTCTCAAGAGTCGTCGTACTAGTGGTAGAAGTAGTATTTTCATCATGATCATGATGGTGAGTCACCATGGTGTTGGTGGTGGTGGTGGTGGTGTTGGTTCGGAGACATTTTGTGGTCCTTGTCAATTCTTCTTCTTCTTGTTGTGGACTATGTGGACTATACACACATGATAGAAAAGTATCAGGTGCACTCATATACAAATTCTTATAGAGATTGGTCATGTGTTTAAGGCTTTCAACTTCTCGTTGCTGAACAAAGGCAATCGAATGACTTTTCATAAAATCAATCAATTCAATGGTCATGACCTGAATGATGAGAATGGATACAGCCACACACACACAATATCCCAACGTATAATCGAGGAAATAGATCATGACAAATAAATCTCCACTCACCATGAATGAAATGGCCATGTAAGTCGTGGTATGTGTCCTCGAAGTTCTTGTCGAATCACCACTTTGACCACCACCACCACCACTTTGACCACCACTATGACTAATTTCCATGGCCACACTTCCCAAACAAGCATAGACCAAGATCCAAAGGTAAGCAGGTGCATGTTTTCCCAAAACTAAATGCACACACATAATCCACAAAGTACTTCCTGTGCATCGAGTAATTTCAGATAAAAGAAGAATGGTCTGAGGGGAGAGTGAGATTTTGCCAAGAAGGAAGGAAAGGAGTAATTGTACTAACACATAATTGGATGAGTAGGAGGTGGTGTTGGAGGATGGTGGTGGTATTGTCGTGGTGGAAGTTGTGTTGTTCAAACGAGTGGTCATGTGGCGGAAAATGAAATTCATCACATTATGGAATTTCCAATAAATTCCTAAAAGAAACACATAGAGGAAGAATTGGAGGAGGTACTTGACGAGAAGGCGCTGAATAATTTGTGGAATGGAGAGGTATTGCTTTGAGTGGTTGTTGTTATTATGATCATCATTGATCGTGGAGGGATTGTGGTTGTTCTGGTCAATTGAAGCAGTAGTCGTGGTGGAAAGTGGTGAAGATTCAGTGGTGGTCAGAGTAGTGGTGGGCCATCGTAAAGTTGTCTCCTCCACATGCATGCTAATGAATGCTTTCCGAGTAGAAGCAGCAGGACGATGATGATGCTGTGAGTGGAGTTGGACTGTCCGACGTCTGTTGTTGTGATCATTCATGTGATTCTTCTTGTTTTCTGTGGTCCTCAACCTGGTTATTATTTTGGAATCATCATGGCATTGATGGATGGGAGTTGTTTGTTGCAACAATAGGTAATTCTCATGATAGTACACATAAAAATCATTATACATGGGCATCAACAAGGTTAGGGTGATAATGACTAGAGATAGAAAAACAATTCGATCTCTTTTCTGTAGAAAGAAGGATCGAATATTGATGGTGTATTCAGTGGGAGTGGTCGATCTATGAGGAGGAGGAGGAGGTGGAGGTGATTGTGGTGCAGACTTGATCATCATCATGATGTTTACCTATGCATTGGAGTGTATGATCAACACCGTCACTTGGTGGTTAGTAAGTTAGGAGGATGATGTGCAAGAAGAATTGATGATTCTTTTGTGGTGATAATTGTGCCGAGGAGATACGACAAGTGCAAAATTTGTGAACTTTAGAAGAAACTCTTTTTTTCTTTGAAAGGTGTAAGAAAATGATCAACTAACGTACAATCTTTTAATAGTGGTTTTGGAGAATAGAAATCTGAGAGAATCCAAACAGTTGTGTTATCTCTGCACTCTTTTCAATTATATTTGGTAATCAAAGGCTTCTCATCCTTTCCAAAAACAGAATTCGACTATTTTGTTTAGCACACTGAGGGATAGTAGAGTGGGTTTCGATTCTTCATTGAAGAACAATTTAACACGTTGTTGTTTAGCGCGAATATACCTACGATAGCTGAATCTTGCATGGGAGATTTGTGCAGACATTTATGGTTGGAATGGGTTGTGTTGGAATGTAAATGCGGCTCAATCAATAATTGAAATATGGAATGAATTAACAAGTGTGATTTGTCATTTTGCAAAATTGATTGATTGACCACCAAATAACGTCGTCGTCGTTATAATGATTTCTCCTTTCATCATCAATGGTGTTGGTATAATCAATCAACTGGTATAAATCTTCTCCAATGTTCCCCTCTACACAAGAATGGTTAAACATTTACCCAACTTGAACACATTCACCACATGACCAGAACATTCATTTTACGTAAATTCACATAAATGTTGTGACCCGATATCAATGGTGTTCGTGTTCTAACGCTATATTCGTCCTTTAATTCTACCGATTTAAATCATACGAACACATTTGATCCCATAAAAAGGGCGATCCAGTCTGTGCATGTCGACTATATTCGTCCTTTCATTCCAAACTTAACTTCAATTATGGTTGAGAGAGAACATCTTTTCATCTGATCTGTCTGTTGTGGTGTTGTTGTTGTAGGTGAATGTTCATGTACAGGATAGAATCTATATAGGAGGTTTTGAATTGTCACATCTTTTCATCTGAACTGTCTGTATGCACTCATCAAATATGATACAACTCGTGAACCATAAAGAAATATTCTACAGGACAATAGAGTTTCAATTTTCGAACCATTTCTTCATCCATCTTGATACAAATCAATAACTCTCTACATTGTCTAATAATTTCAAATAATTGTTCAATAATAAATGGTTTCAAATGTTCATGTTGCATCAAATCCACAAATGTTCTCATCCCTTTCACAATCTCTTCTGCTGCAACTGAATTAAAACTCAATGATGAAATTGTTCCATTGGAGTGATTGGTTGTGGATTGAATGAGGCAAGATGTACTACTTGATAAATACATGTTGATATTCCATTGATTTTGTAGTGCAGTGATATCATTGAGAACATTGAATCGAGATGAAATGGTTTCCAAACCTAATCGAACAATGGAGTGTTCCATACATGACGATAGAGTACCATTTAAATTCATCATGATTTGAGGTGGTAAGTAATGAATGAGAGTGGTCATGTTGGAATATCCAAAATTCAAGGAATCTTCAATGAGTGAAGAAGCTCCACTAATATTACCAAACATGTTGGAAATGAATACACTTCCAGAAGTGGATTTGCGTTTGTTGTGTTGTTGTTGTTGAGAGGTTGTTGTTGATAGGGTGTTTGTGGTTGTTGTTGTTGTGAATGAGGATGGTGGTGAGAGTGGTGGTGAGAGTGGTGGTGATGTGGATGGTGATGTGGATGGAGAGAATTGAGAATTGTTAGAGGTGGTGGTGATGTTGTTGTTCTTGTTGTTACTGATCGAATTCATGTTGGTCGAGTGTGTTGTAGACCAAGATGGTGTTGTTGATGATGCATAAGTATTGTGGTGCTGCTGATGATTACTATTATGACCACCACCACCACCACCACCACCACTAATGGTACTACTACTACTCGAACGAGGAGACGTATGAGGATTTGAAGGATTCGAAGGGTTTGGATACAATAAATGTCCCAACCAAATACTACCACCACTTCCCACAGCAGCATGTGGGTGATTGGAACTTTTCCTATGGTGTGAATGTTGTTGATGCTGCTGCTGTTGATGAGATGAGGAACTACCATAACTACTACCATAACTACTACCATAACTACCAATATGAAAGGATTGACTGGTCGTTGCAATCAATCTCTTTGAAATGACTTGTTCAAAAACTTGCTTTTGTTGTTGATTCGTTCCATATTTGATCAAATGGAAAATATGATTCAATAACTTTTCAGTATTACTATTCAAAATGAATGATGAAATTCCTTCAATGAGTTGTTTCTCTGTTTCAGAATGACTAAATAAAGTGAGAGCATTCACATTGGACAAATTTTGATCCTTTCTAAATATTTCATTCAAATAAAAAGTTGCATAAAATCGAATAATAAAAGGTTCAGAGCTATTTTGAATAATGTCCATAAATCTCTTAATGACTCTCTCGGATGATATTGGTAATAGTGAAAGTACTTTAAATGTTTTTGTAATGAGATTATTATTAATTTCATAACTATTTCGATTATCATCATGAATAAATAGTAATAATAGCATGGATAGATTGTTTAACATGGATTGTTGATGAGTATGTAAATTTTGATAATGTCCAAATTGTCTCGAAGCATCCAATTTTTTATCTCTTTGATAGTATCTATAATTAGTCATGTATATTTTTATAATCTTTAAATAATATCTATAAATCAATAATAAAATAGATTGTTTGAATTCTGTTGGATGTTGTTGTTGTGAAATTCTAATCAAAGATTTAAATAGAATGGACAATAAATCACAAAATATTCTTTCAATGATGAGTGGTACACCTTTACAGGTAATGGTGTGATTTCCATAAATAGGTAATAAATGTGAGACAATATAAAGACATGATAAATGTTGTTCCAAATTAAATGAATCAAAATAATAGGATTCAATATTGGATGGAATGGATGCTACACCACCACCTACTCCAGTTGATGGATGGAAATTAGCATGACCACCAGTGTTGTTGTGATGACCACTACTATCAAGCATGTTTGGTAATAAGGATCGAATACACACTCGAATAATGTGAATAATCTTATCTGCAGCAGTATCGAGAGAGAGGAACTTTTGTGGACTCATTAATAATAAATGGTGAGAGTGATGAGGATTGGAATTCATGGGTCGACCATGCATGGTGGAAGAAGGTGGTGGTAATGGTGATTGAGAAGAGTCTCTTTCATGGTCGTCATCGTTGTCCTCATCATCGTCCTCCTCCTCACTACTACTACTACTATTACTACTACTACTATTACTACTACTACCATCGTCGTCGTCATCCTCCTCACTCATAGCACTATTTTTCATACGAGTACGATCTGAATCTTTCTGATCATTCAAAATGGATTCTTGATGACCGCGTGGAGTACGTGGTGAAGATTGTGTATCGTTTTCCTCTTCTTGATCATCTTCATCATCTTCATCACTACTGATTGGATCTTGTCGATTCTTTGATTCACTTTCAATATTTGCAAGCAAAATGAGCACTGATTTCGATAATTGAATAAATCTTGGAATGATTTGATTTCTCTTAATTGAAATGTAATCCTTTTTTAGAATACCTTGATAGTATACATCATAATATTCATTCATTGCTGATGATGTTTCATTCTCACTGGTTGGAGAATGAACATGTTCACTCGATCGAATCAATGTTGTATTCTTTAAAAAGTGATAATGGTTCAATAAAATTCTTTCCATAATCATTAAGAGTACGAGTTCCTTGTTCTTCTGAATGCAAGCGATTAATTTTAAAAATCCACCTCCTTCATTCGCATTATTAGGATTCAAAAGTGAGGATGCAATCACTGAATCAATTCCATAGATTGGATCTTTCACTTGCATGTTGTTAATTGAATGAGGAACAAAGATAGAAATCAATTTGTTCATGTAGGATTCATCTTGTTCAAAGACTTCTATAAATTTTGTAATATGATCATAAAATTTAACATTATAATCCAATGAATGAACAATTTTTCCATTGTAATTATAGTTAATAATTTGTTTGAAATCATCTGTAATCTTTTCACACATATCACTGTCCAATACAATATTATTTCCTAATAAGGAGAAAAGAAAATCAACACATTTCAAATGAATCTTTGATGATCTCTGTGCAATATTGGAATAATGTTTGAATAAATTGTTATAGAGAGGATAAACAATCTTATAGGAATCATAACTTGTTTTAGATTCAAGATTAGGAGAAATAAATTCATCAGGACTAATCATTTGAATTCTTCTAATCAATACGAGAATAAGCTTGAACAAGATAAAAAAATTGACATCTTCACCACCATTCGTAGAAGTACTAGAATTAGTATTCGTTCGATGCATCGATGATCCATAAAATGAAGAATTGTTGTTGTGTGGATAAGAGTTATTGTTGTTGTATGAATTTTGTCCTGAGACATCCTTTCCAAATCTCTGATTTCCTTGTCTCTCACTCGACAAGTTAATGAGAATGAGTAAATCATTCACACACTTTTTCAATAACTGCATGTACACATTCAATACTTGTCGATTCAATACAACATCGATGGATGGTGATGATAATACAATGAGTAATAGATATGGAGTAGTTCCATAAATGTTCATCAATAGTGTGGTCATTTGTTCAAATAAATAATTCTCTTGACAATATTCAATTAATCTCTTAATACAACCACTAACATGCACAACGTTTGAAATGTTAAAATTTTGAACTGAAAAGAAATCATTGTCTTGTTGTTGTTGGAAGGAAGATGATAAGGGTTGAGATAATCTGAAAGAGGTGGTTGATTTTCTCGAATTGAAAATACTCTTCTTTTTCTTTTCCATTGTTGTGAAAATAATTGGTTGTGAATCATTCTCACTTGGTTCATTTCTCTTTAGAAAATCTGTTAATACTTCAATGAAAGTATTTGCATTCAAATCATTGGTGCTTGAATTTTGAGTGAGAATTCTCAATGCAATATTTTGAATGGCCACATATTTTGAAGTGATGGCTCTTCTCAAATATTCTCTATACAAATTTTCAATCAATCCAATGTCCTTAATGTAATCCTCAATGTAGAAGAAGGAAGAGTCACCACCGAACGATTGAGAGGAGGTTTGCATAGCATTTAAATTCATTGAAGAGATTCTATTGAATGATGATGAGGAGAGTGATGAGGAGAGTGATGACTGAGAGGAGGATTCATGATTTCCAAACTTCCATGAGGATCTCATTCCACCCATTAATGAACTGGAATTTGTATTGGGGTTGTTGTTGTTCAATCTACCTCCTCCAGTAGTGGTAGTAGTATTATCACTCTGACCAGCAGCAGCAGCACCAACTCCGACACCACTAGTAAGATTCGTACTATTATTATTATTATTAGCACCAACACCAGAACCACCACCACCACCATCCATGGATCCAAGGTGTCCACTACTCGACAAGTCAACTTTGTTTCTTCTCTTGACTTGATTGGAAAATTGTTCAAGTTTGTCAATACTCAAATTTCTAATTAAAATTCTCTCAATAATCACCTCTTCACTTAATACCAATTTATCTTTTTGTAACTTGTTGAGAAGAGATTTCACTTCATCCTTATCCATAAAATGAACCATATTGTAAATACACTTTCTATAGAATGGATCAAGATAGAATTTCCGAATGACACTTGTTCGAATGGTTAATTTGGGTTTAAATACAGTTTTCAATGTCTTTCTTTTTAAATATCGAATGAGTGAATGTTTTTCTTTCTTTGCCCATTGAACACCTGTTAAATATTCTCTCACTACTGTTGGCATGACAAAATATTTAAATTGAGGTAAATAACCTAATAATGGAAATTGTTGTGAAGATATTTGATGATCATCTTCATAGTACATTTGATAAATAAACATGATTTGTTTCCAAATGAGACGATACAATGCAGGTTTACCATCAAAGAAATCTTCTGGTAATTTTCTGAATTTCTCAATTTTAGAAACGGATAGATATTCAGCCAAATCCAATATGAATTCAATGAGATCATTGGTGGTGAGTAATTTAGAATTCTTTGTAAATTGTTCAATATTATTGAATGAAATTCTCTTTCGATCGTCGTAATGATCTTTGAGAGAGAGTCTTAATTGATTGGATGGAGAATTGAGTTGTTGTTGTTGTTGTTGATTCATCATGTTGTTATTGGTGTTAGTGTTGTTCTGAGAGGATGAAGAATGAAAGAAATTGGACATGAAATTTTTAGAATCTCTTTTAACACCACCAACACCACCACCGCTATTACTACTACTACTACTATTATTAGGATTCGTGGTGGTTGAGGTATTGGTTGAGGTATTGGTTGAGGTATTGGTTGAGATGTTGGTTGGAAGACCCATGGAGAAACGCAATGATCTCGATCGATTACGAGTAGTAGTAGTAGTAGTACTCTTCTTATCAGAAGTGTTGTTGTTGTTGGCAGTAGTTGGGGATGAATCTTGAGAAGTGTCTTGATCAATGGCAAGGTAGGGTGGTAGAGTTGAAACTGTCGAATCCAAATGAAGAGTTGTCGTCGTCGTCGTCTCTGCAGAAGAATAATCACGATGATGGTGCTGTGTCTCGTGTGTTGTTGTTGTTGTTGTTGTTGTAGAATTGGAGGTAATCGTACCAAAACTATTGCCACTATTGCCACCACCACTACCACCATTCTGACTACTGGTACGATGAATAGGAGCGAGTGAGAAGGATGTGAAATGACCACTTGCATGATGGTGTGAAATGGAGGATGGTGAATTCGTTGAGGTGATGAGAAAAGGTTGACTACCACTCTGACCACTCTGACCACTACTATTACTACTACCACTATTACTGCTAGGATTCATGGGTAGTAAACTCAAGTCACTCGAAATGTAATACTTGTTGAGAAATTGTTCAATCATGATTCGAATTGGAATTTCACCTCCATATTCCTCATGATTTTGTTTCAATGCAAAATAATATGAAAAGGATGGAATTCGTGCAATTTCTAAATATCTAAAATCAAACTCATTAAATTCATTGAAGAGAGTATTGGCAAGAAAACCTCCAACTGATTTCTTTTTCTGCAAGTCATGAGATAGGGTATTCTTTCCTCCTCTGATCGAGTTTGTCTTTTTCAATAAGGAGGAGGAGGAGGAGGAGAAGGTATTTGATGATTCATTCATTCCATCACCACCACCATCACCACCACCACTAGTACTATTGCTATTTCCACTATTAGTAGCACCACCACCACTCGTCGTAGAATGATTTCCACCACCACCACCACCATTCAACAATGAAAGATCAGAAAGAGTCGTTGAAGTCAATAGAATATTCTGTGCAGTAACATAATTTGCTGCTGTACAATTTTGTAGTAATGATGAAATATTGTTTACACCACATGAATGAATATCAATATTCTTTAAAATATAATGACTGTAAAAAGTATTGAAATTTGGATCTAATGGATGATAAGAATCACCAACCATATTTGGTTTGTTTTGATTCTCTACAATATAGATGGTATTGTTTGTGAATGCACTTAATTGTGAGAGAATATTGTAATAGTCTTGTCCTTTAAAATGTTGAAAATGATCGAAAATTAAAATACAATTTCCATTCAATATTTGTTGTCTTAAATATTGTTGAATTTCCTTATTGAAATGTAGATGTGATTTTGATGAAAATGCATTCGTACTAGTAGTTGTTGTTGTTGAATGGATCATTTGAGAAGTTTTGTTTGGTTGAAGTGGAGTGGTGAATCGAGGACTTGTTGGAGTTCCACATGAAGCACCACCACCAATACCACTAACACTGGCACTACTCTCCGAGAAACTTGATGTCTCTCCAACAAGAGGAGTTGAGGAACTCTTAATGTTCATTGGATCACTGCTACTAGTTCCACTATTAGAAGTTTTGATTGCAGTTCCAAAATAATATTCAAAACATCCTTGAATGATCTTGTCAATAAAATCTTCCATATAATTCATATTCAAAATATTTCTCATTGAAATTAAAAGTGGAATTTTTGTAATGCTGTTGCCACTGTTGTGTAAAGTCACATTATGACTTGCTAATAATTGTAAAATATTGCTACTACTTGTAGAGTGTTGATCATTGACGACATAAATGTGCTCCATGTAATATCTTTGAATAGAAGATACAAAAAATGATAAATCCACATCAGTGAAATTGCAATTTCTACAATTCAATACATAGGTAATTGGTGTCGTGGAATACTTGTTATAAAAGAAATCTGTTGCATTCGATACGTTACTATTCACACTATTGGTACTAAATCGATTGGTGAGAGATGAAATGGAAGCATGTGCCATGTTAAGATTACTTGAAGAGAGTGATGATGATGATGACGTTGTTGTTGATGCATTCTTATTTCTACCACCACCACCACGACGTGATGAACCAAGTATAGGACTACTACCCATTATTGTGGATGAATCATCTTCCCCAGATTGAAACAACAAATCAAAATTTGTATTTCTCACTCCAATCACAGCTGCTCTTTTTCGTGTTCTCATTTGGTGATAAAAGTCATCATTCATATCCATCGACAATACATTGGAATGAAAGAGAGGAGGAGGAATGTATGGACTATGACCACTAGTGCCTACAACAGTTGAGATACCACCATGATGAGGATGAGGATGAGGAAATATAGAACTCATGGATTGTGAATATGCATAATGTTGAAGATGAGAACAAGTCGTCGTTGTCGTGCTCGTCGAGGAAGAACTCGATGGAAACGATCGATTCGGACTTGATGATATTCCATGATGGTGTTGAAGACTCTTATTCATGACGACGGTGTTCATCATGAGGTTGCTCAAACTCGCAGAAGGTGATCCATGACCACTACTACTAATACTATTACTACTATTACTATTAATATTACTTGTACCATTGAGAGGACTATTACCTTTTCCAGTAGTAGTAGTAGTGGTTGTCATAGTGTTATTATTGGAATTGACAACACCACCACCAGCATTCAATGAAGGAGAATGTGCATGATTTGCAGTGGTGGAATTCTCATGATTGATATTCAAAATATTATTTGGATTTGCTTTCACATAGGATATCAATTCCAATTTCACTTCTTTCAAAAATCGAATGTAATCAAACTTTCCTTTCAATGAGAATATTAAATTATCTTCATCTTGTACTCTTTTAAATAATTCATAAAGCATGGAATTCATTGTTGTACTCGAGTTAAGAGTATTTCCACCTGAATGTTGTTGTTTTCTCAATCCACCTTTCAAAATGAATGAAGTAGGATCATCAGAATCTTCAGAATCATCATCTGAAGATTCAGAATTGTTACTAGTACTACTAACACTACTAGCACTCGTCGTAGGATTCATTAAATGATCATTAGTTGAACCACTAAATATGTTGCTGTAGACATAGAGATTGCTAAAATAAATGTCTCGAAATGGAAAGTGTTTGCAATTCTGTACACATTTCGTAAAGGTGTAAATATAAACATAATTATCAACATCACATAATAGACATTTCAATACTTTTTCGGATCTTGAGTGGAGTGCTGACTTGGTGAAAAAGTAATAACAATCCTTAAATTCATTCCATGCAACTTTTGAAACATAAGGTCCAAACATTTGATCCCAAAAATGTCTAGCTAATTTGAAAATGATGAAATGTGAATTGTTGAAACGTTGTTGAACTGCAGGTGGAATGAAAGAGGATGATGGAAGGTTAAAGTTTTGAAAATTATGTGAGGAGGAGGAGGAGGAGGAGGATGGACTCATCATGGACGACTGATTCGAGAAACTTGAGAGTTGTTGTAATGTACTACTACTACTCACTACTGACGACATGAACATTCTTGGAGAAAAGGTTGAATCATAAAGTTGAGGAGAAGTAAATCCGACGAGTTCATAGGATCCAAATAGTTGTGAGCTCGTGTTGTTGTTGTTGTTACTATTATTACTTGTAACAGTTGTTGTGAATGGAGTATAGAGGTAAAGTTGTGGTAATAGAAGAGATGATGAACTTGCACTGCTATTATTATTAGGATGCGATATTGCATCGATCAATGAACCATCAATTTGTTGTTGAATAGAGTCCAAAGTTGAGAGTAAATCATTCAATTCTTTCTTTTGACCATCCATCTTCGAGGAGGAGGATTGCACAGCATGATTGTTGGAAGGATTCATTGAAAAATGTTCTCTCTTCTCTTTTGTGAGAAATGCAAGACATTCTGTTGCATTTAATCGTTCACTGGAATCCAATCTCAAACATTGATAAACCATTCTCAACAAAATGTTATGACCCTTATCTAAGAGTAGTGTGAGTAATTTGTATTGATGTTGTTGTTGTTGAGAATGGATGATGGGAGGAGTGGTGGTGTTTGTGGTAGTGCTTGTGTCCATCATCATCATTGTCTCATGACCACCATTGCCAGTAGTAGTAGCATTGCCAGTAGTGGTAAGAGTAATAGTACTACCACCACTAGCACCACCACTCGTCATTGAATTCATGAATCCACTTTCACCACTAGCACCACCACTCCCATGAGAGTCATGGTGTGTGTTTTGTTTGAACCCATTGGTGGATTCATCCTCTTTCACACATTCACTAATAAAGTGATCAATGACTAATTTGGTTTCATAATTATTGGAACAATTAAATAATAAATTTCGAAATGAATCAAATCGACTTCTTCTCTTTTGTACAAGTAATTGAAGAGCAACAATTCCTAGTGCCCACATATCCACACTTTCATTGTAATATTTTCCATCAAAAATTTCAGGTGCCATATAATTTTTAGATCCTGTGATGGACATGAGAGGTGAATCTCCAACTCTGAATTCACGTGTTAAACCAAAATCAGACAAATAAATATTTGCATTTTCTAATATTTGTAAATAGGTTGGAGGTGGAGATTGAGCAAGCATGGATTTCTTCGTTTGGAGGAGAATATTATCAGGTTTCTAACAAGGTGAAAGGTCATGTCCACAAGGTGATGATAAAAAGGTCATTAAGGGACACATCAATAGTCCACATGTACGCGCATGATGGAATCACGTTCATAATTGTGACATTAAGAATTTAGTAAATATCCATCATGATGATGATGAATCAAAGGATATAAATCCATGATGATGAAATATGCAAACTTACAATATCCAAATGCACTAATTTCCTTTTATGAAAAAACACCAATGACCTCGTAATGTTAATCATCCAATCCAATTTCAATTCTCCACTGATAAACGATTGATGATTTGGTGATGAAGATTTTGAATATTCATTGGCATAATTAAATATCACATCTTCTAAACTTCCCAAATCACAAAATGCCATTACAATAGACAAGACATATTCACATTCTCCTCGCATTGCATTTTTATATTCCTTATAATAAATATCATAGTGTGGAACAATGTGAACTTGAGGGATTGAAGAAGGATGTTGAAATTTGTGGTGATGGTTCTGAACATGTTGTGAATGATTTGTCGTGGGATGGTGTGTAGGATGATGGGAGTGGTGGTGATGATGATGATGATGGTTGTTGTTATGAGAAGAAGACATGACCATCATGGCCATTGATTCTCTCTCAACATTGCACACTTGTAAAATTAATTTGATTTGTTGTTCCAGATCTGGCAATGTTGAAATGGTAATTCTTTTGATGGCATATTGAGGGAGTGTGGGAGTATTGAGAAAAGTAGTCGAGTCATTGAGAGTTGCCAAAAACTATCGTGAAGAGGATATTGAGAACACACACAAGTCATGACACGAGGGTGTTAATAAACACCACACAACATCATGAATCGATCACAATTTTTGTATGTCATTATCATTTTGATTCCATATCATATATAATCATCATCATTCAAAAATTGCAATTTCAACTCGTTTGATCATTGACTTACCACTTGTCCTTCGATACCACCTCCCAATTTTTTAATAATCTTGTAATCAAATCTCGGAGAAGTGAATTTTGATAAATCGAGTGCAGCATTTCTCAAGCAAACATCAATCATTGGTTTGTAGAGATGAGATTTCGAGGATGATATTGGAATGTAGGGATCTATGATGGTGGGTGATGCAGTTTCGGAATGTGCTGTATGGGAGTGATGATGTGAGAAGGGTGAATGGTGATGATGAGCAGCTGTACTGTTATGAACCGATGATGATGATGGTGTTGGTTCTGAAATGGCACCACCACCACCACTCTTGTTACTCAAGACTTGTATGGTGAGCGGCGATGATGGTGAGATTGTGGTTATTGATGATGATGGTGAATAAGAGGAAGATCGGGCTGATGGATTTGTCTCCTCTTTGTGGACATTGACGTTCATGTTGTTATTCACTTTTGTTGTATCCAATGTTTCATTACATTGATGATGGACAGGTACTTCCGCGACTTCGGAAGGTTCTGTGGTTCTTATTAATGGTTGGTTGTCATGGTTCATGTGATTTGGTGGTGTGCTCTGAAAGTTGGTGTTATGGTTGTCTGATGATGATGATGGAAAAGATGTTGTTGATTTACTGTTCGTGTTGTTACCCTTCAACATAACGGCGGAAAGTGTTTGATTATTTTTGTTTTGGGTCTTGAAATTTGACAGATGTTATTTCGAGTTGGTGACATCTTTCTTTTGAACTATTTTCATTGTTCTTCATTTGAGGTGGAATCAAGATAACGATTTGACATTCTAAGGGACCTCATTGGAGTGGTAGATGGAACCAAAGAATAATTGCTTGAAAAATTATTATGTAACATGTTTTGGGATGATGAAGTGTTGCCAAAGTCCATGTTCCGTTGTGGATCAAAAGCCAAATCTTGATAAAGTCCTGACTGCAGATGCGAGGAGATACGGTCTTCGGGAGGTACAATCGTGTGATCTTGTTGGGAAGCAAGTTCTCGAGTGCTGAAATGTCCTGTCTCTTCATAAAGTGCTGCATCATCTGGTTTGAGTGGTTGCCTTGAAAACCTGTCATCAGGAATAACTTTAAAAAAGGCCTGATCTTGAAGAGAAGAGGAAATATTTGTTTGGGTTAATAGAGTAGTATTGGATGAGCTGGTATTGGGTAAGGTGTTTGATAAGGATGGAACAGGCTGTAAAATCATGTCGACTGACGACTTGAAGGGTTCTCTCACATTGGAAGAATTTCTTTGTGAGTTCAATAAATCATGAAGCTCTCTCCTGAGATCTTCTTTTTCGTTGTAAACATTATTTCTATCTGCTTGAACAATACTAAGGTATCTCTTTGTCTCTTCAAGTTGACGCTGTAATTTACGGATAGACTCGGTCAGAACTCTGTTTTCTTTCAATGTCTTTCTTTCGTTTTCTTCCATGTCTGACTTTATCTTTTGTAGAGATTGTTGAGATTTTCGCAAATTGGAATTTTCTTCTTCAAGTCTTCTCATATTGTTCTTTACTGACTCTACCTCCAAATTGGTTCTTTCTATTTGTTGCGCATGTTTTAAGGTCATATCTCGTTCCGTCTGCTTCAATTTCTGCTGCATCTCTTGCAGCTGTTGCTCATATTTTGATGTTCTTTCTTCGAACATGATAGACTTTGACTTTTCTTCTTCAAGTTGCAGTTCAACACCCCGAGAATAATCTGCAGCGTTTTGAAGCTCAGAAATACATCTACTTTTCATCTCCAAAAGTGATTTAATCTCATTAATTAGAGCTTCTGTAGTGGAATTTTCAGTTGTCAGAAGTGTTTTGCAGAATGTTTGTGTTTCTACAACTTCTTGTATTATCTTTGAATTTTGATCCTTCGCCATTAAAACAGAACTGCATATTTCTCTCAGCTCATTTCTTACATCTCCCAAATATTGGTAATGAGTAGTTTTCAAAGAAGAATGATCATTTTCTAATCTTTTGTACTCTTTCATCAAATGCTCATATTCTTCGTTGGACTGTTTGATCTTGTCGCTCCATTGCATTGTACTGGATTCTATAAAAGCCTCTAAATCATAAACTCTCTTTTCAATTTCTTCCTTGTTACTTAAAATCTGATCTCTTTCTTTATCACTCATGTTTAACTCATATTTGAGTTTTTCTATGTCCTCAGTCAGTCTATTAATCTCAGTAAACAAATCATTTTTCTCTTGTTCGTGCTGCTTTTGCACCTCTAAATTTTGATGTTTTTCTTCGTTGAGCAAATGCAATGTCTCATCGAACTTGTACTGTAATTCAGATACGTCCAATTCCATTTTGTTGAGCCTCTCTCTCAATTCTCTATTTTCATTTTGATAGCTTTTTAATTCCTCGTTCCTATCGGCAAGCTGTTGAGAGCTTATTTCAAGTTTATCCATAAGCTCTTTGTTTTCTGTTGCAACATTTTGTTGAGATTTCTTTGTCTTTTCTATCTGGTCTAATATCATTACATTTTCATGCTCCAATCGCTCTGCATGTAACTTTGTGTTATAAAGATCGGCTTGAGCCTTCTCCAAAAGTTTTTGAATGTTGAACCTTTCTTGAGTAACTTGACGAAGATCGTGATCCTTTTGGCTTAAATCCCTGTTTAAATCCTGTACTCTTCTCTCCATAGATTGAAGTTCTTTGAGAAGTGCATTGTTATATTCAATCTGAGAAGCTAGTTCTTCAGAAAGATCAATCTTGGATGAGTTGTTGTTCGTTGATAAAATATTCAAATCCATCATGGATGTATTCGGGGAGGGTTTGAGAGGAGTTGCAATCATGGAGTTGAAATTCTGAGGATCAAAACCTCTATTGGATGAAAATGTACCCAACACACCTAACGCAAGATCATCAGTATTTGTTTGATTAAGGCTTGTAGAAGATGGAAGATCGTTAATGCTGAAATTTCTTTTTGAAGAATTTCCTTCCATATTGTCTTTTCTTGAGGAATTTTGATGATTTAAACCAGTAGGTAGAGTACTTCCGACCAAGCTGTTGTTGAGAGTCGCAGAAGACCCTGGTAAGGTCCATTGTTTTGAGGCTGTTGTTGAGGGTGTCTTTTTCATTTTTTTTGGAGGGAACTCAACACGCAAGCGCATCCAGAACCAACGAGCAGCACCCTGTTTGATCGAAAACTTCTCTTCTGCAAAAATAGAACGTTTGATATCTATCGAAAAGTGAATCGTTTCCAAAACAACAACAACAACATGCAAACATCACCGAGTGCCTTGCCCTCTTCATCATCACGAACAACCTCTTCGTTATTAAATTCTCGTGATTATAAATTTCCAAAACATGCTCACCTTCTTCTTGTTTGCGCTCTATTCATCATTTTGATTTGTATTGTGTACATGATTGCTCAATGGCTCATTGCTGTCAATACAGCAGCAACATCTGCAGGTTCACATGTGCTGCCGAACAGTGGTGATGATTCCTCTCACAATATTTTGGTCAATCATGAACACTTTAGACAATCCATAATTTCTGGAAACAACAATCCAACCACTCCTCCCACCACTATTACATCATCACACTGAAATAACTATTTTCTCTCTCTGTGATGTTCGTTCCATGGCAGCAGCAACATCATCATTACCATCACACCATTGGAAATCCGAAGATAGATTCAAAAAATGAATTTCGTCTCAGTTTACTAATCCGAAGATAGATTCAAAAAATGTCTCAACAACAACAACGTTCAGTCTTTGTTGTATCATGGACCACTTTGCTCTCACTGCTCACTTCCCTTCTTTTTGTGTGGTATTTGATTCATACTCAACAATTATCAGAATTTGTTCAAGATACTCAAAATAAGATATGGAAGAGTATCCTGTTCACACCAACAACAACACATCAACAACAACAACAACAACGAGAGGAATTTTTCAATGTTTATAATTTCACAGTGATCGATTCGGAGGGTCATCCAATTGCTCTCAACTCTTCACAATATCTCAACAAGGTATTACTCATTGTGAATGTTGCTTCTCAATGTGGATTCACTCCTCAATATGAATCTCTTCAACGTTTATATGAAAAATATGGACCACAAAACAACAACAATGGAAGATTTGAAATTCTTGCATTTCCTTGTAATCAATTTGGATATCAAGAACCTGCTCCTATTAGAGATGTGTGCGAATTTGCTACTTCCAAGTATCATATCACGTTTAAACTATTTAATAAGGTGAATGTGAATGGAAAAGATACCATTCCATTGTATCGATACTTGAAAGAACAAGCACCAGGATTTATTAGTAATGGAATTAAATGGAATTTCACTAAATTTTTAGTGAATTCTAAGGGACAAGTGGTTGGAAGATATTCTCCAATTACAAACCCAGAATCATTATCACCTATTATTGAGAGATTATTAAATGAATAGAAAGCTATATTCATATGATTGGAATGACCAGAGTTATTATCACATACATATATGATTGAGAGAATTATTGTTGTGGATATCTTTGTAGTGTTGTTACTTGTACAATAAATAATTATTAGAGTTGAGTAAACCATTGGTGAGCTAGTGTCCATTTTAATACTGTCTTTCTCATTGAAAACAACAAACAGGTACACTCTAAAAGGTGAAGAATTATGCCACCACTGTGTTAAATTTGAAAATCGTGGTGTACACCACTTGGGAGAGAAATAAAATTTTAATTTTAAATTGAAAAATCTTGACAATAAAATTAACAAGACAACAAGGCCTCTTCAGCAAAAAATTCCACATCAGGATCACTATCTTCACGCAATGCACTCAACACTGGTTTGATCTTTTCTTGAACAATCTTTGAATCGACACGTGGAATGATCACACCCAAAGTCTTGGCAACATTAAAACGAATATTTGGAACAGGATCCTTTGACATTTCAATAACAACATCTAATAAATGTGTTGCAATACTTTCTTCAGGCATCACTTTGGATAGAACTCCAATGGCAAACAATGTGGTCATTCGATATAAATAATTTGAATCTTTGGACATTTCAACTATTTTTGGTAATAAATGTTCCACTGCCCATGCAGCTCCAAACGTTTCAGTCAATTTCTTTAAATTATTAGTTGCAGCTTCACGAATGGAATAGACTGAATCCGATAACCATGTCATACACAAATCATTCAACTTTTCATTGAAAAATTTAACTCCTAATTGTGCAGCTAAAAGTGGAATGTGTTCAATAATGGCTGCACGTACTCTCCATTGTTTATCTTCTGCCAATTCAACAATTGCAGGTAATAAAGACTGTGCTAATAAATCAACACCAATCACATCATTCACAGATTCCAATCTAGAAATAATATTCAAACGAACTTCAGGTGATTCATCTTTCAATAATTGTAAAAATAGAGGTAATAGAGATTCAATGGTAGGTTCTCGTCCTAAAATTGGCGCCAAACCCATAATTTCACTCGCCAATGCAGATCGAACATGTTCAGACTTGTCTGAAACTAAATTCTTGATATTGGGCAACACTTCAGAGACAATTAAATCTTTTGGAACCAATGAACAGACATCAGCAACCTTGAGAGATGCAGCAGTTCTCACTTCTGCCTCTGAATCTGTACACAACTTGACATAGGCATGTAAGAGTTCACTTTGTAATACTTCTTGTCCCATTCCTTCACACAAGGATTTGAAATGATCAGCCACCATATATCTCACTCTCCATGATTTATCCGTACAACAACTCTTAATGACTGGTAGAATGTGTGTGAGAGCTTCTTTTGGTGAAAGTAATTTGGAAAAGGCAACACAATTTTCAACCGTTAATAACCGAACCGAATCTTGATCATCCTGATGCAAATGTAGAAACATGGGAACCATTTCAGTCACTAGAAATTCCTTCTCTACTTTGGCAGCAAATTCTCCCAAATTGGTACACGCAGCTCTTCTCACCATGGGTGTATCATCTTTACATAATTTGAAATAGGTTTGTCTCAATTCAGCCTTCACATCTTTGCTTACCACTGGATACAAGACTGCAAAGAGACCACACGAAGAGGATCTCGAAGTGAACCATTCACCACTCGATAATTTTCTCACCAATGGTAAAATGTATTGTTCTGTGTGTTGAACAGCTTTCATTTCATTTGCAATCTTGCAGAGAGATTTCACTGCCTTGTCTCTCACACTACTCTCTTCAACATTACACAAGGTCTCAAGTGGAAGAATGAGACAATGAGCATGCTCAGCACCACCCACATATTGAACAAAATTACCCAATTCTTCAGCGAGAGCAAGTAGAACTTCATCTTCATCATCGATACAAGATTCATTGAGAAAAGGTATCAATTCGTATCGGGTACGATCTTGTCCCAAAGCATTGGCAATAGTACCCAGTCGTTTGATGGAATTGAGTCTCAATTGAACATCTTCATTCTTTAATTCATCAATGAGAATGGCAATGGGATAGAGTGATTCTTCATTGTCCTCTGTTGATGTTGAGGAGAGGGTGGTGATGAGATGGTGGTGATGTTGAGGAGATGATGTTGTTGATGTTGAACAGAAAATGGTGTTGGTGGTGGTCGACCAGAAGTTGTTGTTGAGATGTTGTTGTTGTTGTTGAGATGGAGTTTAATCGAGATGTGGAGAGAGCGAGAGAGGTGGTCATAGTGGAATATTCGAGATTTGATGCCATAGTAGTAGTAGTAGTAGTACCATCCAAGCAAGGATGAGAGAGTGAGAGCACAGCGCATACAACCACAAGTTGAAAACGCGAGTCATTGACCATTGCGAATGAAATGTGATATTGATCCATTCCATTTGTATGTATGGAATGAGAAGATACACAATATTGTCATCATGGTAGATTCATCATGATTATTAAAATAAGTAATATGGATTGAAACATACCCATTTTGAAAATATATTTATATCTAAAGAAAAAGATCCGATAGAAAATAGATAATAGTATTATTATTATTACAAATATTCCTCCTATTCAAAATGCCACAAGTCTAATTCAGTGAATGAACGAACGAACGAATGATTGCAGAGAGAGAAGAGCGGCAATGAAATATTTTTTGATAAGTTTGAATGATGGCTGTTGTTGCAATAAACAAAAAAACAACCTAATGACTTGATTCTATCCTAGTTGATTGCAATCACCTCAAACCCTGACTGAATTGTATATCCTCTCAGTACACTGAGAATAATCATTCTGCTGCTGATGTTTGGAACCAAATTACATTTGTTTCCTATAAGGAAACAATCCATAAACATTGAATGATTGTGGTGCAGGTTGGATCCAACCTTTTTTAGATTTCAAAAAAAATAACGGTTTTATTTGAAAGAAGATTTTGCTGTTGAACTTTTGATCGAGTCGAAACTCTTGTTGTAGAATATATTTGCATTCCGTACTCTACTTGTTGTAATCAATCATCACCATTAGTAACCATCAGTCAGTCAAACTCTCTTTTTGCGCACATCATCACCTATTGCATTGATTGAACAATAACAACGGAAAATTGAATCTCTTTTCCCGAAACCAACAACGGAAAGTGAAAGAACAAATCCATCACATCTGAGAATCATAACGATCATCATCAAAACAAAAATCTCAACTTTAGTGTCACACAACTAGAGAGTAATTGCATACCATTCCACCTTGCATATTCTTCTGTATTGTCAACAACAAAAGTGAGTTGTTTTCGGCACCACCCTGGAATTCCAATAGATTGTTGATCATCACACATTTCACAGCATAAGATGGCAACTGTCATATCACGAAGTGTCTTTGAGAGATCACTCACTTCTCCTTCCACCACCACCGCCACCAATTCAAGTACCATCAGTACTCCCAATGCAGTACTCTCTAATTTCATACCTCATTACCATGATGATGCGAATGAAGGAGGAGGTGATTCACATGACTCACAACAACGATCATTACATTCTCACCATGCTCATCATCAACCATGTCATGAGAGCAGCAATCATAAGAGTACAAAACTAACGACTCATTCTTTGGTTCCAACAATACAACAACAACATCAACCACAAGAACCACAACAAGAACAACAACAACAACCTCATCTACTCGCATCATCACCAACCAACCACACCTCTTCTTCGATTCAACTCCCGCCCTCTACTCCCGCCAAAAAACCCTTCTACAGGAGAGGCATTTTCAGAATCTTGGATGCCTTTTTCTTCCTCTTTCGAGTGATACTCTTTCTATTTAAATTCTTTTATTCTTATATGAAATTAGTGAATCATCAAAACAAACAAAAACAACATTGCAAAGTATTATTAGAAGAGAAAGTAGACAACTACAATGATTACAAACAAATTGCATTGTATTTGGATCAATTAGAAGGTTATGATTTGTGGAAATCTGAAAATGAAACCAAACTCTATGACTTTGAACAAATTGAAAATATCAATTACCAAATCATGGCCATGTTAAGAAAAAAAGATATTCATGGACTACAATGGTTGCTGAGAGCTGAATTACATCGTAACATTGCTGGTATTAATAATGTTCAACTCTATGAATGTCATACAGGTACTAAACAACTCATTGAAGAATATATTGATTTGGTATCCAAATCATGTCATCTCATTCGAGAGAGTGATGAATTGTCATTGGAAGAGAAATTGAAATTCTTTAGAGATACTTGTCATGCCTTTGGAAGAAGTGCTTTATTATTGAGTGGAGGAGGTGGATTATCCATGTATCATATTGGTGAGTATAAATATATATAGACACGATTGTATGGATTGGATGGACACGGTAACATTATGAACGATGACTATTATTACTACTACTATTCCTACTATTCCTACTATTATTACTACTATAATTGGTATCTATTCACTCACCCACTCTCTCTCTTGTCACACACACACCCCATCTATCCCCACACACACACCCACACACAGGTGTTGTCAAATCTCTCTATGACTCTGGTATTTTACCCAAAGTCATTAGTGGTAGTAGTGGTGGTAGTATTGTGGCTGCAGTCTTGTGTACCAGACGTGATGAAGATCTCTCAAAATGTTTTGAACCTGGTTCTTTTAAATTAGAAGCATTTGGTGGTAGTGATGATACTCCAGAGAGATCAGCCATGCGTAAAATTAATCGATTATTGAATAATGGTGTGATTATGGATGTGAACAAGTTAGCACAATGTATTCGTGAGAATATTGGAGATTTAACATTTGAAGAGGCCTATAAAATTAGTGGAAGAGTATTAAATATAACAGTGAGTGGACAATCTGCAGGATATCAAACACATGAAGGTCTATTGAATTATTTAACTGCACCTAATGTCTTGATTTGGAGTGCTGCAGTGGCAAGTTGTTCATTACCAATGGTAAGTGTCCACTGAGGACTTGTTTGACCTCAATAATAATTATTCAATGATGATGATGATATGATTTGTATTATGGGTTGACCTCAATGTATTATTGAATACATGATGATGATGAATGTAAATGAATGTACAATTCATTTCATACACACAGCTCTACAAAGCAGTTCCTTTGATGGCCAAAGATCGAGATGGTAATATTGTACCATATCATAACTTTCCAAATCAGAAATATCAAGATGGTACTCTCTTCTATGATTTACCAATTACTCGTTTAGCAGAATTATTTAATGTTAACTTCTATATTGCCTCTCAAGTGAACCCTCATGTACTTCCATTTATATCCAATTCCAGAAAACAAAAGAATTCTCTATTTTCCAATCTACTTTCACTCGTATGCTCAGAAATCAAATATCGAATTGAACAATTATATTCTCTATCATTAATACCTGAGAGATTTCGATGGTTTGAATTGGTCATTTCACAATCGTATGAAGCTCATGTCACCATTGTACCTTGTGATTTGAATTTTGAGAATATGAAAAAGATTCTCAGTAATCCAACTGCTGAATATATCAATCAAGCAGTTCATCAAGGAATGAGAAGAACATTTCCTCATATGAATCGAATTGAGAACATGTTAAAGATTGAATTGACATTGGATTCATGTTTGAGACAAGTGAGATTTCAATTATTTAAATCATCACCACAATTTGCCATTCAAATGTCAAAATCCTCTTCACTCTTTAATTTGGAGGAGGAAGATGTCATTGATCATGAAATTGTTTCATCCGACCCGATAATGAATTCAAAACGTGGTGATAGTGGTAGTACTACTACTACTACTACTGCCATGATGACATGCACCAATCCACAACAACAACACTCTTCACATCAACCCCACCATTCACTTCAATATCATTCTCAACATGCTTCTCAACATCCTCCTTCTCCTTTGAGAATTTGTAGTAGTAGTACTGGTGGTGCCAATCATCATCATCATCACTCTCATCATGCACACCACCACAACAACACCAGCCCTCGTCATTATCACCCTTCTCATCATGCACACCACCACCAACACTGCCAACACCACCACGACCACCACCCTCACCACAACAACAACAACAAATTGGATCCAGAGCAGCAGCACAGTCATTCTCCTCACAGTCATTCTCCTCATCTAGATCACCTCCATCAGCAGCAACCACAATATTCTTCATCTCTTCTTTCACTCATGGATGAACTTGTTGTGGATGATGAGAATGATCGTCTTGTGACTCTTACCAATAATGATCATTCTACAACCAATACCACCACCAATACCACCAAGAATGAACGAATGATCACTTCTGGTGATTCTGATTCACCACTATCACCTTCACTATCATCACCACCCAACGTGAGATCAAAGACTTTAGAATCAGTGCTGACTGTCAATACTTCAAACAATCAAAGAAGAAAAAAGAAGGAGGACGAACAGTAATAATATATTACTACATTCAACACTTCTTCTTAATATCTCATCGATAAAACTCCATTTTTCATACCAAGTACAACCTTCTTGCACTACTACTGTACTCTCTCTCAACTGTGTGAGGTATTGTTATTATTACTCATGACAAATTAATGACATTAATGTATCAACAACCACACTCTCTTCAAATAAACCAAGCACATTCTCAAATATTCAGTAACGATATTCAAACTGAGTTTACAAAACAGTTGCTCTGTCACCACATGACGTCGCAAAAATATTTTTAGAAAAAAAGTCGAAAGATGATGACATCAAGTTCTCCTCCTCCTCACCACCCCATCTTCTTTTAAAAAATGGTGATGCTTCATGAGATCAAATGAATTCAACACACATAAAAAAACAAAATACATAACAACTATTGCAATCTTCTCCTCGTGCAAACAGGAACAACACTTCAAAATGGGTCAACTGATCTCAAACATGATTAAGGATCTCTTCAAAAATAAGGAAGCTCGAATTTTAATGTTAGGTCTCGATGCGGCAGGTAAAACATCCATTCTCTACAAGATTCAATTAGATGAAAATGTAACAACCATTCCAACCATAGGTTTCAATGCGGAACAAATCAGCTACAAAAAGATTACCTTTACAGTGTACGATTTGGGTGGACAGGATAAAATTCGTTCTCTATGGAGATATTATTATGAGAAAACAGATGCCATCATTTATGTATTGGATTCCAATGACACTGATCGATTTGATGAAGCAGGACAAACCCTTAAACAAGTGATGGAGAATTCCTTATTAGAACATGCAAAATTGTTGGTGTTTGCGAATAAGCAAGATCTTCCTCATGCTGCCAAAGTGAGTTCCATTGTTCAACAACTTGATTTAAATTCGATCAAACAAGATTGGTTTATTCAGCCTTGCTCTGCTTTGACTGGTAATGGCTTATTTGAAGGACTTGATTGGTTGTCATCAAAACTGTAATTATTAAAATTCTAATTGATATTATGAAGACTCTTATTTTGAAATCTGTAGTGTGACCCAATATCCAAAATGAAAAATGAAAGGATTAAAAATTGATTCACATGTTGGCAAAACAGCTCTCTAAAGAGCAACTTCAAAGCAATCTGCTTTGACATCCACCACTCCCTCCTATTATTTACAGTTCAGAATTTGGGTAACTCGATTTTTATCATTGGCCTTGGCCTTTTAATTTTTATTTCTTTGGTCAATGATGTATGTAGCTTTGTGATGTTTTTATTAGTCACATGGTCATTTTTCTTGTTTATTTTTACTGAAATAAACTTATTGAAAATGACATAGACACAGAAGTACAACCAATATATAACAATAATTTTTAATAATAATAATAGTTTTTATTTGACTTACCTTCACTCTAATCTTTCATTTTCAACAATTTTATAATGATGTATATTATTCCCGATCGTGGGATTTCTCATTGAACACCTTGAGTTTTCATCATACTATCTGTTTTCATTTTTAAAAATTGTTATCTTGTGATAAAATGTTAGTGAAGATAACAAGTATCCTCCGTTCAATATATATATATGATATTTTATAATTATTAATATGGATTAATATTAGTTAATGACAATAATATAAATTAGTAAATGTTTATAGTTGCTGCTTGGAGTGAAAAAATAAAAATATTTCTTGAGTAGTTTTATTTTCTAACTATTTCATTATATTTATCTCAATAAACATTGTGTGATTATTATGTATATTCAACATAAAAATAAATTAATGCTTTGATGATGACAATATTGTTAAAAATAAAACATAACATCAATTTTCCCAAGTTTTAAACGAAGTTTCGAGAAAGTATGTCACCTGATGAATAATCGACAGTGTATCACTCGAATTAAATATGGAGAAATATTCTTTAAAAAGACTAACACAAAAGAAGTATCTTGAGATCCTGATGAAAAAGTTACCACACTTCCATAAATTGAGTTGGAAGACAACCTAATGCAGTCCCATCAAATACATTCAAGAAAGTTTATTGCACTCAATCTTCATGTCCACAATTTTAAAAGATCGTTGTCCCTCAAATGGACTGAACGTGCAGATCAACTCTTTGCACACAATGGCTCCGTCCACTTGGTCTTTAAACAAATCCAAATATTGAATACTGTCAATATCTTGCAACTCTCCTTCTCCAACTTTCATTTTGATGCTTCTAGCATGATTCGTTTGCATTGGAACATAACATGCATAGAATTGTGGCCCTTTTCTTGATCCAGGTGTAGTAATCCTAATTCTTTTAACTGATACTTGTCGATCAAAAGAAAAGATGACATTGCTACCTTCTGCTTTGCATTGAACTTTGAAATCATTAGTGGTTGATGTTTTAAGGAATTTTGGTGTTTTTGAAGATGTAGATTGTTGTTGACGAGGAGTGAGAGGATGTTGATGATATTGTTGAGTCATGTCATGACTGTTCTCCAAATGATGATAATGACCAGAGGATTCATTTGCAGAGCGTTGAATATGGTCCAGGTTCAGTTGTGCATTGGTATTATCGACAGGAACAGTTTTTTGCATGGACGGATGATTCTTTGAATGTAAACTAAACTCATCATTGAAGGGACTGTCTGAGGTTGTGTCATGTTTGTCAGATCTTGAAATGAAAGTACTAGGAGAGTTGTAGTTGGACAACAACATGTTCAATGATCCATTGTGAAGAGGTGGTGTGTTCTTCTTGTTTCTTGATGATGTTTTTTCTTCTTCTATTTGAACGAGAGGAGTAGATACAGCACTGTTGATTGTTGATGTGGTTGTTGTTTCTGTCATCTCTTTCTTCTTAGGTATGACAGTAGTAGCAGTAGTAGACTTGTCACTTCTTGGAGATGACTTGTGTGTTGTCATTGAGTGATGATGATTGGTTGTCATACTATTGTTTGTTGCTGAGGTTGCTGAGGTTGTTGAAGGAAATAAGGTAGTATTAGTACTCGTAGTAGTATTAATAGTATTCGTAGTATTAGTATTAATAGTACTCGATGTTGTTGGAGGTGAAGAATGATTTTTCATTCTTTTCAATGCAGTGTTATTCAATTTCACTTGAGAAGAGGGTGATGATAAATGTTCTTGCATTAATGGTTTTGCCTGAATTTCCACACATGCAGAAGGAAAACTCAATTTAGGATAACCAATCACTTTGATACATTTCACTGATTCTTTTTTAGGTAACATGACACTCCTTGTATAGGTAAATGTGGTGTTACTCGAGTTGTTGTTATTAGAATCGAATGGATGTGTTGGAATGGATCCATCCAATGTGTATCGATAGACTACTCCAGGAACAGTATCAATAGTAAATGTAGAATCAATAGCATCATATTTCACATTTGGTAATTGAAGGGTAGGTGGAATGATAAAAGATCGAATGGAACTCTTTAACTTTCCCTTCTCTACTGCAATAATGGAGAGATTGTTACAAGTAGGAGGATGGGGAGATTCAACATTGAGAGTGGTGGTATTGCTCTGACCACCACCACTATGACCACCACTCTGACTACTACTAACAGCATGCTGACTGTAGGAATGTTGTTGTTGAAGTGAAACATCCAAATCAATTTGAGATTCCATACACTTGTGAGAGAAATGTTCAGTTGGAATAGATCCATCCAATGTATAATAATAGATACAATCCTTCTTCCAATTGGTAATTCTAAAACACTTGCTTAATACATCAAAATATCCATTCACAGATTCACTTTCATTTGGAATGGTAAAGGTTGCAATATCACTCGTGTATTTACATCTCTCAATTCCAACCACATGAATTTGATGTATTTTCTGTGAATGTATAGTGATTGGTTTTTCATACTTGAGTGTTGATGAAGAGTGAAGAGTTTGTTTTTCTCGATCAATGATTGGAATACATTGTGAGGATTTGGGATAAGAACCATCCATGGTGTAAAAGTAATCAACGTCTTCAATAAACTCTGAAATTAGAAATGTCTTTTCCATTTGATGAAATGAAATCTCAGGAGTTGGTACTGTAAGCATGGATTTGAAATACTCTTCATTCCATTCGAAATGTTGAATTGAGAGATTGAAGAGTTCTTGTTTCATCATGTTTGACACATGTTCCATGACCTCATAGACATGAGAATGATGTCTCTCTCTTTGTTTGTGATACTCTTTTGATTGAATTTCAATATACTTGGAGCATTTAAAGAATTGAGCAACCTCAACAATCTCTTCAAAGCTAATGACATCCTCAGCACCATGGATCTCTCTACTTTCTGATTGATAACCCACTAATAGAATGGGAGGAATGATGGATGATTTCTTTTTCAAGTTATCAATGAATGAAGTCACCTCTGGAAGTAATTCATCTTTCAAATAATTAAATGACTCTCTTTGAGCAATGTTAAAAAACATTACGAATATATGAGTATACTCGTAATATAAAAACCTCAAGTTTGAGTACAAATCTGTACAATAAGGAACCCATAATTGAAACAGACTGTTTTGATTCGTCTGTAATTGAACATTAGTGATTGGATAAGGGATTTTTGAGGTATTATCGATCAATGTGTCATAAAACTGAAGTTTTCCATTGTGTTCGCTCTCATCTCCCAAAATCATCACTTTAAAGACTGGAGTGGATGATCTTTGGATTGGAGTTTGATCTTGTTTCAAATCAATGGAATGTCTTCTCCTTTGCAAGCATAAATATTCAATGTCTTGCTTGGATAGTTCGTAGGACGAGTTGTTTTTGATCATGTCTATTAATTCATCTTCGGTCATATAAGGCAAAATGTTTTTATCCAAAAGAGAGTTCGATAATAAATCCTCTCGTAACGATGCAAATGATGCTGAGGAAATGTTGTCCATTGAATTCCGTAATGAATTTGAAGAAACAGGAACAGCCTGTTGATACAGAGAGTTTAATGACATTTTTTTCAAAGAAAAGCCTTAGCAGTGAAAATTTTGGAGGGAAAGATCGCTTTTAGTTTTCAAATTTCGAAAAAAAAATATTGTACATCTCTCAACAACGACACACAAAAGGCTTTCACACGTGTGTCCCTTCCAAGTTCTGATTCCCATACTATCCGAACATATTATATTCGAACAACAACAATGAGTACGACCACCACCACCACATCATCTTTGACATCCTCCTCTGAAGATCCCATCGTACAAGCCATTGTCTTCCATAATGGCAAGCAAGATCATTCTTCTTCAACAAGTCTTTCTTCCGATGAAACTTTTAATCGAATGAAATGTGTGGATGAATTCTCTTCTCTCATGAAACAATACATCCAATTGGAACAATCAATCAAAGAAGGATCAAGTTTAGAAAATATTAAATTAGAACAAACGAATTGCATTCATCAATTAAATCAATATCAATACAATACATCCATATTATTATCATCATTATCACAAGACTATGAGAAACAATTACAAGAAATACAAGATCGTCTTCAAAAAGTGAAAGCACAGATACATGAACACAAGAATGAAATAATACCATCATTAAATCAAGAGTTAGAAAATCAAAGAAAATATAAACAATTTAATGAAGAATATAATTTAATCTCTGAAAATATTTTGAAAAAACCATCCACACAAGAATTACAACATCAAAAACAATTGTCACTAGAGCAATTAGATCGAATGAAACAAGAAGGAGATGAAAAGAAGAAGAAAATTGAATATTATGAAAAACAAATGGAATTATTATTTGTAGCAACAAGTGATTTATTGTCGACCTTTAAAGTTCAATAAATGCATAGAAAAAATTCAAGACACTCACCACACTCTCTCTGATTGGATTTTCAAGATGGACTCTTATAACTACGTGTGCGTCCATAAATAGGGGTTTTGGTTTTGAAAGGGGAATGTGCACTGATCATCCTTAATGCACAACAAAATTTCATCATTCAAATTTTGAACGTGGTGTGCGGGCGCGTTGTGACAAATTTTGAACATTCGCCAAATTTTTGGATAGGTGAAATTGTACGAAATGTTTTTGAGCGTTTCTCGTTGAATCATAATGGAAGGTTTGCCATGTAATTCATTGACTGGTCGAGAAAGGATCAACCTTTCGACCCAACATTCCTGTTTGCTGTTGGATTGGTCTTGGTTCGTTCGTTGAGAACCTGCAAAATCTTGAAGAAGCTTCTTTCCTCCGCACAAGCATCTTTTTCGCAGAGTCTTTGGCCTCATCATCATCAGCAAGCTTCGTCGAACAAAAAAAACTTGTGTGTGACTACTGCGCAGTACTTATCGTGAAGGATAAGAAGAAGGTTTTGTGCGAGTTGTGTCGTTACATAGGACTTGTGCTACTACTACTCGACTACATTCAAATATTATTCGTGAGATTTCTTTCCATTGCTCTCTCCCTTTCTGGAAAATCTAGTGCTTGTTCAGTCTCTCCCGAAGTGCTTCAAACCGACAAATTCTCCTGTTGTTGTGCTAAATATATATTGCCAATAGCAAATTTCCTGTCAAGGAACCGCTTACCTCTTCTCAGAGTATAACAACAACTGTTCACTACCACTTGGTTACGTTATCACCATGGACAACCTTGCTCATCACGCAAATGTTCATCAAAGATTGATGGATGATATTCATCAACAACAACAACAACATGGTGTAGTTACTTCTCAACCACACCACCACCACCACTCGAACCACCCACATAAATTCTTCCCACCACCACCTCATGTCCAACAACGTGCTTGGATTCAATCCTATGAACAATACCTCGGAATGTATCGTGAGAGTGTGGAGAAGCCTCATTCATTTTGGGGTAAAATTGCCTCAGAGAATTATTATTGGAAAGAGAAAGGCTTTTCATTGGAGGATCCAAAAAGTATTTTGGACTATAATATGGACGTCAGTAAGGGACCTATTCGTATTGAATGGTTCAAGAATTCCTTAACAAACATTTGCTACAATGCACTTGATCGACATGTCTTGAATGGCAATGGTGATCGTGTTGCCTTCTACTTTGAAGGAAATGATATCAATGATCCTCTCACTCGTACAGTCACTTACAAACAATTATTAGAACAAGTTTCTAAATTTGCAAAAGTATTGAAAAAGTTGGGAGTCCAGAAGGGTGATTGTGTGGCCATGTACATGCCCATGGTCATGGAATTAATTGTTGCAGTATTGGCTTGTGCTCGTATTGGTGCTATTCACTCGGTCGTCTTTGGTGGATTCAGTGCTGAGGCTCTTTCTCAACGCTTAATTGACTCTCATGCCAAAGTCATTGTGACTGCTGATTATGGTATTCGTGGAGACAAGTTGATTCCTTTGAAACATTCGGTGGATGAAGCCATTGATCATCACTGTTCTGAACGTGGATTTTCATGTGAGAAGGTGATTGTTGTGAATCGAATGAATTCTACAACAACAACAACTCGATCGGACAGCCATGATGATGACGATGATTCAGGTCATGATACCCTAACATGTTCTCACAACAAGTCTACCACCACCACTCATACCACCACCACTCATACCACCACCACTGCTACTACTACTACCTCTACTACCTCTACTACGAGTACCACCACCATTCAATGGCACTCACATCGTGATGTTTGGTATCATGACTTGATGGGATCATTGAATGATGATGATGACTCAGAGTTATGTCCAGTCGAATGGGTTCGTGGTGAAGATCCACTCTTCATGCTCTACACGAGTGGTAGTACAGGTAAACCCAAAGGTCTCATTCACACCACTGCTGGTTACATGATCTATACAAGTACAACCTTTAAATATGTATTTGATTATCATGAAGGTGATGTCTATTGGTGTGGAGCTGACATTGGTTGGATTACAGGACATTCCTATGTGGTCTATGGTCCTCTCTTGTGTGGTGCTACGAGTGTGATCTTTGAAGGAGTTCCAACCTATCCAACAGCCTCTCGTTGTTGGCAAATTATTGACAAGTATCAAGTGAATCAATTCTACAGTGCACCAACATTGATTCGAACATTGATGAAAATGGGTGATTCTTATGTGAAGGAAGGATCAAGTCGTGAATCCTTACGTGTATTGGGAAGTGTTGGTGAACCTATCAATCCTGAAGCATGGATGTGGTATCATCAAGTAGTTGGTAATTCCAAGTGTGCCATTGTGGATACTTTTTGGCAAACAGAATCAGGTGGACATTTAATTACACCACTCCCTGGATGTATTCCAACAAAACCAGGAAGTGCGACTGTACCATTCTTTGGAGTTGTACCTGTGGTGTTGAACACTACGAGTTGCAGTGGTGGTAGTACCAGTAGTGGTTGTGCTGCTGCTGCTCATAGTGCTGGTACGACGAGTGACAACTGTGTTCAACCTCCTCACTTTGAACCTCCCACTCCAACCTTACCTGCCACCAATGACACGGCAGCAAGTCCATCTCTTGGCAGTACGTACTCTGGTCTCTTCTCCTCTTCCACTACTACTACCAATCCATCCTGGACTACATCCTTGGAATTACAAGGTGAATGTGAAGGATATTTGGCAATGAAATATCCATGGCCAGGTATTGCTCGTACTATCTTTGGTGATCATGAAAGATATGAAAAGACTTACTTTGGTATTGTGAATGGTTATTACATGACTGGAGATGGTTGTAAGAGAGATTCAGATGGATATATTTGGTTAACTGGTCGAGTGGATGATGTATTGAATGTGAGTGGACATCGTTTGGGTACAGCTGAATTGGAATCAGCATTTGTTGCTCATCCAAGTGTTGCTGAAGCTGCTGTAGTCCCATGTCCACATGATATTAAGGGTCATGGTATTTATTGTTATGTGGTATTGAAGGATCATGTCAATGTGAATGATAAGAAACAGTTGAATGAATTAGCTCAGACTTTGAAACATTGGATTAGACATGAAATTGGTCCTGTGGCTACTCCTGATTATATTCACTTTGCATTGAAGGGATTACCAAAGACACGTTCAGGTAAAATTATGAGAAGAATTTTGAGAAAGATTGCTGAAGGAAGTGAATCTTCTTTGGGAGATGTTTCCACATTGGCAGATCCATCTGTAGTGGAAGATTTGATTGCTACTCGTGTGTTGAAATAAATGAACGTGATCAAACTTCAATTTGAAATCCTTCTCATGACTCTATCAAACCTCTTCAGTGGCCACACTTAATAAAAGCTGACTCGAGATCGACGAAAAGAGAAATGGTCACCAGCAGCAAATTCAAAGACACTGGTCCTTTACTGATATTTGTTAAAAATTCATTGTGCTTCATTTATTCGTGTTTCATCAATTCAGTGTGGAATTTCTTGGTCTTTGGATCATAAGTATTCACGAATTGTTCTGGGAGTGGAATTTCAATCATGTCATCATCCTTGGAATCCATATCTGGAATCACAATGTTCATTTCACTTGATTTGGCAGTAACAATTCTACAATGAATGGATTCTTTTGACAAGTAAACAATAGCACCATCAGTCTTATCAATAGAAAGAGTTGGAGCAGAACCTCTGACTTGCACTTGACAACTTTGACAATTGACCAATTCAATACCACTCACAACACTATCCAAAACAACACAAGTCTTTGAACACTTGTCCAAAACAATATTGTTGACTTTTCCGGTAATTTCAACCATGGTGTCATTACATTGATAAATATAGACAGATTGTCCGATAGCAGTGTCAGTAATCTTCAAATCATGAGCACCACTTTGCCACTCGACTTGCCACTTCTTACCAGAGGAATCTCTTTCAAATTTTGGAGTACCCTTCTTCTTTTGAGCACTTGCAGAGGTGGTTGTCGTGGAAGAGGAGGAGGATGGTTTGCTTGTATTACCTGGTACAACGGCTGGTGGTTTATCTGTTTGATATTTAGTCTTCATATCTTTGGTCACATGCTTGAGACCTGCAGAAGCATTGTCTTTTCTTGCAGCAATTTCAGCAAACAAGGCACCAGCATTTCCAGAAGAAGAAGAAGAAGTTTCAGTCTTTAAGGAATTGACAAAGTCCTGAGAGACATTGACCATCTTGGATGGAGGTGGAGGAACACCTGCACCACTTGCACTGCTACTACTACTACTACTACTACTTTGAACACCTGCACCTTGACCCTCCAACAACATGGAAGCACTTGCTGTTTGAGAAGCCTTTGCATTCCAAGCCAATCCACTCATATGATATTCCTTTACATACACTGCCAATTCTTCAATAGCTGTCTTGAATTGATTGACAAAAGAACGATGCAATTCAGCCTTATCTGTATTCTTATAGGCCATCAAAATCTTATTGTTATAGAATTGAGCAGCATTGACCATTTCCTTGACATGTGAGACTGGTGCAGGAGAGGTAGGCCAAATCAAACACTTTAAACCTTCCTCAATACTATACAAGTGATTGTAGAATTCAGACTTGTTGTTCTTGAAACGATAGTCACCAGAGGCACTGAGTACTTGACCCAAGGGAGTTAAAATTTTACCAAATTCGTCATCACTGGGTTTTTTAGCGAGACTGGCCAAAGTGATGATTTTGAGCATTTCAGCAAAGGCATCAGCAATGAATTTGCCCTGTGTGTTGGTAATGGTGGTGGTGGTTCAAGTGGTAATAGTGGTGGTGGTTCAAAGTGGATTCAAGTGGTGAGAGTGTTTGATGATGGTGGTATTCATGGTGGTGGTGAATCGGATCAGACCACCACAAAGAAGGATCATGATAATTGCGAATATAAAAAGAACAATAACAAATTTCAATACTTACACCATTCACACATTCTCCACCAATTTGATTACAAATATCAATCAATGGTTGAACATGAGTGGAAATATATTCCTTAAAAGCACTCACGGATGGGGCTTCACCACTAGAACTGGAAGATCCACTGCTGCTACCACCCAAATTGATCTTTTCGAGACGAGAAATGGCAGATTCGAGACGACTCACCAAGGATTCCAATTGTTGAGAGGGTTGTTGGCTCATTGTGGGATTGAAAGTGTGTGTGTGTGTGTGTGATGAAAGAGGAGGTAGACAAGAGATGGATTTTTTTTTTTGAAAAATTGTTTTCTTGAAGATCGAGCACTTCCCATTGCGATTGATGGATGATCGGAGGATGATGAGTTTGAAAGACAGGTGGATGATTACAACAAGGGTGTTGTAGTTGCAGGTGGTGACTACAAAATCCTAACATTTCAAGATGAGGAGTGTTGGAATTGTTGAGAGTAGACCTCTCCATTGGAGATCAAGGATCCAGTAATTCTTATTCTACAAAATTTACGGCATATCTCAATGAAAAAAATCCCGCCTTCCGTCAACTGCTCCGTTCCAAAAAAATGTCAATGTTTGGAATCACCATGATGGGGGCTCAAAATTGTTTTGAGTTCAATAAGGGAATTTATGAAAATTTTGAGGAAGAATATGATCGAGTTGAATCGAAGAATCAAACCATTCCTCAATCACAGAATCAATCAGAAAAGAAAAAACAATTTTTTAAATATGCAAAACCTTCATCGGACACAAAGGCACCAGTTGCTAACCAAGATCAACCTTTTGCAATTACTTCTAAATATATATCTCCACTATCAAGAAATGCATCTCAATTTGAAAAAACAAAATTGATTGTTAAAGAGCCTTCGCCTGACAAGACTGTTTCTTTAGGAAATACCGTTGAAATGACTTCGTTTAATTATTTAAAAGAGATGAAAGAAAAACATGTTCGATATAATTTAGAGCCGACAGAGAAGTTCAAGTATCCCATTACCTCCTATCAAGAGATTGGATGGCTGTCGAGTGTTCGAAATATACCTTCCACATCGACTTTCAAAGATCCTGGGAAAATGCACTTTGCAAATATGTTCCATAACATGTCAAATATAGAAAGGGAAAAGAACAATTCACAGAGAGATGGACGAAAGCAACACTTTCCATGCAGTCACACAGACATTGTTCAATATCGAAATAATATGATTTTAAATAACCATTTGTAAATACAAAGAGTCTTTTGTCTAGATCAATTCATCATTGACATTTAAAAATCCATCCAATATTGAACTTGAATCCTTCGTAACAGCACTACAAGTTGTAAGTGCTCCATCCAATGAAGCAAGTAAACTGCAACAACTATCGCCATCACCACCAAATGAAAAATCCAGAAAACTATTCCCTGAGGATGGACTTGGATTTGGCAGTAAATGGTTCTTTTCATCCATCATCCATTGATGATCTTCTATCACATTGGTGGACAATGGTGATGTACATAATAATGACACGAGAGGTATGGGTGATTGCTCATGAATTGAAGAAGAAGATAGATTCTCAGAGTTGTTCTGAATCCTCTTCATTGTGTTTTTTTCATTTCGATTCGATGTGGTCTTTTTCTTTTTAGACAAATGATGGTTCATGGCAGTTGAATGTTGGACGATTCCAAAATATGGAAATGCAGCATTTGAATCACCATTTGAGGAAGATAGTAGTGAAGGGTGTGATGGTGGTGGTGGTATTGGAGTAGTATACAACAAGTGATTGTTGAATCCCAAACAACATGTGGTGGGGAGTGAGGTGTTGCTGTTTGTTGTTAGAGGAGGAAATGGTAAATTTGAGTACAAGAAAGGATGAGGTTGCAAGATGGAAGAGTTGGTTGTGTTGTCCATGTGGTTGTTATTGGAATCCAAATCCAATACTACTACATGGCTGTCACTCGAGTTTGTGGTTGAAATTGTTGGGTCAACATGATTCATGACACATGTGGGTTGTTGTTGGGATGGATCTGTCATTGTGTATACATGATCTTTTTCATTCATCATCATGGACATCATTATTAGATGGTCATTCATGTTTGGATCTATCATCATCATGGGTAACAATAATTGATCTTTTGAAGGATCATTCAGGTTGAAATCATTATCAAGTGGAATGTTTTCCTTATTCGAGGTGTTGGACAAGATGGTCATCTTTTCATTGTGTCCAATCAACGTGTGATTCATCTCATTAGTAGTCATATTGCATGTAATCTTCTCTTTCTTGATTTGGAGTGGCAATTCTGTTTTAATTTTCTTTGTGAGTGGAGTGATGGTGTTGGACCTAATGTCATTCTTTGAACACTTCTTCTTATGACAAGTCACACTCTCATCCTTATTATTGTCATGATGATCAAGTGGAACTCGATCTTCCTCCTCTCTCATTTCATGTTTGATCAACTTTGAGACATCTTCACTCTTCTCGAATGCAATCCTTCCACTCATACTCTGTACATCCTCCTCTCTTGATTCTTCAATGCTTTGTTTAGAATCACAAGTGTCAGTAGCAGTTGGACTACTGGAGTGATCTCTTGATTGTTGTTTTCTCTTCTTTGAATTTCGATCTTGAATGAGAAAAGCACCACTCTGCCATTCAATATCACAACAAGCATTGTTGCAATCACAAGTTGTATCATGTTGATGATCAACTCTATTACCATCCAACCATGGAGACAACATTCTCTTTTGGTCCATAGTGGAATCATCACTGTTGGTGGTGGAGGCACTAGGCATAGTGTTGGTAGTAGTAGTAGTAGTTGTAGTGATGGCATTCAACATGGACATTATTTTCTTCTCTCGATCCAAGAGAGAGATTTTAAATATAGCTCTTGTCCCTCGATTCACCTTTTCAATATTCACTTTGAGTTGAGAGCAATAACGTTGATCATTAATCTTGTAGAGTGTGGACATGGTCTCTTTTGAGAGAAGAGAGTTTCCTTCTTGTGTACATAGAAGAGTATTGCTTTTAGGATCATACAATTCAATTAAGCAATAGTATCGATTGGGTTTGTAAATAAAGGATTTTGACTTGCATTCTAAAGTAATTTCAAATTTGAGGACATTACTCTTTTTGATCACATCATGTGATAACCCTTCCACATCAATATTGGTGAGAATTTTACAATCGGTGATACTCGATGCAAGAATGGAGTTGGAATGGTCTTTCCTTGTAAATTTGATGGTATTATGGAATTCCAAAGGTTTTCGGTTAGGCATGGCTATAAATAGATGTTATTGGGAGATGAAAAATTCAAAAGACGAATCAATATGCTTAAGAAGAAGCTTCACAATGGCAATATTTTTGAGAGAAGGAACGAATATTCGTTGTGGATGCGTTTTTTTGTGGTGTTGGTTGTTCAGTTGGTTCTTGATAAAATATTTGAATGGCTTGGTTTTGCGAATGAATGAATCGCTTCTCGTTGAGTTGTCTTTCCACTTGATAGAAAAACGCTGGAACTTTGGAGTGGCTCTCTCGCGCAAAGACAATCCTTTTTTAGCGGTGAAGCGCGTTGGTGACATGGTTTACAACAAGGAATGGCGGGATTCCATTCTTTTCGTTCAGATACGAAAAATTTCGTTCTCGTATTTTTTAGAAATTTCTGAGGAGACAACCACTTCAAGGCATGGAACGGACAGCTGTTCAAGTGTTTGAGAAAACAATTGATTTACTTTAAAATCACCCTTTACTAGGACAGAACCCTCAGAAGGCATTTCCTCAACCCACATCCATCTCTCAAATTGGCCAAAGAGGGTTGTCTTTGGTGAAGTTGAACCTTAAACTCATCCTATTCATCAATCTGTATTGTCAAAATAGCACTTGATAATCAACAAACATGTATGAAAATTAAAATACCACAAGCTTAAAAAAGAGGAATGCTTTTTCAAAACTTTTTCCAAGTACTTGTCAACTAAAAAAAATGTTTCATCCAATCACTCAAAGATTTCTCTCAATTCTGCCATTTCACACAATTATTAATGTTTTACTAGTGACCATCATCTCTATCACTTTAATAATATTCTATCGGAAAAGAAAGAATCTTCATTCCCGAGAATTCTCAACCTCCTCTTCGACGATTCAAATCAATTCATTCCTTTCCGATCCGAAGGGTGGTCAAAAGATTCTTGAAGAGGATGATGACAATGAACAACAACAAGAAGGAATACTCATGATGAACAACAACAACAATCATTTGAATGAGTCTGATTCATTGACAAATGATATTAGTACATCATCTTCCAACAAGATTCACCAACAACAACAACAACAGAATGATCATGATTTCAAAGATTCACCGACGCATCATGATGATGATGATTATTCTTCTTCTTCTGAACACAATTTTATTGGTCAACTCCGTTCAGAGGAGTATTCAACTAGGATCGGACGAGAGTGGAGATTTTTAAAAAACTTGAAAGAGAGAGCAATGAACAACAACATGTTTCTCTCTGTCCAACTACAACAACAACAACAACACGACTTTATAGAATTAATCAAACGCATCAATGAAAATTATCAAAAAGATTATCTTATTTTACAATCACCAATTGCGAGAGGAAGAGTGTTTAAAGACTCCACGACTCTGATGCAATTAGGGACAGCAGTGATCATCGTTCAGTCACGTAGTCGTGGAGTTCTCTCTCGACGTTCACATGAATCTCTAAAGAGTGGATTGAAAAAGATCAAGTTATTGGAGGAAGCAATATCGACAAGTCTTAGTCATGAGATCACCATCATGATGGATCGTAGTGATCGTACTAGTAGTAGTGATCATAATAATAATTTTAGCATGATCATCGATACTGAAAGTAGTAGTAGTAGTAGTTGTACGACAAGTAGTAGTAGTTGTACTGGAAGTGTGAGTAGTGGTAGTAGTAGTAGTTGTACGACAAGTAGTAGTAGTATTGACAATACGGATCTGACTTGCCATGATGATGAAATGAAACAAGAAACCACCATCCATGCAACCACCAGGACCACTCTTCAAAAAGAGTTCAATGCTATCGATTTCCCTCAACAGGTAAAAGTCAACAATGAAATGGAATTAATTGTTGATTCAATTACTGCTACTACTACGGATTCATCATCACTAACACTCCTACAAGCCTTATGGAGAGGACATTTCATACGAAGAAAACATGAATTTCATTTGTTTCAAAAACGACTCATTCTCTTCCAAGCACTTGTACGATCCTTCTTATTGTTACAACAACGAAAACAATCACTCCAACAACATTGGAAGGAGTTACAAGAATCTACCACAACCACTACCATTACCACCACCAACACCACCAACACACCTTCTTCTTCTTTCGTATCCTCATACTCTCCTTCTAAGGAATTCGAAGAATTTCAAAAAGAAGAGAATGAAGAATTCCATAAAGAGAATTCACCACGAGGAGTAGTAGTAGTGGAGGAGGAGGAAGATGAGGAGGAAACAAATGATAGTCACATTCATTCTACGACTATTCATTCTACTACTACTACAGCTTCTCCTATTCATACTACTTTAGATCATCATCCAATGGAGACTTGTGGTAGGACTGCAACTGAAATGAAAGAGATCACCCACTCATCCAACCTTATTGTTGATGATGATGATGACTTGTTTCTTACTCAAGAAGAAGAAAACCATTCTCAATGCTCAACAACAACAACAACACCACCACCACCACCATCATCATCATCGTCCTTATCAACACCACCAACCAATACCACCACCAATAGCACCACAACTAGTACTGCTGAAATGAATCCAACCGGTGTGGATACTAGTAGTAGTAGTATTCACAGGCCATCCTCCTCATCTTCCTCCTCCTCCACGTGTGCAACCCAAGCGACCCAAGAGAAAGAAGAATTGAAATTCTCATCCTCATTACCTGAAATACCATATGCACCATCAACAACAACAACAACTCCAACACCACCACCACCCTTATCAACAACACCACCACCACTCACTACTAGTACTCCAATCCTTTCAGCTTCAAACAACAGCACCACCACCATGATGATGATGATGATGGAGAATGTTACTACTACTACTACTCTTCCTTTAGAAGGAGTGGTGAATCAAAATGAAAAGGAGAAGAGTGAAACCATCTCAACAACAACAACACCTGAAATAACAACAACACCACATTATTATGAGGAGATTCAACAACCATCAACAACAACACCACCACCCTTATCAACAACAACAACAACAACACCACCACTCGAATCACCACCATCGCACGTTGAACACCTCTCAGAATATTCTGCTCATTATTATTATGAAGAAAAGAAACACGACTATGAACAAGGCACCGATTTGAAAAAATTAACAGAAATTTTGAAAGAATTGAACAACAAGGAACATGCTTCAACTACTACTACTACTAATACTATTACTACTACTACTACTACCACCATGAACAACAACAACATGATCACCACCACCACTGAGGGCAGCAATAATTCTAGCCATAATAGTACTACTACTGAATCCATTATTGGAGATTCCTTTCAATGGGTGGATCCTTCACGTGTGAAACAACTTGAGATTCAAGTGAAACCTAGAATGGTGAATGTAATGGATGATCATCCTCAAGATTTATCAACCTTACCCATTTATTTGTATTTGTTTCTTATTTCAAACCGTGGAAATTATCGTGATGTGGAAATTTCTAAAGAAAAAGCAAAGCATAATCGTGGAATTGCAAATCTTCAATTCTCATGTGATCCTCCAAATATTTTGAGAAAAACAAATCATAACAATCATAATAACAATCATAACAATAATAATAATAATATGGAAGGAAATACAACAACAGATGATGAACAAGCAAGTGATAATCACCAAAAGTGTTTACTATCTTTCACTGTAGTATTTGGAGAATTGTCAGAAAGTTTTGATAGGATTGTATTTGGAGTGTATGTGGATGTTTCTGAAATGAGAAAACACTCAAATCATACGAATAATAATATTATTGAGGATCAACAAGAGTTGTTAGAATCATCATTATTACCTTGTCTCATGGAATATGATTTGGATATAATGTTGAAGGCAACAATGAAACAAGACGATGAAGAATTATGTCAACACTTTGAAACTCGTTTTAAACCTTTTGATGATGCATGTCCTCTTGAGAAGGGCAATGATCGTGTGTTTTTCAGTATTGGATTGCTGAGAAAAGAGGATCACCAATCGAATTGGAAATTTGAACCACTCTTAATCAATCATCAACAGACCCAACTGAAAGTGGCCAATATTCATGAAGTATTGAACATTTAAATGCAATCAAAGAGAGAGCTCGACGACGAATGTGTGTGTGTGTGTGAATTGAATCGATTCGATATTCAAATTTTTATTCAAGTTCATTCAAAATTTCCTTTAAATAACTCACAAAGTCAAACACCTCAATAAATTGATTGTAAAGTGGAACAGGTGAAACTCGGATAATATCAGGTTCTCTTGTATCAATAATGATTCCTCTCTTCTTCAAAGCAGTATCCACTTGATGCAAGTTTTTACCAATCACTCTGATGGAGAGTTGACAACCTCTCATGTTTGAATCACTGGGTGTTATGATGTGAATTTTGTCTCCCAACTCTTGTCTCAACAACAATTCTAGATAGGTCGTGAGCAAGACAGATTTCCTTCTTAGAACACTCATAATTTCTCCATTTTCTTCGACCATTTCAAAAACTTTAAGACTTGATAAAATTGCTGTCATGCTCAAAATACCTAGAAAAGAGTATTTTGAAGAATGATCTCAATACAACTCCACTAAATATTCAACTTACATGGATTTGACATTTGGAAACCAGCTGCTCCTGGTTGAGGATTGAACTTGGAGGAAAGGGAAAATCTTGTTTGTGCATCTCTAGACCACCATCCCATGAAACGAGGACGTTCATCCATATTCTCATAAGCATGCTTTTCATGAACAAATATTCCACTAATTCCACCTGGACCACTGTTGAGATACTTGTAAGAACACCAACACGCAAAATCACATCCCCATTCGTGTAATTTCAAATCAATATTTCCAACAGCATGTGCTAAATCAAAACCACACATAATTCCATACTCTTGACATGTCTTGGCAATTGTCTTCATATCAAAGCATTGTCCAGTCATGAATTGAACACCACCAATTAATGACACACAAATATTAGAGTCACTCTTCAAACAATTCACAATATCTTCAGTTCTAAGTGTTTCTTCACCTTCACGTGGTCCAATTTGAACAATACATCTCTCCACAATTTCATCACTTGTTAAATTTTCATTTCCAAATATTGCTCTCAACTCTCCAACTCTACATTTAATGTGAGAAGTTACAGCATGCATATCACTTGGAAATGGAAATTGTTCAATGAGAATTTTGTATTTTTGTTTAGTAGGTCTGTAAAAAGCCATGAGCAAAACTTGTAAATTTGCAGTCAAGCTGTTCATGACTGTCACTTCAATAGGTTTCGCTCCAACGATTTTAGCCATTGCATTCTTGACAGATTCTTCCACTTGGAACCATTTGTTGGTACCAAAAGCAGAACTGAAATGTCCTTCCACACCAATATGAGACCATTTGGTGAGTTCTTTTTCAATGTTATGAGCCAACAATTTTGGTTGTAATCCGAGTGAATTTCCACAAAAATACAGGACTCGTTTTTTCACGCACTCTGAATCGTCATGACCGTTCTCACAGTGGGTACCATCTTGAATGTACTCACTTGGAATCATATCGGGATAATTAAATTCATTTCTCATGTGCTTCAATGGATCACTTTCATCAAGTGTGATGGCAAGCTCTCTCTGAGAAAGGCTGTAATTAGAACGAACACGTTCCAAAAAATCTTGAGAAGATGATTTCAATGATTGGGTTTTATCATGTTCCTCCTTCTTTCCTCTGTAAATTTGGAAATTATAATTTTCAAATGTTGGTGCTGATGATTCCAAGGAAGTGTCGGATGATGATGATGATGGTGATGAAAGACGAGAAGAGGACACCAAGCTGAACTGAGACATTTTTTTCATCCTCTTTTAGCTGCCCGCATATGGCCGAGTGGTTTTTCTGGAACTGTGGCAGCCAACTGGTCCAGCGTTCGAATCCCAGGGGTTGCTGCTGTTATCGTGAGCAGTTTAAACACCTTTACTTCCGGGGTGCCTGCTAGGAAGTCACTACGTATCTTACGTTCGGCTTGTAAATAATGTACATAAAACCATCGAACAACGTTTATCATCGAATAAACCCATCCCTGAATTTTTTTCATCCTCTTTTACGGTTGACTGACAATTTTGGAAAAAATAGAGTCGAGACCCTCTCTATCGTTGGTTGGAGATGAAAGGCTCATGCAAGGGGCACAAACGACGCTCTTATTGGACCCTTACCAAAATCACACTAATATTCAGCAAATGGACCGTAAATGATGAATGCATGATCGGAAGATAATGTGTTATCCAAATTTTCCATCGCTGGTGTTGAAGCATCAATTTTTGCAGACGCAACCGTTGATCCTCAAATAAAACAAGAGGGGGAGAACATTTTGTCGTCTTTTTCGTCGATATCCAGACCATCATAAATGGTCATCTGATTTAGGTGAGGACGCTCTTTTTTCGAATCCTTTCCGACGAACCATCTCTCTCTTACGATGAACCTTCTTAATCGCTTTCAAATTAGAGAAGCGAAACACCTTAATCCATGGAACGATAATGAATGTTGTGGAAGAAGAATTGCCCAAGAACCCAACGACTGACCGCACGATCGGACTGTACCTTCGTTGGAGAACTTGTGTTTCCTGTCTTAGGAACGGATAGGACTTACAAAAAAAATGCCCAAACAAACGCAAGCCTTTACCACCACCGCAACCACAAGCTCCTCGATGAACCATGTAACCATTCCTCCTCAACAACAACAACAACAACAACAACTGGTCAATCCAGAAATTTCCGAATATCTACTCAATGTAAATTCTGTTGAAGAAGAGTTTCATCCTATAAGTTGTCTGAACTGTAAAAAACTTCATAAAAAATGTAACAAGAAACTGCCACAATGCGATCGATGCGTTTCTAAAGGAATTTCATGTCAATATCCTGATCCTAAAAAGACCAAGAAGAATACGTTATCTTCGGGATCTACTCTAAATGAAAATACTCTTGCTGCTACACTCAAGAATCAAAACACTCATCTCTCGAAACGCAATGTTCTTGATTTGTATTATTCTGTCATTTGTCATTGTCATGCCAATGCAGTGATTGAAAGAAATCAATTTGAAAATTATATTTTATATAGAAATTTAGATGATGAAAATCAACCAGATGAAATCAAAGCCATCAATTGTTTATATTTGAGTATTCAAGCATTGGCTGAACAGAGATGTGGTTTATCGGAATTGGCAGAAGAGAGCGCAACAAAGGCAAGAACTTGTTTGAGTAAGATTTTTGATTTTCATACCAACTTTTATGTTACTTGTGCCTATGTATATTTGGCATTGTTTGAGGTAGGTTTAGATGTGTTCAAATTCTTGATTATATGATCGTGTGTTTATATTCTTTTTATGATGTGTTATAATTTCATGATTGATCTTTTTTTCATCTTTGAATAATTTTAATTATTCACAATTAAACCACCGACCCTTCTTTTTTTTTATTCCTATCCATGGACCTCTCTCAATAGTCTGGAAATGGTAGATTTAGAAATGCAAGATATTATCTTCACAATTCACATTTCTATTTTGAAGAACTAAAGAATGTTCAACTCACACCAGAACAAGTTTCTCTCACTAAAACTAAAATCTTTGTGGAATGTCAATGTAATGAAAGTAGAGATGAAGTGAGTGAAATGATGAGAGACTTACCAACCATGTTTTATCTTGCCACTGGAAAGATGCTTCCTTCTCAATGGTCTAAATTATTAGTTTTAGATGGTATGTATGAATCAAATCTTTCATCAAATGTTTACTTAGAATATGGATATCAATGATGATGGTATATCAATGATGAATCTCAATGATGATGAATGAATGGTGATAATTTTAATGATTTTCATATACATGATCTATTGCTGGGTTATTCATTTTTTGAATAGATGTCAATACTCTCAATGTTGCCAATCGACTCCGAGCTGCTGAAATTGTTTCTGGAACAAGCCATAAAAATCTCAGAGAATTAGCTCCACCCGAATTTAGAAAAGATCATAACAGTAATTTATGTGATACTTCCTACACAATGATTATATGTGGATTGAGAATTGGAATATTATCCAAAGTGGGTTGCGGAAAACAATTAATTGAAGAATCTGCTCTCAAAATTACATATTTAACACAAGCTCCAAATTTTGCACTCGTTGCTCCAAATATGGTAGTCTATGTAGCAGTTGCAGCAATGATTCATTTACATTTAGTTCGTTTAATTAACAGTGGACAACGTGCTAACAATCAAATAGGTTTATTGAGTGATGGTAGAAAAGGTCCAGTGAATTATCATGAAGTTCTTTCAATGGATTTACAAGCATTGAAATTATTGGCAACAAGATTTAAGAAAGTTTCTGTCACGTATGGATCATTGATGCAGGAAATTGAAAAGAATATTCCCAAGACCATTATTGATAATTTGGAATCTAAACAAAAAGAAAAGAAGGACTTTAATATTTCAAAGATTCAAGAAACATCGATAACTTTTTTAAACGAAAACAATCAGATTATACATGCACCATTGAGAGAAATTGAGGATGGAAAGTTGGAAAACTTTGAGGTGATTCAACATGCAGAATTGACATTGGAGCAAGAAGCTAGAAAATTGATCATGATGAATCAACAACAGCAACAACAATCTCTTTTTCAACAACCTAATAATGGAGGAACAACTCTCAACCCAACTGTTGTTCCTCAAAGTACAATACTACAACAACAACAACAATTATTGCAACCACCACCTCTTTCACAACAATCCATTTCATCGATACAATTGCAACAACAACAACAACAATTACAACAATCACTACTACATTCATCATTCACCTCTAATCACCCCAATTACATGCATGCGCCAACTGTCGCCACACCTACCCTTAATACTATTGCCTACAATAACAACAACTCAAATAACCTCCTATACACTACCTTGCCATATATTGATCCAACCATATTGAATGCTAATGGTACAGCTCAAACTCCTAATACGGTCACCAGTGCTTCATCCTCTTCTGACACGTCTTTTGAAGGATTAAATCCACAACCCGAACAACACGTGTCCTCTGATGAAGACGACAACACTTTCGAAGATCTATTGCTGGATGAATTGATGCAAAACAATGAAGATTTCGATCCATTTCTCGAGTATGACGATCTAGATACCATATTCGATCCTTCAACTTACGTGGCAGAGGAATAATAAATAATTTATTCCACGTCAATTGGATCATTAAGAAAATCGTAGAGTCGTTTAGCATTTTCTTGAGAATTCATTATTTCTGCCAATTCCTCCAAGCTCAGATCACACAACTCGTACAAATTTGTCACTGCATTCATGATTCGTGAAATATTTTCTGTCGTGACACCAGGCATTCGCGACAAAAAGTCGATGGCTTGATTTGTGGACTCCGCTTCCTCTTCATGATTTGAGGTACCAATTGCTTGAGCTAAGGCAATATCTGGTTCATAGTCTTCTTCACTCTCTGACATGTCGAAATCATTGTATTGTAACACTTGATGTTTCATCATGTAGAAATATTTTCCTGTAACAGCTGGAGATCGAGAGTAAGAAATTTTCAATTTTGGAAAATGTGAAACAGTGAGAACCAATTTGGTAATGATTGATTTCTCCTCAATTCTTCCATCTTCTCGTGTCGCATATCCAGGGTATGGATCTGGAAGAGCAAATGCTTCATCTTCCTCGAATTGAATGAGTAACACTGCATGTTTGTAATATTTTACCATATTCTCTGCTTGTTGAAATAATCTTCCTGATCCCAAACTTTGCCACAAATCGGATGTGCTCTTTCTTTCTACACAACAATGTTTCGAAAGAATATAATCTCCAACAGAAATTTGTAGAGGAATCACTCGGTAACCACTCAAATTCAACAAAGAAGGTAAAGAACTTCTAAATTCTCTTGCATCAATAATAATTTTCGATTTTTCTCCAAAGTTAAATTCACCTTGTGGTTGTGAGGAAGATCCTATGACTGCCAAATTACCACCAGCCTTTCGTGTATCTGCAAATGCTTTAGGAACTAGTTTGACACTGTCACTTTGTGTTTTTCGTTCTCTGAGTAAAATGTTTGACAATAAAGTATCCATCGATGGCACTGTCATTTTGCCATAACTCATGATCAGTTTTTTAAAAGCTTCTTTTTCTTTCTCAACGGTTGCACAGTATTGTTTGTATTCAACACTTTTGTGATCGTATGAGATTAAATAGACATGCAATGGAATGAAAGGATATTTGCATTGATATTGTTCTAATTTTCTCACAAATGCCAAATCATTTTCATAAAGAACTACAAAGGAAGGCATTAATTCATCCAAAATAGTTGCTGTGTCATAAAGTGAGTGAATAAATAGTTGCATTTCAGATGTCATTGATTCACTTTCAATAATTTCAAAAAAGTCATCTAAAGGGTGATTGGATGAAGGAGGAGTTTTTGGAGTCTGTGGTGAGGATGATGAGCCATTCGTCAAATTGTTTTTCACTTCCTTTTTCTTCTTTGAAGGAGATTTCACTTGAATAATTTCTGGTTCTTCTTCACTGTCTGTTTCAATTTCTGCTTCATCACCACTTGCAATGTCTTCCACATGGTGAACCAATATAGATTCCTCTAATTTACTCTTCTCTATTTCTTCATCATTTTGTACATAGGCAGAAACATGTTGACTCAATAGTTCAAGTTCATTTTCTTGCATATCCTTTTTCTTTGCTCCTTTCTTCTTTGTGGTACTCTTTGGAGATTTTTTGTCGTCTTGTCCTAATTTTTCTTGTTTCTCTTTTTCCAGTTTTCGTTGTTGTTTTTTAATGTGAGGTCCTATTAGTTTGTGAATTAATCGATTGAGGAGAGTTTTACCTCCCAGTTCTAAATAAGTTCTCACTTGAGAGCAACTCTTTTCATTGGAAACTAAAATCAATACACGACCATTGATATTGGGATTGGTAGTCGTTCGAATGATTTGATAGATTGAATCCAAAGTCTCTTCCAATTTCTTCCATTTTGGATTTTCCTCAAGAATAAAATTAATGCGATCGACGTGTACGTAGGGATCACCGTCTCTTCCTTGTGCCATTTGTGTTAAAGTTTTTTGTTTTTTGAGAGGAGATTTCAACTTGGATGTTTCAAGGGTGTATATTCGTTCTTTTGCATGCATATAAATATCAGAGGCTGTATCAGTTAATAACCAATTGGAAGAGGGTATTCCATTCTTTCCATCAGATAGCCTTAATGTCTCTAAATAGTCATAAAATGTTACACAATCGTAATTGAGTAAATAAAAAAGTAATGTTCTCATGGATTTTAAGTCTTCTATTAGTTTTTTAGATTGCACACCAATTCTATTCCATATAGGTCGTAATTGACTCATGATAATGCTGTGAAAACTCTTAAAATAGCAATCTTCAATTTGAACCTCACTTAGATCCAACTTTTTGTAATGTCTAAATATTCACATGTTTGATTAATGTTAATAACACACACATACCGATGGATTATTTCTCTTTAGAGATTCCAAAGATGTTGTAATGATATCTACAATACAACTCTCAATTAAACTCATCCTTTCAGTCATGGGAACAATAATTTCAATAACCGTTGGTTGAAATTTACTCAATGTCTCAGCAACTTGAACATCAAACCTAGGCTTAAATTCTACCTTATCTACAAACAATAATTTCATGACATCTTCCAGTTTAGAAAAACCTCGCGCCAACTCTTCGGGATGTTCCGTAAATCCTTTTACAAAGGCTGTCTTATTTTTCATTCGAAAAACTCTCAAAATAAAAGATTCCGTAGATTTCTCAGTGATTTGATGAGCGTTGAGGACCACAATTCCCGAAACGTGATCAATGGGTACTTTATCATTTAATAAATCTACAATTAAAATTCTACTCGTTATGAATAGACATCCTCCTTGATCGTATAATTCTTTTCGTTCGTTAATTGTAAAGGTAGAAGTGATGGATTTGGGAATATTTTCGATTTTTACTAATCCACTTTCTAAAAGTAATTGTTTAATTAATTCTTCTTCTCTCGGACTACCATTGATGATGAGTACTAATTGAGAAGGATCACAAAACATTCTCAGTAAATGTACAATGATGACTTCAATTCCGAGACCTTTTGCCATGACTAACAAGGCATTCTTATAGTCCTCATCAAATAATTTTAATAATAAATTAGTTTGAAACATATTCAAGTGATTCAATGAGCAAGTAGTCGGTGAAGATGGTGAAGTCGATGAGGATGATGACAATGAGGAAGACGTCGATTTCATTTTTCTTTTTTTCAAAAAAAAATTACTCCAGCAGTCTCGGGAATCGAATGAAATCTTGTCAGAACTCGTTCACACGAAAGCTGAAATGGAAGCTTATTCCCAGAGCTGGAGCATTTAAGTTGTTAAATATCATCACACATTTGATCCCACATCATCCAGCCAGATCAACCTTCCATTATGCATTGAAAAAGAACTCCCTCTCACCAATTTTTATTATTATTATTGAAAGTCGAACAAAAAAACCAATGAAAGCAAAACCATCCTCTCTTCTCAAAACACTCCTCACACCGTGCATCTCCTCGTGCCGATACCAATATGTATGGCACTTTTGTGGATGCACACCAACAACATTCACACCACAGCAGACAAGATCTTGTCGTCAGTTCCATCATTCAACCATCCATCTTCAACAAGATCATTCATCAATCTCTCTCATGACCAATACAACTACTACTACCTCCACACCCATCAATCCACCATTAGGCCAACCCAAAGAACAAGATGAATCAAGAACTTCACCACCTGAATCAGGAAAAAGAAACAATCATTCAAGTTCCACATCCTTACCACATGCTCTTCGTGAATTCAAATCCATTTTTGGAGAGACCAATGTCATGGATGATGAAACATTCATTCAGAGTGAAATGATCGATTGTTCAGGCAATACGAGACATGTTCCTGCCATTCTCTATCCAAATAGTGTGGAACAAATTTCAAATATAGTTCGAGTGGCCAATGCATTCAAAATTAATCTCTATCCAGTTAGTACAGGTCATAATTGGGGCTATGGATCGAGTAATCCCATCGAACACGATTGTGTGGTTGTGAATTTATCAAAAATGACACAAATTGAATTCCATGATGAAGAGACAGGTCTTGTCACTGTGGAGCCAGGAGTGACACAAGGTCTTTTACATGAATATTTGGTGAAAAGGAATTTACCATTTCTAGTTCCAACCACTGGTGGAGGCCCAAATTGTAGTTTATTAGGAAATGCATTGGAGAGAGGATTTGGTGTGACTCCTCATGCCGATCACTTTGCTGCTGTCATGTCCATGGAAGTCGTTTTACCCAAAAATGGTGAAATTTATACTTCCATGCTTGAGAATATGGGTGGATCGAAACGAGTGGAAAGATCCTTCAAGTGGGGTGTTGGACCCTATGTGGATGGTCTCTTTACTCAAAGCAATTTGGGTATTGTGACGAAAATGACAATTCTTTTAGCACCAAAACCAGAGAGAATTGAAACTTTCTTTTTTGGTGTTTCGGAATTGCAAGTTGGAGTTGAGGGAGTGAAAACTGTATTGAAACAATTAGGATCCAACATTGGAGCGATTAATTTAATGAATCAGAGACGAATGATGTCCATGGCAGTTCCCTATCCGAGAGAGAAGGTCACCACGAATGGAATTTTACCTCCACAGGTAGTCGATGAAATTTCCAGACAATACAATTTTCTAAAATGGAATGGAGTGGGTACCATTTATGGCACCTCCAAAGTAGTCTCTGCAGTGAAGAGTGAAATCAAAAAGTATCTCCTCAAACAACAACACCACCACCACCTCAACCACCCTCCAATTCAACGCTTAATCTTTTTAACCCCAGAAGAAGTGAACTTTTATTCAGAACTTGTTCAGTTCGTGCCATTCCTCCATCAGCATCGCATTCATCATTATTTGAAAACCCTCAACAAGTCCATGAAAGTCATGAAGGGAGAACCAAGTGAAATTGCACTTCCATTGGCCTATTGGAAATTGAAAAATGGTTTACCATCATCACCTTCATCTGTTGCACTCCCCAACAATCATCACACTAATCACAACTCTGAGGAATTCAAAAGAAGTGGTCCTAATGCTTGTACTTCTCTTCTTCATCCTGCCAAAGATGGATGTGGTTTAATTTGGTATGCTCCACTTGTACCACTCACCACGTATGATACCAATCGCTTTGTGGCAATGGTTGAAGAAGTGTGCATGAAACATGGTATTGAACCTTTGATTACATTCACAAGTTTTTCAGATCGATGTGCAGATGGAACTGTTCCAATTTTGTTTGATAAGGAAACTCAATTAGAAAGTGCTCATGCTTGTTTGAAAGAACTCACTGCAAGAGGAAGGGAAATGGGATACGTTCCATATCGATTGGGAATTCATTCCATGTCTGAAATTACTCAAAGAGATGCAGTTCCTTCCATTTTAAAGGACATTAAAAGAGTGGTGGATCCAAATGGAATCCTTGCTCCAGGAAGATATGGATTGTATTAAGAAAGAGAAAACTTTAATGTTGTATGTACTGCACTCTCGACACTTTCATTGTACTCTTGAATGAAAAAACAAAAGAATATGTATTGTGATGATTTTAATATATTCCACACTGAAAAGACTCGATGATCCATCTAATTTTGATACCACTTATTCTTTCAATAACTTTTCAATATCGTCAGTCATGTCCTTTGGATTTGTGGTTGGTGCATAGCGCTTGAGAACCTTGCCATCCTTTCCAATTAAGAATTTACTGAGAGAGAGTGAAATATATGAATTCATTGATTGAAAAAAAGATTCTCCTCATCGTTTGCGCTTTTTTAAAACTATACTTACGTAAAATTCCACTTGATAGCATCCACCAAGAATCCACTTCCTTCCTTCTTCAACCATGCATATAAGGGATGAGCTAATGTAATTTTAATAAATATATAGAATTAGTTGAATTAGAACTTCAGTTGATACCTACTTTGATCACCATTGACATTAATCTTGTCGAAAATTTTAAAGGTCACTTTGAATTTACTTCTTGCGAATTGACAAATTTCTTCATTCGTTCCTGGCTGTTGTTGATGTGTTTTCAGAATAATGTTCAAATTCGAAATCATATGATCATGATCCGAGGAGAATGTGTTGTAACTGTGGTTACATACCTCTTGAGATCCAAATTGATTACATGGGAAGGCCAAAATTTCAAATCCTTGATCCTTGTACTTGTTGTAAATTTCTTGCAATTCATCTATTGTAAAAGTTGTTGTTGTTGTTGTTGTTGTTCAACATAATATTTCGATCACGTACCATACTAGAGTATTGTGATTTCATTCAAATAGTGATCATGATGATGGTCCATTCGCAAACCGATGATGATGATCATTTGGATTCTCAACAGCACAACACTTACTTGTTTGGTAAAGCCACATTTGGAAGCAACATTCACAACCATCACTACTTTTCCCTTGTAATCAGACATTAAAACATCATTCAATTGGGCATCCTTTGCAGTAAATGAATAGAAATCATTGGTCATTGTAAGAGAGGTATAGTCGTGGGTATGGTCTTGATTAAAGTAAAGCGGTCGGTCCGAGGGTGTTTTGTGCTGATTTTTTGTGTTTGATTTAAGAGCTGAAATTCAACGTACTCGACCTGTCCTTCCTGCGTCGGACTTCAATTAGGGACTTCTTCTGAGGAAGGACTCTCCGTCGAGACGACCGAGCATTGAGGAAAAAAAAGTGGGAATTTTGAGGAAGGACACTCCTCAAATCTTCCGTGGGTCAGTTCCACGCGTATATTCTCTCTGAGTCCTTCGGATCGACCCATCGTTCGTTGCATAACCATTATTGAATGTGGTCAGGAAATGGGTTCAATGTTGTTGTTGCTGTTGCTATTTTACTTGCAAACAACCACTGACATTGAACCTTTTACAAAAAATCAGCTCATGCCACAAGACACAACAACGGAAGCATTGACACACTCCCGTAATAGGAACATTATCATACCGATCACTGCTCTTCCCAATGAAACTCTGTTGGATATCTTCTCCTTCATCCACCCTCCCTCATGTACGGAATATCACTATTTCATGATACAATTACCTTCGGTGTGCCGAGATTGGTTCCATCTATTGAGAAGAACTGAAAGTGGGAATTACTTTTATCGGATTGTGTTTGATCGCTTGTTTTCATGGAGAAGATTGGCCTCGTTGTTTCTTGATGATCAATCCTCTCCCGAACATTCCATCACGAAAAATAGTCTTGATCAATTGAATTGGTATGAAGAGTTGAAAAAACAAGTGCTTGTATTTAAAAAGTGTGAGTTGTCAATCACTCATGTTGAGAATCGAAAAGCATATTCATTGAGAGCAGACAGAGATTTGAGTTTTAATGATTTAGTAGCTGTGAAACAAACGATTGGCAGTGATGTCGTTTTGATCAATTGTCCAATTCGTTCAGCAGCAAAAGAAAGAGCTTGTTTTTATTTTGAATGTGTTTGTACAGATAATCGAAAAGAATCCGATAATGTATTTCTTGGAATTGCAATTCGACCAACAACGATCATGTCATCAAACATGGATCAACAACACCAGTACATTCTTTCAGGTTATTTAGGAAGCACACATGCGAGTGTGGGTTATTATTATATTAATGGTGACTTGTATTATGGAGGATCTATAAAAAGTCGATCATTTGGATCACCCATCGATATCAATGACAAATTGGGAATTTATATTGATTCACACAAAATGAAATTTGCCTTCTTTAAAAATAGAGAATTAGTAGGAAGGACACTCGATCTGTTCTCACTCTTTGGAGAAACAACAATTTTTCAATTTGAAAAAGGTGAAATTGAATTTTATCCTGCGTTTTCAATGCTCTATGATAGAGATTGCATGCATGTGAAATGTATGGACATTTGCTCCTTTAAGGGATGTAAATGGTTGAAAGAGGCGATTGAAATGATGGATTAAAAAGTTGGAAAAAAAGACCTTCATTTGATTCAAAGGACATTAAAAGAGATACACGAAGCAAGTGTTGATCAAAATCCTTTTTCACAATTTTGTTTATTGAATGAGGCATTTCGTCCTGTTGGTGTTGCTTCTACTTTTTTGATCATAACTGTGTCTTCTTTGAATGTTGTGAGTATCGACATGCAGGGAGTCCTTGTGGTCCTCTTCATGTTGTTGATGATCGGAGGAGTAGTAATAGTTGGGAGGAACAGTTCGAGCACTCACAGAGGCTAATGTCTTGTCATTTGTTAAAGTCATGGGTCGGAAAGGCAAAGAGAACTCGAGCTCGGGAGGCTTCTGATCGTTGCCATCTTCATCGATCGTGACTTTTGGTTCATCCGCGAATTTCACACCCTGAGAGGATGACTCGTTATTGCATGTGTTCGAATGAGACAACTGTTCCCGAAAGAAAGTGTTTGGTATTAAGTGATGTTTCAATTTGAATGCAAGGACTTGTCGAGCCACATGGTTGAATAGTTCAGTAACATTGATGTTATCTTTGGCACTCACTCGAAAGAGAGGTAAGTGTGTATCTGAGAGAAGTAATTGAATGAGTTCACCTTGTCGTCGTTTAGAGTCAAAGCTTGGAGTTGGTTGGGTGGTCGAAAGTGGTGTGGTGTTCGATTTGGGAATGAGGAGATGGTTGTCCATGTTGGTCACTTTGAACTCCCTATTTGTGTGATGAATATTATCATCTTGCTTGGTCATTGCTAAAACAATCACTTTCGATTGATAGAGAGAAGAGTCTTCTCCTCCACATGCTTTCTTAATGGTATTCAATTCATTGTAAACAAAATCAATGAAATCCTCTTGTTTTGCATCAAAACAAATGATAAAAGCATCCATTTTTGAATAATGCCGTTCTTGTCTTTGTTGACATTCGACAAAATATTTCTCATCAAATAAGGCGTCACAATCAGACTGTCGATCATCTGTATTTTCAAGATCAGTAATGTAGCGAGGAATGTAATCTTCAATATTAAGAATAATATTAAGAGTCAATGTATTGGAAAGTTGAGTGGAAAATGATTTCGTTTGATGTGATTGATTCATAATGGAAGGAAGAGAAGAATTGGTGCATTCAGATGATGGATGGGAAGAGATTTGATCAAGTAGTAATGATGATGATGATGATGGTAATTGAGAGGTTCTTGTTGATGTCTCATTGTTTGTGACGTCTTTTGTACATTGGTGATGGATGGTCTGATCTCTATTGTTGTTTGTTGATGTTTCTGTTGAATGGATGTTGTTATTTACATTCGGAAGGGTGGTGGTGGTGGTGGTGGTGGATACTAGGAGTGGTGGTGGTAATGGTGGTGACTGTTGTGGTTGTGGTGGTGGTGGTTCAGCAACAACCATCCATTCATCATCTCGATCATCATCACGATCATCATCACGATTCATCATGATCATGGGTGAAAGGTGATTATTCAATTCAGTAGTAGTAGGAGGATGAGAAGGATGGACACAAGTGAGTTGAATTTCTTTCGTGTAAATGGTACTGCTGCAATGCGATAAATGTTCCTTATATTCGGAAGTGACAAAACGATAGATGAGACTACTCTGTCCAACACCACCTTGTTCTCCACTCAATACTAGAATATCAATTTGTAAGGAATGAGGAGAGTGTCGTTTTTGTTGTTGTAATTTCCGATTCGACCATTGTTTCATGTATTCGGCTTTTATGGAATTCAAATCATTTGGATTCTTGTCCTCTCCAAAGAAGGATTGGCATGTTGTTGTATCTTCGGTTGAACTCGATTGATCAGTTGTTGCAGTTGACCATGTCGAACTAAATGTCGTTGTTGTAGTGGGTGGTGAAAACATTTTTTAATTGCGCGTTTTAATTAATACCATATTTGGTCTTCAAAGATTGCTCCAATTCCAACAACATACGATCAAATAAATACATTCCATCCAACACTATTGGATGCAACAAAGCAAATCAATTGATCTTCAAAGTGTTGGTTGTGGACTGTCAGAGAGTAAGCGAACATATTCAATCAATGCTCGAGTGGGACGTCCAGTATGAATTCCCTTTGAATCTGAGCTTGTTCCAGCAATATCGAGATGTGCATAATGTGAAACATGATCAAAATTAACAAATTCAGATAAAAAGCATGCTGCTGTAATGCTGCCACCTGTTCGACCTCCAGAGTTTTTAACATGTGCCACATTGGTTTCATTTTGTTTTTCGTATTCACTTGGCATGAATGGCATTCTCCACATCTGAAAAATGTTGTCCATAGGTCATGATTGTAAAAATTGTAAAATTAAACATGCATGATCATCTTTAAAAAAAATACACAAGTATGTTGTTCATTACATACATAATCTTTGGTATTAATTCCTGCCTTTTCTAACATTTTCCACATTTCATTGGTAGAAGCATAACAACCAGTGAGTTGATGACCCAAAGCAACCACACATGCTCCAGTGAGTGTTGCAACATCAATGAGATGTTTTGGTTTGAAAGTTGAGGAGTAACACAAACCATCAGCAAGAGCTAATCGACCCTCTGCATCTGTATTATCAACTTCAATAGTTTTTCCATTGCTGAGATGAGCATTATTATTCAATAATTGGTGTGAATGAGAGGTGTGGAATTGAAAAGTATGATTCAATTATTGTAGGCGTGAAAAAGTATTATTATTCAATTAATACTGTTGGTACAACCACACTCACCTTGCAATTATGACATCTCCTGGTTTATATGCTGTGCCAGATGGTAAATTCTATTATAACAATTGATCATAGTATTATCGATACAACCATATCAATTCCAATCATACAAAATAGACATGAATATATATTTCAATAGAGTCATGAAATCACACGTATTATTTCACATTATGTTATCTGTTCATAAAGGTTGATCTCTTTCAAAAGAACTTACCTCGCAAAGCATGGCCACACACTTAATATTCACAGGCAAGTTCAGTTTACAAATGGCCAACATGGTTGCCATAACTGAACATGCTCCAGCACAATCTCCTTTCATTTCTTTCATATTGGCTGCTGGCTTAATGGATATACCTCCACTGTCTTGAGAATTTTAATGCATGCACATGTTCAAACATCAGGTTAAAACTTACCAAAAGTAATTCCTTTACCCACCAAAATGATATCATATTCAACTTGTTCTTTTGGATTATTCATAAAAGTAATTTCTAACACTCTTGGTTCTTCTGCAGATCCTTGTGAAACTCCAAGAAATGCTCCCATCTTTTTTTCTTCACACCACTTTTTGTCGTGTTCTTCAATTTTGAGTGGAGAATTTTGCATGTTCAATAAATCACCGAGTTCAGTTTGGAATTTTTCTTTCACAAGTTTACAAAAGAGTGTTGGTGTGAGATAGTTGGCTGGTAATTCAGAAAGATATGCTGAAAAGTTTTGAGCATCAGCATAAACAATAGCTCTTTCAACAGTTTCCTTATTAAAATTAGATGAAATTTTGACTCTTCCTTCAGTGAGTTCTTTCAATGATTTTTCAAATGTTTTTTTTGATAATTTGATAAATTTCCAACTTCCAAGCTTCAAACCCTCAACGCATTCTTTGTCATTTGTTAAATCATCAATAAATACTTCTAAAATCTCTTCATTGTTTTCATCTTCTTCTGTGGATGATTTGTCTTTTTCCACAGTTGTCTCCTTTTTAGATTTTTTACTGTCTGATAAAAGTAGTTGTACTGCTTTTTGAGCGTACTCTCTCACATTAGGTTGTCGAATATCAACCAAATCACTTTGATTGAATTGTTCTTTAAACAATTTTTTCTTGTAGGAAATCTTTTTGGTTGAAACATCTTTTTCTCCCAATCCAACAAAAACAATTCGATCATCGGTTGTAATTGTTTGTTCTTTCGCAATCGAGCATGCATGATCACCGGATGATGTTGCAAACATTCCGCAATGAACCAATGATGTCTTTCCCTCTTTCCATTCATTCTTTGTGAAGAATGGAGAAGTTAAAAATTGTTCCTTCAACATTTGATAGGCAGAAGGAGTGAATGAACCATCCTTGTAAATTCCGAATATGTAATCTTTCTTGAGCGCTAGAGAGGAATGATAATTTGTCAATTTGCCATCATTATTCGCGGAATGCTTGCTTTGAAAAATTCGCAAATATGGGTGGTGGTGGCTCTTGGAGAAATTTGGAGAAACACATGGTTTGAAACTGCTTTTGAACATTTTTTTTTTGAATAAATATTTAAATAGGTTAAATTTTTAAAAGCAAGAAGGGTTTGGCGCCTGAATGGCCTGTTTCAATTTTTCAAATGTTTAAAATACACAAAAAAATACAACACTTGTTGTATTACGCCCCACCACATAAGTGAGAGAGACTTTGGCACTCCGATATCGCATCTTTTCATTACACAATTATCATACAACGAGAATGGGTTTGATGAGTATTTTGAAAAAGCTCAGAGAGCAAGAACGACAAATGAGAATTTTGATTTTAGGACTTGATAATGCTGGCAAAACAACAATTGTAAAGAAATTGAAAAATCAGCCTCTCGATGAAATATCTCCAACTCTTGGATTTAATATTGATACAATTTATTATGAAAAAGAAAGTAAAGAAAATCAAACACCAAATGGCAATAATACATTCAAGGTCAATTTTTGGGATATTGGAGGTCAAAAATCTATTAGAAGTTATTGGAGAAATTACTTTGAAAATACAGATGGATTAATATGGGTCATTGATAGCGCAGATACAGATAGATTGGAAGATTGCAAAAGAGAACTGAATTTGTTATTAGGAGAAGAAAAATTGGCTGGAGCAAGTCTTTTAATTCTTGCTAACAAGTCAGACTTGGATAATGCTCTAAACGTGAATGATATTGCTCAATTTCTCGGTTTGGAAAGGCTATCCCAAACAACAGAGACCTCCATCGTTTCAAACGAAGCAACCAATCAATTAATTTTCGAGGAGAAGTCGTCAAAAACAACACGGCATATTCATGTCGAACGATGTAGTGCAATAACAGGAGAAGGAATAGCGAAGGGTATTGATTGGATTGTTGATGATATTGCAAATAGAATTTTCTTGATGGAATAAATTTACACATTTGTATATTTACAACGATTTACAATTTGAATAGTAATTACTGCTCTAAAGTACTTTCGAGCATGTTGAATAACATTCTAGATTGGGTTAATGGGTTGTCATAATGGCTATGGATTTGTTGTGACAAGTTGAGTGGTTGTCGTGGTACTTGCAGATGTGTACGGAAAGTTGGAGTGCTTGGAGGAGGAGTCTCAATCTTTTGTGGAGGATTTTGAGATGTGGCAGTTTCAGACGTCTGAATTCCACAATATGATTTTTCCACGGCCTTGATAAATTCCATTTCGCCATTGTCTTCCTTTGGCTTATAGTTAGGGTACTTTTGTAAAAAACTTAAATAAGATATTTCCATCTTTCCAAACTCTGAGGCTACTTGTTTGTTATCAGTGTTGGTATTACTTCCATACATATTATTTCCAAATTGGTTGAATTTGAAAGCAGCGTGGCCACAAACATCTCCTAATCCTTCGTAATCAACCGTCACCTTTTCAATAAATTTTACGATATTATCTGCACTCTTTGGTAAAGAGATAATTAATATAAGCGGAGTGATAAATACACTAAATATCTCGTTTAAGAAATATTGATAGCTAGGGATGAAATATGAAAGAAAGGCGTTTCGTACGCTTTGATGGTGTCCTTTTCCCTTCCAAGAGAGATCATGATGATGAAGAGTTTCACAGATTTCATCTAATTTCTGTTTTGGGTTGAATACAGCATGTTCATCAATGACAAATCCTTTCACATATGCCCAAGCAAAAAGTAGTGTGGTCAACCATGTGAGTAGGTTTTGATTAAAAACAGTGAAATAAATCGTTAGGGAATTGTTGAGATAGGAAAGCACAATAATAACACCAGCTAGAGCTGAAATGAAGAACATTATTCGGTGAGCAACAATAGACAGGAAAATATTGGGGAATTGATTCAAATACTCGGTAGCTAGGCCATATGCTTGATTTAGCTTTCTCTCAAACTCATGAGAAAGTTCATGGTATTCTCTAAACTTGAAGTGTGCATAGAGTGACCACCTTCTTCCAAGAACCTGTTTTGGATTGTTCTTCAATTCCTGTTCACAGATGTTAATTGACAAAGGTTGTATACAAGTATGAAACTTACAGCTAAATATTTGAAGGAGGTATAGAGCAGAAAATAAATCAGAAGGAATGGGGCAAGTAATAAATTAATTATTCCTAATTTCACAAAGTATAAGCTCAAAGAAGAAGAATTTACAAAGGATTGATTAATTTTGAAATCACTGTCAAACATGGAATCAACCATCAATCTCAAATTATAAATCAATGATTCGGATAGATAAGTTCGTTGGAAGAAGGGAATTTTCAGATTCATAATTTCCTTGTTGATTAGTGAAATCAAATAGTTTTCTTTTCTCATGATACGGTTGAGAATGTCTAAAATTTGTTAACTGATTTTGTGTCATACTATCAACATACGTACCAAATTCATCAATATTCTTTACAATATATATCTTTCTCTTATGTTGAAGCTCAATTATTTTTTCCACTACTTCATTCCACTGTATCGTTTGAATATCTTGTTCTGAAATGTTTAAATCGTAGTTGTAGAAATTTTTGATTGCTATCATGGATAAAACGTCTTTGCCATATTTGACAACAAGACTAAACCAATAAAAGAAAACAACCAATTCAAATAAAAGTACAATCACATGAAACGCGTTCAAAGTCCATACATCATCACGAATTATTGGAATCTTTTTACATTGTACATCTTGGCAATGCCACATGGCAGCCCAATCTAAGAATACAAATAAAAAGGTTGAAAAGACCATCATAAAGAACACGGAGCTAATGATGGATCAAAAGGAAAAAGAAGAAAATATTAGAATGAATTTCTGCTCAACATACCACAACCGTAGAAGTCTTTCTACTAGCAAACACCAAAAACCTTTTTCATTGAAATATGTGTAGACTTGCTGAAAGAAAACGTCAAGATTTGTAATTCCTAAAGACTCTCTTTCGTCCTCTCCTTTCAATAAACTTTGATGTTCGGCTGCTTTCCCTCTCTCCAATGTTGTTTCTTCCTCGTCGCTGTATTCTTCATCATGGGCAAACACAGGTTTCGGAAGTCTCACTGGAGAGGCTTCAAGATTTGTATTGTGTTGTTGATGGTGTATAGTAATGTTGCTGAGTTCAAATGTTGTCTTTTTTCCTCCTTTTGATACTTTGTCTGTTGCTGATGGCGAGAAAACATCCCTTTCCGACGAGGATGAAGGAAGGCTTGAGTTGTCGGAGGGCTGCATTTTTTAATTTTAGCACTAAAATAAATAGTTTGAAGTTGCGATGTGTCTTTGCGAAATTAAGATTGACAAAAACTCGCTGCAAATTTTTGCTTGAGTTTTGCCATCGCAGGATGTGATTTCGTAGTTTCGTAAAGACCTAATCAGTATAATAGGTTTGCGAGAGTTGGACAACGATATAATCGTTTATACCGTGCAGCAAACATACTACTGTTATCTCTTCGAACATACTATGCTTTCATCTCTTCATTCCATGTGTTTGAAGAGATGGCAAGGTTCCCTAATGGCGGCATCACACATTTTTGGAGAGGAGTCCAAATAAACGAGCGGTGAAACTGTACGGTTTTGTTAGTTTTCACTCCCGAGTTTAGGCTTCATGCTTTCTCTCTTTGGCGCTGTGTTTTGCCTCCAAGAAAAAAAACATTTACACCTTACCAAACCCCCTATCAGCCCACAAATAATTAAGCTTTTTGTTACATTCAAAACCAACGACCACTGATCACAACATACTCATGACTACTACACCCATGTCCGTCAAAAAGAATTCAAGCGGTTATAACAAAGCTGCAGTCGTTCCTGTTCAGAGCACAGGCCAAGAGGACATAGACGCCGAGCAAGATGTTGAATCATCATTCTCCAATGAAGAAGAGGTTAAACAGAGAAAAGGATCCCTCTCGATTCGAACATGTTCAATTGCCACTTTCCTCATAATTATACTTACCTGTGTGGTTGCCCTTACCATCATTTGGGTTGCGTTCTTTAGCGACAACATACGTGGAATGTCTAAATCTCTGACAGAAGCACAATTCAAGAATATTATTCAGTACACCGAGAACACCTTTCGTGAAATTGCAGTTTCTTCGGATACGATTAAGGAGCAGCTTGTTGTCGCTCTAGGCAATAATCAGACTAATATTTACACCAAACAAGTGGAAAGAGCCGTGAACTTTATCTTCTTTTCAGAGTACAAGTACCACAAGGGTTTGGTGAATGCTGCTTCCTTGTACATTCAAAACAACGAACACATCGGTATTCTGTTTGTAGGATCATTGCCAATCTCTAAAACTATCCAAAACGCTACTGGTTTATTCAGATTCCCTTGTTATACACTTAACGAAGAAATTGGCTGTGCATACCACACAAACTATTCCGTAAAGACTACCAAACCATACAATACTGCATCGTCTCATGAAGTCATAAGAAAGAGCCCAGGAAAACCAATTTATACATTGACGTACAAATCTCCAGGAATTGATGCCGTGCTTCTTGCTCTTGTAAATTCCTTCAAAAGTTTGTCAAACTCTGTTGCCACTCCAAATCTTCCGTTTGATTGGTTCCTTCACTTGGATATGAGTGTAGACAACCTTTCCAAGATGCTAAAAAACTACACCATTGCCGTACCAGGGTCAACTGGTCTGATCATTGAGGGCCCTACCAATTATATCATCGCAAGTAAGTAGTTGCATATAATACTTGTCGATGTGACTTACAATTATAAAGCGAGTTATCCTGAGGTTTCAATTACAGGAAGAATAGAGCCGCAGCAGCATAGTACAACGGTCTTGAGAGAATCATATCTGCAAATGAGAGATGCATTACCAAACTATAACAATATGACATGTAATGTGATTCAATTCCTTACGTTCACTGATCGTCTTACAAGCGTTTACAGAATGTGCACACCTACAGGTCTTGACTGGATTATCATGTTCTCTGTACCTCAGTGGAACTATATTGGAAATATGATCATTGCGATTATCATTGCTTTAGGTATTAGTTGTCTGATTGCATTTATGGGTACACTTTCAGGTGTTCTTTATTCTCTAATTTTGGTTCGTCCTTTTAATAACCTAATTCAACTTTTTGAGCATGTGGCAGACATGAATTTGGAGTCTTTAGATGTTAAGAAGAGTCGATTCAGAGAGGTTGTGCAGCTTCAGGATCACTTTTTGTTTATGGTTCAAAGAATCAAACAATATAGAGCCTTCATTCCATCCCACTTACTTCACCAACTCGAGAAGCACAACATCATCGAGGATCCTGAGGATATTAGTGTGGTGAAAGAAAGTGAACATTCACAGAGAAAGGATGAACTATCTTCGAGAGTGTCAAGATCAACTTTTTCTTCAAAATTGGCCACCAATTCAATGTTTAAGATTGGATTTGAAAAGAGAAAAATTTCTTCTCTTATGGTATATTTGGACGGCTTTAGCTATTGGGTCAAACATATCAGTTTCAGTGATATTACTCATTTACTAACAGACGTTTTTGAAGTTGTTCAAAAATCAAGTTCTAATTGTGGAGCTCACATTGGGTCTTTTGAAAATGAAACACTACTTTTGTCGTGGAATGCAACCGAAAAGGTGAAAGACCACGAGCAACAGGCAGTGAGAGTTGCGTGGGCTTTGAAGGAAAAATTGGCATCTCTGTCGTCCACCAAATGGGCTAAAAAGGACATCTTTGAACACAATCAAAAGTTAATCACCAAATTTACTCCAAGATTTGCTGTGTGTACTCAGACGTGTCATTGCGGAAATGTGGGAACTCGTAATTCAAAAACGTTCACAATTGTTGGTAGCTCATCAAACAATTTGCAAGCTGTTTTGAGAAAAGCAAGAAACCTCAAGTTGAATATGGTAATAACAGAACCAACAAATGAAGAAGTTAAGGCCCATTACTTTACAAGATTTGTTGGCAACAAGAGTTTAATCGTTGACGAAGTGGTTGCATCTCCATATATTAGAAAGATCAACAAGACCTCAAAGGTTAGAATATTCGAAGTGTTGGAATCAAGCTCTGTTAATATGGACGAATGGATGGTAAGTGGTGTTTTTAGAGATACACTTTTTATTCGTTTACCCTTTGTAGTATGAGCTTCAATCAAAAGAGCAAAGAAACAAGTGGGGCTCCTATTACAAGGGCTGTAAAGCGTTTGACGAGGGGAACTATGACCAAAGCCTTGCGTTTTTCCGTGAACATGAAGCCAAATTTAATCATGATCTCCCAACCTTGAGAATGATAGCTAAATGTGAGAAAAAACTGAACGAGCAAAGTAAATTTTAAATGAAAGGCAGAAGAATTTTATTGCATTCACACTAATTGAACTATTGATTGTGTGATGCAAAATAAAAATGTACTACCTATTTACACATGTCCAAAATGTCACATTTGATGAGAGCATAACTATTGACAATCAAAGCAAAAAGGCTAAAGATTAAAATACCAACGATCCAAAATCCATGATAAAACGGACTGGAGTGGGGATTTTCTGAAACCACAGCCGGCTTGCTAACCAAATACATGGCACAAGACTTTGCAACTCGAATGACTTTAGCAGAGAGTCTTGTGTCAAGAGGTTGCACCGACACAGAAGACTCTGCATTTGAAGTCTTCCTTCGACCAAATATTACAAGTAAGGTGGGAAACACATATTGAATAAACAATCCAGCAAATCCTCCAGTAAAGGACACAAGTAATTGGATATTTTGATAAACAAATGCCAAAATTATAGGAGGAATTGCAGCAATAGCTGAAAACAGAAGGGAATTGTACTTCCAGTTGTGCACAATCTTCACTCGTTCAAACAAAATTTGAATATTGTTTCTCAAAGTAATAGCGATAAGAGGCTGTGAGTTGATTTTGTGAATAAGAAATTATGGTTTTAAAGATTGTTTTTTGCAGTTGGGTTACTTGGTTATAAACTAAGTCATTACTTACATAATTGCTTGTCAATGTAAATACAGGAAATAGAGCTAAAAAAGCTGCAATGATTGTGTATCGATAAGTTGTGAAATTCAAAGTAAAAAGTTGTTGAATCTAAATAAACAATAGATCAATAAAAAAAATTAACAAAACATAACACTAACCTGACATGCAGGACCATCACTGAGTCTATTTGAGCACTTCTCGAAGGGTTGGTCTCCAAAGGCGAAAACTGCAACATAGCACAAGCATACTGAAAACGACCACAATATTCTCATGACTGAGACATTACATACTTACCGTATGAAAAGAAAATGAGTGCAAAATCAAATAAAAACATTAACGTTAGTCTTCTCTTATCCTTAATTGGTGAAACAATGGAAGGAAGAGAGTGGTGACACATGAAGGCATAAATTGACACAGAGAACAACTTTGAAAATCGTTCCATAGAGAGATTGAAAATTTCAAGGTTTCTAGCAGATCCATGTCCTTCAATAATAAATATTAAGCTCAATAAGATCATCAAGAAGAATGCAATATTTCTTGTTGCCAGAGTAGTATATTGGAGATATTTGGTTTTTTGAAAATTGAAAAAACTAAAAGGAACAACCACGCAAGAAAATATTCCCAAGTAAATATAGTACGTTCCCATTTGTGACAATCCAAACATTGGTCCAGTCACTTTCAATAGGGAAGTTGGAACTGATACTGCATAAATTGCCAAGTCTCCGAACAAGTACACAATAATGATAATATAAAAGATTGATTTTCCAACAATTCCTAAAAATTGTTCAGTCATTTTTCCAATCTCAGTTCTTTGAAATGCTCGAATTGTTTCGGCGACAAGTTCAGTTTTTTTCAAATAATAACATACCTCTCCAAAATTGAGAATGGATTTGTGGCATAAGAAATGAGTTCTGGTGTATCTTCTAACTCTGATTTTTTCTTCTTCTTCTTTTTCTTTGTTAAATTTTGAATGTTTTCCATACTATTTAGAGACATGGAATCATCATGAGTCAATAAACTCGTTTGTTCCTCTTTTTGTCGCTCTTGTTTCAACATAAAGTTCGACGAAGACATGGCTTCAATGACAAAAGTAACACAAATAAAGGCCATGAATGCATTCAATGCTAGCACCAACACTCCAGACACAATTCCTGCACGATGTACAATTAAATATTATATATCATGTGGACATCAAAAGAGAATTCAATGAAACCGAACATACAACGAGTGTGTGTTGTTCAGAGAGATAGAAAATGATGATCCGAGACTTACCTGCCCGATGGAATGCAAAAGGTAATGCCAAAGCACCCACACCGACAATTAAATTAAAGACATAAACAAAGGCTATTTTCTTTGAATAGGAAGCACCAACGGCACTCGCTCCAGCCATTTTAATGTTGTTACTTGATAGGGTTGATATATAAACAAGTAGTGATATGTTGTGCTCAACAATTCAGGATGAATATTTGTGCGTGTTTCAGTGTTTTTAGCAACACGACTCGCACTCTCTCTCGTAGTAGATACTATACTCGTACGACGTAAATGAATCAATCGGAACGGAGAGTTTCGGAGTTGATGAAGAGATTTTTTTAAAGTCAATTCTTTTTTGAGAAAAAATGAATATTCAATTTTCAATACATTAAAAAAACAAATAACTTTTAAGCTCGAGCTCTATAAAGGACATCCTTAAATCTTTCTTTCAAAGTACGGACCACAGCTGAATAGATCACCTCGGGTGGAAGAATTGGATCACAATTAGTTTCCTCAATCGTTGGTCTTGGATTGCAATCAATGGTCTTGCTTTCGGGAGGTAATAAACTCAAAAATGGATACACTCTGATTCAACATCGAAAACAATAATAATAGTTACGAATATACAAAGTATTCAACAAGTACTTACTTGACATGTGAAAACGTATAAGCATATTGTGAAAATCGATCGTAACAAAATTTCGAGTGATCCTCTCGATAGCGACAATCTGGTGATTGAATCACAATGGAATTCCTTGGTAAAAACATGGTCATGTAAGAGGCACTCCCTTGATCTACAATATAGACATCGACTTGAGAAAAGAGGTGGACTTGTTCTCGTGCATTCAACTTTTCGAGGTGGAGATTAATCACTCGAACTTTCTTTTTCAAAGTTTTCACAATAAATTCTTCTTTTGGTAAATTCTCGGAAAGGATGGAATAAATTTCTTCAACATTCCAAATAATTTCACCATGTCTTCCTTGTTTTGGTTTGTTATGAATGGCCACTACAATCTCCTCCTTTATGGACGCTTCATATTCAAAATTAATCTTGGTCACTTTTGAAACAAGTTTTCTTAATGGTTCATTAATCACTTCAGCACCAATTACAGAAAGTAAATAAGGTCGTGACATTCCTGCAATAGCATTCTTAAAGCACACTTGAAGTTCATCACCGTCCTTCATAGAATCAAAGTGTGGTGATTGGTTGCGACATGGTGCTTTAGCAATGGTCCAACCCTTCAAAGTGGAACATTTCTGCAAAATGGGTTGTCTGGTCATTAATCCAAAAAAGTCAATCGAATACTTGTCTGACACATTCTTGTCATAATTGTAAGCACCCACCCAATTTTCTTTGTGATACAAGTCATCTTGAAGATCCTCTAAAAACACCATGTTCATCTCTGTAAATTCTTCCAATTTGAACATGACCATATTAATCATGGCTTCTGTCATGCCATCCATCAACAAATGACCAACATTGCCTGCCACATATCGATGTGTCAAGAAGGTTGGTTTTGAAATGTATTTGAAATCTTGAGCCACTTTGAAAACTATTTTCTTGTCTTGAGTATTTTGTAATTCATCTCTTATTTCATTGAACGAAGATAAGGTCGATACTAATTGAACAGGTCCTTCTCCATACACTCGAATGATCATATCACCTCGAGAGGAGTGCATTCGAGGTTGTGTATAAACCCAAACCTTTTCATTGACCGATGAAATCCATTGTGGAGTGGGTGCTGTTGCATTATCCAAAAACAAGATCCATTCTCCTCTTCGATTCAAACATAAATTTTGAAAGGAACATTGAGCGAACAGAGTATGTTTAGGATAAATGTCAGGAACAGAGTGACCAATGCCTTCTTGATACTTGTTGCATTGATAGGAACTATAAAAGAGTAGTGGTGGCAGTGATGGCAGTGATGCATTTTCATCATCTTCTGTCGAATCTTGAAAAGTCTTCAGAGTATTCCCATTGATGTAAGAGGAGGCTTCTTCGTAAGTGTGAGGATGATGATGAGAAGGAGGAGAAGAAGAAACAAGGTTGGAAGAATGTTTTCGAGAGGATGTTACTGAATAGATCAAAGAAAGGGTGAAACAAGTCATGACAAAGAGTATTCCCCCAACGAGAGACAGTTTCGAGATCTTTGGAGAAGAAATGGATGAATCTAAATAGGATGACATGGGTTGTGGATGTTTTTTTTTGTAAAGTTCTAACTCCTGAAGTGCGTACGTCTTGTTGTATGAGTTGTTTGATGAAAAACATGATGGAATTTGCATGACAAGGCCCACCACTTCACGAAATATCCTACAACGTAAAACAACCAAATACATTCATTCATTACCTTATTTTGTTCAACAGTATTAATGACGGATATTTAATGAACTTGTTCATAGCTCAAGTCGGATTCCCTCATGACAACAATTATTTAATCATTATTTAATGCTCATCATCAACCAAATACAACCACATTTCAAGAAGTGAAGACTAATCATCATGACCACAATCTTGTTTCATCAAGAATTTATTGGGAGAATATGGGATGGTTATTAATGAATTACAATATCGAGGGCATGACGAGTTTGAATTTCTCCCCATCGCTCATCTCCTCCTCGAGTAACTACTGGAGAGATTTGAGTTTGTATTTGTACTACCACGGTATTGAGAATGATTGCTTCTACTTGTGGCCTTGCCTGATGAAACTTGTCGTCCTCCATGATAACCCTTTTTTTCAGACGATATGATGCAATCTTTCAAAAAGCTTGCAATTTTTGAAGAACTTCTCATCGCTTCACTTGTTCCAACTTATTCACAGTATTCCCTCAACGTTGCCACTTCTTGAATTTTGAACAACTCCTTTTGAAGCAATTCTTCAAGATTGTCCTCCAAACAACAACCATAATTCATGTCATACAAACGACCAATTTCCTCCAATGACCGTTGACCATGCTTTTCAACCACGTTCTTCAAAAAGAATACATGGAACATGATCAACTTGCATGAGACTTGATTGGCCTGCCATGTTTTTTCAATTCTCTCAGAATCTGAAATTCCTTCAAAGTTGGAAAGATGCGGAAATTGCTTTAGGACCCACAAAACATTTCTTGTAGCAGCCTCTTGCACGACAGCATCTCTAATGTAGTTCCAAGTTAAACCAGAAGGCCCCAACACAGACAACTTGGTCAGAAATTCTCCCAAATTGGGGCACGCATATTTGTGACGATATTGATCAAATTTCACAAAGTTTTGAACCTGATTTTCAAGCTCTGATAGACATTCTGGATATTGTTGGACCAAGAACAGCATCCATCTATGGAAATAACAATATCCTTGGAGTGCCTTAATTGAAGCATGGACATTTCCTTTCATTATTTCGACAATTATGGAATTCATCAACTTACTCATCATGTCCAAAGCTCTCCATTGGAAAAGGTTAGGAGTTTTTGGAGAAATATTGGGATGAGATTGATAAATATCTTGAATGGCCATTTGTAGAGCTGACAAATTTCCATGATGCTTGTTAATATAAATGGGAAGCCACTTGGACATGGGTTGTCCCCAAATTGATTTTCTCACGCCTTCATAATAAAAAGCATGTTTGGAGATCAAATCCAAAGGTGATGTAATGTTCATCAACACTCCATCATTCTCTCTAAACTCCATTTTCAAACCAATCCCCAAAGTGTCTTCATTGAATGTTGTTTTGGAATGGAAACAAATCAGTTCAGGAGCCACAAGAAGTGACTTGGAAAGAGCGAGGGTTTGAAACAATTTGCACACAGCACCCACTCGTTTCAAATCCTTTCTATTGAGATAGGATAGAATATGCAAATGATTCTCTTGAGGAAGTGATTCCAGAGGACTGACAGTTCTCTCTTTCTTTTCCTTTTCATCATCTCCTTGAGAGGCTTCACCTTTCATTCGTTTCATCCGATTCATTTTCTTTCTCTTCTTTTTACTCGTTGAGGAGGAGGAAGGCTTCTTCTTTTCTTCATCATCAACATTCATAGGATTGCATTTCTTCTTGTCCTCTTCTAAAGTTCTCTGTAAAAGAATGGAAATTTGATTTTTTAAAGGTCCTTGTGGTTCCTTAGAATTGTGTTGTAAGGTCAAACTCTTTGTTGGGGTAACCAGAGGTTTCGATTCAAGAATATCCTTTGTATTCCAATGAGGAGCACATGGCCAGATGAGCAAACTATAAAGCGAACGCTCTGCCGAGTTCGAGTACATTAGGCTCAATGCAATGTCTTGCTTGATTTATTCTCTCTGCTCATATTCCTCTTCTAAAAGGAATCTTTGTAATTGCAAAAGCAAAGAGAGTACTGAATAACAAGTGGACCATCCTGAATAAGGCTCAGGACTGTAACGAGTTTTTAACATGTCCAGACAAATCCATTCCTGAAAAACATGAGAATGATGTATTCTTGTTAAAGGTTTGATTTTAGGTGGATTATGAGGGTAATCAGAAGGAAATTCCATACGCAAATGTAGAATGATACCATGATAGGCTGATGATTTACAGTTGCATACCATAAATGAAGATTTTTCTCCACTGGTTGTGCATAGACTGTATCTAAGGGATTTTGTTCAATTTCCTTCAAGTCTTTCAATAACCTTTTTGTCGATTGAGATGTTTTGGTTAAAGAAGAAGTCATGATGGTTTTGGAATTTGTTTTTTTAACGAGTGGTTTGGGTTGTTTTTAAATGATCCAAATTCTTCACGATTCAAAAGGTGAAGTATCAACTTTAAACAAGAGATATCAAGTGGAGGTGTTCGTGAAAATTTGTAATTAGCAAGCGTGAAAGCCATCCAGTGATTTTATCTTTGATTCTTTTCGTTAGAACTGTGAGTCGAGATGTTTGGGAAGATGTCAGAGAGTTGTTATTCTGTTAACTTCTGGAACATGAAACTTGTGTTTCCCCCCAAAATTTTCTTCCAATGACTGGAAAAACACAAAATTAAATTATTAAATTTTTAAAAAAAAAATGGAAGTCGGAATCAAAAACAGACAAAATATCAAATTATTTGCTCACATCATCAACTGTCTATCAAAGATCGGAGAAGAAGTTGCTTTTGAAATTGCCGTGGACTATGTTTGTTTAACCACTATCAATGCTGGAAAGTCTAGCTATATTCAATTCGTTTTAGCTCATTCCTTTTTTGATCGGTGGGCCGTAATTGCTAACGCTCCGAAGAAAATCAAACTGACTCTCAAGAATGTTGTACACGTTTTTAAATCAGCCAATCATTTGGATCAGTTGAAAATAGTGGTAGATAAGAATAAGAACAGAGTCGTTTTCGATTCATTTGGATTATCTCAAGTTCAAAAAATATATGAAATTTACTTCACTTCATGTGATGTAGCCAAACCAGAACTTGATTTTCAACCTGGTTTTGAATTTGTTGCGAACGCTTCATATTTATCTAATTTACTTATACCCTTCGGAAAACTTACTGGAGATATTACATTTCTTGTCGGAAAAAGAATAGTTTTAACAACATCTCAACAACAATCATCCTCACCACAAAATGCAAGACCATCACAACAACAAAATCCAGCTGGAGCCAACCCCCAACCAGAACTAATACCGCCGTCCGCCACCACTCAATACTATATCCAAATGAAATCATACAATGAGAGAAATGCTCCAGAAAAACTTAGTGGAATTCAAACCTCGTTGGCACTTGATACTGGAAATTTAGAATCCTTCCATGTTGTTGAGAATGATGAAATAATTCAAATTAATGGAGATGAGACAGTTGCTAGACCAACTCCTCCTCTATCATCCAACGAAACTGTTCAGTTTGAAGCTGAATTATCGTTTAGTTTTAAGGACCTCAAAGCTTTAATAAGTTTTTGTGAAGTTGCTGAATATAATATGAATTTTTCGATATCTAAACTCAAACAGCAACCTGTAATTATTACCTCATCTTCTCTCACCAAAGACCTTGAAGTAACATTGATTATGGCAACAAATGATGCAGACGATCATTATGAGCCAAATACAACTGAGACTACTATCACTTCAACTAGGAAACCAAGTCAACAACAAACGTCTAATGAAAATCAAATGACTGATGATCAAGCATTGAGTTCCTTCTCTACTCCTCCAAAGCAACAACCAAAACGAAAGCGAGTTGAACTAGAAGAAAGTTCAATACTCGAATCACGACTCAACACAACCACAGTTGGCTCATCCAATTCGTCAGGAAAATCCTTACACAACCGATTTCTTAATGAGGATATCGAACCAGGATTCCATATGGACAACTCTTTTGGCTTGAATGGTGTCAACGAAAGATATATCGAACTTTTTCCTCATTCCTCTGGTACGGCTAGCTTTGCCACCCCTCCAGCTCGCAACAGCAGCGCAATGGAGGACGATGAAAACGAAGTTATTGCCCAAAGGCACATATCAACTAATGCCAGTAACGATTATGGTGACGATGAAGAAGAAGAGGAAATGGTCCAAGCTACTCCATCACCAAAAAGAAAAAAGTAAAGTTTCAACTCATTACTTGTTGTACAACTCAATTAACTCTTCATCTACGAAAGGATTCTTAGTTTTTCTTTTCTTGGTTGTGAGTTTTTTCAAATCGTCTATGGTCCACTTTTTGGACTGTGGATTTTCCTTAATTTGCTGCAATTTTCTTGTTTTCTCTTCTCTTAACGTAATTCTTTTCTTTTGTGTTGGATTTTGATGAAGCTCTTGGGCAGGTTCGGGAGGGGGAATGATGCAAATAACTACCGGCTCATTAGTGACTGAAGGACAAGTCCTTGTTGTTTTGGGAGGCGACAGCGATCTACTCTGTTTTTTGGGACACTCACTGTCTCCCTCTTTTCGTTTTCTAACAGATATAGGCAGATCAGGAGGGACCATTTCTCCCTTATGCACAGGAATTGAAGCTCTTCTTCCGGACAAGGGAGAGGGATATTTACAACTTAGATGGTTTTGTTCCTTGTGAGAAACCTTGCTTCTGCAAGACCGTATGTGCTGATCTCCAATGCTCGAGAAATTCACTCGCAATTCTGTGTTCTTTATCGTAAGAGTTACAATTCCATTGTTCGTGTTATTATTTACAGGAGGTTCATCACAAGAGAAGGTGGAAGAAGAGGTGTTCGTAGTGCTCATACTTGAGAGAGAGTTTTCTCGATGGCTAAGCCCAGAAGGTTGTTGTTGATGCAGAGAAGAGAACTGTACCGTTTCAACGATTGTCGGACCGTTAAAAATGATGTTTTGTTTTTCCCTTATTGATGATGACAAGGGTTCGCCCTCATCCTTAACTCGATACTTATTTTCATCGCTTCCTTTTCGTTTGATCCTAAACTTTTTCGTTATTGAATAGGATGTGGTTGGGGTGTTATTTGCCCGAATGGGCGTTTTGGGTGAAGATGATGTTCGTTTCTTTGAATGTGATGCACCCATTTTTTGTTTCTTCTGATTCTTCGGCCTCTCTCTCATTCGACAAATTAAGGCGCTCCTTAAAAATGACCGTTTTCGGGAGAAGGAACGGGCAATAGTCAACTTAATCAACTTGAGGTTCCTCAGAAAAGAACTGTTGAATTTTAATCAATACCAATTCTTCATTTCTCTTCTCTTTGATTGGAATGAGTGAACCAAGCAAAAAAATCAAGGATGAAAAGAATGGACATGTCCATGTCAAGATATGGAGTGCTTGTCGGTGCAGTCCTATTCGGAGTATGGTATGGCACATTGAACAAATTCATCAGTTAGTACCCGAAAGTTTGCTAATCACTGGTTGTTAAACCATCATCGTCTAGCATATTCTTATGCGATTCATCATGTTCAGATTCTCCTTCTTTGTGAGAATAGGCACGAATTTTATTTTTCTTCTCCTCCACGAATGAATTATGGTTCTCGCAAAATAATTTTGAGGACTCTATTATTGCTCCATATCCACACAAGTACCAATATTCAATATTACAGCTCTCTCATAGATATCTTTGGCGACACAAATGTCCTGACCAGCGAATCCAACACTCTTATAAATAATAATATCTTTTCCAATGTTAAATGTTTTTGTAATGTCTTCATTAGAAAATTTCAAAAAATCACTCAATCCACACACCACATGGTCGTGTGAAATTTTACCTTCCTTGAGAGGAACGATTAAATCTCCAGCTTCTTCCATCACTGCCTTAACCAAATCAGCAATTACTTTTCCTTTCCTAATTAAATCACTATCAATTTCTTGCATGTGAGGTTTGTAGGATCCAATACAGGTAATAATACTTCCTTCTTTGACATTTTCTGAGGAAAAGAATGGTTTTGAAGCATTGGTGCAACAACAAATAATATCACATCGTTGAACAGCTTCATTGGCATTGGTAATAATTTCAATTTCAATATTTCTCAAAGATGAAGAGTGTTTTTGTGAATTATGATGATGATCACAAGATTCTGCAACAAATGAAAAAGGTAAATCTTGTGAAGAAACAAATTCCTCCAATAAATAATGTTTCAATTTTTGAGCTCTTTCCAAACTGGGATTCCAAAGAATGACCTTATTCACCTCGAGTGCCACTCGTAACACTGCCATTACATGCGCTTTTCCTTGCAATCCACATCCAAAAATTCCCAACACTTTAAATTCCTTTTTCTTCTTTTGATCTTCATGTTGGAAGATGCAACTGCTAATTGCATGTTGATGATGAACATTTAAAATTCTTTCCACACATAAGGCTGATCCACAAGCAGTTCGCACAGCAGTGATATCTCCAGCATGCATGACACACTGAAGTGCTCCATTACATTCATTCAATAGCAGGATCGATCCTGTGATGGAATCTCTTGAAAATTTGATGGGATTATCCTTTCGAACAGAAACAATTTTAATTCCTAAATGAGTGTTGTCGTCGTGATCGGTCCGATCATCATGATCCTTTTGATTCAAAAAACAAGGCATGAAGAGAGTTGGACCATTCTGTGGAATATCCAAAACAGTTCGGATGGGAATGAGATGAGCGTTGAGATCTGAGGATTGAAAGAGTGTTCGATTGGCTTTCATGGCACCTTCAAAGGAGAGACAGGATTGGACTTGGGAGCGTGTGAGAAGGCGTGTAGTGGTGGTGGTGGTGGTGTGTGATAATTGTACTTTGGGCGAGTTTGTTGACATTTTTTGTGGATACTCATGATGCATGAATTCCTTTGTGAAGAATATAAGGTTTTTGCAGCAACAACTGTGAAATTAGTCCTAGCGCGATGTAGGATGATTGGTCGTTGAAACTCCGATGTTTTCTACCCTCCATGCTCTCTTTCCACACAAACAACTATTGTTGTTGAATAGAACGCATTGAGAAGGATTGATGGCTACGGCCATAACACGATGAATGCACCTCATCCCATGTCCGATTTGAGAAGTTAAGCATCGTCGAGCTGCATCAGTACTGAGGTTGGAGACAACTTGGGAACCTGCAGTGCTGTAGCCTTTTTTGTGGAAATTGCAAGATTCTCTTTAATCTTCCCTTACATAATAACTATTCAACTTGTCCTCGGACATGGAAATATCATTTCTGTATGCCTTCTTCAAAGAAGCATATTTCTTGTAGACACAAAATACGACAATCATCATGGCCAACACCATTGAAACTAAAAATGCATTAATGCAAAACATGGCAATTGCTGCTCCATAGGCCCAAGTAATTTCCTCTTTTGGTTCTTCAGAAATGTATTGGTAAGAACAATAAATTGGTTTGATGGGAGGAATGTCTTTAAATCCTCTTTTGATTTGAGTGTGACATCGATGATTCACTAATCGAGTTGTTGCATCTGTAAGATCTTTGACAGATCGATCACTCCATGCTCTCTCTGCAAATGCTGTTAATCTTGGATAAAGTGTTGAAATAATTGTTTCATCGTGAACATTCTCTGCCCACAAGGCAGCCTCAATTCCTAAAATTGAATTTACATAATCAAGAGAAGATGATACATTCACAAATTGATCAAAAGGATCAATTAAATACATGGATTTCCAAGTATCCACAAAAGTATAGGGTGGTGGATTTGGATTTGGTGAAAATCCAATAGGATTGTTAATCATATCTAAATAATATCCTGCAGAGAGAATAGTTTTGTAACCTTGAGAGACACAGTTACGAATATTTGCTGGATCTCTCCAAATTTGACAAATTGATTTTGAGGGATCTGGTTTGAATAGAGTGGTTTGTTGAGCCATGCTTAAGAATGAATCTTCCCAGAAAATAGTGGTCGTCAATTTTTGATAATTTGGTTTAGAAGCAATCATGGCTTGGAAATAACCCCAAATGTCATAACCATTTTGAATCTTGCCAAATTGTGTTTGATTTTGCATGGCTGTGTGAAGAGTTATATAAACACAATAATCACATAGGTATGTGAAAATGATAATCATTAATCCGATGGTAGGGTTAGGATTGTTGATTCATGGTTGGAATCGCAAACAGGTGTGAAAAGTTCGAATGAGCGATGAATTCAAAAAACACACACATACCATTGAAAAAGTTAAAAATAATTGGATTCTCATCGGTCCAGCATGCTTTTGTGACTTCATCTCCACCCAAATGCATGATCGAAAGTAGAATGGAATTTGAAATTTTGGTCTTTTCCATTAAAGTGTCCTTGGATTGCCATTGTCCCAAAATTGCTTCAATGATATCAAATGTAGTGGATTCTGCAACATTCAATGGATAATTATTCACATTTGTTGCGAGTCTCTTTGGACATGAAGATACAACTTCTGGATAGGCAAATGAAAAGGATTTGGTATGACCTGGCATGTCAAATTCTGGAATGATTTGAATTCCTCTAAAATAAGCATATTCAATGAGTGAAGCAATATCCTCTTTGGAATAGACTAATTCTTTTGAGAAACTTCCTTTGTCACTCAAATCAGAAAAAGATCCATACATTTGATAGGGAAATGATTGGGCATCTGTGAAGTGAATATGCAAAACGTTTAACTTGTCAAATGACATGAGGTCAATAATTTCCTTGATGGTTTCTGGATAAATATAATTTCTAGCAACATCAATCATTAAACCTCTATGTTTAAATCTAGGAGAGTCTTTGATGTAAATTGGAGTGTTTGGAATAAAGAAAAATTGGTCATTGATATTTCTTCGAATCATTTGTGAAAATGTTTCTAATGCTCTCAAAAATCCAAATTGAGAAGTTGATTTTATCACAATTCCTCTTGTTCTAATTGTCAATTCATAGGATTCATCAATGTTTAAAACATCTAAAACAGGATACGTCACATCTTCAGTAATTTGTATCACAACATCTTCGTTGTAAAATAAAAAATCGGAATCATAATTTGTTGGACTTCCTTTTGTTTCAAATAATTTAAACATCCATGCTTCATATCGTTTCAAAGCCGTGTCCACCACTGGAAATTGCGTTCGATCGACTTTGGTACCTTTCACATAAAGTACAAAATTTAATTTATAGAAACTCAATAATTTAGTGGCTGTTTCCTCCCATGTGACTTCTTTTGGACGAGGAATTAAATATTTGTCAATGAAAGTATTCGAGTTTACATTGGTTTGAGCCTTTACTCGACCTATTATGGAGAAATAGTGATGGTGATAATGATGATGATGATTGTGTGGTGTCTCTTGATGAAGAGAAAGTATGACAAGAATGGATAACAAGAGAGTCCTCACAACAGACATTGTGTTGATGTTCGGAGAGAATGGTATCGACGTCATCATCATGGAAACGAGAGTAAATGAATAAAAGGACGAGTCGTGGTAATGGTGGTGATGACTCTGTTGATGGACAGAGTCTCTCTTTCTCCAGAAGTGAATTCTCAATAATATTGATTTTTTTGGGCTCGTTCTCTTGGAGAGTAGCGGTCTTGCGAATATATGAGTGTTACAATTATAACTATGATTCGAATGTCCACCCACCCATCGCATATGGATGATGTAATTTTACATTTGAAATTATTGAATATTCAGATATAACGTACCATGCAGGAGGTAAAGGAACACATCGCGATCCTATGATTGTGTTGGAGAGATTGTTGGAGAGAACTTGTATTCATTGGCACAGCAAGAAAACCAAAAAAATTTTGCAAGCCAAATCATCAAGCCTTTTTCATTCGGCATCATCATCTACAAGGCTTTTCAAGATGGCTTCTCTCCGTAATATATATTTTGGAATAGTAGTAGTGTTAGCTTGTTTAACGATCTTGTCTGTTTCGATTTTTGCATTATCTGTTCGAAATGGACTGACCACAGTGGATAAGCAAAATATTCAAAGTCTAATCGGTGATTTAAATTCAAAGCAAAACAAGAAAGATTTATTCTTTGCTGCTTCATCACTCTCAAAGATTGGAAAGGAAGTGCCAACAATTCAATCCAAGTGTGTTCAATCAATCACTACTGTGGATAATCCAAATGATTTATATTTTACCATTGCTGCTAATGTTGCCTTGAAGTGTGCACCATTATCGACTGAATCTTATGGACTCGTACAGAGTGCTCTTGCTAAATTCATTGATGGAGCCACTGAAAATACTATTTCAGCTGAAACTATTTACTCCATTGCTAGAATATTGCTTTTGACCAAGAGCAAGATTAACACAAAGGATGTAAAGGTAAGTATTGTTGTATTGTTGTGCGTCTCTTTAGGCATAGAATGCTGTATGAACCGACATTTCACGATCATCACGATCAATATTTCCTTGGACACGTGTTTCGAATTATTTGTATTACAAAAACTTCATCATGGTGATGATTCACGCAATGATATCACTTTCAATGAAAGACTTCGAAACTTTCTGACATTATCACCAAGCAACTTTCATCTCTTTTAAACCAAGATTGTTCCGGAGATTGTGTTAAATCTGTTGGCTTTCTCCTAGAATCAGCAGCCATCTTGCAAGGTGTTGAAAAGAGTGACCTTGCAGCTCTCAACAATGCCCTTGACAACATTTCATCCATTGTAAAGAAGGCCATCTCTTCGACAAGCCTCGAGGTTGCCGCTGTATTCTCAAGGGGATTGAGTAAGATTGCTGGTGTTGTCACTGGATTAGACAAGAAAATCTCTGAAAGCGATATTTCTGCTCTCATCGAATCACTCGTAAGCAAGAAAGAATCAGCAAAATCTTTGAATGACATCTATCATCTTGTAGAGGGTTTACACTCATTTGCTGGAAAGGGAATTTATGAAACTGTTGTCGTTTCTGAATTGAAAGACGAAAAAGGTGTATATTCAATCTCAGTCTCTAATTTGTTAGGCTCATCTTTGAACGAAAAAGTTACATTGCATAGCGTTTACAAAGGTAGTAACTCTGATGACTCTATTTTGCCAAAGGGACCTGTTAAATTGGAGTCCTCAAATGGAGTTGATTTCCAAGTGAAGAATGTCAAATTGACTGATACTGGATCATATAATTTTGATATCTCTATTGGAAAAACAACTGTCACTCGTACTTTGAAGACTGCTGCAGTAGATTTGAAGATTAGAGATTTCCAACTTGATATTGGTAAATTAACTCGTTCTCAAATTTCTTATCCAAACTCTGTGCCAGAGAAATTAGTAGTGGATGTGGATTCAAGCACAAGACTTCGAGTTAGCTTCTCATTAGCTGGAGTTACTCCACATCAAGTTTTCCTTAGAGTTGGAAATGATGAAAACGAAGCAATCTTCAATATTAAGCAACAATATCAGGCAAGTTATGGAGTAGATCTTGCATTGGAAAGAGTTATTGGAGGACCTTTGAAACTGAAATCAGGAGATTATCAAATTCAAATCATTATTGGTGATGCCACATTGAACACACCAATTCTTTGGACTGTTGCAACTACAACTCTCAATTTTTCGAAACAATATGAGAAATCTGAGGAAGAGACTTTATATGAGGTTAAGCCAATAATTACACACATATTCAGGCCGCCAGAAAAGAGAGCAGGAGCTGAAATTGCTTCCCTATTCTCACTCATTGTTTTAGTACCTCTTGCTTTGTACTTGATTGGAACTTTGGCTGTTGGTTTCAACTTTAGAGGATGCCCTGGAGGTTTGTCTGGTTTGTTAGCTCCTGTTTTAGTTGCTTTACTTGCTGCAACTATTGGAATTTTAACAATGTACTTTATCTCGTGGAACATCTTTGACACTTTGAAATATTTGGGTATTGTGGGTATTGCCATGTTACTTGTTGGATCTAAAGTTTTGCGAGGAGTTGCTCAAAAGAGAACCGCACATTAAAAAGCTGCCATTTCACGTCTTTATGAGAAGAAAAATTGATGTTTCCAAACTGTGTTGACAACGTATTGGCGAAAAAACAACAAAAATGTCAATTCAATGGTTCTTATTTGTCGCTTCTCTAATTCCACTGTTGCTTGGTGTCTATCTCTACCAATCTGGTCAAAACACATTACTCATGAGGTCGGATGATCAAAAACACCATGTAGAAGCTCCTTCACTTTCTGAATACATCCAACATCATGACAATTCGGAATGGGAAATTATTAAATCAAATATTAAATTATCGACTCCTCCCTCCACCATTCATCACCTCCGTCATAAAAGAACAAAACTCGAATGGTTTCATGTCGATCATCCCAATGACCACAATAATTTCTTTTCAATTTCATTTCGAACACCTCCTCAAGATCATACTGGATTGACTCATATTTTAGAACATTTAGTATTATGTGGATCGAAGAAATATCCTGTGCGAGATGCTTTCTTTTCCATGTTAAAAAGATCCTTATCCACCTATATGAATGCTTGGACTGCGGCTGATATGACTTCGTATCCATTCGGAACACAAAATCAAAAAGATTATTATAATTTAATGCAAATTTATTTGGATGCAGTGTTTAATCCATTGTTACGAAAATTGGATTTCACACAAGAAGGATACAGATTTGAATTTCAAGAACATGATAATCTTCAATCAAATTTAACATTCAAAGGAGTTGTCTATAGTGAAATGCAAGGAGTTGTGGGAGATGCCAATAATTATTTTTCATTTGAATTGAATCGATTACTATTTGATCGATTCAAAAATTTCACATCACTACAGCATTCTGACACTATTTCTAAATTTCTAAAATCTCTCCACAGTTATTCTTTCAATTATGGAGGAAAACCAGAAAATATTATTGATTTGAAATATGAAGATTTAGATGCCTATCATAAGAAATATTATTCTCCCAATAACGCACTAATTTTCACTTATGGAAGCTTTTCATTGATTGATCATCTCAACTTTGTGAAGAATCAACAAATTTTGGATCAATTCGAGGAAGTGATGGATGTGACGAGTGCACCTCAAGATGAGGTCAACAAACTCGACGATCAAAAACATCATTCTTCAATATTACAACAACACCTTCAATCCATGATCACACAATCGAACGAAATTATATATTTTTATGGACCTGAAGAATCCATTGTTTACAATCCAGAAAAACAACTCAAATATGCCATGACATTTTTCACCAATCAACCCGCAAATGGCTTTTTTGAGGTGTTTCAAATGAGAATGTTGGATTTATTGCTACTCGAAAATCCAAGAGGACCACTCTATCAATCACTTATTGAATCTAAACTGGCACCTCGATTTTTATCCATTACAGGATTTGAGAAGACTGATTTGTTACGGAAACAACCGACTTTTGTGATTGGTGTTTCTGAAATTGGTGAATCAGATGTTTCAATCATTGAGGAAACTATTAACAAAACTCTTTCTTCTGTGATAAAAGAAGGGTTTAGAAAGGAATATGTGGAATCTATTCTCAATAGAATTGAGATTAGTAATAAGAGAGTATCAGCAAATTATGGAACATCCTTAATGATGGAAATTCCACCTTTTTGGTGTAATGGAGACAGCCATCGATTGGAAGAAGTCATTGATAGTGAAATGGTAAGTCACTGAGACAGTAGCAGTCGTTGCGTTTCTTAATCATTTCAAACATTAGAATATCAAACGTCTTCGACAAGAGCTTGAAAAATCTCCAACACTCTTCCAAGATTTAATTTCAAAATATTTGAGAACGGATTTAGCATTGAGAGTAGTCATGAGACCAAATAAGAATCAATTAAATGAATTTAAGGAATTTGAACAAGCAGTGTTACAAACAACACAAAACAACATGTCTGAAAGCGAAAAGAAACAAATTATTTCACATTCTATTCAACTTCAAGAATATCAAAATGCTGAAAAATTGAAAGATGTTGATGCAATTTTACCATCTCTCACTCTTTCGGATATTGACACCTCGATTCTGTATCAACTGGATCCTCACATTCAAAATTTTCAAATAATGGGAATTAATGTGACAACATACGAACAAGAAACAAATGGTTTGATTCACTTGAGTGTCAATGTAGAGTTGTGGGATGGAGAGAAAATTCTTTTGGACAAACAGCTGATCGACTTGTTGCCATTTTTCACATACTGTCTAACAAAGATGGGAACTCGAGAATTAGACAAAAAAGAGCTTACAGAGAAGATTGACATGTTCACAGGAGGCATTACTTCGAATTTATTCTTTTCACCCAAAGCAATTCCATCACCTAGGACTTGTATTGAAAAGTTTGGAGTGAATCTCTATTCGGAGGCTGTTTATGAAAAGATGCCAATCATGTTCAAGTTACTTTTAGATATAATGACATCTCCTCGTTTTGAAGATGTGAAATATTTGGAGTCATTATTTGAAGAATATGCAACTTCCATAAGCGAGAGCTTGACACAAAATGGACATGAATTTTCTAGATCATACTCTGCATCTGTCTTGAATGATTATTCTTTACTCACCGAACGGTTGACAGGAGTGTCACATTTTATATTTATTAAGGAGTTTAAGAAAATACACCAAGCCAATTTAGCAGAAGTTTTACAAGAACGCATGAAATTACTTCTCCATTCCATTTATCATCATATGACTATTGCAATCACTTGTGAACATGGACATTTACAAGATTTGAAAAAAGGAGTCGAATCTTTTTTACAAGAATTGAACAATAGCCAACTTTCTCGAACCACACACGACTCAACAACAACAACAATCCAATCACTCTTAACTTTATCCAAACGTACAAAACAAGGAACTTTTATTGAATTGAATTTTCCTGTGAATTATGTCGCCATCAGTTTTGCAACCAACACTTCTTATTTAAAGAAAGACTTTGCTTCACTTTCTATATTTGCAGCATTTCTCTTTCCAGTGCTTCACAAAGAAATTCGTGAAAAAGAAGGAGCTTATGGTCAGAAAACAAACATGTTCAGAGAACAAATTTTCTCTTTCTATACGTATAGAGATCCTAACACTTACAAAACGATTGAAATATTTCGAAGAGTATTGAGTGATCTTTGTGAAAACAATTCCTCACATGCAATCATGATGAGTGAAAAAGAACTTTTTGAATCCAAATTAAGTGTGTTAAAGAAATTGGACACACCCATGGAACCTCATCAAAGATTTTCTTTATACTTCTTGCATGGTCTCACTGATGCAATGAGACAACAATTTAGAAATTATTTGTTGCAAGTTGGAGTGGAAGATGTGTTACGAGCATGCCAATTACATCTTGTCCATGTTCCTAAGAATTTGCAATACATGACCATCCTTGGATCCAAACCAAAAGAAGAAGAAGGAGTTGTGGAGTACTTTGATTTTGTTTCACTATGAAAAAGGTCTAATGGATGGGTCCAAACAAATCAAAACTTTTATTATTGTGAGTGAATAAAACTACGTAAATTTTTCAAAACACTGTTCTCCAATGTTGACCCCAATGATTGTTCTCGACTCATCAATCATTGGGGTCAACCACATGCATTGGCTGTCCTTATTCAAATAATGTTATATAAATTAAATTTTTAAATATTTTTTATTATTATGCAACCAATTTAATTTTACCAATAAATAGTGGAAAAAAAATGCACAAGCCTTCCCTTGTGTTTTCTTCATCCACCACCAAAACGAAAGCTTCTTCACCACAACCAACCATTTCAAACTCCAAACATCATCAGCTGGTACCTTTGAGAAAACCCGAACACGCAGACTCTTCCATCGATGGAAAGGCATCTTTTATGAAGGAAGTGGTTTCGTCATTTCCGGAAATCAAATCATCAAAGACACTGGGTTCAACAAAGGCTCATTCCGAAAATAATAGATCGATCATCACCACAGCAACACCGTTGAAAAATTCTTCCAAAAGTACCAACAACAATTCAGAACTATTCAATCACTCTTTTACCTTTGAATCACCAAAGAAGAATACTACTACTAGCTCTCTTTCATCATCAAATGATTTGGAATCGTCTGATAAAAAGAGAAAGCTCGATCAAGCTTCAACAAGCTCACTATCTTCTTCACCAGGATGGAAAACAAAGCCTTCTAAAAAGCTTAAAGACACATTTTCCAGCATATCGGATGAAAAAAAGCCTTTTTCACATAAAGAGGTGAAACCCAAATCAAAAAAGACAAAATTTATTATTGGCGTCACCGGTGGTGATTTTATGGAGAAAGGAGAAGTTGTCAATATTATCAAGAAATTATCCAAAAATTCTGAATATGAGTGTGTAGAAATTGGAGGTTCAGATTGTGAAAAATTCACACACCTTGTATGCTTGGATGAAGACCCAAAAAAGACATTGAAATTAATCTATTCTATTGCGTTAAATATTCCAATTTTAAAATCGTCATGGCTCTATGAAAGTGATAAGGCTTCATATTTTGTTTCTGAAAGCGAGTTCTACATTACTAAATATCTCAGAAAAAGACCAAATGGTGGAGTACTGAAAGACAAGCGATGTTTTGTTTTAAGGGGAGACAATGTGTCTTTCCCTTCACCTGAAATTTGTGAACGATTTATTGAATTATGCGGAGGATCAATAGTTGAGAAGATTACTCAAGCGAATATCATTATTACTACATCCACTTCAAAGGAATTGGAATATATTATTCCTAGACATGATATTTCCTCATTACCAATCTATCCGGTTGTCAAAATGCGCTGGATTGTTGATGTTGTTGACAAGCAACAGTTATTGGATACCAAAGAGTATAGAGATGAATATTATTATAGCGCAGAATGCATAACCAAAGAAAAGGAAATATTGGCTCAAACAGTTCCCTCTCATATAGCTTGTTTAAGACTGACGTCCACTCTTGATTGTACTTCGCAACTGATACCATTGTATGCTGATAAGGTAAGTTCATTGTCCAAAACTTGCTGTATTCACTTGCAATAGAAAGTTGTGACGTTAGGCAGAGCTGCAACTGATGTCGATCACGTGATTGACACTCCAAACTCCAAACAGAATCCTGTCATTTCTCGTATTCATGCGAAAATTGTACAGATACAAGAAAATAATAGTCAGAATGAAGAAAAAGTTATACGATGGAAACTCATTGATTCTTCCTCCAATGGTACCTTTGTAAATAATACCAAAGTTAAGGAAGCTTTTTTAATGAATGGTGATATTATTGCGTTTGGTCACAATAAGGCCAACGTGGCTGTTGGAGAAAAGGTACCATTTGTTCAAACCAAATGCATCTATGTATTTGAAACCGAAGAGGTTGTCAATACTGAAGATGTACAAAAAGAAAAAGAGGAGCTTAAAAAAGAAAATGAGAAAATGAGACAAGAAATTCAACGACTCAGAGAGACTCACATTAAGACAGCCATGTCGAACATGCAAAAAGAAAAGGAAATTATTAGACTTCAAAATCTGGTGCTTCAAAATCAAAGAAAGGATGCTTTAGAATTCCCATTCAATCACAAGTATGTTTTCGTCAATGGATTTTTCTAATTTTTCACACCATTTATAATGAAAAGACTCTACATTATTGATACCAACGTTCTTGTCGAGAGACTGCATATTCTCAAGAACTTATTGGAGAAAGTGAATTGTTCTTGTGTTATTCCACAAACAGTCATTTCTGAGCTCGATAAATTAAAGTTAAGGAAAGACATGTGTGGAATCAAAGCAAGAGATGCCATTCGATTTTTAGAGGAATCATTTGAAAAGGGAAAATATGACAATCTATATGGACAACAATCTCATCAAACACTGAATGGTATGGAGGATGGAGGAGTTCAGTCACAATCAGCAGATGATCACATCATTAATTGTTGTCTCTACTTTAAGGACAAAGTATTGAAACGAAAGGAGAAGAATCACGAACTCATTTTGTTAACCTATGATAGAAATATGAGAATCAAGTCAGGAATTAACAAAATTTATGCTCCATCAAATTTTGAATGAAACTTTCACATGGAGGGAATTTGGCATTCTTATCGAGAATTTTAAATATTAATACCAACAACATTCTTTGACCTAATCCGGAATAATTTTCAAAACTCAAATCACTCCTTATTCGATACAAACAAGTCTATAGAGAAAGGTGAATCAAGTCGTTAAGAAATTAAGAGTGACTTTGAAACCAATAAACTTAATTCTTTAAATTGTTACAAAAATTCATAAAAAAATGAGCGAACAAGATCCGACAATCACTACCAACGAAAATTCATCAACAAGCACGGAAAAAGGAGACATTCGTGTATTATTAGTTTATCTCTTTTTGTTTTATTTATCATTCGGAATTATCAACCCTGTCAATGTAGAATTATTTGAGAAAATTAATTCAGCAATTATTGATCCTATAAATCCAACTCATCAAAAAGCCACCACCAAACACTCAACTTCTCTTTATGGATTTCTTTTTGCTCTTCCTGGTGTAATTTTCTTCTTTGTGAGCCCAATTACTGGAAATTTGAGTGATCGATTCGGAAGAAAGCGTTTTCTAACGTTGTTTGCGGCATTATATGCAACTATATATGGAATTTATTTCGTTTTGTGTCGATTTGTAACAACAACCAGCCATTCATCCAATTTTGAAATTGTGATACGAAATAATGCATTGTACTTGTACATATTTGCCAAAATATTGCAAGGATTTTGTTTAGATGTTATTCCAATGGTTAACTCTTATATTGCAGATCATGCAGACAAGAAAGATTTAACTTTCTATTTTTCATATGTTTTGGCCATCATGGGATTATCAACAGCAATTGGACCTGTCATGTCTGGAACAATTTATAAGCAATTTGGTTTGAATTATGTATTTGGTACAATATTTTGCATTTCAATTTTCACAACTTGGTTTATATTGTTCTTTTTGAAAGAGAATGAAAAAGGAAATATGTCTCAAAACATAACGGATACATCGAAAAAAGATTCCAAACCATTCTTATCTGAGATTGGTGCACCTTTTAAATCATTATTTATGATTGTGACACAAGCAGACGCCATTCTAAAATCGTTGATTATATCCAAATTTATCAGTGCTTTCATATCTGTAGGATTTTTCTGTATCATTACTCAATTCACTCGCTTGAAATTTGAATATGGACCTCAAGAAAATGGCTTTTTACTTACTTTGGTTGGAATTACTGCCGTTCTTTCAAATTCAATCCTTGCCAAGCCTATCGCATATTTGAGTGGAAGCGAGTCCAACAATCTCATAATAGCTGGAATCGCTAATGGACTCTTATTCTTGTCATGCGTATTGATTCGAAATGGAGATTACTTTTACTATGGTATGAGCTTCTTTTTAATTGGAGCTAAAGAGGATCCATTACGGTCGTCAATGATTTCAAAAGTATTCGATCCTAATCAACAAGGTATTTTGAACGGATGTCTTGGATCCATCACAACGCTAGGAAGAATTCTTGCACCAGTTATTTTCTCGTTTTTATTGGATGTTTTCACAACAAGCAATTCATTGCCAAATATTGTTGATGCTCCTTTCATTGCAATGACTGTGGCACAATTTGTTGGTGTTGCTTTCATATTTAGAGCGAAGCTGTTGATGAACGAGAACAAAACCGAATAACGTCAAGTTACCAGATAAAACCAATTTTTTGACTGTTCTACATTCTGTGTAAAACCATCATATGGAACAAATAATTCGAAAGTAACTGTTCATTGGCTTTATTGGCAACAAGCTCAATCCATCAAGACCTATTGTTGAATGTACTTTTTAACGAGTTGTTCGAGGCTGTCTGGATCCGCTCCTTGAACCTCATCGACTTTGGTGCCGTTCTTAAAGAATTGGAAAGTAGGCATTGCTTCAATACCATACTCCAAAGCAATGTCTTGACATTCATCCACATCAATCTTTAAAAACTTGACATCTTCATATTGAGTAGACATGGCTGCAAATATTGGTGAAATATATTGGCAAGGTCCACACCAGGATGCAGTAAAGTCTGCAACAACTAACTTGTCATGTTTCAAGGCCTCGTTAAACTCATCCATGCTGTGAATCTTGACTACATTTCCTAATCGTTTCTTGTCAGCTGCTTGTTTTACTTGTTCTCTGTCAGTGGAAATTTTCAAGCTCTCCAACAATTTTGTCACGTCATCAACATCTTCTGCATCAATTTTCTTTTCCAAGTCCTTCAACAGATTTTCCAAGTCAGTAGTTGCGCTTTCAGGGGCAAACTCCAAGTCATTTCTAACTTCCTGAAGCATTTCTTCTGCTTCCATTTTCAATAGGAAGAAGTCATCGAATTTCTTACATTCTGGCAAATATTTGTCCAAATCAAATTTGTTTGTTGCGTGGTCATGAATCCATTGCAAAATTCCAGCAGCAGTTCTTTTACCAGAGAATTTGATGGGATTGTTCTTCTTTTCCTTATCACCAGCTGGGAAAAGCTTCATGTTAGGAATCGTACCTATCGTGAGAACAGTTCATTTGAATCGTGTGGAATTACCAAAATACCATCACTACTTACCCTCTGGGAAAAACTCATCAGAATAATCATTCAAATCCGAGTTCATTTTGCAAATGACAATGCCTGATTCAGGTTGCAAGACGTTGGCTACCTTCTCGATCATTGGTGATACCATAATACATGGACCACACCAATCAGCGTAAATGTCCACAAACACGTCCTTCTGCTCATCAAGAACAATCTCGTCAAAGGCTGAGGCCACAAGTTTTTTGAGGCCTTTCGATCCTGGATATTCATCGTTAGGAGGTCTTTAAGGTTGGATTTGGGACAGTTACATTGATGGTTCATTTTGATTCAGGATATAGAGATCAGATCAAAATGGTTCGTAATTATATCATCATACAAGTGTGATCATTATGGGCTCGTTCAATATTCAATACCAACCAAACTCAAAACAAACCTTGGCTCACTTCTCACTTCAGCCTTTGCGGTTCCGTCTTGAACCGATTGAAGCCATGTCTTCAATGCTTCTTTATCCACAGGAGTCTTGAGAGAATACATGAACTTCTTTCCCTTCTTGCTCAACATTACAGCACACAAATTGTTTTTAATTTCATCCTCAAGATCAATACCGATTACGTTTGCAATAGATGCTCCAATAAAATTGATCGTATCGGGATTAATATTGCTCTTAAACCAGAAAGCGTTGGAGAGAACTTGGTCGTCTTTGTTTTGGTCCAACAATGCTTCAAGTTCTTTTACCAAATCTGATTCTGATTCTCCATTATAATAAAACAGTAGTGAAAACTTTTCGGTGTCTTCGAGTTGTGAAACGTGTGAACGATCGAGTTCTTCCAAGACCATGATGATGATGATATGATTAATATTTTTTTGTTCGCCTTGTAAAAGGATTTGGGTATGTCCTTTTTAAGACCCCGCACATGCATCTCGTTCACGAACTCGGGCTTTAAATTAGCAATTGATTGTGTGTTTCGGCGAAAGACCGCTTGTGGCTTAATTCTTGACTGTGGAATTTATTCGATTGAGTGTTGCCACTACTTGAAATACCAAACTTCCAACTTCAGAATTGAAAAAGTGGTCTTTGAGCCTGCTAGTGGTTCGTTATCAAATGTTGTGCATCTGTTGCTTGTTCCAATACAGAGCTGGTCATCAATTTGAAGAGCTGGTCCATCTCCTCCTGCTCCAAAAACGAGTCTGTCCTTTCTACCCATCACGAAAAAGTCATTCTTTCTTGACCATTTGTATTTGGCTTCGACAGGATACATGGAAAACAAAAACGTGTCAGTGGTTCCTTCAAAACGATATGTCTTATCGTATGAGTCACCACAAAATGCTCCAAAGATACAAACATCAGCTGTTTTCTTCTTTTCGACTGGAGCTGACTCCGTTTTTTTGCTTTCTCTTTTCAAAGATTTTCTCAGAGAGGCGCCTTGTTCTTTGTGTTTTCTGATCATTTCAATAACTTTCATTGCATCTTGTTCATTCTCAGAAATTTCCAATTCTTGTGGAATCAAGTCTTCCATTTTGTCTTTTTGATGCTTCTTGATATCATCAATATCTCCGTCAAGAGAAATTGGGACTGCAGAAATCAGTATAATATTTGGTCCAATATCACTACACATATTGTACAATTGAGACAAGCTGTAGCCATCTCTAGAAGTTGTAAATCTTAGTGAGAGAGTTCTTAACCTTTGTTTATACGACAGCCACGAGACCAACAATTCCCATTGAGATTCATCCTTAATAATTTCAGATGTAGATCCAATTTTGGGTTTGGTAAATGTTGTGATCTTGCTTGAAAGCTTGTTTGGATTGATTTCACTTCGGTTTTTTTCATCCAATTGAGTGAGATATTTTCTTGAAATTCCAAATTTAAAAGCTGTCTTAAAGAACTCCTCTTCATCAACTGTAATAGAATTATTACTGGTGAGAATGTCTTCCATATAGTTTGGAGATAGGACTTTCAACAACTTGGGCTCTAATGTCTTTAAAATGGCGTAGGCTACACGATATAATATTTTCGCTCCTTCATTAAAGAAGGAGTCTAGGGCTCTCAACACGAAATCAAACGGTAAGTATGGCACAAAAAGTCTAGAAAACCATTTGTAGGTTACTGAGCTAATGTCAAAACCAATCTTTTCAAAATGACTGGCAAGATTTGGAATGTTCTTCTTAATGATGTCGCTAAATGATTCTATGAAAAGTGCGTGCTGCATTTTGTTAGTTCTGAAATACCATTTAGATTCTCTAGATTTTTCTAACATACAATGTACAGTTGCATAGGTTTGTTTCTCATTCATGATAATCAAAAGGATCTGAACCAAGTCAGGAATAGGAGGGCAATAGTCAATATCAATGTGATGATCTGCAAGAACACATAGTATTCGCTTAGCAGCCTTTACACCTTCGTGGGTGAGGAGACAATAATCCTTATCAAGCTCTATTCTCTTCACTTTTTCATCATCTTGTACCTCTACTGGTTGTTCTTTTTGTACAATAGCGGTTGGGTTGTCAGCATTATATCCTGGAAGTTTTCCTCCAAACTCTGCAATAATTCTCGGGTCTATTGATTCAATAAACTCCTTTTTGTTTTTAAATGTCTTATTGTCCGAGTTGTAGTGGCCATATGTTTTTTCGAAATGATTTTCATAAAAATATGGACTTTGTTTCAATAATGAAGCAGAGCCTGTAATTCCCATCCACAACAAACATCTCTTTGATTGAGGAATGCCAGACCTAATCCAAGATTTTGTGGATTTTGAAACCTCAGACATTGAAAGAGGGAATTTGGTAACATCTTTCCATGGGCCCTCATTTTGTCTCTGATTTTCATTATAAAGTAAATGTACTGGAATTTTGTTAACATCTGCGAATCGAGAAATGTGTAAACATTGCAACTCCTCCTTATTCACAAATACGTGTTCGTCTTTGTCCTCTTTTCCAACCACTAGAGCGTTTTCATTTTTCAAGTCAATATACGGACCTTTTTCTTCTCCTGCTCCTCCTTCGAAGAAATTAAACGCATCTTCATGTTCTTCATCAATAAAGCCATCCTCGTTTTCTGTTGGAAGTTTTTTAGTCAAAATAGAGTCCTGATTTTCAATCGCAGCAGGAAGAATGTTTTCAATCAGTAATTTTACCATGGACTTTCCAGTTCTTCCAGGAGGTATTCTTTCTCCTTTATACAATCGGGTGTATCCATGATGTAGAACATCATGATATCTAATAATTACATTTCTATTTACTCTAGTAAATGCTGTTTCTAACCAAGTCTCAGCTCCACCAATCGATGAGAATGTCATTGTACTGAATATTAATATTACCGTATTGGTAAATATTCGTAATGAAGTCGGAATAAACTCACCTTTGTGCTAAACAATGTTCAACACCAACTTTTCTCTTTACGTGGAATGTATAAACATTTTCTTGTTCAGTACACCCAAATTCCATGGTGTCTGTTACAGTCTCGAATCTGCCATAAATTATTAGAGCAACGGTTTGTGATGACTGTACAATTTCTCATGAACTTACTTGTTTTGTTTTTCATTATAAAGCATGATAGAAGTAATTGGATTATAGGTAGCCAACCAGTCAGCTTGATCTCTCATGATCATTCCCGTCAAGTCCTTTCCGAAAACAATTGCCAAATTTTCAGCCTCTTCTTTTGTTGGAGGTCTAGGGGGTGTCGATGATCCTTTTTGTGATTCCTCTTCCAACCTTCTCCTTAGTATATGAAAGGCTGGTCGTGGAACAATTTTGGCATATTTATCAGTATCTTCGAAATATTTAACGACAATCATTTTGATTGGGCGTTTTCTCTGTGCCTGTATGTTTTGAGTTGGGGCAGAAACGTTGTCCGGAATTGGCATCGTGAGCGAAACTTCGTTTGGTGCCATTTTCAATTCCTCTTTCAAAACAATGAGTACACAATTTTTAATGATCTGTTCTTGATGATGATTGGAATCGGAACTGATGAAAAAAAGCGAAGCTCTGTTAATATTTTTTTGATTGGTTTTTGCGCAATTTCGCGAGAGCAGGTGGTTCAGTGATCTTCCCTGACTTGGATCATCCCTCATCGTTCTTCGTTTGAAAAAGTTTGAATCAAACACCTTTGTTGAGGAAGTCTTTCTCTGAGAAGACTCAAAAACTGTAAGTCTTAACAACTCCTTTTTTTGCCCAAATGTGGTTATCGCCTTTTTTCTGATTATATTTTAAACAGGCAAAGAGACCAACAAAAATGCATCACAGCTGGACATTTGACAACGGTTGGTCAATTCTTATTCAATAAATCGTTCACTCACGTTGCCCTAAGGACAAGAGTTGGGTTCTATTAAAGAGGCGTCCACCCTTTCACGCACAGAAATATAAAATTTGTATTTCACGCCTATGCAAAATATACAGCTTTCGCAATAATTATTATCTTATGAGAATTCCCAACTATTTGAAAAAAAGATTCACACAAACCTTTCCCAACGTAAGTTTCGCAACCTTTCGCATGTCTCTCTCAATTTGCAATTAAACACAAAAAAAAGGCATCTGGGCCGAAAGAGACACAATTAAAGGAACAAAAAATTTAGCAATTTGGTCCTGGCCATCACGTCGAAGAAAAAGGAGAGTTCAAAAGAGAAGAGAGGCTCTTAAGCCCTTTGTGATTTTACAGCAGCGTGATTACTGTGTGTAAAGATCATCATCACGTAGATATTACCGTTCCATGCCAATTGTTCTTCTTCTTATTGGATGATTTTGACAACGGAGAAGCAAAAACAACCCCTTGAAAATTATCAACACAATCATTTCTCACCATTCCGATTACGTGATTCCTATCTACTTCACATTGAGAAGAACACTCAAATTTTAGTGGAGGTCAACTGGTCATAGGAACATCTATCTTCCAATCATGGAAAGGCTGATTTCTTTCTTTTTCCCAGCAACGGTACGAAATGTAAACGAACGCTTGGAGATTGCGCACTTCAAAAAGGAATACAGTCGAAACAAACGAGGAGCGAATGAACGGTTTATGCAACAACACCACACGAAAGAGCCAATCCTTACTACCACCACTACCACTACAACAACAGGAACCACCATCCCTAACCAACCAACCGAGCAGCAACCCATCCCCATCTTCCTAGATGCATCTGATATAACAACAACGACCAGTAGTCGTCGTGTTACTGAAGAACAAACAAGGACAACAAGAACGAAATCTCCTGTATCTCCCATCAAAACGCACGTGCGGACCTCTCGTTCCCCGTCATCGAACCAAGAAACCATAACCATGGTTGAGGAAAACTCGAACCATCATCCGTCAAGCTGCAGAAAGTCAGAAAATACTGACCAAGAACAACAGCTTCCTTCATTCACAAAGCCAAAGGCTCCCTCGCTGTGTAGCTTGATGATGTGTGGAACGTTGGGATCTGGCAAGTCCACTCTCTTTCGACAATTCAGGGTTACGTTACAGGAAGGGTTCAATAGCACAGAAGTCGATCGAATGAGAATGTATCTCTTTTCCAACATGTTAAACAGTTTTGGTTTGGGTGTTGCCAAGTTTTTGAACCTCCTCTCAGAATACAAAGACTTTGGAATCAGTGCCATTGCTCACACCAACATTCCTGAAGAGTATTTCAATAATGAACAAGTCATTCAACAATTTGTAGAGTACAAACAAAAGGTCGGCACCTTACATTCGAGGCATGTGATTCATGATTCGAATATTCCTTATGGAGACATTATCATATCCATGTGGGAAGATCCAAGAGTTCGAGAAATTCTCAATGCATTTGCAGTGAGCGACTCTTTTTCAGATGGCTTGGATTACTACTTGAGATCTCAATACGATTCACCCAAACGAATGTTAAGCAAAACGAAAAGATATGAACCCATACTCGACGATATCATTAGTTGTAGAACAAAGACCACAGGTATTACATACATTGATTTTGACTTTCTTGGCACTTCCTATCGAGTGTTTGACGTTGGAGGAGCTCGAACTGAAAGAAAAAAGTATGAAAATGTTTATCCTGGACTAACAGGAGCTTACTATACTGCCTCTCTTATCGACTATCGAAAAACTTGCTATGAAGATGACTTCTCAAGTAGATTCATAGAAAGTACGACCTTCTTTGATACGCTATGTAACGGACCATTGAAATACTCTCCAATATTTCTTGTGTTCACAAAGCTGGATATTTTCAAACAGACCTTTGAAGGTGAAACAACATTTTCTCGTTTATGTCCAGAGTACGCACAGTATGATCCATCATCAGAACACCAAGATTTTTCCACTTTCTTTAATGATCTTCCTTCTCAGTCCAAAATCGATTCCTATCCTATTGTCAATCCAAATCCATCCTCTTCCTCTTCCTCTCTCTCCAATCAATCAAAATTTTTAAGGTATCTTCTTGATGAAGAAATACACCTCACTAACGAAGAATTGAGAGTATTGTCATTCATTGAAAATAGCCACACATCGAAATTGAAATTCAATACCAAACGAGTTTTTATCTTCTACATGACTGCTCTCGATACGAATCAATTCAAAAAATTGGTTGACATTACGACCTCAATTTTGTATCAACTTTTTTCACACACTCCCTTTCCTCGAAAATAATCCTTCTCAATAAACTATCACTTGGGTCCATGCATGCCATACAATCAGGAAAGCTTCAATAGCTTCAAATTCTTCGCTTTCATTTTGCAACTCTTTCATTCTGTACAGACACTGATGATCTTGTTGTGCACAAGAGAGATCTCTCAGCACGAATTGCAAAAAACGTATCTGAAAGAAGAAGATTTTTCCTCATTAAATTTCCAAAAAATGGCATCAACAATCGTTCCGTTGAAGATGGGTCATCATGGACGTGTAATTCATGTGGATGAATCGATCACCCCAACAACACTCACTCCGACCACTCTATTTGATGATGATCAACCTGAACTGATGGATCAAAGCAATGAAACAAAAAACCATGTGTTTTCCGATTCGTCCCTATCAACTCCCATTTTTCCAGTGAAAGTTTCATGTGGTATAACAGGAACAACACACAACCATGATGAAACTCCATCTCCGATCGGAAATGATTTTATCAATTCATCCTACTGTCCATATAATGATATTTTGCAACTGTACGACAGGAAAACACACCAACTCCAATTTTACTTTGTGAAAGATGGACAACCAACTGATGACAATACCACTTTTCAATTTTTGAACAATCATATCACTATTGATAATTGTTGTTTCAAATCGTAGGTATTTCGTGGGACATGAGGTGGAATTTGTAATAATTATTGTTTTAAGATTTTTGTGGCTAAAATCACATGAAAGATGTGACATTAATTATTTACCTTATTTATTTGAAAACACTGAGTGTTCGAACATTATTTATTCATGCTATTTTGTAATTACCAACGAGACCAATTTTGAAATTTTTTTATTTGTGAAAGCACGACTTTCTGAAAAATCATCCAATCTCACGAACCTCAAAAAGCCTCTCCCTTTCTTACAACAGAAAAAGGAATTAATAGATTTTTTGACCAACTCAAAGAATATTTTCCAAGAACAATCGGGAAAACACCTTTGGAAAGTTAGCAAAGTTACGATTAGCTATCAAGAAATATTTTCAATTATCTCTAATACAAACAACTCTACTGTAGATCCGAACGTGACACTCTCTCATATCTGCCCAGTGTTAGAAAGTAGACATTGTATGTTTATTTTTAGTGACGGAACGGCGTGTGAGCTGTCATTTCAAAATTACAGACTGGTATTATGCTCTTCATTTCAATTGCAACCACAAACAAACGAACGTTCCTATTCAGAAATTGTATCTTATCAACAATTTCTTCTTTGTCATACGACAAGCAAACAATGCGTCGTTGATATTTGGGATATTTCAAAACAGAAAATGGTGGGAATGATTGATCTTAATCCTTTCTTTTCAATTAATGATTATTCTGAAACCCTTTCTAGATTCCAAATTTCAAATAATGGCCTTTTATTGAGTGCAGTTGGAAAAAATAATTCTATTTACATAATCGACATTGATTCTAATTTTCAGATAACCAAAAAAGAAATCGATCACAACCATGAAGACAATTTTGAAGATAATGACGATACTGAAGGAGACGAAGACGAGGAAGATCAATCTTCAGAGGAAGAAATTGGAGTCTCAATTACTGAAGACAAAGAGACGGGAGTACCAGTTGTTGAATCTCTTCTCCCTATCACTTACACTGCAGACAACTATTATCAATCTCACTGGTATGACAACACGGAGCCACCAAAGAAATCTACCAGTGTATTGTTTGACGCTTCTGATAGCAATAGCCACCTTGAAAAAGACTTGGAACTCAACTCTCCACTTGTCGTTGCCAACAAAACTCGTAGAGAAACTTTGCTGAAGGATTCCATTCATTTGAGAAAAGGATTATCAGGCAATCTAGAAAGTAATTATGAGCATGGTCTATTATCAAGAAAGGACTCACGATTATCGAGCAGCCACATGCTCCTATCTCCAAGAAAAGAAGAAAATATAAGCCACATTGGTGAAGGTCTATTGTTAATCCACAATCCGTTTAACTCGATGATGAACTATTTATTAACCAGTGATAAGTGTTACATTATTCACCATATGAACAACATTGAGAAATGGAATACCTTACAAATTTATGATGTATCGTCTGGAAAACTTGGACATATACAAATGCTTGCCAATGTGTTTTTGACTCCATTATATCCAACAGGATGTCATTTCATTTGTATTAGTAATAAGTATTCTCTTGATCATGGTATTTATCATCTGAACTTCAACATTACCAAAAACATGTTACTCAATAATCTGATCAAGTATGAAAGACAAAGATTGGCGGAACAACTTTGCGATTTAAACGGCTGGGATAGACAATCATTATCTGTGCATGCCATAGAATTAGGATTGAGGTATGTATGGATATTCAATGTTTGTTTTTTAATGTCATCAATGATTGGTTTATCATTAGAAATCGTGAATTATCGGTGCTGCAAGATACTTTACGAAATTTAGATCCACAACAAGAACTGAATGTTTGCTACATTATTGCAAAATTTATTCAAGAAACTAAGTTTTCTCGAGATAGTGAGTTTAAAATTCAAACAATTACTACAGCCATCGGATACATTCTCTCGCTGATTGAAAAGAGAATCAACGAACTTGGAAGAAATCCAAGTTTTGGATTGGGAGAGGAAGATCCAAATTTATTTGATTCCATCTTTTTATTTCAAAACAAGCATGTTCCTATTATCACTGAAAGTGCAAATTCTGTCATTAAGAAACTCGAAATTAGAAATCCACGAAAAATGGACAAACTTATGGAAAGTCAAACAATATCAGAAATTGATGAGATTACTGCAGCTTCCAATGATGTTCACCAATCTTCATCTGTGCACATGATTGCAATCATAGAGGATATTATGAGCTCGAAGAAAAATCTTTCAAAGCCTGAGGAGATTCTGTTGTTATCAAACATAATAGCTTTGCTAAGATCTTACTTACTCATTAATGAAGAAGAACATGAACAAATGGCTACAGCTCAGCATGAAGCACTCCCACTCGACCAGCTCTCTGTGCTTAGCTCTATACCAATTTCTAATAAGAATAAGAATGACAAGAAGATTGATATTACACCTATTGATTTGGTAAGTGCTGGTACATAGTTGTGTTGGTGACAATATGTTTCTTTCATTAGTCTCTTTATAATGATAACTTTAATGATCTGTCTTACTTTGGATCAGAAATTAAAACTGGAATTTCTTTAAACAATGAGGAAGATATGTATAATTATGATCAAGAAGATGAGGATGATCAGGTTTCAGATGCTGATGAAAAGAATGAAGTTGAGTTATTTGAACGGATATTAACACGAGAACATGAATCATTATTCAAGAGGTGGAAACAGCTAGATAATAAGAGCATCATTACTGAGAGTTTGTTGAACGGCCTAGTTTCTTTAGGATTTTCGTTCTTGAAAAACAAATCAATGAAAATCAAATCTGACCTTGGTTCTGATTCTGAAAAGGATGAACATGACACGAATTGTGAAATTAATAATTTTGAAACTTTTAAAGAAGTTGCGTTTAAAATCATTTACGAGAAACTTGCAATAGGAGAATATTCTGCTGCTCTAGAGATGATTGAAAATTTAGGAGAAGACCTTGTGGAGCACATGAGAGACATTGCATTCAACACTTTGGACAAAGACATTAGAAATTACTTAATCAAAGAGTTAATAAGATTGAAGAAATTGAACGAAGAAGAGTTGGAAGTAATAGAATTTCTTCAATTATTGGAAGAGTTATATCCTGATATAAGTATTTTTAAAGTTCAAGAAAAGCTTCATCATCTTGGTTATGGTAATCCATTCCATGAATCATCTGATCTATTTGATTCTCAACGCTCTGAACATGTCATACAGATAGGAGACATTTCGGATATGGGACAAATAAGCAAGTCCAGCAGCAATTCTTTCTCTTCAGTGGAAGAAAGTCCTTCATCTTCTGCCTCTCCCAAATCTGACTCCGATGATGTTGTTTTCAGAAGAAGAACTTCTAGCTTGATGAGAATGAGGAACCCTTCCATGCTCTCGAAAAAGGTACTCACTTTCCAAAAATCCAAATCCAGCTATCTTGTGACCACACTAAGATGGGTCATGAAATGGGACAAGGAAACACGAGAGAGGATATTGTTGGAAAAAGATTATCATGATAATGAATCCTTGAGAGGTAGACTAGCCTTCTGTATCGCTCACCATGATTATGTTGGCATTGTTCGATGGACAAAAAGTGTTCTTCCATTGACTCAACTCCATTCAAAGAAAAAAGTCTACCGGAATTCAGTGCCTTCTTACAGAACATGGAGATATTACTTATGTGTCTGAACATCCAACTTCAAAGAAAGCTTCATCAGCCATGCAACATTGTAATGAGATTCTTGAGATTGTTAAGGATCAATTGAAGTATTGCAGCCCAATTATGAAAGAAATTTTACTCAATAGTTTGGCACTTCGAGGAATTTTCGTGAGAGAAGACACTTCTGATTTTATTTCCTTATTGAAACGGTTCTGTGCCACGTATCAACTATTTTCTGTGCACCCAGTAGAATTTCCAATATTTGAGAATGATCCAATTCTTCTGTTTGACAATGACCGAGATCCAACTCCATCCATTAACACTTCCTTGTTACATCCTCAGGGAGAGTTCAGCAAATTTCACAAGGATTTTATTTCATTCTACATTGAGAAGAATTTACCAAGTGTCTGTTTTCGTTATATAGACAGGTTTGATTTATGGGAATGTTTAGAAAAAGAAAGCAAGATTTTCACAGAAGAATCAAAACCAGATTGGCTTAAATTGATTCTACTCTCCAAGAAAAAATCGAATGTTTGAATTGTCCATGGTCCATGCTCGGTCCGTGTTGGGCATTAAAAACGATCCAAGTATGAACTCTATTCTGAATGAGAATCCATTCATTGCTCTCTCTACTCAAATGTACTCTCCAAAAACTCTGCACGAAGCCATGAAAGAACCATCAACAAGCGAGTATTTCCTGAATAGAACAACCATATCTAAAGCATTACACTCCTACCCTACCTTCCATAATGCCTTATTTGGAGATCAACATACACCAAGTCCATCAAGAAGAGTACTCAATGAGGAGGAACAAATCAACAGCAAGACGATTAATTTATGTTCACATGAAATTTCAAGAGGAAATATTGTCTCCTATCAAAAAGATATTTCTCTCTACGAAATGTTGATCAAAACTAATAATGACATTTCCATAGAAGATATTTTAAATATTGAGGAAGATGAATTGGAAGAAAAGAGTCAAGATTTTTCGCTCTTGCAACCACATAGATCTCTCAAACTCGATTTGACGGATAACTTGTATGATTTTACTGATCATTCATGTTCAATCGAAGAAACTCTTGATGTTGAATATTATCTTGTAAATAAGAGACCATTGGAAGCTTACAAAGAATTTCTGAACAACTACAAGGACAAGAACAAAGGTATTGCAAAACTATTGGAAGATGGTGAGGACGTTTGCTCTCCCTATCTTTATGGAGAACAATCAGAATGTTTAGGAAAATACCTTTCCATAGAGGATCAAAACGAATTATGCCAAAAAGTGAGACATATTGCTATTCATAACTTTGCGGATCAGTGGATCACAGCTTGTTGTAGAATGTTCATTGAATTATGTGCATTTGATGTGTATTCAGAGCTTTATTCGAAATCCATATTAATAGATACTAAGGCAGCCAGAAGAATTACAGAATTTCATTCATCATTCAAGATACAGAGCGAGGAGAAGACTGTCTTGATGAAAAAGCTTGTTGATGACTTGATATCCATTGAAATTTTGGAAAATACAGATAACATGACGATGGAAAAATACATGAACTCTCCTCAATACAGAGTTCTTAAAATGCTTGAGGAAGCAACAGATTCCATGTTAATTGTGGATATTTCTGTTAAGGACTTTCTTGAAAAGGAGTTCTCGAAATCTACAAATGAGTCAGCATATGACAAGGTACAAATACTTGATGGTATGAGAAACACTGGCAACAAGATTTATGTCTCACCATGGAAACTACTTTGCATCTTTAGTGAACTTCATCATTTGCCAGAATATGTGCATCATTTACAAACTACAGCAAAGAGAGGACAATGGATTTCATTCCTTTATCATGCTCAAGATAGTAATGTTCCAATTACCACCGTAACATCTATCGTACAGCAATTCATGCCTGATTCCTTTAAGCAATTTCTGTTGGTTTCTCTTAGAGAAATGAAAGCTAAACAAGATGGAAGCACGCCACTGAAGGTGACCTCGGAATCCAATAATAATGAAGCCTTATGGATGGACTCATCAGGAGAGTCTTCAGATTCTTCAATAAGCAAATTGTTTTTAGAGTTGATACGTACTGAAGAATTACAAAGCTGCTCCAAATCAAGCACCGATATTATTAACCATTTGTTGAACAAGTCGATTAGCATGAGTGAGCCACTTTTAACGATCATTGCCACGTGCTACATTTCCAATGACAATTCAAATGTAGAAACATTTGCGTGCATGAAAACTTGGTTACAATCCATTAAGCAACGTTTATGCAGTGTCGACAAGAAGAGCACTGAAGTAATTTCCATCCAAAAGCTGTCGTCCAAGAAATTAATTGAAGCAATTGAAAAGCAAATTCAAGATTTCTGCTCGAACAATTTTCTCAAAGATGAAAAACAAAGTGGAGTGAATTACATCATTCAAGCATTTCAATTATTCGATAGCACAAATCCTATTGTTCTATTTTTAAGTTTTTATGAAGCGTACCTTTTTGATAACTATGAACGAGCGACACACTTTTTGCAACAATTTGTGAGCTCTGTGAAAGATATGCAAAATGGAAAACCTCTTCAATTTAAACTAGGAGATTTAAGTTGGCTGATTATTACTTCTACTGCACTTGCTCAACAACTTTCTAGGTGCTTGGTATCACAATTCAAAAGAACAAAATTTTTAGAATTGCTTCATTCATCTCAATTCTCATTAGCAGTAGATATGTCAAATGAGTTTGAGAGTATGTACAGCGTAAACAGTCTCTTAGAGAGAGTCATCAATTCTGGTGTCGTCATTGAAACTGACAAGATGAATGTGTTTACTGGTCAACCAAATATGTTCATTGAAACCCTTATTGAAAACAATTGTTTTAAGGAAGCACGACAAGTTGCAGTCATGTTTAGAAAGAAGATCAGTTTCCCTACTGACAAAATTACACTCGCTCAAGCCAACTACAAAATAGCAAAGGTAAAAGGCTTATTCTCATCCACTCATGAGCTCACAATGGCCTACTCTAAAGTCAATGATCTATTTATCAAATTTAGATATCCTCAAGAAGAGGCTGCCAAGTTTTTCCTGGAACAGGTCTTGGTTTTGCAAAAAAGTATTTCAATGGCAGGAATTTTACACTTGTTGAATCTTTCTTTGAAGTGGTTTGAAGGTACCTACTCTCTCACCAAAAGGTCGGTCGAGCTCTCGAAGCACCAGGTGACTCCATCAAGACCTACTAAAGACCTGGAGTTTTTGAGCCACAGTATTATGCTCTTGTCTAACTCACAAGAAGATAGCTCGTCGACACATGTTTCTGGAATTTTAGCTTCATTAGAGAGTAGATTTATTGAAAACTCAAAAAAGTCATCCTCTGTTTCGAATATCGAAGATTTACTTGATAAGGTTATTGACAATTTGCTGTTAAATAGTCAATACGATGAGGCAAAACAACTCTCCTCTTATTACAATTATCAAAGTGGAGTTTTGGAAATTATAGATATTGCCCTGTTGATGGCAAAAGCCAACGACTCGAAAACTCTTTATCAAGAAGCCGAGCAAATGAAATATTCCAAAATGTTGCCCTCCCATCTCTACAAACAGCTCAGAGAAGTGTTTCCACACATCGATGAGATAGACGATGCACAACAAATATTAGACAAATTGCAATTACTGTGCTATGGTTACAAAATGAAGGGGGCTAGAAATTATCTCAAGGTTATTGCTCTCAATTATAGAATTGGGAGAATTCTTCAATTGAATTATGAGAGTGTAATCACCAAAGATAGCTATGACGTTCTAAAATTATTATTGATGCTTTTTGGAAAAGAAAAAATTGAAGGTGTGTTCTGCATTCATTCAACTAAGAAATCTCGATACTGATCGAGCTGCTTATGTATGTGCGCATTATCTGTTTAACACCTACGCAGAGTATTACAAAAATGAAGACTTGTCCATTTTCAAAAATCAAGATGAAACTGAGATTTTGATTGAAGACTATTTCCAAAATAATGCAGGAAGCACTTCCAGTAGTGATGATTTAGATGATCGACTGTCAACGAGCTCAGGAAGTTCATTTTCGAGTTTTGACTTTTCTACTTCATATTCGAGTGTAGCAACAGGTAGTTTCTTCAAGCAGGCCATGACTAAAAACAACAAGCCACCAAAACCTCTCAAAGATTCGCAAAAACAAATTGATTTGGTGAAGTGTACAATGGACGAGTTTGCTGAATTTGCCAATATTTGTAGAGATCCTTCAGCCATCGCTCGACATTTGATTACTTTAGTGGACGCAGAAGAAGAAAATGATTCTTCACAAACCAGTCAAGATAGTCCAGGAAAAAGAAGTTCACGCACTGCAATGAGACACGTCAATAAGCATAATATTAACTTGAAATGCAAAGTGGAACTTATTGTAAGAGCATATCATTGCTATCACATGTCCTCAAGTTTTGAAGGAATTGAGTCGATTTTGAAACGAATTAAGGGTCCACTCATTCAGGAAATTTTAGATGAACAGGATTTTTCTCTTATTGTTCGACTACTTGTGACCATTCCTGATTTTGCAGAATTAACATTTTTATTTGATATACTTATTGAGAATGAACAATTTGAGCTCATTTTGAAAAAGAATTCACAATCGGATCAAGATAACAATAATCAACTTAAAATGGCTCTCTCTTCGTATGTTCAAACTAAATTCCCAGAACAAAACGAAAAACTTGCGATGGTTTACCTTAGATTTAACATGTTAAAAGAATATGGAACTTATTTATATAATAAGGGATGTAGAGGAATCAAAGTAATTCATAGAAGAATAGTTGGTGGAGATTCTTCAGATTCGTCGAGCAATTCTTCCAATTATCAGTCATCTATGGATGAACATGTACCTTTGGAGCATGTGTTTAAGATTGTTTGTGAAAATTTTGATTCGGCAGCATCTTCACTCACAAAAGAAGATTGTTGCCAAACAGCAGTCAAAGCAACCAATTTAAGTGCTCTTGTGAAATTACAACTCAAATTCTACAATGAAACTCCAAATAAGAAGAAACTCCAAAACATGCCAATGATACTTGAACTTTCACCCAAAGAAGCGAGAACCTTTATTCAAAATCATGCGAACTTTGAAGAATCGCTCATTGTTGCCAATGCCTACGATATTAACACCATGTCGGATTGGATTGAGCCAATTTACAACAACAGTGTGAAAAAAGGAGATGTCGAATACTTACAAGTGTTAAAACAATATCTTCCCATCAGTTCCAATTTATTTAGAGAAATTGCAAAGCGTGTGAAAATGATGGACTCGAAACCTCTCAACACCAAAGTGTTAACTTCATTTCACAAATTCCTTTCACAACATTGTTCAGACTATAAGGTGGTGATGGATATCTGTGAGGACATGTTGCATTTTGTGAATTCACAACTGCCCAATTCCTCTCCCGTTTATACTCTTTTTTTTGATTTGAACAAACATGCCATCTCCATTCTTGATTATGTTCCTCCAAGTGTTGGTAACAATAGTTCTTCTCAACAACCATTGGATACCAACACAAGTACAACTTCTCTCAATGCAATGAATGTCCAAGAAGAATTTTCACAGTTCATCCAGTAATAAAGAAATCAGATGATGAATTCATTGTTGATGTGAATTTTCGAAATTGAACACTTTGTGAAATCACCAAAATCGCCCTCTCGAATAGACGACAAAACACTCGCATTGAGAGAGCTTGAAATCTAATACAATGAAAAATGGGTCAATCTGTTCCCTCTCAAGAGGTCTCTTTACCTTCTCTTCAGTTGAATCACATTCCAGATGATATCATTTATCATGTATTGACATTTATTCCTTCTCATAGTATCTTCATCAATCAAATCATGAGAGTTTCACGGCAATGGAAACGAGTGTGTTTCCGATTGGAAATATCCATCGATTTGCACAATCGCCCAGCCAACCATCAACAATTCAAATCCATGATCCAATGTCGATATTTAAACAATTTAACAGAATTAAATTTACGAAATACTCAATTACATCATTTTGGCCTTTCCATTCTTCTCAACTCGAATCGTGTAAGGAATTTGAAAATTTTGGATTTGTCTGAAAATACCTATTTGGATCATGAAGGAATTGAGCTACTTTGTGAATGTCCAAATATTGGAAATTTAAATTCTCTTTCTCTGGACAGTTGTTTTTTGGGATCAAACTCTTTGAGATTACTTTCTTCATCTCTCATTTTACCAAATTTGACTGAATTGAATTTGAGTAACAATAGCATCAAATCCATCAGATAATTCCACACTCTTGCACATTCATTCTCATTTTCAAACAATAATTTCACTTTTTCACAATGTTCTGAACGGTCTTTTCTTTCAGAAGAAGTAGTCATGACTACTTCCATGCAAATACAAGTGTTGTTCTCTTTAAAGATCAAACAATATCTAGGAATTATTCCCCTAAACATGAGACAATGAAAATATAAAAGAAAAGGCGTCGAACTCGAATAATCCAACGAAAGACTCTGAATTCTTGTTTTCAATTTTTGAAATTCATTTGTTTTTTTTGAAATCTCTTTCACTTGATCCATCCAACGATCACAGGACGTAACAAAGAATAAACAACAATGAATATATTCCTCATTCGAAAATAATCGTTTAAAATGATTCAATTGCTGTTCCAATAAACGTGTGAATCGTCCTGTCAGAATAGCACATATTCTCTTCCAAAATACCCAAGTTTGATTATTCAACATACCTGCCACCTGTCTCTTGTCTCTTTCCACTCGGATCCACTTTTAAGTGGCAACGAATCTAAGTTATCTTTCTCTCAGAGGGGTTTTGAATTCAACACATCAAACTGTTGGTCATAGTGTGACACTTTGGACTTTTTGTTGTTCCATAACAAGTAACTTTCACCGATCGCCATTTTAATCTTCAAACGATCCAACAGTTGACACGTCTAAAAAGTCGCTAAAAAAATTTGTTTGCGCTGGTGTCACACATTTACACGTGGTGCCGCTTCAACGATTGATAATTATCTCGATTCTTCTTGATTCTCTCTGTCATTGTTGAATAGTATTGACACTTCTCTGTCAGTAGTCAACAATAGAACGTTGATTCAAAAATAACAACAACAACAAGGAATTGTATTTCATCATCTCTATCCGCAATTGTGGACCACATCATTAAATTCCAAAACAATTCCTTCCTCGTCATTGACTCAAGTCACTTGTCATTCACCACAACTCATTCTTCTCATCAATTATTATTATTCTAAAAAACCCGTTGGATACATTAACATCATCATCATGGGACTATGTACAGGAGGAAGTGCTGAAACAACACAACAAGCACGAGAAAAGGATAAAAAGATTGCCGATGATTTAAAGAAGACTGTTTTACAACAAAATAAGGAAATTAAATTGTTGTTATTGGGATCTGGAGAATCAGGAAAAAGCACTTTATTTAGTATGTGTTTCTTGTTGTTGCTTATCATCATCATCATATTGACAACTTTAATTTCTATATTTGGATAATTGAATGGACAATTTCAAATGGTCATCATGATGATATTTTCATGACCTTCTGACACCTTTTGTGAAACATTTGTAACGCATTCTATGATTGTGGCATGTCACAATGAATTTTTTCACTGATCATTTTCAATCGGACAGAACAACTCAAAATCATTCATCTCAATGGATTTAGCGAACACGAAGTAGAATCCTATGTTCCTCTCGTGCGAGGAAATGTCATCACTAACATGTTAAGATTGATTGATGCAACTTCTAGATTACAAATCAAACTCGACAATGAAGAGAATATACAAATTGCAGAGAAAATCAAAGCATTGGATCCAAATTTATTTGTCGCTGCTAAGGAATTTGACAATGTGAATAGTCAGTTGGGACTTGGAATTAAGAAACTGTGGAACGATAAAGGAATTCGAGCGGTAAGTGTTTTTTTAAAAAGACTGGAATATTTTTCAATTCTCGGACCTATGAATTCTATGAATACACACACAATGAAACATCACTATGAATTCAATACTCACACAATGAAACATCACTTTCTCAACATGTGACAATTCAAAAATTGCATAATGACAGGCCTTTGAACGAAGAAATGAATTTCAATTATATGACTGTGCAGAATTCTTCTTTGAAAACATTGATCGAGTGAGTGCTCAGGATTATGATCCAACCTATGAAGATATTATTAAATGTAGAGTGAAGACCACAGGAATTGTGGAATGTAGTTTTGAAATTGATGGATTAAAATTTCGATTAGTAGACGTAGGAGGACAAAGAAATGGTAAGTGATCCCTATTGGACACGTGAGTCACACGTGAATAATTATGTCATCTTACGTGAATAATTATTAATTGTTATCACTCATGAATAATTATGAATTGTTATTGATAATACAACAACACAGAACGTAAAAAGTGGATTCACTGTTTTGAGAGCGTGACGTGTTTACTCTTTGTGGTGGCCTTGTCAGAATATGATCAAACATGCTATGAGGATGATAAAACGAATAGAATGCAAGAATCTCTGAGAATTTTTGAGGAAATTGCAAATAATCAATACTTTAAACACACGTCAATTTTACTATTTTTCAATAAGAAGGATTTATTTTTGAAGAAATTAGAGAAGAATCCAATATCTGTATTTTTTTCAGATTACAAAGGCGAACCACATAATTTTGAACAATCCATCGATCATATTACAAAAAGCTTTTTGAAACTAATCCGAGAAGGTGATACAAGTAGGGTCTATGTGCATGTGACATGTGCAACTGACACTGATAATGTGAAAACAGTTTTTGAAGACGTGAAAAACACGATTCTGAAGGAAGGGCTCCACACGAAACAACACGCATAGTGCGAAACAATACAATAACACTTTTTTTCAACTGAACTTGTGTGTTGGTTCCAAAACCATCAATGGCTTTGTAACTGTTGTCAAATCCCGTAACAATAGGTGTAGCTTTATTTAAACCTATTCGTGGAATGGTCAAAAAGTTTACACAACTTCTTGCTCATTGTTCATTGTTGTTGATTCACCACCCATCTTTCTCTTCTTGATGGTTTGAGCTAAGGAATTTGTTTGTTGGAGAGCTGCTTTCGTTTCCATCATCTTTTTTTGTTCGATGTCCTTCTTGGCTTTCTTGTAATGAGTCGTAAACTCCTTAATGTATGAAAAGAATTCATCTTCTTCAGTCTTTACAACTTTGTTGCTTGGAGTAAAGTGGAAATATTCACAACATTCCAAATACTTATGCTTTAAACTTTCATACATTTGAGACACTGTGGCCAAAAGTGGAGAACAATTTGCGTGGAATGTGTGCAATCGAGTTCGATATAATTCTCTTTCATCAGAGGTACATGCTTCGTGAAGATAATTGATTTGGTTATGAATTTGTTTGTACTCTCTAAATAAAGTATCAATTGCTTCGATAGTTATTGACACACCAAAAGTACATGCTCCACAATTTTCCAACTCCTTCTCAAAACTATAAACATCCAAGTCGTCCTTTTCTAAAAGGCCAACCAAATAATGCATGAGTGTGACATCCTTAGCAGCAGTAGATTTGGTGTCAACTAATTTTGGAAGAATAGAAATATGGAAACCATTGGCTTCTAATTGCTTCTTTCCTCTGTTCATGTAGTTTCCAACGGTGAGAACATATTTGAGAACTTTAGCAAAGGAAGTAGAGGTACGAACAACTCTAATAGCTTCTTGTTTTCTCTTAATCTTTGTTGTGAGAGAGTCCACAAATGAATCTAAATTGTGCATGTAGCCAATGACATTCAGTTTAGCTTCAACATTCTTGACATTTAACAAATCAAGTAAAAATTGTTCGGTTCTCAACAATTCACTTTTTGATTCGAGTTCCTTCTTCTTGCTCGCCAAACTGAACGCAACCGTGCATAGACGCTTCAAGTTTTCAACGTGTTGAGCTGTGAGAACGCTCGTATCCAAAATATTGATCAATTCCATAATTTGTTGATTGGTCAATGTCTTGAGACTGTTCAAAATAATTTCAACATTTCTGTTAGTTCCCATATCCAACACAGAAGATGTCACATTCTGGGCGGCAGAAGGAGTTTTTGGTGCTAACTTTGTTGAAGTGGTTGTGGCATCTTCTTTTGCAAACATCTTTTGGAAATCACTCAAATCAAGCTTAATCTCATCGATACTTGTGTTTGACCAAACAGAGTTGGCATTAATAACCTTAATTGGTTGCCAATGCAACTTTTTGATATTATTATCTTCTTCCTTTTGAATAAAAGTGGAAGTGGAATTCTTCTTTTGTGGAATAAACATTCCAGGTGGTGGAGGTGGAATATTCATGTCGATAGACTTCAACACTGGTGGAGGTGGAGGAATATTTCCCATCATTGGTGGTGGTGGAGGAATATTTGATGCTGATGGCTTTGTGAATGGAAGAGGAGGTGGTGGAGGAACATTGTTCGATTTCATCAATAATTCATCAAAGACAGGATCACTAAAATCTAACAAGAGATTTCCATTATTTTCATTCTCCTTATTGCTGTTATTTGCTGGTTGCTGTGAAGGAGGTGTGAAATGAAGTAATTGTTGTTCTTTGACCAGTGGAGAGAGCAATCGTTTTGAAGAGGGTGTTGTTCCTTTCTTGCCACTTCCACGGCGAGTGACGGGTGAAAGAAGCATCTTCTTTTTAGCACTTGTATCAGGTGTTGCAATTCGAGAGGAGGGTCGCAGTGGTGTTAATTTGGTGGTGTTAATAAACAAGTTGTTATGATGAGAGCTTGTATTATTGGTACTAATGCACAAGTCATCAAAAATGTTTGACAAGTTGTTGTCCATATCCACCTCGTAGAAACTTCTCTTGTGTGGAGACTTTGTGTCAACCTTCTTTAAGAGTGTTTCCTTATTGAGTGAGAAAACTTCGAGTTCGTTCAAAAGACTCTTCATATTTCTTCGATGTGTTTGATTGGTCACATGTGCAAGTCGAATGGCTACCTTATTTCCTTTCAAATAATAGGGACAACTCTTCACAGTAGAATCTAATTCCATCTTGTAACTATTCACCTTTTCTTCATCAGATTTGTAATATGAAAAACGAAGTTGAAGTTTCAAAGAATCTACAATTTCATTGTTGGAATGAGCCCAGTCGAGTCTATTCTTCTCGAGTGTCAAAATGTTACCATTATCTTGTGTGCATAAAAAGAGAGTATTGTAAGTATATCTGAAGAGTTGTTGAATTGCACCTAGTTCATCCATTTGATAACCAAACAAGATGAAATCGCCAATGAGTTTGCAAGCGTTCTTCTGAATGGTGAATTGATAGTGAGGTCCTTCTAATTGCTTCTTGGAAGGATTGGAAATGTACTCGGCTTGCATGCCATAAGTGGAATAAATAATTTGGTTGTTTTGTTTGATCACAAAATAAATATTGGAAGGGTTAAATGGATCTGAGAAGGAAAGAAGCTCTTCTTGAGCTGGTCGTGTCAATTTTCTGTTGGCATCCTTTTTGAAAACATCAAGTGTGGAAAGAGAAATACTTTCGAGAGACATCATTTCTACCTCAGGAAGTGAAACTTTGGTTAAATAATTAAAGAATTTACAATAACGAACAACACTTGGCTCATAGATAGTCAAAGTGTCCAATTGTTGTTTCGTAAAGAAAGATCCAATGACTTTGGAAATCGGTTTCTCTGTCACAAATTTCTTCAATTCGTAATAGGCCTCTAGTGTGGTTCTGTACATTCTCTTGGATCTAAATTCATTGTCTTCAATATAAGTTAGGAAAGAAGAGATTAAAAGCAAGGCAAAACAAGTATATTGAGCGTTAGCCACGACCACAATCACTCCTTGTTTTGTCGTCTTGGTAATAAAGTTATACATGGTTTTACACATTTCGAAAAGATAGGTAATTCTTTCGAAATGTGAGATGGAGGAGAGAGTAGCAATCTCGGTAATGTTTGCACTCTCTGTGGCTCCAGTAATATCATTCGGATTCGAAAAGTATTGTCTTGTAAAGTTCACGAGCATGACATCGCCATACTTGTCTTTGAGCCATTGCTCAAAATTCTCATTGTTGTCTTCATCTTCCTTGTGTATGACTAGTGCGTTTGATGTGATATATAAGTATGGGTTGATCGTTGCAAATGGCCGGAAAAGAACATGATCATCACGTTGTAACAATTCATAGCGCTCAAATTTTACTTACATTTGAGAAAGGAACAAACCGAACTCTCATATAAATTCAACTTGTACTTGGAGGTGAAGCCTTCCACCATGGTCATGATGGAGCTTTTACTCACCACCGACGAAGGCTTGAGCCACGTTTTGAAATTCATTTTTTTGTCAGTCATAAACAACAATTTATGTAACGTTCAAAAATTTGAAATTCCTTTTCGCGCCATCGTCGCACGTCTTCCCGAAATGACTCTTTCAAAAGAATGGAAACAAGTTTCAATTGGAAAACCACTCAAGATTACACCTTGTGCAAAGATGATGATTTTTTTTAGGCTTTTTCTTTAATGTTCTGGAGTCCATCTACAGAAATTGGAAGCTCAATTAGAGTCGTTCCACGCCGACGTCGCTGCTTCTTGTAAGGTGTCGAGGAGGAGGAGGAACAAGATCCTGTAATTTTGAAGCCAAACAACCTTGTAACATTTAAAAAAAGGAACAAAGAACATCATCATTCAATTTCCACATCATATCATCAAGGCTCTGCATTCGGCTCAGGCAATTATTTAATGGGTGAATCCATTCATTTGTCAAATATGAAATATTGTTTACAACAACAACAAGAAGAAAAAAAACACAACAAGAAGATTTTCCTCTTTAGCAACACATTCCGAGAGAGTTTTTGTACAGCCCCACACACCAAACAATTTTGAAATTCAAATTACAGCACAACAACATTCCCAGAAGATATTTTGAATCTATTTTCATCACCAACAACATCATCATAGTATTATTAAACATTGTAACCGCAACAACAACAACACATCAACAGTAACATCATCAACACTTGAATAATGGTTATTTATTGTCCTCCACAACTTCCAGGAAGCGGAACCTTCACAACGGTTGAAGCTGAAACTGCACTCGGCAAAACCATTCGTTATGAAAATGATTTTTTGGTTTTACAATCGGCAAAGAAAGGTCTATTTTCAAAGCCAAGTGGTAAAAACTATCGAATTCTTGCTGTAAAAACGGAAATGTTTTTAGAGCAAAAATCGCCATTTCATGGCAAGAAAATAATGATTGCAGAGAGTGATGAATGGTCGGAAATTCTTTCGGATTGGAGTAAAATAGAGAGTTACTTGCTTCCTATGGTAACAGTCATTTCAAAAAAAGAGAAGGGAATGACACAAGCAGAATTTGATGACGTACTGAGCTCACTGACACAGAAGAAGACTACAAAAGCAGGGTTGAGACCAATCGGTTTCAAACCTGCAAAAACAAAGAAAACCTTGACTATTAATGGTATGACTGTGAATGAAAACGCTTTAAAATCGGACCATGATTTTGTTGATTTGGGAGCTTCGGATTCTCCCACAATAGACGAAGATGATGAAGAGAAAGAAGAGTTGACTTCAGTAGAGACCTATGAACAAGCAGTTATTGCAATTGAAGAATTTATCAAAAAAACTGCTCTCACACAACGATTATTGGATAATTATGGAAAAAAACCAAGCTCACAACAACGTATTGCCAATGACATTATTGAACAAACAAAACGACTGAAAGCTCTGCAAAAGATGCTTGACGATTTTTTCAAGACTGCATCAAAAAACTCTATTATTGAGAAAATTATGAGACAGTACTCTGAAGAAAAACCCAAATTCACCAAAATACTAAACAATCCATCACACAAAAAGATAACTAATGAAAGCACCAAAGATATTTATGACAAGAAGAAACCCTCTTCGGGCAAGGATAACATGTACAATAATTCTGGTGAAATAGAGGTTGGAGATGGCTCTCAACAACAAGTACAAATACAACAACAAAAAGATCAGTTTGTTCTCTCCCAATGGGATAAGGCAACTATTGATGTAGAACATGCGATTGCAAAGGAAACTCATGAAGATTTAAAACGATTGGAAACAGATTTTACGGAATTGCATGGCATGTACCAAGATTTTCACTCACTAGCCGTTCAACAACAAGAGTCATTGGATACTATGATAGAAAATGTACAGGCTGCAAATGCCCATATCGACACAGGTGTTGAGAGCGTTAAAAAGGCCAAAAAACTTACTCGTTTTGGATTATTTTAAACACAAGCCTGATCTATGAATTCACATAGATTTTCCAAGTTCAGTAATTACCCATTTTTATAAATTAAATTTATTCAATGCTGCAACAAAGAGAGCAAGATTCACATTGAACCCAATCATTATTCAAGCACTAGCCATGATCGAAGAAGAAAAGGAAGAACCAAACAAATTGGAATGCAATCCCCTCTTCGTTTACTCGCTCTTACTCCCTCTGTGACGAGTCTCGGAACATGTGCCACTTCATGTGCTTCCATTAGCACATTGAGTGATGTGGTCGAAGATGAATGCGGTGGTGGTGATGGTGGGCAAGTTGTTGTTGGAACTCGATCTTCGCACACCAGTGGTGGTGGTGGTGGTGGTGGTGCTAGTGCTGGTGAATTGGTCGCACAGACTCCTTCACATAACAACAACTATCCATCGATCCCAAATGAAGCTGTTGTTGTTATTGGTGGTGGCAGTGGCAGTGGCAGTGGAGAGGAAGAAGATTCTCTTCACTCATTGGCCACTCTTCCCTCCTCCTCCTCCTCCTCGTGTCCACCTTTGAAACCCACAAGGATCACCAGCACTACTACGAGCATATCCATGTCTCCCAAAAAGCATGCTCTTCACGAGGATCCTCGAACACTCGAACAACAACAACCACCTTCACCATCAATTCCTCCTCTTCTTCTTCTTCAGCAAATACCTCATCAGCAACAGCAAATTCCTATAATTACTCAAGGTTTCAAACCATTGTTGAATGGACCCTCCCCTAATCTCCCTTTTGCAAATGCAAGCACTGGAATGTGTGCCAGGAACCTTCCAGTTCTTCCTCATCAACTTCCTCATCTCACTCCTTCTTCTTTGGAAAACACAATAATTGAACAACAACAACCATCACCTCAGCCACCACCAGAAATGACTTCCCAACAAAAGAACAAGGAACTTCCAGTCATGAACACCACCTCTCGATCACAACCACCACTCCCTTCAACTGCAACAACAACAACAACGACGATGAAGGGTAATACTGCCAAGACATTAAACAAAGCAGCCCTTAATATTCAAATTCCACCTCCTCCTCCTCCATCCTCTCAACAACAAGTTCGAGTGATCCATGGACCTCCATCATCTACTTTTGGTGGAACTTTAGTTGGTCCTTCTCAAGATTTAGAAGTCTCTTCTGTCGACTCGAGTGTGAGTTCTCCTCCTTCCACCGTGTTGAGTGTCATTTCAGGAGTTACAGGTGGACCAAGTATTGAGAGTGGTCTCATTGAGAATATTACTTCAAAAAAGAAGAGAGGAACCACTCGAGAGAATATCATTCTATTGGATTCCATCTTGAGAGAGAGGAGAGACATTTTCTATGCCATGTTAAATAATGTTTCAAAAATTAGAATTTACAGAAAAAACAAATCGAAAAAGATGAAACAAAAGGGAGGAGTTTCAACACTGGATACTTCAAATTTGATGACAACAACTACGACAACTACGACCAGTATTCATTCTCAAGCAATATCATCCGGTGGTGTATTGGATCATCCAAAAAAGAAAATTTCTTCATCCAAAATTGACACTGGAAATGAATATGTTGTGAAATTAAACAATGGACTCAAATGTGAAGCCTATGAAAAGAGTACTGCTGAAGAGATGGAATTGTATGGACACAAACGACAATTTAAAGTCTCCATGTATTACACACAAAATGAAATGGATCGAGCAGAATCAGAAATGATGGATCCAAGTCCATTGATTCGTGAAGATCGATTTACATTTTTGGATCAACTTCGTGGATTGAAACCGAGTATTCAAACATCGTATCGAGTGATTGATCTCATTCATCCCTATCATTTATTTACCACTGAAATGGAAATCATTGAACCCAAGTCAGGTCGTTTATTGGGACGAGTGTTAAAAAAGACATTGTTAAAAACACACTACCTGATTCAAACGGTAGAAGGCAAAACGGAGAATGAAAAACCAAAGTATTCCACCTTGTTTACCTTGTACAAGCAAAAGAAGAAACAACATGTAAGAACAAATGGAGTCAAACGGGTATCCATCAAAACACCTCCCTCTACAACGAGTGGTTTATCCCATCATCAAGGTAGTACGATCACTCCCTTGTCAACAACAACATCCTCAACCATCACTCCATTGTCCTCTCAAACAATAAGAAACAATCAGAGCGCATTTCCAACCACGACCACTGAACCACACAGACCTCAAACTGTGTTGGACTTTTTCGTTGTTTTTAACTTGAATGAAGAGGTTGTGGCAACACTTACTCGAAAATGCAATCCAGACTATGAGAAGAAGGGATACTTTTCAGATTATCACAAGGTTCACTTTATATCTGAAACAACGCCATATGAAAGAACATTGATACTTGCAGCAGTGTTTTTACTGGATATTGAACATTTTGGAAATTAACTTGTCAAGGTTTTATTTATATATTTTCGAATATGTACGTACATGATTGGTTAAAAAGTAAAGTATAGAACAATATTTTATAAATTTTAACATTAATATTTCGAAACGGTCGATCTTCGAAGAGTATTCATTTCTTCTTGGGCTTGTTTATCCTTTTGTTCAAACATGGAACGAATGGCGCTCAATTGCATGCCCTTCGTTGGAATATCAATTTTCTTCTCAACTCTCTGCTTTTCTTGTTGTGATTGATTAAGAACATTATTAAATCGTCCATATTTCTTGAATTTCTTCATGAGTTCAACCTTCCATGGTGGTAAAACATTTCCTTCTTCGTCGTAATAGACTTCTTCATCTTCAGTTGCTGCTTCATCTTCAATGTAGAGTCTAGGTGACTGTCTAGGAGATTGATATCTTGGTGATGTAAGTGATGATGAATTCTTTTCAGGTGTTGTTTTATCCTTGTTGTTGTCACTCTTGACTGGAGTTGAATCGTTGCCACTCACATTGTGAACAGAACTTTCTTGAGTTGCAATATCCACATTGGTTTTTTCTTGAGTTGTTGACACGGATGTTGTACTTGGAATTTCCATAGAAATTTCCTTCACATCCTTTTCAACAATAATTGTTGATTCAACTTTTTCAGGCAAAGCACTTGTGGTCGATGTGGTACAAACTGTTTCAATTCGGTTGTCACGCGGTGTGGCAACTTTGTCACGTGGAGTTGCAACCTTTTCACGAGGTGTTGTTGCTTTACTCGATTCTCCAACGTTGATATTTTCTTCAACAACAACAACAGCTTCTTGTTCTCGTGGAGTGGTTGCTTTTTGGTCACGTGGTGTTTCAGGTTGTGAAATTTGAGTAGTGGCCACGGCTTCCGTTGATTCTACAGTTGATTGTTGTGGTTTGACTAAGGTAGATTGTTGTTCCAATGTTGGTTGTTGTTGTTGTTGGTCACGTGGTGTGAGTGACGATGAGGTTGTTGTTGTTGGTGTGACTTCTGAAATTGGTTTCACAAATTGAAGTCGAACTGTTCTTGGAGAATTTTCGGAACTTTGTTCGATTGTGGAATTGGTATTCGAAGAAGATGGAATTGGTTCAATGAGTTGTTCTGAAGTTGGAGAATTATCCATTGGAGAGGAGACTGGTTTTTGTGCCTTTTTCCTTGGTTTGAATCGATTCTCAACGTCTCCCCTCTTAGTTCTTGTTAATTTGCTTCGAGCTATTGCTTGCACATATAATGCTGCAAGATGGAGTAAAACAATGGGATATCCCTTTGGTTTTGCTTGATCCTTTCCTATGTCTTTCTTTTTCTTTTTGAGTTCTTCGAGAGTGGTATTCAAGTGTGACACCCATTTCTCGCGTGACTTGGAATCATTGGTTTCAAACGTATAAGTTTCTTTGGATGTAATTAATTGGAATAAAGTAGGAACGTTAAATCTTTCACTTTCAAAGTTTGTAAAATCGCGAACCCATATATCTTCGACCACAGTATCTGAAGGAGTACTTGGTGTAGATGAAGCCATGATGGGAGAGGAAGTTGGTGTGTGTGTTGGTGACAATCCTAATTTTTCAGTATTGAATTTGATGGTAAAAGTGATGGTGTAGAAATGTTCGGGAATTTCATTCTCATCGTCATCAAATGCTCCAGTTGATTTTTCAATATTATTAGAATCCTCTCCTGTCCTAAATAATGTCAATCGCTTTTTCTCCTTTGTTGGTTGAGTTTGTTGTGGTTTGAATCTGTCTTCGATGAGCTTCTTTTTTATAGTTTCAGGAACTTCATTGCAACAGACAAGCATGTCACTGAATAGGAAAAAGTAATGTTTTTGCTTGTTCAATGAGTTGTCACTCAATATACTCAATTCTCCTTCAAAGACATATTTTCTGTGAGGTTCTACAATGTTTGTAATACCACTTCCTTTTCCAGACTGATTTAAAACGAAAATTTCTTTCAATTTGATGAGTTTGTTTCTATTTTCAATTTCAGTAATTTGTCGATTCAAGTGATCAGCTACTTCCTTCATCTTTTCTGACGCAAGTTTCAAATTGTCATAATCTACATGAGTTCTTGGTGTATTCTTTAATACCTCTGAGAGTAACAAGTTGTAACGCTATTAAATAGAATGATGTTAACACACATTGTGTGATCGAAAACAACATGTTGCAAAGGATGATCATTGGAAGAATTGTGAAATGTTACAAAATATTATAACAAACAGATCACATATTCACACATTGAAAAACTCCAAGTAGTACTTACTGGAATACGTTGTACAGGTTGAATTAACAATTGTTTAAATGTCTGTTGATTGGCCTCTTTCGAACGTTCATCGGTCTTTTTTAGCCACTCTGAGAATTTTTTGTTTTTAGGATTCTTGTCTGCCTCTCGAATGCTATTCAGTGCAGCTTCGTAGTTGCTAAAGTATTGTGTATAGGTTTTAAGAAAAGGAACGATCATTTGAAAAGTTTTTCCAATGTCATCTTCACTCGCATTTTTCAATTTTGTCAACAAGTGATTATTGAAATTCACAATGACCGTCAAATTGGACACAATGGTGTTGAGTTCTCGACCGAATTTCAAGTATTTGTTCTTTTTCAAAGGAACAATATAATTCTATGGTGTCGGATGATACAATGCATTATCAACAAGATGGCAGCAAGAGGAGTGACCATATGGAGTGACCACGTGTCGTGTCATCAGAGTTCAAAGTTCATCAAAATGATGAGCATTGGATTCATTGAATCACAAGAATAACAACAACAAGTATTAAATCAGTGTCTACACTCAAACTGTCAAATGTCAACCCACATGTCCACATACCTTGTTCAGTAATTCGAGAGAATACAAATACTTCTCCTCCGTATCTATAATTTCTTCAAAGATCTTTCTTCTCTTTTCCTTGTCAAATTGTTTACTCATGTCGAGAGAGTGTGATGAAAGATGATTAAAATCGAGAGAGTTGTTGTTATGTCAAGGAGTGATGAAAACTTTAATACAATGAATCAAATTCGTAGAGCAACAATCCGCACACTACTACTATGATAACGCTTTTGAAATATTATCGAAGAGAAATATATTATCAACGTGAGTGATTTGAATATGAAAATCAATGAACGAGGGAATAATTGGATATGAGAAAAAGATGAGTCAATGGTTGGATGAATGGTGGTGATAGGAAGGAAGGCTTGTCTTTTGAGACCAAGACAAGAAGATTCGCTATCGAAATTGGGAGCGAGATTTTTTTTGAATGACAAGAGGTGGCGTTTGACAGATGAATTTTTTTGATGGCCCTGATAGTTTTCTCAGACTGGAAAGGTTCAAGAGAGATGACGGAAAGGTTTTATTGAGGGACAAAATTTAGAGAGTCAAAAAATTGGGGATGATGATGAGACACGAAAAATAAGTATTCGGAAAGAAAGGTTTAAAAAATCCTTAAGGTGAAAAGTGACCAAGCTTATAAAGGAATTTCCATTTTTGATATAAATTTCGTTTGAATGTTTCCTTCGCTTGTTTGAATTTGCTTTTTTCTTTGTACTTGGGATTGTGACGCATATATTCAGGGTACATTGTGTGCTTTTTTTAATTTTGACAAGGAATGAGCTAAAAAAGAGAAAGGTCAAGGAGATTATTGATTAATGATAACGAAGAAAAGGCAATTTGCTAAATCTCGATAATCCTTCAATCCAAGTGTTTTATAGTTTATTCATTGATGATTCATGTAAGAAATCCCGTGTAGTCCAATGGTTAGGATACCTGGCTTTCACCCAGGAGGTCCGGGTTCGATTCCCGGCATGGGAGCTAAATTTTTACTTGGTGGATGTTCTGAGCTGAGGATGCTGGGTTAGTCTGCTTAGTAATGAATGACCACTACGTGTGTCTGTGAGAAGAAAAGTTTATTCTCATTGTCACTACGACGTGAGTCTTGTAATGATCTCTGGTTTCATTTTTGCTACCTTGCTCTTAAATTCTTTTGTTTCTCCGTCTCGCAATGCAAAAATAATGGCGAGAGAATTGTTTTCTGTTTCCTCAGCAGTTATTAAAAATTTCACATCTTTCTTGGCGTGAATGCATCTCAAGATAAGGAATGGTTGTAAAAGGAGAGGAGAAGCATCGGAGCTTAAAGCGTGTATGGTACTCTTTTTGATATTTGTATCAATGGTTAGGATCGGTTTTTGTCTTGCTCCTTCAAAAACGGAACAGCTGGCCGATGTTCTCATATCTGAAGCAGAATGAGGAACGTGAGAAATCTCATCTTTTTCTCCATCCTCGCTCTTGTCGCTCTTGTCACTCTTGCTTGATATATCTGAATCAGATCCGATTCTAATCATTTGGCTCACAGTGGATGAATTTCCATTAAACACTTGACTGCTGCTTGTTGGAAGCTTTATATCTTTCTTCTTAACTTCAACTTTAAAATGGCAATCGAATTGCTTTAAAATATCCATAAGAATTCTTCCGACAATTTTGTGAAGGTTTGCGATGTGCTTATTCTTTTCAAAGAATCCATTCAATGTTATGGTTTCAAGCATCAAGTTTGGTTGTTGTTGAGGTCCTTTTGTCCATCTATGCTCTTTTATCTGCTTGAGAGTTGCTCTAACTTTTGGATTCGGTTGAAGCATGCCAAAAATCAGCTCTTGACATTCAACAGAAACCTCAACATCGTCAGGATATGTATATCTAGCATTCTTGATATCATCAAACATGGTATTCACGTCAGAAGAGCAAAAAGGAAGTTTGGATGTGACAAAACAGTATAAAATAATACCAGCGCTCCAGATATCAATTTTTTCTCCAGCATAAACCTTTCCTTCAATTTGTTCTGGAGAAAGATGATATAAACTGCCTACAAGCTGAGTGGAAAACAAATCCCAACCTTTCTTAAAAATTCTTGCTTGGCCAAAGTCAGTAATCTTCAAATGTCCTTCATTATCAAGTAATAAATTTTCAAGACGTAGATCACGATGGCAAACTCCCATTTCATGGCAGTAGGACAACCCATCTATCAGTTGGTTGAAGTAATATCTGGCCAAATTCTCATCAAAAGGCTTGTCCTTAATGTGTTCATAGAGAGAACCGCCTCCACAAAGCTCAATGACTAGATAAACGTATTCATCGTCTTCGAGTACTTCATATAATTGGACTACGTTTTTGTGTTTCAGCATTTGCATGGCCTGAATCTCAATATCCAGTCTTGACATATCGCTCACATTACCTCTTTTAATGATTTTGATGGCTCTCTTTTCATTGTAGTCGTCAACATGATGAGCGTACCTCACAACACCATAACTTCCTCGGCCAAGAATATGGGTCATTTTCCAATCGCCAATAATCTTTGAATCAGTGTTCTCGAGATGAAGTGCTTCATATTTTGTCAAAATTATTTCGCCTAACTTCATAAACTCTTGTTGATTCAAATATCCATGGCCCTCAACATCATACTCTTCCATTATTCGATCCACCAATCTATTGAACTTTTGAATTTCCTCTTCATGTGTTAGAATGTGATTAGTGGCAGAATGGTGGCCATTGTGTTCCTCGTCACTATCAGTGTCGAACAATAGACATTCAAGATCTATTCCATCCTTTTGAACTGCTTTCAGAATAAGTTCCAGCTCTTTTCTTGATATTCTACCGTTACGTTCAATGTCAGACTGTTGGCAGGTTTGTTATTAATTGTGAGGTAGTATCAAAGAAACATACCAGTTTAAATAGCCAGTTCAAAAAATTTTTTCGCCCTTCCTTGCAAAACATTTCTTTATGCAAGGCAGGTAACAGCACGTTATTGACACGATCTTTTATCATGTCTGAAAGGGCATGTTCTGATGTCAATCTCTTGCACGTTGGTGATTTGGAAGGAGAGGCAAAGAATTTCACTGAGAGCTTTTCTGCACTTGTTGGAGAAACATTGCCTGAGCCGTAAGAAGATAAGGTATCAAGTGATTGATTATGGCTTTCTAAATTTTCACTGCTTGTGGTTCTGCCAAATAATTTTCCAATAATCGATGCAACATCTGATGTGGCTGAATGATGGTGACCTTCATGTAAATGTTTCTCTTTATCTTCTGTTTCTTTTTCAACCTGATGTTTTATACGCTGAACAAACTTGTCCATTTCTACGAACTCTTTATAGTTAAGTTTTCCCTCTTTTCCTAAATCGAACTGTTCAATAGTAACATTGTGATGAAAAGATGGTAAGAATTTAAAGATTTTCTTCACTTCACACTTACGTGATAAAGAGTGGTGAGTGATGAAAACGGAGAGCCGAGCTGCTCGTCTGAGTTTAACAACTCGCTCAAACTAACTTTTCCAGATTTATCTGAAGTTTGACATATTACGTTCATAATTAGATACCATGTTCCAACTGAGTGTTGACAAGTCACTATTTTGCTTACCTTTGTCCAATTGCTCGAATATCTTTCTAGCGTTGCTGTTTCCCATTCTATTCAGAGGTGTAAATCACGGTGGTTAGAGTCAAATAATGATCTTGACAATGATGTCGAGTATGAGTAAGCTAAAGTTTAAGTAAAAAGATGATATTTTCGGCAGTAATAATAATCATGTAATAAGAAGATTCTTCCTCAACTCTCTTTTGCAATGAAAGCGTAAAGTGTACGGAAGATGTCAGAATGTAGCAACACGTGAATACTACTACCGAAGGAATGATAATAAATAAAAGATGAAGAAAACGATGATACGCTCGAAGTTATTATCTTTTTCTCTTTGTACAATGAAAAGAAGAAGATAATTCAATCTTCAAATAAATTAATTCCGGTATTGATTAGGTTGGATGATGGTGGTGGTTGTTATTTTGGGTAACGGACTCAAAATAAATAATAGTAATGGTGATGATAACTAGTAGTTAAATATAAAAACTGAATATCAAAGCAAGGAGAAGAAATAATTTAAAAAATCCGCAGCAAAAGTTGTTCTTGTTGTTGGATGATGGTAGTGATGATGTGGTGTGGTGATGATAATGCACCTAACCTACGATTCGAAGCAGCACAAATGTACTACTACCTTCGTAGTCGCAACGACGTCGTTGTAGTTCAACTCTTCACGAGAGAGAGTGTTCTCCTCACTCACGAGTTTTTTGCAAATTTTTTACGGTCAAGTAAGTATGTTCGTTGGACAAGAAGGAAAAACGAGAGGACATTTCTGGTGGGTAATGACTTGAGTTACCGACAATCATTCGATAGACATCAACAACAAGTGCGCTTATCGGAAAATTCAAAAGAATACTGTGGTTGAAAGTTGTTGGCCAACAACCATACGCATTTACATTCAGAGATTGTGTGGGTGGAAAAGAAGAGAACGAATTCGGCAACACGATATCGTTATGAAGAGGTCCTTCGCCTCTTGCAGAAATATTTGGAAAGAAGAATTTTATCATAAGTGGTGTTCATCCCCGCCAAAAGAGGAGACTTGCTTCAATGAGGTGAGGATTTGTTGGTACTCCTAACATCTTCCGAACATACTTATGAGCATCTTTTCCTCAACTTCTTTTTCTTTCGAGCTTTTCCTCTGGTCTTGAAATTTAATGGGCCATTGTAAACTTTCATTTTCGGATGACTAGAATTTTTGAAAAAGTTGTTGAAAAAAATACGCCAAAATCATTCCACCATGTCTGAAGAACTTGTTCAAACTTTTGGAAAGAAGAAGACTGCAATTGCTGTCGCTCAATGCAAGAAGGGAAAGGGCCTCATCAAGGTCAATGGTACCCCACTCGAACTTATCCAACCAGAAATCTTGAGATTCAAGCTCTTTGAGCCTGTTCTCTTGTTGGGTAAGGACAAATTCAAGCAAGTTGACATCAGAATTAGAACTAGAGGAGGTGGTAAAGTCTCTCAAGTATACGCTATTCGTCAAGCTATTGCCAAGGCTCTCATCTCATACTATCAAAAGTATGTTGATGAAGCATCAAAGAGAGAGCTCAAGCAATCCTTGTTGGAATTCGACAGATCATTGCTCGTTGCTGATCCAAGAAGAAGAGAACCAAAGAAGTTTGGTGGTCGTAAGGCTAGAGCCAGATTCCAAAAGTCTTACCGTTAAACTATTTCTTGCAGAAACAAGATATCCTTTATAAAAACAAAAATTTATTCATCTTTTCCGATTTTCTAATTCGCCTTTTTTCAAATACAAATATTGACAGAGAATGCTCAACATTTCCCTTTTATTTCTGTGTGTTGATGGGTGGGTTCATGCCTGTATCGGTTGTTGTCGAGAGAGGAGTATTGCTCAACGGAGAGCTGGAAGATGGAGTGACAAAATCAAACAATGGCTTGGCATAACTAAAAGTAAGGAAGAAAAAGAATGGAATTTGCAAAAGAGCCACCACAAATATGAAATAATTTCGCTTAGAAGCAGTGCTATCTCCTCTCAATCTCATGCTATTATCAGAGGAGTGAATACCAGCTCTTCTTAATGACTTGATCATAAAGGTGGACATCATAATACTGAAAATAAATAATGCAGGATAATACACATAGGTTCCAAATAGAGATGTCAACAACAAGGTCAGAATAATTCCAATATATTTGTAGCCTGAATAGGCAGCTACATCAAGAACTCCTAAACTGCTTGGAACTCCAAGAAAATAAAATCCAAATTTTACAATTGAAATTTCTAAAACTGATGTGATAAATCCTTTCATTCCAATGCTATAAAGAAGATCGGGTTTAAATTCTTTGTAGGCTCCCATTATAAAACACACTAACAATACATATGTTATATAGCCCATGAGCGGAATATAAAAATCTGGGTCGTTTAGATGTCTTTCCTGTTGAGTAGTAGAAGCGTTTCCTTGTTGTGATGGGTTGAAATTGGCTGATGATGTATTTGATTGATCTTGGAACTTTTTGAAGGGAAACAAGACCATCAATAATTTTCTACTGACATAACTATTCGTCACATTAAAATAACATTTCAATCCGTCAAACCATTGCCAATATCTACTATTCATATCATTCGTTCGCTCTCCAACTGTGTCATAGATTTGATTGACTCCTATATTAAACATAAAATCGGCTGCCGGATTTTGGAAAAGCGTATTACCTCCTCCACCCTGAAAAGCTCCAAATAAATTTCCAAATCCACCAACACCGGAATTATGACCACTGGATGTTGAATGAATATTCATTGATGAATCCATCGCTCCGCTCGGATGAGCATCTCCTCCAAGAGGGGGTGATGAAGCTCCTCCGACCGAACTTCTAGAGCTGAATCCGCTATCAAAAAAATCAAGACTTTGCGTTGGTGATGTTGGGTCCACGTTGAAACCAACATCATCAAAGAGAATATTTCTTCGGTCGTTGTGCATTTTTTAAGGGTCGAGTTTTTGTAAAAAAATGTTGGATTACACGCGTTTGATCGGATGATGGATGGCTCTCTCGTGATGATCCACAAATTTCTATTCATCAATCGTGATGAAATGAATTGTAATTTTATCAATAGAAAACAATAGTTGTATGGTGAACTGAAATGTCGAAAACCGACATCATGTTAGGGGTTTATTGAAGTCTCAACAACAACACTCTCTTTCTCTTTTGAGAACGATGATGGAAACTCTTGTTTGGAATCTTGAATTTTTTGTTCAATCAAATCAACATGTAGGGAAAGTTGCTCTATGGTTGAGGATTCACATTGTTGTTCCATGGCAAGATAAATATTATGAATGAGAATATTTTTCATATTGTCAAGAAGCTTGGGAAGGCCATGAATGAAGGCAAGATTGTAACCATTGAGTGAGTCATTGGATTTCACAGAGTCGTTAAGTCTAGCAAGCTCATCCGGTTTCATAATAATTAAGCGAATATCGCTCTTGGCAATCTCAGTTGCTTCATCGATATCGCCTTTTAGGACCGCTTTACGGAATGACTCAAAATTGTGGAGAGGGAAAAAGAGCTCTTCTGAAAGTTTAAGATGAATATTTCGTTCCAGGTAGTTCTTCACCTTATTTCTAATGACGACATCATTCGTCATGCGAGGAGAAATTCGTTTACCTGTCACTGGAGACACAATCTCGACCTTCTTTCCACACCACTTTTTGAACACTTCCCTTTCATAGGTAATATTATCAACTGCCACGATAGGGTCAAAGAAAATGCACATGGAGATTGGACATGTCAAAATTGAAACATCAATGCTTTCATCTGATTGTTCAGAAATGGAAATTAAGTTAGGACTTGCTGTTGGAGAACATGTCATTGGCAGTTCAAAGAAATCTCCTCCACACAATACTCTCTTATCACTAGGATTGTGAAGAGGCCATCTTGCCCAAACGGCATTCTCTGGGATTGGGCCTGACCAATTGTATTTGGCTCTCAGATGAGAGTTCGAATCGAGAGCATTTCTGTCTATTAGCTCGAATATTCTTCCCTTATAGTTTACAATTACCGAGAACATGTCCTCATGAAACAAAATTTTCAAACGCATTGCTTCAATAGCGTGCAATTTCTCAAGTCCCTCTTGGCTCAATCCCAAATCGGAATACTGGTTTAAGAACTCTCTTATATCTTCAAGCTTTTTAGTATTACCCGAAGATTTGGAATGATTTAATAACTCGCTATATTTCATTCCTTTAAGCGATGAGTACAGTGGACTGCTCTCAGCGATGATAGTTCCGTGGACAAAGTAGATCTTGACCCAATCAACGAGCTTTTCTATTGAATCATTTTCAATGCTATTGATTTCTCCTGTAACTCGGAAATCAACTGTTTTTGTATTGTACAATCTGTTGAGAAGACTCTTAATCTTACAAGATTTTAGTTTTGGCTAAAAAACAATTTGAAAGTGAGATTCTATCAGGTAAAACATGAAGAAATCACTTACATTGAAGTCAAGGAATGCTTTCTCTAAACATTGTAGAAGCTTTTCAAGGCTTATTTCTGTGCAGTTGGGAGGAGTATCCATTGAGGCTCCTCTTAGTGTGATCAGATTGACTAAAAAGGCAAATCGATTGTTTTGGTCCAATGCCAACCAAGCTACATCTATCTTGCTACTTACATAACGACAGAAGAAGAGAGTGAGTTCTCTCGTTCCTTCTATTACTGCTCAACAAGATTGATGTGTTTCTTGTTCCGATGATGGTTTTCTTTAGGATGAAGATGGGCTCCTTGTTGGAGGAATCAGTGTTGTTGAGTCCACTGCTCACAACAATATCGTTACTATCCCGTATAGACGTTTGATGATGTTGAGGATCTTGTGATAGAATACTTGGTGAATTGGAGACTATCCTTTCATCAGATGGACTTGTAATTGTTTCTTCAGGGTTGGTTATTTGATGTTCCGTCTTATTTGTAGCGCCTCCTTCATTGGTTGAGTTCTTGATATTTTCAGAAGAAGATGCAGCTAAATCCTTCCTTACTTGCTCATTGGATTCTCGTATGTCGGTAGAATCTACGTCTTCCTCAATTGAGGATGAATGAAAGAACAGAGAAGAGACCATTGTCAGCTTCATTTTTTTGAGGCTTGTTTTCAGTTTTTCGCTGAAAGGCATCGTGATTGCAAAGTTAAGTGAAGAAGCAATAAGAAATGATGTTGAAAGAAGGTTATGAAGAAGGTGATGATGCTATTTTGTTAAGTAATTGATTTATGAATTTGTTTTAAAGAAAAGATTCTGATTTGTGCGGAATTTTTATTTGTCAAACTTCTAGAAATGGATAAAGTTGAATTTGGCAAGTATGTGGGAAATGAGTACATCTCAAAAGGAGTGGCATGTCAAACAGTTGCAACATACTTTGGTGAAAAGAAACTTGGAATTGGTAATCGTAAATCAATGGTAATTTCATTTAAAAATCGAGAGAATTAAGTAGGATTTATTAAATTTTAGTAACCTAGATAAGACTTGTGACAGCGAACAAACTGAGCAGCCTCAATTAGAGTTGAATGTTGTTTTCAAGTATAGGTGGAGTGCATTATACTTTCTTGGAAATCATAAAACGCTCTGGTTGATAGAAAAGTTTGGATAATTCCGTATACTCTCTTTGATTTGGAGGTTCGAAATTTGCAACATTGTGTTGAGTTTTAGAATAAAGCAGAATCTTATCAGTGTAGTCAAATTGCTGATCCTTTCCTCGGAGTTGAATAAAGAATTTGATGTGACCAATATGCGAGAATTGGTTTTGGAGATTGAGTCTTCTAAGGTTCTCTCTAATCTTGGAAATTTTTACCTTGTCACCGTCGCTTCTTAGGATCTTAAATGTTGCAATCAAATCACTATTCTTAACCTTATCCACCGTTGATGTATTTACAAAAATGCACAGGTGAAGGCAATCGTCAGCTCTTCTAAATTTGGCAATTTCATCCCAAGAAATATCAATGAAAACTCTCTTTCCATTGGCCTTCAACTGTCTAGCGCCATGTCCATCACATCCTCCGTCATAATAGTAAATGCGTGCCAACTTATTCAGAGTTACTGCCCTTCCACCATCATCATCAGTGTTCGACGATGTTGACGAAGATCCTACTGATGAAGAGGCAAGAACAGGAGCATCAGAACCTGGAAGATTGGCTAATGAGTTCTCAATTTGTTGATACAGCTCTCTGTTTGGATCAATAATACTTGTCTTAGGGGTGAGTGACGGAGCCAGACCTTCAATAAATTGATTTTTTGCAGGCGTCTTACTTTCAGTAGATGGTTGTGGTGTCGATACGGCGCTAGCTTCGTTAGATGCAGATGCTGCACGCAACATGGCTTGTTGTTGTTCCAACATGACAATGTTAAACTTCTTCTTTTTCGACGTAGCCATCACAGGTTGTGTTGGGAATGGAAATTCAACTCGTTTTCGCTTTTTCAACTCTGCCAGCTCTGCCAATGCAGCAGCAAGTTCTCGCTGTACTCGTTCATGCTCTTTCAGTAACTTGTTGTGCTGTTTCCTCAGCTCTGTATAGGGTGAAGGCTTCTGATAAGTCACAATGCCTTCCTCCTCTTCACCTGCGCTATTGGAAGAGCTCTCTTGATTATTTGCAGAATCTTCCTCCGATTCCTCGCCGTCAGATTCTTCATCAGATGAAGTGTCCATTGGTTGTTGTTGCTGCTGGTGCTGTTGAGGAAGTGGATGATGAGGGTGCATATAAGGTATTCCCTCAATAGGAGGATGACTGGCATACATTGGACTAAAACCATACGGAGGATAGGGATAGGGTGGATAGAGTGATGGTGGTGGAGGTGGAGGTGGTGGATTGGCCCCATTCCCAACAACAGAACTGGCATGAGGAGGTAGTGGTGGTGGTGAATGAAACAACGGATTGTAATAATGCACAGAAGTTGGAGGAGCACCCTGAGTCAGGAGAGTGGCACTCGTGGTGGGATGGTGAGGATGATGAAACACAGTGGTCGTAGTAGCAGCAGCAGTTGTTGTTGTTGTTGGAAGGGGTGGTGGTGTGCCGTTAGGATTCGACTTGTTGGCAGCAGCACTCGAAACCAACGTTCCCAAAACTTGATGGCCTGTGGTTGTTGTTGTTGCTGATGAGGACATCACGTGAGAGGGGTTACTTGTAATGGCTTGATGGACGATGGAAGTTGTCTGGAAGGGTTGATGGGTGAGATGGGTGGAATGGTTTGATGATGGTTGTGGGGTCTTTTTGGGAGTTGTTGTCGAACCTCCTCCTCCTTCTGGCGATGATGATGAAGAGGCTGTTGGAGGTTGCTGCGATGATGATGATGAGGCTGTTTCATGAGTCTCAACCACAGAGGAAGAAGACGAAGAGGATGATGTTGGGGATTTTGTAGCAGGATTTGTTGTCGTCGCTTCCATATTGCTTTCTCTGACCACTTCATTCCCTGTTGTTGTTGTCGTCGTGTTTGAGGATGTCGTTTCGGTGTTGTTCTTGTTGTTGCTTTCGTCGTCTATCTGAATAAAAAGATTTGAAGTCGTTGTGGAAGAAGATTCATCCATGGCCGAATTTCGTTTGGAATTCTCTTCACTTTGGTCGGCACTCTGTGTTTTACTGGGACTTGTTGGCATTGTATCTTGGAGAGGTCGAAATGGTGTGTTGTTTCTGTTGATTATGGGGCACTCGAAGACAGGCGTTTAATTTTGCGAGAATTTCGATGATGGCAAACCAACCAAAACGAAGGACAAGAATTGGAAATAGAATGCAAAAATGAAATTCCTGCTGGTGGCAAATAATTTTGCGGTTTTTTTTTTTTGAATTCTGAAAAGAAAGCCCTTGACAGGAATGCATATTCCTTATGAATGAATAAGCACGACTTTTGCTCTCTGAAAAGCGATTGACAGAGTAAAGAGAATTGCCCAACACCAAGAATTCATCATCTCGTCTTGTCAATTTCTTGCTTGACGTGAGAATTTGATCATGAAGACTGATTTTGTATTCGTGAGTGCATTCCGCGATGAGTTCTTACGCTCTGTCAAACCTTCGACGTTAAAAATAGATAGAACGTAATATTCAAAAAGTAATGGGAAACTTGTCACCCACTTTACAGTTTTATTATTCTTGAGGTCCACTTGGTGCAGTTCAATCTGATCGGTGATCACAGGACATTAGCGAGTGCATGTGATTCAATTATGGTGTATTCAACACCCAAATTTGTCTTCTCTCACAAGTTCATCTAAAGCTGCTTGTGAGATAGTCCAAGCAAAAAGTTCATCGTTGGAGACCTTTTTCTCTCCTCGACATCTAGCCAAAGGGTTGTTTTTATTTATAAATTTGGAATACTTGTTTCTCCAAATGATGTTGTTGACCACACGGGTGGTCGTTCAACAAGCAGAAACTTGGTTCAGTTCTCTTGTGCTTCAAGATATTCCACAACCATCAATTTGAGAGAGAACTAACCTCGACTACAAAATGCAACGATAGAGGTCTTATCAATAATTTCAAAATAGGAAACGAATGGGAAACATTTGAATAGGGATCCTTCGCGTAAAATGAATGGTATTGATGAGAAACACAATTTTGAGCCAGAAGAGGTTTTAGATAAAGTCGTGTTTTCACAAATTACATTTTGCTGTCGGCCAAATTTGCGACTCCAATTATTTGACTAATTCAAAAGGGAGTTCAAATAAACTTGTTAACAAAGTTATTCATTAATCCATGCAGTTCCAGAACATTATATCCATTCGAATACGTCAACAGTAATTGCCAATGTCAAGATAATAAATGATTTTTGGCTTAGAACGAAGGCCTTAACTCACCTCAACAACAATAACCATCTTCCAACAATGATTCAGTGCATTTCTATTGAGTAACTCATGTACAAACATTATGCCTCAATGCTTTCATGGTAAAATCTTTACACTCGATGACTAGTACTGGCAATAAGTAATTTTCCAGTAGTAGAAATTCAAAATTTAAAAATGCAATTCGGTCTTTTGTTCTATCAAACAGCTTTGTGGCTTGGTTTTCACATACACAACAAGACTTTCACAATCGCACCCATTTTGGATCAAGATCGTGCAGCAAGCTTCAAGGTTATTGAAATTCCGAATCCATCTCGGTTTATCATGTTAGAAGAGGTGCAGCTCTCACACAACGACTTGGTAGTTAACAACAATAATTCTACTCTTCCGTCGGCATCATCATCGGAACAACAGAAATTTGAAAGGATATTGCAGCACTTTAATGAATATTACAAGCAACACGAACAAGAATTTATGAAATGTTTGATTCATATTTGGGAACGAGATCATTCTTCAAGCACAACATTAACATTTTCTGAAATTTTGAACAAATTCTTGCCTCTGTCTCCTCGCAATACACATCTCTCGGAATTCGATGGAGCAATTCGAAAGTTTGTGCTGTATTATTGTATTAATCATTTACCGAACTATGAAAAAATCAAAAACAAGGAAATTACATTTAGACTTGTGTCCCAAGATGAACTCTACGAAAATAGTTTAAAAATCAAATTCAAGCATCAAATGGATCTTTTCTCCAAGGAAATATATCATGTTGAATTGAGTGAGGAAGAATCGATCATTCTAAAGACTCGTCTTCTTGATTGTCTTATTTTCCATTCAAATAGTATTTATTGGAATTATATCTGTAAATATCCTTCAAAAGCCAAGAATCTAGAGACTAGAATAAGAAGATGGTTAAGCCTTTTGGGAACAAGCCTAAGTTATCCGGAAGCTCTCATCCTTAAATCAAACGTTTTTCCAAAACATCTAGTTCCAACGTTGATCAAATGTATTCTAAATCTAGTCGACAAGAAACTGTTGCATACAATGATGGAGGATCAATCACAATTTATGGAATACAAGAACCTTGTTGAGAACTGGAATATCAACACTCCAACTTGGAAATTCTATGATGATGTCATCACTATTGATTCCGAAGGTACTCTGGATATTGATGATGCTATTTCTATTGAAAATTATGATCAACATTCAATGCGTGTGGCCATACATATCACCAATGTTGCTCATTTCTTTTATTCATACTTGGGAAACAATTCCATTCAAGATATGTTAAAAGATCCAATTTTCAAGGAAGCATCACGAAAAGTAACCTCGTATTATGACAGCCTTCCTAGATCGTCTGTTCTTTTTCGAAATCCAGATGACCTCGATCAAGATCCTAGACATTTGACAGTATTTCCAATGCTTTATCCTTCTCTTTCTGAAAATATTCTTTCTTTAAAGAAGGGAAAACGTCTGACCATGTCCTATGAATTTGAATTTAATTCCCTCGAGGACCCGACTCAACCAAAATTGTTAGGGATCTATCCCTCCTTTGTGAATATAATTGAAAATACCACCTATGAAAAAGCAGAACCATTATTTGAGAAAGAAGAAAAGTGGAACAAATTATACTCGTATTGTAGAGCTCTTTTCGAGAAGAGAACTCAGAATGGAGCTCCCTCTTTTGAAAATAGAAAGTCCTTAACTCCAGAACCTTCAACAAATACCACAGCAAGATTTTCAATTTCAGAGAGAAGAAGTTTAAAATCCTCCCTCATCATTAGTGAAAGCGCTGTACTCATAGGATCAAGGGTTGGAGAATTTTTCAAAGCTCACAACATTCCTGGCATTACACGAAATTTCGATTCACAAAAAAAGATGAGTTTAACATCCGTGTGTAACAAAGACACTCAGAGTCCTTATTTACAACAAACAAGTCCAGTGAGAAGATTTATCGATTTATTAAATCAGCTCCAGCTGTATTTATACTTGACACATCAACCAATGCTTTCAGTCAAGCAATTAGAAGAGCATTGCGATAGAATTGAATCAGAATCGACCAAAGCTCAAGAAGTGGAAGAGCACATTGTCATGTATTGGGTTCTATGCTATTTGTGGGAACACTATGGGCCACCCCAAGAGAATTCTGTTGATGACACAAAAGGAGCAGCTGGCCAAACAAGTAGTCACGAACACATCCGTCATGACAAAGTTCTGAGAGGCACTGTTGGCCGATTTGTGAGCGCATTTACCAAGATCATACTCGACGACGAACGGTTTTGTTCTTTCTCCATACACTGCTCGAATTTACATTACTTGTTAGGTGGAAAATATTGTGTTGAGGGAAGGATCATTAATTTTGTGATTGAATCCATCGATTGGGAACAATTGACAGTGAGCATTCACGTTATAGACGAAGAAGAGACTCTGCAATCAAGCAAGCAACAATAGACTTTTCACTATACACATTTTCGCGATTGGTACTTTCCATGTATACACAAAATATTAATTTAGAAAAACATGGTTTGGAAATTTATCAAGTTGGTAGCAAATTTCAAACTTACTCGATCACATCTGTTCACACACGGCAGTGGTGCCATGCTTAGAAAAATTCCTCTTTATTCCATACGATCGGTTGTTGCCAACAAGACTGACAATATTCCCTTAGCGCATATATTCTCATTGTTCACATCATCATCATCTTTATTCAAACACCACCAATGATCGGAAATTCAACTCTGACCAATTCAAGCGAGGATCATCAGCAACACCATAAAAAGCTTCCAAAAATTGCCTCCATCCCAGACGATGATATTTTCCTCTCTGATGTGTATATGGTTCTTTTCAAGAATGGTCTCTATTCAAATGCAACAGTAACAATCAACAACATCACCTATAGGGTTCATAAGGAAATTGTTTCACACACAAGTGGACTCTTTGCATCTTACTTTTATTCAGGGTTTGACATTCAAAGTCACCACAATATTGAAGTGAGAGATTTGGATGACAAGATTGCTTCCCCTGAAATTATTGACACTGTTTTCAAGATCTTGTACAATAGTTATGCATCGATCAAGAATTCTTCATCCGATCACAATCACCATTCGACATCAGAAGATAACAGCAGTGACAATAGCAATGAGAGTAACACTATTGGTGTCTCTTCTTCAAGTGAAAATGTCATCAATAACTCTTGCCAATCATCATCCAAAGGTTCATCAACAACAAGCACTCCAAATACGACTTTTAAATTGGTCGACCCGATCATTCGGGAAAATCTTCTGGAGCGATTGAATATTCATTACATTTTGAGATTCTTTTGTTTTAACTTTATTGATGAATATGACATTCCATTGAATGCATTTAAGGAGAATTTTAATGTACTCTTTGAAAGAATTAGCGGAATTTATGATACTATCTACAAACATCGGAAAGGAGACTGGAAAAGTAATATACCCACTAGAGACACTTCAGAGTCTGTGGAATTATTAAATCAATTCCTTACAATATTCAGAGATAAAACTAAGGATAAATTATTGCAATGGGACACTAAGGTTATTCTCTACAATGGTTTGAGATATAACATACAGGATAATGAATTTTGGTTGACCTATTTATATGTGAATGTGACAGCTCCGTTTTATGGATTGAATGCTTTTATTTATCCAAATGAAGCAAAACATCATCAACATTATCATTACCCCATACGTTTACCGCTTGTCCGTAAAGTGAAGAAAATACCAAACTTGAATTTAAATTGTTTAAGGAACTTGTTGGTCATTGATGAACATTTTCTCTTCTTGGCCATGCTGATCGACTTTGAGGGAGAAGTCATCAAACACTACAATGAGATATTTTGTAATGACCCCTTGCCGAGCCAAAACCATCTACAACAAGACTCTAGCAAGAGCATGAATGATTTAAGCCATGAAGAGAAACTCAAAGCTGCAGAGACAAGTTTTGTGACTCAGTGTCAACTCATGTTTCCTCACCAAATTTCTCATTACATTCTCTCTCTCTTCTTCACCTCCAATATGTTGAATCAGTCGAAATTATTTGCTCCTCCTCAACCCACTTCATCCACACCTTAAAAGAGTTCATGTATGTTTGTAGTAGAATTAATCATTATCACACTCTAGTCTAATGATGGAACCAGAAAGGATAAGACATTAAATGTATATAAAGAACAACATCTAAAATGTTGACAATTTTCTTCTGAACCAAGTGCATCTGTTATCCTTCTATTGTTCTGTATGACACGGAAGGTGTCACAAGTTAATTGATTGTTCTGGGCGTTCACTTTCGTTTTTTCCTGGTGAAGAAGGATTTGATACAACAGAAAGGTCAAGATGGGAATATCGTCCTCTTTTCCAAGTGTGAAACTGACGTTCGTGGTGGTATGTTTGAAGGATGAGATTGGAACCAATGTGTGCAGACAATGCAAGAGGAGAGATTGTGGCCATGACGCTCTGACAGATCTTTTAACCCTTCCGCCTATCGAAAAATAAAAATTGAAAGGGTGTCCCCTGTATTTTCAATCATTTATTAAGCAGCCTATTGGCTCGCCGTGCAAATATTGAATTTTGGTTTTCGGGAGGAGCACCAGTTGAATTAGAAGCTGAGTGGCAAATAATAGTACAGTCCCTAATTCAGTAAAGGTGCGGACAACAAAAACAAAATCAGTATCCGAGAATTCCACTTCCTCCGTTCCAACAGACCAAGTCATCCATTTGGCTCACCACGCAACATCATCACCTTTCTGAAAAACACAAATACTTGTGCGTTTCTTGTAGACACATCATGATAGCGAATCAATGTGAAGTATTGCTACTCCCAATCAACGACAACCACGACTGCCTGATATCATCATCTGGAGTTTTGACGTCCAAAATTAATGATATTATTATTTAGAAATTGCTAAATAATTATTAAGGCGTTGGAATCATATCAACCTTTTTCCACAAAGTCCATGGGCATCTCGGATAGGAGAATTAAAAATTATTTAGTACAATATGAGTTTCTGTTTGTGGTGTTGGAGGAAACACTTCAAATGCAAATGATCACCACATGCTGCACATTTGTAACCACATTTTGAATTAGCTTTCTTACAGTAAGCGCAGTAGTGATGAACTTTGTCATTACTTTCGACAGGGAAATGCTGCGTTCTTTTGAAATATGGATTCCGTAATAAAATACTGTCAGACAAAATGTGCTTAATATAATCAAATAAGGTGAGAGTCTTTTTCCCTGCATAGGTTTTGAAAATGATATACTGATTAACAAATGCAGTCTTTAGCATCTGTAATAGATGTACTGTTTTCCAGTTCTTGTTCCTGAATGGCGGTTGAAGGTGATGAAAGAAAATCCCAGATTTGTAGACACACCCATCGAAATGTTGTACATGTGCTGAACATATGGCTTGTTGTTAATTAATTGATTGCTTCCCACATTAGTTAGAAAATTCACTCTCTTGTTGTCATTCAGAGACACCACAACCAAAGTTTTTTCCTTGTTGACCGCATGAATCCACTGTTTTGTTTTAGTTCCTGGTAGCTTTTTTTGCAAACCCTCGTTAAACAAAAATGTTGGTCTGTTTCCCTTCACTGTCATAACAAACCTCCATCCTTTTGCAGAGAGTTTAGTAGCAAGTTCTAACGACCCATAATAATTATCCACGCCCAAAATGTGATTTACTGGAGATATATGCGCGACTAAATCTAAAACGATAAACGTTGGGTTATGGGTGTACCTGGACTCTTTTCCTTGATACAACCAAAATGCATAAATATATCCTGTTGAATCTGATAACGCATAGTATTTCAGCCCATACTTGTGAGGTTTTAAGGGAATGTATTGCTTGAACCTAACTTTTTCCTTGAATGCTGCAATTATTTCATCAACCGAAACTTCTCTAACGCACAACCAATATTTTCTACTGTTAGAATTGATTTTGTCCTCAATTATTTGTGGTTCACTACTGAGAAACGTATGAATTTCTTGGAACCTTCTTCTACTCATAATTCTCTGGATTAGCTTGCATGCATATAGTGAATGATCCATACCTGATCCTGTCCAATAGTTTGCATAATTTGGAATTGGAGCAATACTCATTAATTGACATACTTGTAAAAACCCTCGTATTTCTTCTTTTTTGAAATGATTGGGTGTTTGATTCATTTGGTTTCATCGATAAAAACTATCGAAGTCTTCGAATTTTGGCTCAGGTAAAGTGAAAGGGTTTTCATCTTCGATCAGAGGTGGAATTTCATTTTCAGAAATGTGCACATATTTCCTTTTTGTTGTTTTTTTAGCAAGGTAATGCTTTGTTTTTGCTTCCTGCCATTCCTTGTGCTTGCTGAGTTTTGTCTCAAATGTTTCACAATATTCTTTTTTCCAGTTTGTTCTGCACCAAACATGTTCAATTATAGATTCATCCCATATAAGATTGGCAGATTTTAGAAGAGTGAAGTTTTCAGGTATGTTAGTCGGTCCTGATCTTTGAGGTGCTTTAATTTCCACCTTTGAAAATTTGCCATTCAAATCCCATCCATTTTGGAAATGATTACTGTCTTTTTGTAAATTTTTACATTCAGAGCCACATTCACATTCAGTAGAGCATTTTAGACCGGCTTTCTTGCAAACACGTCCTGTGCAACGAGTGCAACCTTTTTTGCATCGTATTTGTCTTCCTGGAGGATGAGGAAGTTTAAATTCGCTTGGTGTAAATTCAGGCGATTCCTCTTCAGTTCTGTCTTCTGTATCATCTGTCTCAAGACAAAATGATAATAAATCGTTTGGATCAATATCGGCAATATCGAACGATTCGTTAATAGTCTCTGAATCTTTATCTGTGACTGTAAAAATAACATCATTGTCAACAAAATCGTCACTATCATGATAGTACAATTGGGTCAACAACTGATTTTGCTCAACATCGTTCAGGGTCCAAAAATCAGATTCATGTTCATCATTTGAAGATGATTGTTCTGGTGTAAAGATATGGCTTAGCGTATTTTGATGAAACGTCATCATGAAATTCTCGTCCACATTGGAATAGGTCGAAAAATCTACAGAAGGAGAACTGCTTTCGATGAAACAAGTACCCTCGTCCAGAATCATGATCTATTTTTTTTTGTGATTTTTTAGTTGTCGTGGAAAATGAGCATCACCAAATTAGTGGTTGAGATTGGGGGAAAGCTGATGGCCTTGAAATAGAACCCCTGAATCTTTGTGTTTTATTCAAGATTCTCTCCAGCGAAAAATTTTTGCAATGCTGAAGGGTTAACGTGGTGTTGTTGTTGGTGGTAAAGTGAAAGAGTGAATGACACGAAGAATTATTTTTGTATTTACATGTATTGAATATCTTTTTTGGCAGCATTGATAATGTCCAAAATTAATGCTGCAGTTTGTTTGGCGTCAAGAGTGGAGTTGTCAATAATGAAAACAGGAATCTTGGTTGCCACAGTTTCCATGAATGAATCATAATGCTCCTCTATGAGCTTTAAATATGACTTTTCAATTCCACCTTCAAATTCTCTTTTTCTGGCCTTAATTCTTTCGTGACAGACATCAACATTATTCTTTGGTTTGAGATAAAAGGCCATATGACCAGTGACACCTCTCTTTAAGGCATCATAATTCGCACACAAATCCAAATAATCTTCCTCAGCAATCATTCCCTTGTTGTACTCCATGACAGTAAAGACACCACTCGAGGAAAGAATTCCTTCAAAGAAAATGTTGAAAGTGTCACTGGTTCCAATTCTGTCTGATGAAGAAGAAGAAGGATGGTCACGACCTCCATCCAAGAGGACCTCCTTGCCCATTGATGACCATACATGAACTGAGTTGGGATGTATTTGCACGATATTATTACTATACTTTTTCATAATACCTTCCAGTTGCTCCATTTCAAATAGGTCATAAACTGTGAGTGACGAATCTCTTTGAACATTCAATGGTTGAAAGTTATATTTAAAGTAGTGTTTGAAATAGGTATTTGCAATTTGCTTTTGCAATTCATAGTTCAGCTTGATATCCTTTTTATGAATTCCAACTTCATAATACTTGCTGAGGAGTGTCCATTCATCTGTTCGTTGCTGTTCAGACACGCAGTTTTCATTAAACAATTGTAACTCTCGTGCTGTGCTACTCTTTCCAGAGCCAATATTACCTTCCACGAAACAGACCAATCGTTTGTGATGTGGCATCAAGCTGTTGTTGTCTTTCGAGTACAATGACGCCATATTGTTCATATTTACACTTGAGGAGGAGGATGTCATGTTGCCATCACGAGACATTTTACTAGATTGAAAGGATAGTGAGAGGGAGGAGGAGGTACAATAATCACGACGACGATGATGGTGAGGAGGATTCACGAATGAAGTTAATGATGAGGATGGGATTCCGATATTCTTCCTGTTCTTGGTGATGATGAAAAAGTTTCTTCGGAGGGTTTCTTGTGAATTCCAAGGCCTTGAATTCGTTCTTTTAGTTTGCACCGAACAATTCAATGTTGTTATCGGGTTCAAGAAAGAACTCGATGTTGTTTCTTTTTTTCTTCTTTGGATTGCTCGAACCCAACCACCACCACCACCACCACCACCACTGGAGAACAAGAGGAAGAACCTCTCCGTGTTTCTCTGGTTCATCATTTTTTAAAAATAGAGAAACTGTTCGAACAAATATTGGAAGGAAAAATTGTTGGGTGCGCCGTTCGTAGCCGTTACGAAAATTTTGGCCAAATTGATCCAAAACCGATTTTGTAAAGTTGGAAGGGTTCAAAAAAAAGTGTTGTTTGTTTCCGCTCGCAGCACTTCCTAAGTCAGGATAGACTCGCTTGTTTGAAAGTTACCATCACCACACATTAAGAGAGAGGGTAAGTGTGGTCGTTTTTGTTGTTGGCTTCCAAAACAAAGAACGTTAATCATGGAAGGAGAGCCCAAATATCCACACGAGTTTCCATAACCATTCGTGATCATGGAAGTTGAGCTGGTGTGTTGAAATCGGCCACAATATTGGACTTGCTCCAAAGTAGTTGGTATACTGGTCGAGAAGCTTTGACAAATCTCTCCTGGAGCAACCACAGAGTCCTATGTGTTCAAAGATGATGCAGAGAATTGTAAGAAAAGTGAAACAAAGAGTTCGTTTGTTGAGTCTTCTTGCCTCAAAGAATCATAAGTGTTTTTTGCCTCACCATCATGCCACCATGAATTCATGATGCGCACATTAGTTTTTAGTAAATATTTCTCCTTCTGCAGACAAGGCTTTGATTCATCCATATTTGAACACGAGTTGGTGTTAACGGAAAGGTTTTGTCCATTGTTGGAATATATGTACGAGAAATTTGTTGCCTTTCATGAACACGAAAGTTTCCTTTTCTTTTGGTAAAGGAAGTGAGTTGAGAATCTCTCTTTGAAAATACATCTTTTTCATCATGAGTACTACTGTGAAGGAGAGCTATTAAAGATTAAAAAGGAAGTGGCAACCGCAATTGAACATAGATGATGTTCTCTGTTGGCAACCACTAGTGACGCCGATATGTCATTTTCAAAAAAACAAGATGATCACATCTCCAGAGTCAACCACAACAACAACATCCTCAAGTGCATCTTTTTTGTTCTCTCTCGCATCAGTCATGAATGCGGAACATGACATTCACAGATTCCATGTCCAACAACAACTGCAACCTGGTGGATATCAAAGTATCGATGACTTTCTCTACCCCGTTCTACACCAATCACAATCTCAAGGTGGAAGCAGTTTCACCTTTGATTTATACAGCTCTCTAGTGGCTGGGTTTGATGGTCCTTTCATTCTCATCTTTCTCTTGACATTTCTTGTATCATTAGGAAGTTATATTTTCCAATTCAAACATCTCAAGAGAAATCATCACATCTTGTTCTGGATGATGTTTGCTCTCTCTTTGTTTGCTTCTTTTCAAAATTTGACACGTCTTGCCAGTGAATTGGCTTTTCTGTATCCAACTTCAGATGGTGCCTTTCAATTGAACAATGTGATTAAGGGCATTGATCGCAGCATGTCCGCCGTTTTGTTGTACACTCAAATTTTAATTTTAGGATTTATTGCTTATATATTGTAAGTAGTAGTACAAGAAGTGAGTACACAATGATGATGATGATCACAATGATGACGATGATGACGGTGTGAAAAACAATGTTGATGTGACGTTTCATGGGACAACTTTTCAAATATATGTAGTATGAAAACTACACGAGCGACCGGAGATATTTCAGAGAAAACCTACAAGATATCCGTGGTATCTCTTGTGATTACTTTGGTGGTGTTCTTTATCTTGTTCTTACTGGGACATGTCATGGTGATTGTCATTCTTCATGTCATGAGAGGGACCAAAACCATTACTCCTCTCCAAACTCAACAATTGACAAATGCCATCTTTACATCTCCCATGATCTTTATGAGTTTAGGTTTAGTCACCACAGCCATTTTCTTGAATGTAAGTGATTCGATTTGGAACTAGTTCATCTTTTGACATCATGATGACTACGACGACTAATTCTCACATTCATCACAACGTTCACATTTTTGATACCACTACGGTTTGATCTTTCTGATGTGATGACACAATCATGACAGGCCTTTGGATTTCGTCTCTACATTTCATTAAGACAAAGAAAGAGAAAGATTAAGGAAATGCTGAAAAACACCATGAACCTCACCATTGAAATGAACTCTCCAAGATCGACCGATGGAGATCACCATGTTGCAACCATGAATACAAGTACTACAGGTTCTCCATCCACCTCAGCAGTGGTTACCTCAACAACTCCAGGTTCTCCATCCACCTCAGCCTCTCCCTCTGTCGGATTTACCATTCCAAAAGCATCCTCCAAACATGAGATTTATGAAGATAAGAAGAATTCTTCCAAGCACAAGAGTACGAGAGAATTTAGTGAGACCTATCATCTCAAGAAACATGCACTTCGAAAAACACTTGGATTGCAGATTGGTCTCAGTATTGCCTTTTTCATTCAATTGATTGGATTAGGATTTTTACCAGGAGCTCTTGGATGGCAATTTTCTCTGCTCTTTTATCACAACTTTTCGAATTTTGCACAATTATCCTTTGTGATTATCTTGTTGATTATTTTCAATCCTTTGAAGGAAGTTCAACGATTGTTTGAGAAGGCTCCTAATTTTCTTAACAATGACAAGACTGTCAAAGCGCAAGGGGAAGAAATTCAAATTGAAATTCAAAAAGTTGATCCATCGCCGGCGAATGTGTAAGGGAAGATTTTTGAACGCAACATTTTGGAAATGTGTATTTTCAAATGACAGCACAACTTTTGAAGCTTGTTATGGACCTTCAAAGATGTGTCATAAGAAATGTGTGATGTTCATGAAGGATGCAGATCATCATCATCAACTTGACCTTAATGGATGGTTCCTCTTAATATTACAATTATAAAAACTCAACAGTAAAAAATCAATCGACCAAACTCATGCAAGATCTATTTTCCGATTAACAAAGCTTGAAAGACCTCACCAATTCTCGCTATGAGAAGCAGTCCGATGAATTGAGAAAGACTTTGATTGCCGAAGGGGAAGCACAACAAAAGATTAATAACAAAAAGAAATCAAAGAAGAAACAAAAGGCTCATAAAACCCCTTCTGAACCAGCTAATCATTTCGCTCAAAAAACTGACGATGATGATTCTGAACAAACGTCCATCTCTAGCTCCATCAAAAATAGAGAACTAACAGAGGAAAGATCTTGGAAATCTATTCAAGTCATAGAAGATAAGGACCAAGATAACGGAAAGAACGATCAAAAGGAAAGAATGGAAGAAAAGGAAATCAAAGAAGATTCAGGATCGAAATCAATTAATACACAAATAGCGTTGGATAATGTATGTAATGACTTAGGTGAGGATTGAACTTTTTTTCAATAAACAACAGGACTTAATGCAAACATTGACAAAAGAATTGGCTTGAGTGAATCTGACTCTGATAGAAATGGGCAAGAAATTATTGGATCATGACAAGACATTGTCTTACCTGGGCAAGACAGTTCAACGTCTCGTTGGATCTAATTACGAAAACTATATCAGAAAGAATCCACCCATGACTTTCGAAAAACCTGAAAAGGGACTCTTATGCCCCAGGAAGTTTTTGAAGTCCAAGTGATGATTCCATACTTGGTTGAATTGAATTGACAACAAGTGATTTCCATGATATTTAGAGAAACAAAGAATGTACAACAACCATTTCAGATAGTTTATGATCATCTTGAAACGATTTCCTTATGGTGGATATTTTCAATGTTGCATTTCGTGAATGATTTTATTTGTACACACAATTCAATAAAACACATGCAGAAATTGTATCATGACAACTCGCTCTGTCTTATTTTGAAGAAAGACTCTCTTTCAGAATAATGGTCTTCAAATTCTCTAACACCTTCTTAATATTATTGGTATCGACGGCACAGGTGACTTCAACAAAAACATCGGCATCCTTATTTTCTCTCAATTTTTTGAACTTTTCTGCAATAAATTGAATAGCATCTGGTGCTGAATGTTTTTTACCATGATAGTCCTTGAAACATTGTTCAGAAATGTCCACTTTCTTGATCAGATCATTAAATAGATCGACCTTGTTCAAAAACAACATGACAGGCTTGTCATAGAAAACACTACAATTCACCAATTCTTCAAACAACAACATGCTTTCTCGAATTCTAATGGTTGTAGGATCTTCTTCCAATACTTGATTATATTCCACGAGAGAAACAACAAATATCAAAGCTGTCACATTGTCAAAGACATGAATCCACTTCTTTCTCTGATTACGTTGTCCACCAACATCGACCAAACGCATGGACAATCCTCCAAATTCAAATTTAGTCTCATGAACTCCAGTGGTTCTCAATCTGCAATGCAACACGTCCTCCACTGACGGAACATAGGAAGCAGCACCAATACGTTCGCAATGATTCATGAAATAAGCCAAATTGTCAATGAGAGGATACGACCATGAGGAGGTTGCTGATGGTTGATCACTACTACTATTAGAGTGGTTGTTGTTGTTGTTATGGTTGGAAACCTTTCCGTGTCGTTGATGAAACACATGTTGGACATAGGGATGTTGCCAAAGGAAACGAAGAGAAGCAAGTTTAGAGGGATCATAGGAGAGATGAGAAGAAGAAGTAGAACCGTTCTTGTCATCATCGTTTGATTTTCTGAGAATGTGTTGTGTATGAGTGCGAAGTAATTCTTGTTGTTCCTGATCGAGAACGAAGGGAGTGTTGTTAGGGCTGGTGGTGATGACTTGTTTCTGAGAAAGGGAATGTTGTACAAGGTCCATCAAAGCAGCCATTCCAAGAATTAAATTGTCTTGAATGGTTTTGGTGAAGGAAGATAATTCTTCTTTGGTGTAACCATTTTGATGTAATATTTTGACTTGTTTGAAGAGGGTTGATTTACCTGACTCCGAAATACCTAAGAGAAGAAGATTGATTGTATTATCGACTTGAGAGGTGTGTGATGACATTTTTTTGGGTTTGACTGGTTGATAGGTGGCAAGTGGATGATGTTGTTTGACATTTTCGACTGGGTTCTGTCTCAAATTAATCGATAGTTGCTATGAGAACAATCCAAAATGGTATCCTATGGTTTACAGTCAATGGCTGAATTCAAAAATTTCCAAAACTCTCAGATCCTCCGAGTGTTTCCGTTTAATGTGTAAATATCATCACCAATTGAAGAGTACTAGAATCCAATGATATTTGAAAGTCTAAGGGGTTTCATTCCAAACAACAACATCCACACTCAAATATAATTTGAAATTTCATTCAATATAATGTTTATGTTTTAACGAGCGGGATTCCATAAGAGAACAAACATTGAAGGATACGTTTTCACCTTGCAAAAAGTTTTGATAAGATCAATATCCGTGCTTGGAAATGGATCCTTTTCGTTACAAAATTCCCCCTTGTCGGGCGAACACTCTCACCCATCATGAAATTTTTTTGAGGTCAACCTTGGAAGATGGCGCTCTTGAGGCTCTCCAACCAATTTCGCCTAAACTCTGTTCTTTGTGGTTTCTTTCTATTTATGAACTGCAAAAGTCCCTGCACTACCAAAGCAAACCATTAATGATATCGATTTAAAAATATGGAGCAAGAAGACTTGAATCATCACCACAACAACAACAACGCTCAACATGAAGCTCGAGCCGTTTCATCGTCCTCTCCCACCCACCCCCTCCATCCCCTAACTACAACCACCATCACCACTACAGCAATGTCATCATTAAACACCACCACCGCCAACCCTTCCAATGTAGATACTCCCTCCGCAGTCCCATCTCCCTCCTCAACAACAACAACAGCCATGAAAGTCTCTTTTGCAACTACGACCCAAACACCCCGCAATAAAATGCCCGTCAGTGTTTCCATGAGTACGCAAGCGTCGGATCGTGACGACATGGTCGAACTTGTTCCGATGCGCACTTCTGCTTCTACGACAACAATGGGTGGCAGAAAGGAGCATCGAGAACACTCACCAGCATCTCCTGCCACATCTGATAAGCAATCGGGAGTAGTAACATTCGGAAATGAACAAGAACATCATCATCATGACCAACGACATCAGGATCGTCACCATCGTCACTTGTTGAGCAAGAGTTTTTTGTTGGGTTTTATTCCAAGGTGGACGTTTCATCCCAATAAACAATCGGAAGCAAGAGATTTACTAGCTGTGGTAGGTTTGAAATGCAATGAGAAGTGCATTATAATCATGCAAATACTAATATTTTCTGCATCATTTAATAATTAATTATTGAAAGGAACGAACGCAATTGGCATGGGTAAGGACAGGCCTCTCAACCATTGCCATTGGAATTGCAATTGCTAAATGTATGTGTTGTGTGTAACACTTCTCTATTCTAACGTTTACATCAATAATTTAGTATTGACAACTGGCTCGGATTCTGATGCCGCCAAAATTTTGATGGTCACAATAGGAACCATATTTATTATTTTAGGTAGGTTTGATTTGAACTTTGTTTTTTAATTGGTTTCACTTTGTCAAATTAAGGCCTCTTAATATTCTTTTATTCTTTCGTTCGATTCCACTATGCAACACGACGATTAATATCTGGAGTGTATGTTGCAGATATGTTTTCGCCTGTTTTCATGTTTGTTTTCGGAGTGACTGCCTGTGTTGCAGCTCTTGCTCTTGTCTTTGTGTGATTCCAAATACTAGTAAAGTAATACACGCATGATTTATTTCTTCTTTCAAATTCTTCGTGTTGTTTGTATTCAACAAAAATGTGTTGTTGATAAAAAAAATGTCTTCTTTGATGTTCGGCCATCGCACCAACATCAAAAACAACATGATGCCAGCAAGAATTTCATTGGAGAAGATGAAGAACACGATGGATGAACAAGGGGACATCATCATGAGCAACCACTCTCAAGATATTTCGGAGCTTGGTGGAAAGACATCTCCAGTTCAATTTGAACATGATGATGTCCATGCAAGAGATGATGATGGCTTAACCATGAAAATGACACAATCCTCTCTCACGAAATTGAACAAAATTGAAAAGCAGCGGAAAATGGTTCAACAACGGAAAGAAAAGATACACAATCTGAAGAAGAGATGGCGAGAGCAAAACTCTTCTCTTTCCAAACAGTCCTTAAATCAACAAGAAACACCACCGACAGACTCTAATGATGGAAAAGTTGGAGAATTATTGGACGAATGTTTTGGCCGAATTGAAAGAACCATTATTCAAAACGTAGAGGATAAAATTTCGGATGCTTTCAAGAAATTTCAAGAGAAAATGACAACAGCTTTCGCGGAATGTTTGCAAAAATTAACGTCAACCACTGAAGTGCATCTTAATTCTTTATCAACGCCACTTAAATCTGAAATCACATCATCCTCTTCGACGCCCATCAAATTACAAGATTCACAACCCTCACAATCTTTGATAACTGCTTCTTCACCATCCTATCCATCAAAACATCAACATGGCTCTAAAGAAGAAGATTGTTGGATTATTTGGAATAATCCAGTCTATGATAAGCTTAGACTGTTAAGGAGAATGAAAGCGATCAAATATAATGAGTGGGAAGATTTTGTGGAAAGAGATGCCATTATTTGGAGAAGACACTTTGAGCTAAGAGATCAATACAAGAAGAACAAATCTTCTAACAAGAAGCACTATACTCTAGCAGTGGATTACATCAGTCCTGTTCTGCATGCAAAACAATTTCTAGGTAAAACTCTTCAAAAAATCAGACAAGACTTTTTCAAGAATAAGGAAGTATCGAATGAAATGGTAGTCAAAATGCTCGAAGGTGTTTCAAAAGGTAATATTTTACCCTATCAGCAGGATTTATTGTTAAAGAAGAAGGAAATTCAAATTACTCCCAAGTCCAAAATTAATTCTCCATTCTGGTGGCTGAACCTAGAGGTTTATCAACAACTTTCATTACTGGTAGAATTGAAAATCATTGCGAAAACTGATTGGAATGCCTACATGAAGAAGGTGATGCAGTTAAATGATTCGATAACGGAGGAATCTGAAAGAGCTCCAAAAATCATTTGCTTTGGAGAAACCTTAATGAAAAATTTAAAGGAAAAGACACCAACGGATAAGTGGTTCCTATTTGTTCAAAAGAGGCAAAGCATGATGAAGTGTTCTGATTAGAGGAAAAAGAGTAGTACTGCAGTACAGGCAATACCAATACCAAGTAAGAGTAAGAAAGGAGGCGAGAAGGAGTCGGCTGAAAATTCATCTGTTTCACGAACATTGCAACATTGGATGTTGTCAATTACGGTGGAAAAGTTCAAGGTGTGTCAGCTGCTATCAATGTTTTTTGAAAGTACTACTTACGATCAACCATGGATTTCATGACCACATGAAACCTTAAATGTGCATACATGATCAGCAATAGAGCAATCACTGCTGTCACAACACCAAGCGCTTTTGGTACAAAGGGATCACGATCTTTTCTATTCACTAATTCCGTATGGAATCAAGACAGTTGTTATTATTATTAAATATGCATTAAGGTGTGCAAATACGATACTTACATCTTGAAACTCCAATTCCAATTGCAAGGATAGCATAGGCCGTTCGTTGCCATGACAATGCAGTTCGTTCCTGTTGCGACATTATAAATCGTCAGGGTGATACAATGGGAATGACATACATATATTTACATATATCAACATTAATGTCAAATCAATGATGAATCCATCCACACACAAGTACCTACCGCTGCTAACATGTCTCTGGCCTCACTCACTTTATTCGGAAATGAGTGCCAGATAGGACTCATAACATGAAGAAAATAGTGCTTCCACGACATTCTTTCGGGTTGTTTGTTTTCCTCTTTCTTTTGTGTTGATGATGTTGTTGGAAGGTCCGATTTACTCTTCTTTGGAGGATTTTCAGTTTCGGCTGATGACTCCTTGTCTAAAATGACATCAATGGTTGCTTCCGAAAGCTCATAATTTGAAGGAGGTGAAGATATTGCTAAATCAACTTTACTACTGGCTTCCGAGAAGGAGACTTGTCTTGGAAAATTTGATGGCATCGATACCATTTCAATATCTTTTGCTTGCATTTTCTTGCGGAAAAAAAAGGATGTTGTTGTATTTTTTGTGCGTGAGATCTATGTGAGGCAGCAAATAAGTGATGAGGATTTAATTTGGAGTTGGGATTTGAAATAGGCGAAATTCATTGTCCCTCCGATACTGAGTCAAATGTCAACATCCATCTCTCCAGACTCTGGGCTTGGTTGGCTACGAAAATGAAACGATGAATTGAACCAGTTCGTTTGTTCCTTATTGAAAATATATTAATAATAATATTTTGGTTCTTTCTGTGTGGGGATACTCCAATAAAAATAGTTCCCCTATTTGAACATTAACCAAAAAATGAATGAAACCACAACACCTTCAGGAGGGCGGTTAAATTCAATCAACCACGAAGATGAAACTGCAGAAGTAAATAATAATTCCAGTCATAACAGCAATGAAAGACTTGTGGATCGTGTGGTGCATGAAATTAATCGGATCCATCTAGAAACACCCTCCAACCCGACGCAACAGCCTTCCTCCACAAATATGAATCATGATTTTGCATCATCGTTGTTCCGATTGCAAAATCATAATTCATCGGGATGTTCCGAACATCAAGACGGAATGGAAGATGATGAGCGCTTTGAATTTATGACTAGTACTTATTTAAATCTGGAAAGGCTTGATGAAATGTTGAATGAAATGTTTTTGAATGAACGAGTGGAAAGTTTGCAGCAATACAGAGAAAAATCAAAAAACGAAGAACAAGTCTTTAAGGTGAGTGATTTGCTAGATAAACTCATACCAGAGTGAAAGAACTCGTGTTGTTTTTGAATATATTTGGAACGGATTCATTCAGCTCATTGAAAGCCTTATTTTAGATGGGGAGTGTATCAAGGCTTTCGAGTTGTTAAAGAATCAATTTCCGTCTGTGGTAGAACATCCTTTGCAAACGAAATTTCATATCCTGAATGTAAGTGTTCAAACAAAAGATGGAGTTAATAATTTTCGAGTTTCTGTTAATGTTTCTAATATGATGACATGCATCACAGCTCAAAGAAACAATTCTGAAATGTCCTGTTGATGACTATGAACAGCAAGCAAAATGCTTAGAGCTTTGTAAATCAACTATTCCCAGTGAAACATGTGTGTTTACTTCTTCAGAACACTCTAATCTTATGGACACTCTCTTTCTTTTGTTGCGAGAGAAGGACAACCATTTAATGGTCTACAAACAATTGCAACATTCTAGGAACACTCTACTCAACGAATTTAAATTGTTTTGGTATAAACAAAAGAGGCTCTTCAAAAAAGAGGATTCAACTTTGGAAGTTATTCTGAAATACTTGACCACTATTCACAATATTTATCAAGTTCTGAATGGAGCGTCGTCACCTGTGCCAGAAATTGAATCTTTACTTTTACCTGAAAAGGAGCTTTATGTGAATCATTATGAAACCAATACTGCTGCTCATCATCAGCCATGCCGAGAACGCCATGTCATTGAAATGACTCAACGCATGTCCATCACACGAGAAGAAGCCATGCAAGCATTAATTGCTTCCAACCATGATCGAATGCTTGCCATGAAACTTGAGGCAAGTCGGTTGCAGTTGAACAAATTGATTTTGGCAGACTTAGTTGAAGAACATTGCAAAATACGTGGCTTGATGCTACCCATGAAAGAAGACTCTATTTCTCGAAGAGATGCCTTGACAAAGAAACTTTACGATTTTTTGACAAGTAATAGATTCGAGGAATTGGTTTGCTATGTAAATTCAATCGATTCAGGCGCCTTATTAACATATCCAGTGATTACATTCAAAATTTATGAATGTATGTTCCTGCATTATTATCGATCTGGTGATGACTCTAAGGCATTGAGCGTTGCTACTGAAAAATTGGCTCCCATAAGACTGTGCAATGAACAAGACTTCTCTGAAACAGTGTCGTTACTGGCATACGATCACACCGCTAACGTTGTTCCAGAGAATGCACAAAAAATAATGTCACGAATCGAAACCTCCAGAGAATTTATTGTTAAAACGTTAAGCGAAGTCCTTTTCGATAGAGTTGGTTCACCCTCAAGACTTGTAAAAGCCATCAAGTATCTCCTCTTCATTCACAACCATTGGTTTCAATACGACACAGATGAAATGGTGGAATATCTTTGTATTAACACATTGAAGGAGAGTTCTTTGTCAAGCCTTAAACCATTGGATTCAATGGAGACTACTTCTGTTGATCCTCGAGAGCAAGATATTCAATCCATTATGGACATTACTCAATTGAGCAGAGAAGAGGCTGAGGGTCTTCTTGATCAGTACAAAACTGTTGAAGACTCGTTGAATGCATTCTTTCAACTCTAAGAGTTCTGTCACTTGTATAGCGACAATATTAATTCTTCATGATATTCCCAGTGCTATTCCTCCTCTTTTTGAACCTTTCCTTCGCATTTGCCCCAAAATTATTACCGAACACTAATTCGTTTCTCTCTGCAATGTCTGCTCCTTGCTCTGCATCGGCAGCACCAAAGAATAGATAAGGGTCATGAATAAGGTTTTTCCTTACAATGGTGACGTGTCGTTTAAATCGGTCCATTGCTCTTTCTTTTTGGTTCTATTGATAAATATTTATGTGGAGTACGTTAATAGTTGGATGGTTTCAATAAATGTACTTACAATCCTCAAAAATCGTTCCTTCAAGGTAGTTTCCTTGATTTGATTCAGCTCGGCATTAGTGTCGAGATATGCTTTGGTTTCCTGTCTGGTTTCTTTGATCATAGATTCCTGTTGTTTTGCAAAATTTTCCAAATCCAATATACTCTATTGAAGAAAAAAGTTGACATTTGATGTTGATGCTCACAGTTAAACACATACCCTTCTGTGTTCCAAAATTGTTTCGAGCAAGATGTCATCTTCTCGTTTGATCTCTTCTGTCCTTGCTTTAAGAGTTTCTACTGCAATTTTTAGTCTATCTCTATTATTATTGATTAGTTTAATATCGGTTTCGCTTTGTTTTTGTGCACATTGCAACTTGGATAGAATTTCTCTGCATGCTTTTGTTTCCTCCAGCTTTATTTTCAATGCCTTGTCTTTGACCTCTGCTTCCACCTCCAAAAAATGTAACATGGTTGTGAGCTGCGTTTTATTAATGTGCCCTAAACTCGGAGTCTCATCGATGATTTTGATGATTCTATCAATCGCTTTTTCTCCTCCACTGGTGATGTCTTTGAGTTGTTGCATTTTTTTTAATTGTTCTTGTAACTTTTGGCGGGTTGAATAACGAGCGCTTTTCGAAGTTCACCAATTTTGGGTAATAAAATATATTCGAGAAATTTTATTTTTATGGAAAGAGTTAAATTACTGTCTGTGCAATTTCTTTCATAACATCCTTCTTATAATCATAGAAATCTCCGTTATACTTTGAAATGGTTTTACCTGTGCAAACCCAAATTTCGTCACACACAGAGGTAATCAAATACTCGTCGTGACTCACCATCAAAATACCTCCATTGTATTCATTGAGAGCTGTGATGAGGGCGTCTACGGTATCGATATCCAAGTGGTTGCTAGGTTCGTCCAGTAAAAGTAGATGAGGTTTTCTGAACGTAATTTCTGCAAAGACCACTCTTGATTTTTGACCTCCTGAAAGTGTGTAAATGGGTTGCAAAGCCAAATCTCCAACAATACCAAGCTTGGATAATTGTGCTCTTAAAGCTGGCTCTTTTTCGTTTGTAAATATAGAAGACATGTGTTCGAGAGGTGTCATTTGAGGATTCAAGTGTTCCATGTGATGCTGACTGAATTTTGCAATTCTGATCTTTCTGTTCACATTGACAGTTCCTTCGAGTGGTTTGAGCTCCTCAGCCAAAATATTCAAGAAGGTCGATTTACCTGTACCGTTTGGACCAACCAAAGCAATTCGAGAGTCCATGTCCAAGTTAAAGTTCAGCTTTTTGAATAAAATTTTGTCTCTGGTATAACCAAATGTGACATCGACTGCTTGAAGATAGGGAGGATTTTCCTGCTCTGGAGAATCAAAGGTGAAACTAAAGGATGGATCTTCAACAACGGCTGGAGTGAAGTCCATCTTTTCTAAAACCTTAATACGAGATTGTGCCATCTTTGCAGTGGCTGCCTTGTATCTGAATCTATCGATAAACTTTTGAATATGTGCACGTTGCTTTTGTTGGGCTTCATGAGTTCTTTGTTGTTGTGTTAATTTTTCTCGTCTTGTCTTTTCGAAAGTGTCATAGTCACCTTTATAGTAATGAAGTTTTTGATCTTTCACAAGGATGATATCTGTGACGACTGCATTAAGGAATCGCTTAGCGTGAGACACAACTACTAAAGTCTTGTCATACTTCTTCAAGTATTCTTCTAACCAAATGACTGCAAACAAATCCAAGTGGTTTGTAGGTTCGTCCAATAGTAAAATATCTGGCTCTACGAACAAAGCTCTTGCAAGGGCAACTCTCATTCTCCAACCTCCTGATAAAGACTTAGTTTTCATGTGCATCATTTCAGGAGTAAATTGTAAACCAGTAAGAATAGCTGCTGCTCTTGCTTCGGCGCTGTGAGCATCAATTTCATCCAATCTTTCATAAATTTCAGCTAATTTTTGGCCAGCATCTTCTGAAGACTCCTCCAAAAGTCTCTTTTCTTCCTTCAACAAGGACAATCTTTCTACGTCTGAGTTGAGAACTGTGTCGAGAGCAGAAACATCATCTCCAACAATTTCTTGTTCAATGTGCAAAATTTGCAAATATGGAGGAATTCCCTTGAAATCTCTTTCTGCAATATGTCTCAAAAGCGTTGTCTTACCAACACCGTTTCTACCAATCATACCATATCTACGTCCGTTTAACAAAACAACATCTGTTCCCGACAAGAGAGTCTTGCTTCCTACAGAAACTATGACATCAGAGACACGAATTTCTCTAGGACCTTTGAAATCGGCAGCTGTGTGAACTTTGATGACACCTCTCTGATTGCTCAAACCTCTTCTCTTCAAAAACTCTTCATACTCTTTTTGTTTTTGTTTGATAATGGCTTCTTCTTTTTCTTTTTTCTTCCTCTCTTTTTCCTTGATTGCCTTTTGCTTCCAATCCAACTCGTCATTCCAGTTAGATTCAGTAATTTGTTGATGAACAGAGGCCATACCTGTCTTGTCAATCATGGACTCTTGTTCAGAAACTTCCTTTTCGAATCTTTTACCCAAGCTGACAGCTTCTTCCAACAAAACAACATGCTCTTCTTCTTTAATGTCTGTTCTCAAAATTCCTCTATCCTTCAATGTCTGAAGCATAACTCTGACCAATTCTTTTGCGTCCTCCAAAGAACTAGAAGCCTTGGTATGAACCAAGTAAGAAGAAATTACGTCAATTACTTCAGTTTCTTTTCTTCTTGTGACGACATCATTTTGGGAAGCCAAAATACTGGAGAAATAATTTAAAATTGGAATATCCAAACATTTTGATGATGTCTCCTTTCCAATCACATCGTTTGTGAGAATTTCAATAATATCCAAGCATTCCTTGCTGGGTTGGAAATATATTTTTGATGTACCCGATGGAATATCTTTTGATGAAGAATGTGATTGATGCTTGTCCTGATGATGTTGCTTATCTTGCTGTTGTTGACCCGATGATGGTGGTCGGTGTTGATTTGGTGTTGGAAAATCCTCATCATAGGAAGCATCTTTGGCTGTTGGTTGTTGTGGTGTTGCAGGCTTTTGAGTTTGACTCTTGTTTTTATTCGCGTTTGCTGCTTGCTTCTTCCGTTGTTGTTGTTGCAATGCCTCCTTTTCCTTCTTTTGTTGCTCCGCCAATAATCTCTTTTCTCGTTCGATCTTCTCTCGTTCCTCTTGTTGTTTCTTCTTTTCGGCTGCAACCAATTCTTCAAGGCTCACACCTCGGGAAGATGATGCTTTTTTAGGGGGCATTTTTTTTCGAAATCAATGCAAAATAAAATTCAATTTTGAATTTCCAATATCGTTGGAAAAGAAGGAAATGAAATGGACAGGTTGAAGGGGGGCACACATTGAATCAGATAGCGATTAATCTTCACTTGATCCATAAGACAGCCAAGGGAACATATGGGTATATGTATAATTAATGTTTTC